TGGTGCCAGTGTGCCAGCTGGTGGTTGACAGGCCGGCAGAGCAGCGGTGCCAGGTGCTAGCAATTGACAGGCCGGCAGAACCGTGCTGGGGCTAGCAATCAACAGGCCGAACAGAGCAGCGGTGCATGGGCCGGGCAGCCCTGGTGGTGAGCTCGTCTGCATCGTCGCCGGTTGGGCCAAAGCGCCGGCCGAGTCGAGGTGCCAATGTGGAGACGATATGGTGACGGCCCGCCCGAGAGGTATCATTGACGGTGGCAGTGGTATCAGTAGCGCTGATGCCGGAAGCCCCAACGCTGAAGCAGCCGCCCCGATGGTGCCCAGCTACAGTGGGAAGCATCCCTTCTCTGGTAGCGGGAGCGGCCGCATGCCGCTGGCCCGACATCATCGAGGGAAATGACATGCCGCTGGCTCGAGGTCTTCGGGAAATCCTCCTGCATATCCTGGCGCACCGAGCTAGCTACTGAAAGACAGTTTGCCTGGCAGGGCGCGGGGATGAGCAACCTGGGGCTCCCCGCTGCCTGCGTCCTAAAATGCGGGCGACTCGCTGGCACCCGAAAACAAGAACAAGTGTCCTTGCAAAGAATGTCGATCGGCGCAGCATCTGCTCCATTGCGACTGGAACGAGAGCGCCTCCCAAACGCGCGTGCTTATTTGCTGTCAGTACCTGGGGTTGTGAGGGCGTGGTTGTCGGTGAGAGAGTTGCTCGCTGGCTCGTGCATAGAGCATGACTTCGCGCGCACTCTGGGCGCTGGCAACACACGAGGGTGTCATGCACTCGTGCGCACTCGACCAGGCTGGGACTGATTAGACAAGAGTCATGAAATTCATCACTGGTGGAGTTATGGACAAACTCAATGATGGTATCTGCGTGCGACGCGAGCAGCGGTGCATCGGTCATCTCAGACTATCCACTTCATAATAGGACGATTGCTTGCTGACTGGGAGGGTGCGAGGATACGGACTGGAGAGCTGGTGGTGCTGTCGAAGCTGGAAAGGGATGGCTGAGATCGTCGTCGGGCTCGACAGCGCACTGTTTGCACTTGCTGCTCACCAATGGGTGGAGGACTGAAGCGTAAGGTCGATATGCGAGAGGGCTTCATCAAGGGCGAGAGCCAAGGACTGAGAGCTCGATGTAGCCTCAGACGCGGATGGCCCAACCTGCGAGTGAGATCGCTGTGGACGAAGGTCGACATGCGGGGGTGCCGACTTGCATCCGCCCAAGAAGCTGCAGTGTGTAATGTAGCCTTGTTGTTCTTGACAGAGAGACGAGTCCTCTTCTTGCGAGCTGTCGTAGTCGCCTTCGCGTTTGACGTCTTTCGCGGATCTGAACTGAACGGCCGGACTGATGGAACGCGGGGCGGACGGCTGGACCCGTGGCTGGACAGCTGGACTGCTGGACTGCTGGACCGCCGGAAAATGCGGATTCCGCGTTATCCTCGGTGCACTCGCGGCAAAATCGCGTAAACGAAACAATCACGTATTCACCCCTAATTTCGCAGCCTTTACACATACAATTTGTGAACAACGATACATTGCGTTTTAGTCACAGTACCCGTGGTCCTAGAGATGAGAAAAATATGTGTAACAAATCATATGAGATATCTGAAACCCTTTCTTCTGCGAACAGCCTCCTCGAATGAGATACCCTCTAGTTTCGCTGCCTCCTCGATGCGTTGCCGACCGGGTCCCTCCATGACAGCGAGTTCGTCGCGGTCCATCTGCTTGTTCTCCCTTCTTAACATGTATCTTAGTACTTCGAAGGAGTTAGAGGCGATTCCCGTAAAATTTATGAATTCATCCATACCCAATGCCAGGCAAAAGGCGAAGACCAGACTAGCTAAAGCAATGATCATTGAAGGGTGGTACTCGGGACCCCATTGCGATTCCCAGATGAATGATCCAATCCTAGGGTTACGTTTGAGGGTGTCAGATCATATAAATTTGATACGGATATCAGCAAACGTACAAGTTTCCGAGATTGCCGAACCCGTTGACGAGGCCCATGGCGACGGAGCGTTTGGCCGGCGGTCGAGGAATAGCATTGGATACCCACGTCAGGGTCAACGCGAAACCTTTTGAGACGCGACAGAACTCAGATGAGAAAGATATCAATCAAATCAGACAAACACGGACCACAGTATCCAACCGTCATGCAGAAAAGGGTGAAATATCTTGCACCGGTGTTCATGGTGGACAAGCCGATGATGTAACCGATTATAACGACCCACCACCACCCCGTAACACACCAGAATCGATCCCCTTTGACGTCTTTTGCGATGATATATTTTAACCATTGGACAAAATCGGTATGCCGGATGAGGCTTACCTGCAATCCACGCCCCAATGAGGCATGCGATCGTAGCGAAGATCCATGGCGGACTGCAACAACTCGTCAGTAAGCGCAGCGCAAAGACGTGGCAGCCATTGGTGAATGTGTGCTTACGCAGCAAGAAGAAGCGTATCCGTAGTGCCGTAACCCAGTGTCTGAGTCAGCCTGTGTAAAAGGTCATAAGTAGGCTACGTATAGCCAGAAAACGGGAGTAGTTACGTCGGGAAGAAATTGATATAACTGAGTCCGACAAGCTGCGCGCAGTTCATGACCATAAAGATGAGAATTTTCGGATCTTTTATCGCCAGTTTGAAGCCTTCAAAGAAGCTGTCGAGTACGGTAAACGGATGTATCGTCTTCATTGCAGATATGAATCTTACGACATATCATCATCATCCCGATCAGCTTCGCCTGCATCCTCCGCTAGCCTGACTTTAGCTAGGCGTTGGTCAGCGTCAGAAAGCCATCTGGTGTTTCCTGGCTGTTATTGTCTCGCCATTTAGCTGCAGTTCAGCGTGAAAAACAACAAGCACTCACGTAGTCCGGTAATAGCCACCTGGATGCTTCGTAAGCATCGTCAACGTTGATGGTAGATGAGCGGGAAAGCTCACATGACTTGGAAGCCGATAAATATAGTTATTGCACCCTTCCCATATAGCATCGAGTCAGAAATCCAGTTATTATCGTTGGACATCGTGTGATCTCACCTCGATATAGAACACCCTGGAAGTATCAGTCAGCGACTTAGAATCATAGTAAGTATCTTGGAATGAGATCTTACCAACGCCAAGCTGGGAGCCCTAGAGCTCCTTCCATATTTGCAAGAATACCAGCGGCAATCAACTGCTCAACAGTTAACATCATAACACGAAGGGGCGGCGGGGACTCACACTCCCGAACGCATTAGATATCAAAAGGCCCGTGTAGAAAATCGCATTGCGAAAGGCCAATTCCTGCAGTGAAACACTGTCAACAATTTTTTCAACACGAGACGAAGCATTGACCTTTTTGGTATACCATCGCGACAGAATGTAGCAACATCCGGGGTAAAATGCAGCCTGGCGGATAATCTCAGTCATCGATTTCTTCAGCGACGGGAAATAGTGAACCTGACCTCAGGGAGACCAATAAATATACGACATGCCATGATACCGGCGTAGTTATGCGTGGCCTGGAAAAAGGATGAGCGCAGGTAGATTAGAAGAACAACATCGTGACTTACTCCAGTACAAAGACTCGTTAGTCCCCATACTACGACACATGCACCAACGTAAAGCGACGGTCTAAATGTAGATGTTAGCACAAAGTACAACGCCACCTGAATATTTTTATTACTTCGAGATGTAACCTATGATCTGAAGAAATGTTTAAACGTCATGGCCTTTACGGTACCAGCAAGTACTTACCATATTTGACGGAATTTGCGCCGGGCAGTAAGAAGCATAGAGAATCGCCACGACTGTGTCATACTGGCCATCTAGAGAAAAGATAAACCGGTGTTACGAATGATTTGGTAAGCTGGTAGCCATACCTGTCAAGCCGAGATCCTGTTCCAACCCTTGCAGTCGAGCGGCCGTGATCGCAACACGCTGATGAACGAAACGATCAGTGATTACGCCGTGTAAAATTGCAAAAGGTAACAAACGTCGATGTAGTTGAGAAGGTATATGATCGTGATGGTAGGCATGAGCCGAAAGTCGAGCCTGCGCACTAGCTTACGCTCGGCTGATCGACGGTGTTCGTCACTGAGGATCTCGACCTCCGCAACCTTGACAGCTTCTTTCCCCGCATCGACGACGCCGGTCTGTTCCTCGAAGGAATCCGCCTTCTTTTCGTTCTCGGATGACATTTCTTTGCACGAGTAGCGCGCGAGGACCTGGTGGGTGCGCGGGGAAACCAGATGAATGGAACGGTTGGCGCTTTTAATCCCTCTGCTGCTATTTGAGATCGTGATATGGAGCATCTGAGCAAACTCATGACCTCGAATGGGGTGGTGCGGATCCGCGAGCCGGCAGAACCAGAGCGCCAAAGTGGTGGGTCGCGCAGCTCTGTCGCCGATCGTGTAGGCAAACATTCGAACACGTTTAGTACGGATGAACGCGAAGATGCCACCCCTGGCGAAAAGGACCCGGCTTGTTTATAGCTCGGAGGGCCGTCTTGTTCCTTCGAGAATTGCTGGTAGTACATTGAGTATTTCAGATCAAGCTCGAGGAATGAGTTTACCTGGAACGTTCTGAAATGCCGGGATGCCGCACGGTCATGTACTTACCAAGCCATGGAGTAGGCAGAATGAAGGATAGATGTGAACTCTCGCCTAAAGGTATGGTCACCGGGTTAGCATCACGAGAGCAACCGCGTACGGTAGAAACCTGCAGCGTACCTGGGCATCATCATAAACCTCTTTTGAGCACGTACAAGAAAGTCTGATGAGAACATTACGAGAGCCTGCAATAAAGCGCTTGTTGTGCGGTAGAGAGCATTTGTCGTCATGTATGAGTAGCTTGTTAGAGCAATAGCTGATGATCCCATGTATCAGGATTCCCCCGACGTCTCGCCTATGCGTGACCACAATGTGTGCGGGCGATCTACAAGTCCGAGGTCAGTCAAAAATAACACAGAGTCGATGGAAGGAGCGAAGTTCGACGACACTCGCCAGATCAGGAAGTCCCCACTCAAAGTTTGAGTTCCGACAGATCACGTGTGCGGGTCAGAAGGGTCAATGCGCGGAAAAGGTAAGCCCCTATGAAGTCTATGTGACCAAGGACGAAACCTTGGTGACATCCCGTCTATGAATGGGGCATGTACGTCTATTTCTTCGATTGATTGGTTGGCATACTTAGTACATTCATGAATATGGATACATTTGGTACGAACGTGGATACACTTGTGAGTTTTTGGGTGAACAAAGTGTAGCCTTAGACTAATACAAATAGCGGAAGCCTTTCCGCCTCCGAATGGCCTCCTCAAATGAGATGCCCTCCAGCTTCGCAGCTTCTTCAATCCGCTCGCGCTCTGGTCCGTGCATAAACTCCTCCTCCGCCCGCTCAATCCGTCTGTTGTCTCTGATTAACAGACAGCGAATCACTGGCGACAGACGTGACGTGAGGTGGTAAGTGAGTGCTCGTTTTTTTCAAGGATGAGAATTGAATATTCACCAAAGCTTAGGACGCTTGCCAGCGCGAGTGAGCAGATTGCGATAATCATAGACTGGTGGTATTCTGGACCCCAAATTGACTTCCAAATGTACGAACCAATCCTGGTTAACGACCGCATGTCAGCTCACTTTTTTTTTTATCGCGATGATCCTCGACTCACAGGTTACCCATGTTACCAAAGCCATTGACAAGGCCCATTGCGGCCGAGCGCTTGGCAGGCGGGCGTGGTATCGCATTCGACACCCAGACCAGAGTCAGCGTAAATCCTATCAGAATTTGTTCAACACGCTGACGTCCACGCCAGAACCCCAAGAGTTGCGAGCGTACCAGCATATCCGGAGGTCATTAAAAACAGCGAGAAATACCGTCCACCGGTTGTCATCGTTGATAGTGAAATGATGTACCCGACCATGACGACCCACCACCAGGCCGTCTGGTGGAAAAACCGTTCGCCCGTTCGGTCTGCGCCGCACCAAGACAGTGAGTCGGCACGTTCGACGTTGTACGCGCGGAGCAATATGTGACAAGAACACTTACCGCAGTTCCATGCGTTGATCAAGGTTACGATCGCGGTAAAAATCCAAGGGGGCCTGATCCGGCGGTATTACGTGAGATTTTAGTCGATGAAGAACGATTGGAGAGCTTACGCGGCCATGAGCAGAGTGATGGTCGTGGAGTATCCAAGTGTTGCTGTGAGCCTGTTAATACAGTAGTTAGCGCCCATCCTCTCATCTTCTGAAACTGCTTTACGTAGGGAAGAAGTTAACGAAACTTAGCCCCAGGAGTTGACTGCATGTCATGAACATGAAGATGGGGACTTTAGGGTCCTTTATTGCTAGAATGAAACCTTGGAAAAAGCTGTAAAACGAGTGAGTGGACGTTTTCTGATTGGAAGCGCGGGATAAGGCTCACGATGCATTCTCCTCATCCTGGTCTGCCTCACCGGCATCTTCCGCCAGACGGACCTGGGCTAGGCGCCGCTCGGCTTTGGAGAGCCATCTTGTGTTGTTAGGCTACGAGGGGTAAGCGAGTGACCAAACAAACTCATGAATCGGCGCTCACATAATCTGGCAGTAACCACCTAGGTCGACGTTGAATTAGCTGCGGAGACATTGATGCAGCGAACACGCTTACAGGGCTTGAAACCCGATAAACATCGTGATAGCTCCCTTCAGGTACGGTTTGAGTTACCACCCTGCAACACTTTCGGTTGAATCCGCACCTCGATATAAAACAGCCTTGCAGAAAAAAGAGGTCAGAATAAATCGATAACAAAGAATGAGGTTTGTGTTCTTACCATCTCCACGCCGCGATCCCCAACGTACCCTGCATATTAGCTAGGATGCCTGCGGCAATCAACTTCGCACACGTATGTATGAGTATAATTCGCCTGATCTGAGCCTGGATCACTTACGCTACCGAAAGCATTGGACACCAGCAGACCGACGTATAGCACGGCAGCTCGAAATGCGAGCTCCTTTCTGGTGTACCACCTCGATAGAAGGTACGTCGAGCCGGGGTAGAATGCAGCTTCAGGCAAGCCGATAAAGACGCGACAGATTAAGATGCCAGTGAAACTGTGAGTAACCTTCCCAGATCTATCAGAAACGGACAATGTCTTGAGGAGTAACACGCACCCCCGTCATGGCACTCACGAGGCCCCAGCCTATGACACAACCTCCGATGTAGAGGGATGGTCTAGAGGCGAATGGAAGGGTCAACAATGGCGTAAGAAACTGATTAGCGAAAACATGCCTTGAGACGTAGTTCAGGATCTATTCCGTAGGTCAACTCCGGGACATTGGGTCCACGATTCAGACAGGTGGGACGCACCATGTTGGACGGGATCTGCGCGGGAACATAGGACGCATAAAGGATAGCCACCACCGTGTCATACTGAACGTCTAAGAAAGGGGTATGTATTGAGCCAAAAGTGAAGATGCCTGGTGCACGACATACGCACCTGAGAGTCCCAAATCCTGCTCGAGCCCTTGGAGCCGGGCCGATGTTACGGCCACACGCTGACGCAGCCGTCAGCCGCGAGTCTTGGACTAACAAGTTGAAGGTGTAGACTTACGTCGATGTAGTTGAGCAGGAATATGATGAAGATCGTAGGCATAAGCCGGAGGTCGAGCTTCCTTACGAGCTTCCTCTCCGCCGACGGGCGCACGTTCGGCGCGAGAAGTTGCATATCGTCATCTTCGATCTTCTCCACGTCGACAGCCTTCACTTTCGTGGTTACGTCCTCGTCGAACGAATCTGTCTTCTTCTCCTCTCGAATCGAAGAGTCATGAGGGCTCGCCATCGCCATGGTGTGGTGAATGTTGAGGTCAAGAAAAGAAGAGAGTCCCGCGGGCTCCGACTTGGTGTACACAGGCCTGCAATATAAATGAAGTTCAGCCGCCGAGAGGACGCGCCGCGTGACCCTATCCATTCCACTCTTGTCGCGTACACGTTCAAGCGAGAGGGAGTAGATGTGATCGGTGCCTTTTGGACTGTTTCGTCATCCAACGGGAGTTGATGGTATGTATGTGTGGGATCTTGGCGCTAAGTTCGTGTTAAGTAGGGCGTCCAGCACAAAGTAAGACATTTGGTTTCGGCGGCCGGCACAGTTTTAGACCTACCCTCCGAGCATTAAGACAATACGCCCAGCCCTTGAGTCAAGACATGCGGCGTTGAGGGCGGTCAAAATGGTGATTGGCTCGTACCCCACAAATTCACTGGGGTAACCCGTTACCCCGCATCTTGGCGTGCAGGAGAAAGTTTTGAATCGATCATTCAAGGCCTTTCAAGGCCAACTGAGCGGTCCGGGCGGGAAGGAGACTCTACCTGGTGTAGTCATTCTAAACGTGTTTAGTCCTCTTTGGGAGGAAAAGGCTGGGAAGCGACTTCGTGACCAACGTGAGCTCCACGTATGCCACCTGTTTTGGTTCGTAGGAAGGAGATGCTCCGAGGTTGGCTTCGGTGGCCAAGATGTTGGCTAAAGAATCATGCGGCTGCTTGTACTTACTAGCTATACTTCGCAAACGTTCGCGTCTGGGCTGTCATTCGCGGGTAACTTGAAGCGAGGAACAGGGTGAAGGAACCTTCTTCTTCTCGAATCCATCCATGAGAGAGACACAAGCGATAACCTGCAGGCACAGATATGCATTAATGATGCTAAGTTTATGTTGAAGGAGAAATGCAGAAGTCTCCGAGCTGCGGGACAAACCGTGGAGAAACAGCGGGCCGGCAATGGCCGAGAGCACAGATGCTTGCCCTAAACGAATGAGTCAGCTATTGTTCTCTCGCCCGTCGCCCAAGCTCCAAGCGCTGCGGAGTGGCAGCGAGTCACCCTTTCCTCACTCTCAACCCCTACCACAACACTCTAGCAACACTCTACAACCCCTCTATCGCATCTCTGCAAACCACTATGGTTTACAAACGCAAGACGACCGCCAACCGCAAGCATCACAGGGCGCGAGTTTCTCGCTCTGCCACACCGGCTGTGACTGTATCTTTGGCCAAGCGGGCGAAGAGCACATCTACTCATGGCAAGTCTCGTCGGCAGACGCAGAGGCAGAAGAGGTACAGGCAAGTGAAGCAGCGGCAGTCTCTTCGCGCTCAGCATCAGCACTGGGCCGAGATAGCACGCGACACTCAGAGGATCATTCTCGGAGACGGCAAGTACTTCGAAGAGAAGTCCTACTCTATGTCGTTCGCGTCTACTGCTTCTGCTGCTTCGCCATCCTCAGGTAACTCCGATGGCTCGCTGCTTGCTCCTCGGATGCCGATGGATAGCTCTGTAACTATGGCGGTTGCCCACGATATTGGACCACATATTCTCATCAGCAAACAAGGCACTACCTTCATCCCCCACACCCACCCGTCACTTGCAGATTGGCGCAAATCAAGCTCCCCAGCGTCTCTAGCCAAGTTCACGACGACCATCGACTTCACCCATTCCTCGACTACAGCTGCCGCTCGAGCCTTGCTTTTACAACACCCAGATCTCTGCACGCAGCCCAACCGCGACCTACCCAAGTCCTCGATCGGCGTTCTGTCGTTCGCATCGCCAAAGCGGCCGGGTGGTGGCTGGTTGCACGGCAGCAACGAACAGGAGGAGGCCTTAGCCCGCACAAGTTCTCTTGTTGCTAGCCTGCAGACAGATCATGCTAAAGAGTTCTATAGGACGCATCGCGAGTTCTTGAAGATCGACGGTGCGGGCCTGCACGATCATTCCATGGTGTACAGCCCCGGCGTAGTCGTCTTCCGATCTGACGAGAGCGTCGGTACGTTGTCACCGTGTACTTCGACTCAAACCCGGAACAAATCTCCCAGGAGAAAGAAGAAGTCGCCTTCGCCTGCACCCGCAGCTGCCACTCAACCTCAGGAAGCATCATCGACGACGGTGCCATCCGCCTCGTCAATTTCGCAGAGTACGTTCATACCCCCCTTCGTTGTGAACGTCCTTTCTGCCGTCCCTGTCAACGCAGCGGCGATCAAGCAAACATATTCCATCGACTCTTCGACTGCGTTTGTGTTCGAGGACGGCATCCGCGAGACGATGCGCACGCGCATGGCTCGGTCATTGCGCATCTTCCAAATGCGCGGCGACCGTGCGCTCATCCTCGGTGCATTCGGATGCGGGTCATCGGAGAACCGCGTTGAAGAGGTTGCAGAGCTCTGGGCAGAGCTGCTCGTCACGGGTGAGCGCCCTCGGTCGACAGATGACGAAGCGCCCCGGACACCGCCAGCGGCAGGCGACGACGTTGAAGGTAGACGAGTTTTCGAACGGCACGGGCCCGTATTCAAGGACGTGTTCGAGCACATCGTCTTTGCGGTGCCCGGAAAATTGTTCGAGCCCTTCAAGCGAGCGTTTGAGATGCGCCTTCTCGAGGCGCAGCTCTCGGACGCTATCACCTGTGAGTAGGCGATTCACCATGGACTTTCTCCGTTACTGCTATCTTTGTCTTTACTTGTCTTCACGCTCGGTCTATTGTTGGGTGTACGTGTATTTCTAGGAACAGTCCGCTATTCCAATCTTTTGCTTCCGATGCTCTTAGTATGTACTGTATGCTTCCGTATAATAATATACCACTCCAATCTCTTATCTTTGAAGTCTGACAGCGCTCGGTCGCTCCTGCTTTGTCACGAGGTGATCAACTAAGTTATTCAAGGACGTTTTCACCCAACCCGTGGTTTCTGCTTTACGGCCCTGCATTCGTTGGAGCACCGACTGATCTAGGACCGACATGCTTCCCCGCGTCCTGTTATGTGGTATGTCATCCCCTAACCCTGTCTTGCCACGCTAACAATATTCGACATCTCAGGCAACGTCGAGTTCGCTCTAGATGAACTGAAACACCTACTTGGTGGTATCGCCGACGTCGTTGTGTGTGCTGCTTCTGTTATCTATGTCCGCACCCTGACTCACCTCAGCTACTGACCTTGACAGACCTTATCCTCTTCCACTCGTACCGAGTTCTTTGCAAGCTTTGAGCCCGGAGGACCATACGAGGGGACCGCCGCGATCTTTAGGCGGAATGTATCTGCGCAGCGTATCGGTGTTTTTGACCGCGCCCTGATTATGGGCTTACCGGCAAGCGTGAGGTGGATTGCGCACAGCGGCGTTGGGTATGATCAAATTGACTTGGAGGCTTGTCGGGAGCGAGGTGAGTATCTTAGTTCATCGTTTCCTCCGTTATTTGGCGGTAAAAACTAATGTCTGTACCTACTTAACAGGCATCGGGGTCTCGAACACGCCCGGCGGCGAGTCGACCGCAACGGTTGCTTTGTACCTCATCATCTCGTGCCTTCGGCATTACTCAGCCGCCCAACGTCATCTTCTCTCCCCCGAGCTTGGGTGGCGCGATCCGCAGTATAACTACGCGGCGCGTGCCCACGGCCCTCAAGGGAGAACACTCGCTATTCTTGGCCTGGGCACGATTGGCCTGAGTCTCGCACATTACGCGAGGCCGTTGGGTATGCGCATTGTGTATCATTCGCGATCGAAGAAGGGTGCAGACGAGGTGCCTCCGTGGTGCGAATACGTAGACTCATTGGAAGGATTGCTGAGGGAGGCAGACGTACTGAGCGTGCACGTGCCGCTGAACAACGTGACTCGAGGGATGCTGGGCGAGCGGGAGGTGAGGATGATGAAGAGAGGTTCGGTGCTTGTGAATACGGCGCGTGGAGCGGTCCTAGATGAGGAAGCGGTGATCAGGGCATTGAAGGACGGGCATGTACGTCTCTGTTATGATCTTCCATTGAGATTTTGACGTTAACCCTGGGGCACGCCCCCTGCAGCTCTCGGCCGTTGGGCTCGATGTTTACCCAAATGAGCCAAACATCAACCCCCGGCTACTCGCTTTTCCGCAGGCGGTTCTGCTGCCCCACGTTGGCGGGGAGACCTACGATACGTTGCGCGCGAGGGAAATCAAGGCTATCACGAATCTGAAGGACTTTCTGATCAAAGGACGAGGAGAGGACCTTGTCCCAGAGTTGCGGTCGTGATCATATGTAAGGACCAAATCAAGGTCATTGGCTTTTCTTGCACGAGATAAATGTATCGACGCGTCTAATTTCCTATCATTGATCAGTGGACCCAGTGCGGCGGAATGTACATATGATACGTTCCATTCGAACATTAACAGTCTGCGCATCTACGATACTCCTGCTCTCCCCCACCTTCCCAGTAGCAGGGTACCTCGTGTCGCGTCACCCACAAAAGTTCCACTCGAAATATCAAATGTGACGTCTTGTAAGTCATGCCAGCGCTTCGAGCAGTAAATCGACATCCGGTTCGAGGCTTCGGAGATCTGCGCACGCACTCGACAGGCAACCTCTTGGGCAATCTGATCGATGATTAGAGGCCGCGTGATTTCAGCCTACATGCACATTAGTATGCTCTCAAATATTCTTTTGCGAAGACTGGCCTGAACTGGACACCAATGAGGCCTGAGGCCGAGTTCGCCGTCTACTGTGTAGGTCTAGGTACGTAACAAACAGCCGGATCATTTAGACGCTGAGCTCACTAGTATTCTTTCCTATATTCGAAGCATAGTTCTTGCTGTGCACTTTTACACCTTCCCTTTTTCTTCGGTGTTATGTGCCACATGTTGATCGCCGCGCTCGCGTTTGGCAGGATTGTAGGTGCACTTTCTCGATCAAAGCTGTCTGGACTCATATAACCGTTCGTGGTCCACTCGGGTCTTGAGAGACACTCTTAGTTTCCTCCCCCTTGCAGTCATACTCGTCTCCAACTGAAGTTTCAGTCCCGCTCTCGATTCTTCATTCATCTTCACATCAAAATCTTCGCTTACGATGTCGCATACCGTACTCTGGCCCGGAAAGACCTTCTTCTATCCTATTGGAAACACGTCCCCCGTGTCCTTTACCCAGGATCTACCGACTGGAACATCAGCCGACATCCTGCTGCTCGGGTGTGGAGACCCTAGAAGTATATTGTATACGGTCTACATGAACACAAACGGCTCAAAGCTTGGTGAGGGACTGTCATATCGCCCGATACACTGACATTTCTGATGCAATTCTGTCGTAGGTCGAACTCTTGATTTCACATGTGTTGATCTCGAAGGAGCCATTCTAGGCGAGTCCAACCACAGTCCATGGTTGCATGTATAGCTTGGCTGACCCGACGCTTTAGCACGCAATGTGATTCTACTTACCTTGCTCGGAGAAGAGTCAAAGAAAAGCTGCCTCTGATCTGGAACATCTTCTTCGATTTCTTCATCGACCAGCCCTCCCTATCTCTTCTGCTCGCCCAATGTACGAAGCTTGTCGCAGCGTCAGCATCCCTTGATGAGTGGAAGAGCACCTCGTACAGCCGCTCCATATCTTTCTGTGACGCCAACACGATCTCTGTCGTTCGCGGGTACTGGCAACTCTATCTCAAGAGCGCTACGCTCACAAAGGTCGAGCACAGGCGGTTCAAAGCCTCGACAGCGGAGAGCATCAGGAAGTTCCAGCAGGAGTGGGGTCACGCCGCCAAAAGTCTCAATTACCCGGCTACGCGCTCTGCCGGCCCACTTGCGACCCATGCGATGAACTTCGTGACCAGGGGCTGCCGGCGGTTCTGGGAGACGGGCGTGACAGCATACGATGCCGAGACAGTAGCCAAGGCGCAGCTCGTCAACCCGACCTTTCTGTACTCGGTCTGCGGAGACAAGTTTAACGTCCATCGTCTCTCGTATCCGCTCACTTGCTTCCATCTCGCCGAGCCGTTTGCTACGCTTGACCTGCAGAGCACAAAAGGCTGGTCGCGTGAGCGCGAGGAGAAGTACGAGGATGACCTGCTGCTCAAGATTATCATTCCTACCGCCAAGAAGCAGTTCCTCTCATGGTGCACATCCTTGTCCTCTGTCCTTCAAAACGGCAATTCTACTCCAGCAAGTGGGGCGCCGCCCGCTTCGCCCTTTGTTGTGCGAGTCTTCTGTGGAGATGCGCTCGCTTTCTGCAAGGCCCTACGTCACTTCCGCGATACCAAGTCGCCTAACACACCAATCGTGAGCGCACTTTGGAAGACTACATGTGTTACCTTCGACAGCCAGCCCTCGGATGCGATTCCGCCCCTTCCCACCGCGTTCGACGTCGTTGATACCTCCAACCTCTCAGACCACCTCGGTCTGCTCAACATTCTCACCCACGCCGGCTCACTGTTGCGGCGTCTCTCAAGCTTTGGAGCGCTTTACACCGAAACGCTTCTTCCGGAAGGCAAAGAGGCGCACAACGGCTTACTCGAGCGCGCATGCTGTGATTTGAGCACACTTTCGCTCCTCATTGGGCTTGTTCCGACGACGCTGGTATCCGGATTCACTACCCAATCCAACGTTCACGAGGTACTCATGTACCAAATCATCCGCCATAGCGCTCGAACTGCACCAGAAGACACGGACGTTCGAGAAGTGCTGGAGCAGTACCACGAGCGGCTAGTGTGGCGTCGTCCCATGCCCGGGGACGTGAATGCCCATGTTATCCCTGGTCGCCCGACATTCGCGCACAGTGAACTTGCAGGGGCATTGTTTGGTGTTTACTTGAAGATGTTCGCCGATGAAGACATGAATAACAAGTTCAAGAACTTCTTCTCTTCACCCAAGGAAGCAGTACTCACGGAGATGAAGCACCACATCCACTACGTTCGCCGTTCATTTGCAGAGTTTCTTGACGCTGTACACGGCCAGGTTCTCGGCAGTTCACCCGAGAACCGTGATACATCTTCCAACTCTAGAGCGTACGCCAAGGAAGACTGGACACGTGTCATAAGCGAGCTGCTCGACCTGATCAGCAACGACCGAAAGCTGCTATCAGGTTCCAACTTCTTCCAAGATCTCTGTGGTCATTTACATCTCCTCCGACTGCATACCGCCGACCTCGTTCAACCATCTAAGATTGCGTACCACCGCCAAAGAGCAGCGGCGATGGGTGGCAATGCGTACCGGGGATGGTGTCAAGTCCCGGAAATAGTCTGGGTCGTGCTTACCGTTCCGAGGTCGCTCTTGCGCACAGTCGAAGGCATACTCGACGAGCAAGGAACCCCGATATTGCAGTGCGAGGTATTCGGCGTCCAGGCGTCCAACAATTATCCCTCTATCGGCCTTGCATACGGAAAAGCAGTGGTGGGACAAGTAGGCAGCAATGCGGACAAAAACGACAAGAGGGTGAGCATTGTAGTGGACGAGAAAGGAAGACATGGGACGTCGGACCTCGTGGCTGCATTTCAGGCGCCAGCGTTGGCATTGCTAGTTGAGCCACAGATGTCGGTGGCCCTCGCTGTGCGATCAACCCCACACAGCGCTTCACCAAAGCTCATATCTAAGATCGGAATGCGTCTGCATATATTTGCTAGCCGCGTTGACGACGAGCGGCATGTGCATATTCTCCCTAGCTCGCCATTCTTTACCTCGACAGCTTCAGGTGTACAGGCTGTTGCCGGCCCGATTGCGGACGAGGGCACGGAGCCAAGCCTGCAGAAGGCTGGGACGACGAACGTGGACGTCTCCATAGACAACAAGTGCGATACAGTGTCCTCGATGACCGTTCGGGTTGACGTCGTCGAGGACGGGGCAAAATCTAGCTTGCTACGAGGAGCGTCAGTGACGATGGAGACTACGACAGTGCATACCGTCCGAGTATCTTGGAAAGGACACGTACAAATGCATGTCTTCCCTCTCCCAGTCGATTTCGACCGTGCTAGACTTCGCATCGCCCGCAAGTCATCATACACCGAGGTAAGCACATTTGTCATAAGTATAACGCCAAACGTGACCACTTACACTCATGACTTAGGTAGTAGCACCCATCTCAACGACTGTGATAATGCGCAACGTCAGGTTTCCTGTCTTCTTGACGGGGAAAGGACCTGCACTCTGGAACATGCACCGAGTCGTCTTGGACAAGCTACCGCTCCTCAAACTATCCGGCGCCGTCAGCTCGCGCATAACTGATTGGCTGAATCCACATGTCGTACTGTACTTACGCTGTCCGATGCGGAACGGGGAGTATATCAAGAAAGCCAACAGCCCGAGAACGACGCTCGACGGGCCATGGTCGCCCTAAAACAATCTCTGCATGACATCCTCCTTGGCGCCGCCGGCACTGACGGAAAACTTGCGCCCTGCGTCATAGGGCTCGATCATCCCTCGGTCGGGTGCTATACTCTCATCTTCGTCGCCAGCTTGCGCCTCGACCTTTCCTCGCACACTATCGTCGCAGACTCGTGGGTCGTGCCCCTGAACGAACGTCTGGTGTCACAGCTCGCCTCTGCTCTGGGAGCGATCGTTCCAGATGTCGGCCACTTCACGACCGAGCAAGGCGCGATGGAGCTCTGGAAACATTTGTTGCCCGCGGTCACGGAGCGCTGTCGCACATGGGAGCATAAGCCAGACTGTGAATATCAACGCAACGCAACCATACCCCTGACTTTGGTGGTCGACGAAATTCCAATCTGCTCGTGCGGACGTGGCATAGGAGCTACAGAGGTACCTGCTTTCCGCAAGGGCCCGTGGAGAGCGTTCGCGCCGTATGCCACGAGAGCGGCACTGAGCCCGCTGTTTGCTGTGTCCTATCTCGAGAGTGTGGGTGGACTGGTGATGGATATGAAGCTGGGCGAATCAACCGAAGGCTGTAGCGCTTGTGGTGGACCAGGTAAACCGACGCTATTGATATGCGGCAGATGCAAGACAGCGAGGTACTGTTCGACGGAGTGTCAACACAAAGACTGGAAGAACCACAAGTCGATGTGTAAATGAGGTGGCGTAAACTACAAGTTATTTGTCATTTCTCTACATGTGTAGCTGTCGTTTCGTGACACTTTGTGAATCATGAACATCATTACATGTGATAAGCTAAATAGCCAAAGTGGTCAAGCAACAAAAGTGTATGCGTTCTGCCCGAAGCAAATCTCATCCAACAGTAAGTACAAATAGTTGTAAATAACGCGCTGACGTCGCTCGGGCGTTCTGTAGCCCTCATACTGTCCCTCCCTTCGAATCGGCGCACACTGACCTATGCTCCTTTCAACCCTTCCACTGGACCTTCGCGGAACAGAATCCGTAGATCATCACTCCCTGCAACTTGGAGCGTTAGTTCCCTTTTGCTTCGGCATGTAGTGCAAAGCTGACACCATCCGACGGTATCGCGTCCACTTTTCCGTCCCCGAAGGCGCTGACTCTGTGTGTCTCTAGATAAGGTGTTGGAAAGAGCAAATAAGGGCTTCGAGCGCTTGCGGGTACGGTTCGTGGGGTGCTTCTGGACGAGGAAGCAGTGATCAGATCGCTGAAGGATGGAGATGCGTATTTCTCGACGATCTTTCATTTAACTTCTGATTCTGATTTCGAGCTTCGCATCGTGAAGCTCTCGGATCCGACCTCTACAACCAACGAGATTAACGTCAACCAACGACTACACCAAGTCCCGCAGCCAATTTTGCGTCCGCAAGTCTACGGGAAGGCCTATGACACGTTGACGCGGGTGAATTGAGGGACTTTCGAATGAAATGTCGGGGGATTGTCTTGTTTTCGAGCTGCGGTCGTAATGCACGTGTAAAGAGGCTAAATCGAAGGCCGAACCCACCCTGCTGATTTCGACGGTCCCCATGCAGTAAGCGTCTCGTCGCAATGACAGTGTGTTACCGTTCTTGGTGAGGTTGCTTATAGGGCGCTTCTTCTGGATCTAGGCCCGACTTGTGCTTCTAATACGCCTATCGCTGGATACCCTCATGCTTGTTTCAGCGCATATAGCGCGCCACCTAACGCCCGTGTTTCGACCACGGCACGTCACTAAAGGAAGGATGCAATATCGAAGCTTACACTTCGACTGTAAGTAAAGCTGTATGGGCCCACGCTGGTAAGGAAAGCCACAACATAACTTCCAGCTTCCTACACTGGCTTTTCGGCTAAATGATGCAGAAAGGATATGTTCCGCCTGTGTCCTCATGAATATTAACACCTGTACAATCCTACAGACCATAAGACAACACCAAGATGCGGAAGACAGTAGACAAATTTAGACGCTGAGCGGCGCGGTATTCTCTCCTACTTCTCGAAGTGCCGTTTTGGCTGTGCACCTTTACGTGCTTCCTCTGTCGTCTCTCCTGCGTCCAGACATTGATTGCCGCGGCCAGTTTTGGAAGAACTGCGGGATCGGTTTCCCGATTGAAGGTTGAACCGCCGATCCACTCAGTCTATATAACCATCTGCCCTCCCCTCGCGTACAAGCGGACTTTCGTTCCCGTCGCTCGCTCTCTTCTCCGTTTAACCCGAGTCCACCGTATTCTCTCAAACTCATCTTTGCCTCCTCGACGAGTACCTGCGATCAAGATGTCGCATACTATACATTGGCCAGGAAAAACCTTTTTCTATCCCATTGGCAATACGTCGCCCGTTTCTCTCACTCAAGATCTACCAGTTGGTACCCCAGACAACATATTGTTACTCGGATGCGGAGATCCCAGAAGCATCTTGCACACGGTTCATATGAGCGCAAATGGATCTCACCTTGGTGAGGCCAGGGCTCGCTACGTCTTGGTTCTTTGGCGAGTTTTCTGACGCGTCACACCGTAGATCGAAGCCTTGACTTCACATGTGTCGATGTTGAAGGAGCCGTTCTAGGTACGTCCAATTTTCGGGCCATAGTCGCTAACACAACTCAGCTAACTCCACGCTGTAGCACGTAATGTGGTCTTGGTAACCTTACTAGGAGAACAGACCAACATCGAGGAAAAACTCCCTCTGATGTGGAACATTTTCTTCGATTTCCTCATCGACCAATCCTCTCTGTCTCTTCTCGTAACCCACTGTGCTAAGCTACTTGCCACATCAGCATCCCTCGAAGACTGGAAACGCTCCTCTTACAGCCGTCACGTCTCATTCTGCGATGCCAACACGCTCTCGGTTGTCCGCAAATACTGGCGGCTTTATCTCAGGAGCGCCACCCTCACGAAGACCGAGCGAGTGCAGTTCAAAGTCATGACAATCTCGGGCATGAAGACCATCCAGGGGGAGCGAATTCCCACCGCCCCCCCAAACCTCAACTACTGGGCGGCGCGGTCTGCCGGGCCTCTGGCGCCGCACGTCGTGCGCATTGTGACTAGGGGGTTTCGTCGATTCTGGGAGACGGGCGTGACGGCGTACGATGCTGAGACGGTAGCCACGGCGCAGCTTGTTAATCCGACGTTTGTGCACTCCATGTCTGGCGACAAGTTTAGCGTTCATCATCTCTCCTACCCGCTCACGTCCTTCCATCTTTCTGATAGTTTCATCTCTGTTGACCTGCAGAACACCGACAGGTGGTCAAGGGTGCGGGCGGAGAAGTACGAGGATGACCTGATGCTGAACGTTGTTATCCCTGCCGCGCGGAGACAGTTCTCCCTGTGGTGCACGTCCTTGTTCGCTATCTTGCGTAGGAGCAGTGACACTATATCTACGACGGGAGGAGCTCCTTCCTCTGTTCAATTCGTCGTGCGACTCTTCTGCGGAGACGCGCTCTCTTTCTGCAAGGCCCTGCGCTATTATTGCGATACCAAATCAGCTACGACACCATTTCTGACCGCGCCTTGGAAGACCACTTGTATCACCTTTGACAGCCAGTCCTCTACCGCACTTCAGCCCCTTCCCACCGCATTTGACGTCGTCGACACCTCCAATCTCTCCGACGACCTCGGTCTACTCAACATTCTTGTCCATGCCGGTTCACTGTTGCAACGCGCCTCACGCTTCGGTGTGCTCTATACCGAGACTCTACTTCCAGAAGGCCAAGATGTGCCCAAAGGTTTGCTCAAGTACACTTGCTGTGACCTGGGTACACTGTCTCTCTTGCTTGGGCTCGTTCCGACGGCGTTTGTGTCGGGATTCACCACGCACTCCAATCTTTACGAGGTGTCTGTGTGCCAAACTCTTCGTCACGCCACCGACAGCCGGGAAAAACTCTTCGATCGACGAGAAATGTTGGAGCAGTACCACGAGCGGCTAGTGTGGCGCCGTCCCATGCCTGGGGACGTGAAGGCTGAGTTTGTACCTGGTCGCTCGGTGTTTGCGCACGGAGAGCTGGCAAGGGCTTTCTACCACATTTACTTGAAGATGTTCGCAGACGAAGACATGAGCGCCAAGTACAAGGACTTTTGGTCATCCTATACAGGGGCGTTCACGGTAATGACTCACCGCATCCATTACGTCCGTCGCACATTTGCAGAGCTCCTTGATGCGGTCCGTGAACATGTATTCAGCGTCGCAAGGAGTGACCACAGCACAGATGCTAGCTCAAGAGCGCACGCCACGGCAGATTGGACGCGCGTCATGCGCGAGCTGATCGAGCTTATCAAAACAGATCGAACGCTGTTCACTGTGACAGGTTCGAACTACCTCCAAGATCTCTGCTGTCACCTACATCTTCTCGGGGTGCATACCGTTGACTGGATCGAACCCTCCGAGGTCGCATACAAAATTCGAACGGGAATGGGCGGTGACGTGTATCGTGATTGGCGTATCATTCCAGTAACAGTATGGATTGTGCTTACCGTGCCGAGGTCGCACCTGCGCGCAATCGAAGGCGAACTTGACAAGCAGGGTGCCCCTATTTTGCAGTGCGAGGTCTTTGGCCGCATGGCGTCCCACACTTTTCCATCTATTGACGTCACGTTCGGGAAGGTGGTTGTGGCGGAGGCTGCTGACACGACCGACAAGGGCGACAAGACGGTGCTGATTGTTGAGGACGAGAAGGGGAGAGGCGGATCGTCGGACATCGTAGCTGCGTTCCAGGCACCGGCGTCAATACTGACGGTCGAGCCGCAGATGTCTGTGGCGCTTGTTGTGCGCTCGACGCCGCACAGCTCTACGCCAACGCTCATCTCCAAAATCGGGTTTCTACAGCGGATCTTTTCCGGTCGGGTCGACGACGAGCGACATGTACACGTTCTCAGGAGCTCTCCATTCACTACCTCGTCATTGACAGACGGACAGTCTGTTACTAGCTCTGGCGCTGCTGACAGAAAAGAGACAAACCCGCGGGAAACTGACTCGAGCGTCAACATCTCGATGAACCACAAGCACGAGGAAGTATCCTCATTAACCGCTCGAGTGGACGTCGTCGAGAACGGTGCAAGGTCCAGCCTGGCACAGGGAGCGTCTGTAGTGATGGAGCCTGCGACGCCATGTAGCGTCCATGTCTCTTGGAAAGGGCACGCACAAGTGCACGTCTTCCCTCTTCCGGTTGATTTTGATCGCGCTAGGCTTCGTATTGCCCGAAAGTCATCCTACATCGAGGTGAGCATATTGCGCACTATTAAGGGGTTAAATACAACGCTTACGCTGCCTGATTAGGTTTTGGCACCTGTCTCGACAACGGTGACAACTCGGAATATGAGGTTTCCTGTCTTCTTGACGGAGCAAGGGCATGCACTCTGGAACGTGCACCGAGTCGTCTTGGACAAGTTGCCTAGCCTCAAGCCGTCTGGTGCTGTTCGTTCGCGCATAGCCCAGTGGCTAAATCCTCACGTTGACTTCGGACTGTCCGACCCGGGACGTGGAGTCTCTAAAGGACAGCAACAGCCCGAGAGCGGCGTTCGCAAGTCCACGATCACCCTGAAGCAAACTTTGCACGACATCCTACTAGGTGCGGCAGGCATCCGCGGCCCGGCTGCGCCGTGTGTCAAGGGACTTGACTGTCCCGATTTTGGGTGCTACATGCTCATTTTCATCTCCGAGTTGCGCCTTGACCCCGCCTCGCACACCGTAGTCGCGGATTCGTGGGTCGTTCCCCTGAACGGCGACATAACGTCGCATTTTGCTCCTGCACTCAGAGCGCTCTCTCCGGATATCGATCGCATCGTAACCGAGCCGGGAACAATGGAGCTCTGGAAGCATCTGCTGCCCGCGGTCACAGAGCGCTGTCGCACCTGGACGCACCACGCTGAGTGCGAATATCAGCAAAGCGCGGCCATACCTCTGACTCTGAAGGTCGACGGGATCCCAATCTGTTCGTGCGGGCGCGGCATGGGAACGGCTGAGGTGTCCTCTTTCTGCAGTGGACCTTGGAAAGCATTCGCGCCTTACGCCACCAGAGCGGCGTTGAGTCCGCTGTTTTCCGTGTCGTATCTGGAGAATGAAGGCAGGATGCTGAGGGATGAAAAGTTGGACAGCTCACCTCTCTGTGCTGCTTGTGGCGGACCGGGTAGACCGTCATTGCTGATGTGCGGCAGATGCAGGACGACAACGTACTGTTCGATGGAGTGTCAGCGCAAAGATTGGAAGAGCCACAAGGCGGCGTGTAAATAAGCTGACATTAGGAGATATACTTCTCATGTTTTCACCTGTATATTTTACTGGCTCAAAGTATCTTGTTCCTCACACTCAAGGGTTGCATGTATGTGTGGTGCGAGTCGTTAGCTGAGCAATGGTATTAGTCGAGAGAGAAAGGTGCGAGCATTGCGTCTGATGAATCTGTGTCAATATCAGATGAATAGCTGCAGATAGCACGTTGCCGACGCGTACGGTCGCTGATCATGCCAACGCAATAGCAAGGCATAATCGTACCCCGACCGTCAAGCTATGACGATTCGACGATGCGATATCCTATTGCAAAAACTACAACTATTCACAACTTTACATGTCAAAAATTAGCACCAAGATACAGCACTCAAGCCCTCTTTCCCTTCAAACCGGCACACACCAACTTATGCCTCTTCCAGTCCTTCCTCTGACACTCTGCAGAACAATACTTCATGAACCTACACTTACTGCACACCTGCAGTGAAGCCTCTACCCTCCCCCCGCTCCCACACGCAGCGCAGAAGCATACATCGTCATGTATCGTGTCCGCCTTTCTGCTCTCTCCGAAGGCGCTAATCCTAAGCGTCTCCAGGTAAAGCACCGGAAAGAGCGGGCCGAGCGCCGCGCGCGTCACAAACGGCGCGAACGCTTTCCACCGCTGGCGGAACGGGAGCTCGCTCGAGGTCCCAACGCCGCGGCCGCACGAGCAGATCGGGTCCGCACCGCTGTCTAGGTTGGTCAGGGGGACAGTGCCCTTGGCTCTGTACTCGCAGTTCTCATTGTGCGCCCATGTGCGGCACCGCTCGGTCGCCGCCGGCAAGAGGTGCTTCAGCATGTCTCGCGCGTCCGACGCGAGCTCGACGAGCTCTTTTGCCAGGCTGTGCAGCGCGCGGTCCGGCAGCCGCTGAGCGATGGCGGGCGTCAATGTGAGCACCCACGCGTCCGCGACGACGGCGTGCGAGGTGAGGTCGAGCCGCAGGCCGGTGACGAAGATGAGCGTGGAGCAGGCGTCGTCCCAGGGGTTTCCGACGCACAAGGCGACTGGCGCGTGGTGGCCATTCTCGCCGCACGATGCGCTCATGATCCAGTAGAGCAGCTGCTTCAAGTCGAGCAGCGGCCTGTCCGCGATGTCGTTGGCTGCCTGCTTGCGGATTAGGACTGTGAAGTCTCGAGAAAGCGTGTATGAGTTGCCGATATGAGGTATGACCCATCGCGAGACCCGATCGTCGTTGGGGAGATCGAGGAGAGGAAGGCTGTCTAGATCGACGCGGGGGATGTTCCAGAGTGCGGGCCCTTTGTTTGTTAGGAAAACGGGGAACTTTGCGCCGTGGGTCCGCATCGCCGTTGCAACGGGTGCGACGACCTGAATTGTACAGCGTGAAATCTAGTAAGTATGCGGATAACCTGTTACTAAGACAAGTGCTCACCTCGAGATAAGATGACTTGCGTGCGATACGGAGCTTTGTATTTTCGAAGTCAACTGGGAGAGGAAAAGCATGGACTTGAGTATGTCCATGCCAGGTGACACGCACAGCGCAAGTAGAAATAAGGATCATTGCGACCGAGGCTCCTTCCGCCAAAGCTTTCTTCGCGCCCGTGTCAACAACATCCACTCGCGCTGCCATCGAAGCGACCTTCTCGCGCTTTGCGTCAGTCTTAACGCCAATGCTTCCCATTCGCCTTGATCTCCGCCCCGACTCCTTGCCTGCGCGTTCTCTCGTGCCAGAGACGCATCGCCCCATCGCGCTCGGTCCAGCGCTCGATGCCCCGTGAGTAAACGGTGACCGGGCAACGATATGAACGTGTCGGGCGTCCTCAATCGCGCTGTCGAAGACATGCAGCCGCCACCCGAGCACAGGCCGCGCGCTCTCCGAATACGGCGTCGCGCGCAGTGCGAGCGCCGCGTGCAACCCACGCTCCGCCATCAACACCGACACCGGCACCTCGAAAGCAATAACCAGGCCTGCTGCTCTCTCCCGCGCTCCGACAACTCGCACGCTTTTCCCGCCGAACTCGCTGTCGTGGTACTCGTCAACGGCCGTCCCATACGCGATATTGAAAGAAGGGAAGATATGGTGCGTCGTCGGCCCGCAGATCTCGCACTGCAGCGGAGGCGTCCCGAGCTCGTCGAGCAGGGGCACAGACTTTGAGAAGCGGTGCCATGGGACAACAAGCACGACGGACACTGTCGCGGGGACGGTGCGCCAGCCGCGGAACACGGCGCCACGGATGTGCCGCTGTGAATCGATATCGTCGGGCTCTAGGAAATCGGCGGTGTGCAGCCCGAGAAGATGCAGCTGGCCGCAGAGATCCTGGAAGATGTAGTGGCTGATGAGCATGGTCCGGTCCTTGCGCAGAAGATCGAACAGGGTGCTCATCATACGACTCCACTCGGCGCTGGGCACGGCGTCCCCGTCAGCGCCACATTTACCGGTGCAAGGGAAGAGCTGGTCGCGAACGGCCACAAGCAGCTCGGCGAACGAGCGCCGCGTGTAGTGCGTATAAGTAGACGCGTGCGTCTGGTCGTCGGGGAGCGATATGTCGCCGTAGTGCCCGTGCACGCTCTGTGTAACGCACGCGCTCATATTCTCGTCGGCGAACATCCTAAGATAGATCCCGTGTAGAACGCCCGCGAGCTCCTCGGGCACGAACGAGACGCTCCCTGGCGTGGATAGCCACAGGCCATCGGACTCGGTCTTGACGATGGCGCACGCGGGCATAGGGCGACGCCAGAGGAGACGCTCGTGATACTGCATCAACAGTTGCCAGTTCATGATGCTATGCACGCAAACCTCAAATCCGTTGGCATACGTCGTGAACCCCGACACGAAAGACGTGGGCGCGAGGCCAAGTAAAAGGGACAGTACGCCGAGATCGCAGCATGCGCGGTCGAGAAGACCTCTAACTGCAGACTCGGTATCCTTGTTGCCACGTTGAGGAATGAGTGTCTCGGTGTATAAAGCGGAGAAAGGAGAGCGCTTGAGTAGCGGGTTGACGTGAGTGAGGATGTTCAGGAGCCCAAGATGGTCGGTGAGGTTGGACGTGTCGATAACGTCGAACGAAGTTGGTAGAGACGAGTGAGAGGAAGACAACGGTGATGGAGAGGACAGGTTGATGCACGAGCTGCTCCAAGGAGCTGTCACAAAAGGCGTTTCCAGCACGTTTGTATCACGGTAGACCCGTAAAGCTTTGCAGAACGCGAGCGCTTCTCCGTGGAAGAGCCGCATGGTCACCGGAGGCACATAGGACGGAGTGGCGACATGATATTCTTCCTGCCGGAGGACGTTGGCGAAGGTTGTGCACCATGCATAGAACTGCTTCTTCGCATCAGGGATCACCTCGTTCAGCAGGAGATTGTCCTGCAGATCATCGTCCACCAAGTCCAACTTCTCAGGGTGCACGAGCCGAAATATGGCAAAAGACTCGGCAAGGAAAAAGCAAGTGAGAGGGTACGTGCCCTTGTTGACCTTGAACCTGTCGCCCATGCGGGAATAAACGAACGTAGGGTTGACATACTGCGCACGAGCGAGTGTATCCTTGTCGTAAGATGCGACACCAGTGGCCCAGAAACGCTGGAAGCCGCGAATGAGGGCGAACATCGCCAACGGACCAAGGGGTCCGGCTGAGCGAATCGGGGAGTAGGAGAAATGTCTGGGATCAGCTATGGTCTCTTTCATCACGGAGACGAACGTGGCTTTGGAGCGCTTGTGTTCTTGTTCTGTGGACGTAGAACTCTGGAGGTAGAGCTGCCAGAATCCGCGGAGGGTTGCAAGCGTGTTGACGTCACAGAACGATATGAAGCGATGATAGGGAGAAGCGATCCAGGCATCCATCGACTTTGAAATATCGAGCAGTCGCTGGCAATGAGCGAACAGAAGCGAGAGGGAAGGTTTATCAAGGAAGAAATCGAAGAATATGTTCCAGATGAGTGGAAGATTGTCGTGGACATCGTCTTGGGCGAGGAGCGTGAGTAAGATTACGTTTCGTGCTAAAATGCTAGTCAGTACAGCGAGAGTAGGGTGAAATGTCGGTAAGATTACCAAGGACGGCGCCTTCATGGTCGCAACAGGTGAAGTCGAGGGTGCGGTCTAGAGGAAGAGGTGGTCACGCCTACAGCGTCGAAGAGCTTTACTAAAACTTACTGGCTTGAGCGTTCTGTCGGTCGGAGTGTACTGTGTACAGAATGCTCATAGGGTCGCCGCATCCAAGTAGGAGCACATCGGCGGGCTCATCTTGGATAAGGTCCTGAGTGTATAGGACAGGTGCGACATTGCCGTAGGGGTAAAAGAACGTCTGGTCAGGCCACAGCAAAGGATGCGACATCAATGTCTCGGTGGGGTGTGAGGAAGCAGAGACCCGGGATGGTCAACAGCCCGAGGCAGGTGTTGGGCGCGCTCTTGGAAGACTATATACTCCTTTTTCGTGGCTTCGATTCGTTAGACAGAAGCTTACGAAGAAGCCGCTGTAAATAGCTTGGAAAGAAGAGATAAACTCTGTGCGCTGTCGAACCCTTTGAAAAAAGGACGGCGCCAAGTTCAACACATCATCACCATGACGTTGAAAGACTACCGCAGAATCTGCAGCATGTGACAGGACACTCAAGGTCGGTGGGATAAAAGGCGTGAACACTCACTCCAGCTGTTACGCGTCCGTGTCACTCATGTGCCCCACCGTCTCCCACTCTTACAGAAGCGGAAGTATCCTCTCGCAAAACTGCCTTCTGGGATTCTTTATTAGCTCAAGAGCAATGTGACAGATAGAAGGGAGCGCGTTCGAAGGAAGCAACATGATCGATCGTCGCAGAGAGCGACCATCGATGTCATCGCACTGGCCGGGTATACATCGTGTTCTGATCATTGTGAGGCGTTTGTGTTTCAATAGTTACACACTTAAGCTTGAGCTAGTGAGCGTCTGAGCAGCGGACGATCGATGAAGTTTACATGCAGAAAGAAACGACATCAACTCGCCACAATACAAAGAGTTGTAAACAAGAGTGCGCGCCTTCGTTTGCTCTTCACGAGTCTCCACCGGAACCTTCTGCTTGCATCATAAAGTTGCATGATTCTACCTCAGGCCAGCGAAACGAGCTCTTGCAATGGGCATTTCTACAGTCAATGATGCATCCCAATGACCAAGACTTCGCAATGAACTGGACACGCTTGCCTACGCTTGCCCCTTGGCATCGGAGGTCGGGCATGGATCTCCGAAGATTCCGAGGGGAAGGTTCGACGACAACGCGGATCAGACCTTGCCCTCGTCGGCGACTTGCTTGTTCCTCAATTGGCTACATTCTTGCTGCTCAGAGAAGGGACCAGTGTTTCGGATTTTCCATCGCCCGGCTTGCTTTACTATAAGTTCTCCCACTTGGACGTCAAACACGCGTGCATGTTATCTCATAAACTGACCTCGAGGCCCCTGCAGCAAGACGAAAAGTTTTCTGGGTCTAACCGTCGGTCAGCTGGTGGATCTGAGAAGCACCGACGACCACCAAATGCCTTGATGATAATATGATCCCCGTTCACTGTGACGGTCCACCAATGATAGGTTTCTCACCATCAGCGCGCGCTATCACCGGCTCGCTGTCCGACGAGCCGGACCCATACCAACCCCACGCTCCCCTCCTTCCCTTTCCTCTGGTTCTTTGCCTGCTTGCAGCCCACGAGCCAAGGCGATTATGTGATGTTCCACGCCGAATATCAGGTATGAGCCTCGCAGTACCGCTGCACATACAGTAAGCAGAGGCACTACAGCAGGCAATGCCGCCTCCGGGGCTTCTTGTTCTCCTTCCCGCAATATTTCCCGCAGTTCGGCTAGCTGTTTGCCTGCTGGTGGGGGCATCAGGTACACGCGCCCTCTGTACTGCAGCACCTCCGTCGCTCTTCTGTCCCGAGCAGCGACGACCATTTTCTTACTCGACGTACTCGACATCTCTACCGACCGCCCGGCGATACCGGGTCGAGCACCTCCACACGCACCAGGATACATTGAGCTACTCGCACGCAAGTGATGACCAATGATCTCTCCTCGCCGCTCGCGAGTGGGGCCTGGAGCGGAAGCAGGAATGCGAACGGGAATGCGACGACGCTGACGGTGTGGAACGACGAGGCAGACATGGACTACGTCGCTGTCATGCAGAACCTGGACGTGAGTGTATGCTACATCAATCCACGGCTCCCCTATTCTTAGCCCGGAATGTCGTCGAGGCTAACTTCTGACTCTCCTTGCTTACGGGCTTGCGGTTGCATAGTATGCCTTTGGTGAGTATCTACTTTCGAGGTCGACTTGTGTGTTAACGCTGATGTGACTCTTTCATGAAGTCGCTACTGCAACAGTCTACGTGAGCCTTGGCATCATGCTACGAAATCCTGATACTCAACGTCCCGATACCCAGGTCTTTGACTACATCCTCACGTTTCAGGACGAGGTGCGACCCACCCTTGCCTCCGTATGTCGTTCTGGTCGCATCGATCCTGACAATCTTTCGTAGCTCTCATTCCTGCGAGACGCAAAGCTCACGCGCGTCAAGGTGCTCTACCTCCTCTGTAAATACCCAACATTCATAGCGCTGGGATGCAGCACCTACTGTGAGCACTTGCCATATCCTTTGCTTCCAACTCGCAGTATCTGACCTGACAACTTGCAGTTGCTATGGATCGGGATCTTGACGTGAGCACTCCTGCCATATACTTTTGACTTAGCACGAGGGCGTAGTGCTTACAATCGACGCAGTCCTGTTCACTCCTTTATGACATCTTCTCGTGTACGCCTCTCCCTCCATTTCTCTCTCTCTTTCATCCTTGACGCCAATCCCATGATCAGGGCTCGACGCTTTCACACTCGTAGTCGCCGAATGTACGTGCGCAGCCACTATCTCAAACCGTCGGCCCACCCGTTCCTTACCTTTCGTGCGCTGCTCTAGACCTGCTCATACTGCGCGTCTGGGCGCTCTGGCGGTCTAACAGATTCATTCTGATTACGATGGGCACTATATGGGTCGTGAGTCTTCCTCCCTCCCTCCACAAGCACTCCGTGGTGATGCTAGAGCACGGACAGGCCATGGCGATATCGCTCATCACCGCGCAGATATGGGTCAGCGTCGACGGAACCAGTGCGTATCCCCTCCTATCTACCACTGTTGTTCACATACGCACAATACTGATACTGATACTGGGCAGTCGTGACATCCGCCTCCGCCAAAACGGGCCTCACGGGGTGCTTCACGAACAACAGGCAGAGCAGCATCCACTCCATCTCCGGTGTCCTCGCCGCCGTCAACGAGATCCGTGCGTCTCCCCTTACATGCCGTGTTCGTTTACGCTACAACACTCACGCGCGTGTACACCGTTTCGTCCGTGCAGAAGGCCTCGTCTACACAGCCTACGCCGCATACCGCTTCTTCCTCTCCTCCGGCGGCCTGCGCAGCTCCCTAAGTCTAACCGGCGGCATTGGCAGTGGCAACAGCGGCAACGGCAATGGAGGCGTCGGCATGCGCCAGAGCCTCGCGATGCGCGTGCGCAGCGCAAGCCAGTCGAGAGCAGCGAGAGCGCGGAGCAACAGCAGGATTGTCCTCGGCGGCGGCGGCGGTGGAGGAGGAGGAGGCAACAGTGACGGAGGGGACGACGAGGAGCACCATTTTTTCCTGCAGAGTCCGCTCGTGAGCGCGCTGGTGCAGCATAATGTGTTTTACTACGCGTGTGCGCTTGGTGCGTGGTTGTTTCCCGTTCCTTGTGGTGTCTGTGTTGGTTCGAGCCTTTCGTGGTGTGCTGACGCGCGTGTCTGGTATCGTAATAGCGTTCACGGCGACGGCTGCTGTGCTCATGGCGAAGTACCCTGTGCGTCTAATTCTCTCTCCCTCCCTTCCCTCCCTTCCCTCTTTAGCGACAGACCGACACTGACAGCGCTATCCTCCACGCAGGCAATATACTCCGTCACATTCTCAAAGTAAGCCACCCACCTGTGATGTATGAACGAAGCGGCATATGATTATCTAACGCCCGCGAAACAGCCTCCAAGTGACCGTGAACGTGATGCTCGTGACGCGGATGCACCTCGAGCTGTGGAAGACGGACCGGACGCAGTGCAGCATCGACACGTTCTCCTGCGGGAGCACGTACGTCGAGCTCGAGTTTGCGCGCGAGGCTTGCGCTTGATCACGCACTGACCGCTCGAGGACCGAAAGACTGGAGGAACGGTGACGGCGACGGTGCCGATGGACATCCGCGCGCGAAAAGCAGAGAAACAAAGAATACGACACTCGTTTGGATTTTAACATCACAATGCACTGTGGAGAACCGGTGTATGAGCGGACGATAGATGGAAGGAACGATACCGCATTTTGCTGCATACATACCCACCACATACTTGCTTACAACTTACAATTACTTAGCTACATGAACTTTCATACCATATATACCACATCACAGCATTAGCCACTCTATGCTTCTCGTAATTAGCGTCGTAGGACGCCGCAGCCGCCAATAAACACAACCACCCTGGACAACGAAATTGACAGCGCCCCCCAAAGCGAGACAGAATCGTCGTTGGATGTGACCATGAACGACGATAGATTATGTATATGTACGCACAGCCCACGAAAGACAGTCAGCCTGAAGAATATGATTGACGGGAGCGCAAGTGTTCCCCTCGCAAAAGATGATAACAAAACATACGCCATAACACGAAAACATTTAACCCCATACCGCGCTTAGTCTACCTCCATTCCACCTTCAGCGCCGCCCCTCCGACCACGGCGGCCTCCGCCACCCCTCCGGCCACGACCGCGCCCGCGTCCCCGTCCGCCGCCCTGCTGCTGTTGGTACATTTTCGGGTCTGCGCCAGGCGGGACCACCTGCACAGACGCGCGCGGGTCGGAGGTGAGGATCGAGTCCGAGCGCATTTTGCTGTACATCGTTCAATCAGCATCCACATCTCCTCTCAACGAAGCAAAGCAACGCAAAGAACACATACGATCCACCGTTATCCCCATCCATCAACGCGTCCACGCTTCCGCTCTCCGCAAGATCGCCGACAAGCCCACCGAGCCGTCCGCCGAGCGAGGCGCTCGCGCCGCCAACGACGGCGACCTTGAGCGTGCGCCCGTCCGCGGGCTGCCCGTTGAACTTCGCCACGGCGTCCTGCGCGGCTGCGGCGGTCTTGAACTTGAGGCGCACCGCGATGCCATCCTTGTCCACCGCGGGGTGCGGTGCGAACGACGAGGAGAGGATGGCGCCGCAGCGCTTGAAGATCGCCTACGTATCCGCATCAGCACCCACTCCGCCTTGACGAATGGGGAAGGAGCTACGCGCACCTCGACATCAGCAGGCGTCGTCCCCTTGACCAGCCCCTCGACATGCACGACGTTCCCGAGGTTGCTCGCGCCCTTGATGCTCAGCCCCGACGAGCCAGAGCCGTTCGCTGAGGCGCCCCCGCCGCCGGTGGCCTCCTGGAGGTATCGCTCGGCGAGGCGCGCGTCGGGCCTGCGCGGGACGGCGCCGCCCGCGGAGAGCCGGGTGGAGAGCGCGCGCGGCTTGTCGGCGTCTTCGTACATGTCGTGCTTCCAGTCGTCTTCTGGGTTGCCTTTAGGCGGGCGGGCCTGTTGCGTTGTCGTTGCATTGCATTGCATTGCGTTGGTGCGGTGCGCAGGTCGTGTCGTGAATTGCACACGGAGGCAAAGTCCGTGCCATCAAGCGACGTTCAAAGGGCACAGCATAACACGAATGAGACACCGTTGGTAATTAGGAAGGTGAGAGGGAGGAAGGAGTCGTTATTCATTTTTTTCGGTCTTGCAGGACAATGGGTCGACTACGCACATACGGCGAGGCGCGGTCGTGGCGTTTGGCGCGGGTTGGGCCCCCTGAGGAGGCGCTGTCGGGTGCCACATCCAAACGTTCGAGAAGAGACGCCATGACGATGAAAAGAGGGAAGACGAAGAGAGAAAGGGTGGAGGACGCGGTGGATGCTAGGGGGAGGAGCGAGAGGAGGCTGCCTGTGTCGGAAGCTGTGTGGACACGCGCGCGAACGCGGTTATTTGCTTCTATTTGTCATCTGTGGCTGAGCGGAAATTCGGCGGACGCGTTGTTCCCTGAGTTAGCTTAAGCTTGTCTAGTGCTCGAATAAGAGCAGCGCTTCTTCCTTATCTGCAGCGTTGTCGAAATCTTGTCTACATAAAAAGCCAAAGAGAGCGGGAGCTATACGATATAGCAAGCTCCCTCCATCATCGAACATTTTTTCTTGACTGACTCGCCTGGAGCTCAGATCCAACGATGACGCAGACGTCTACATCTACCATTATCCGTCCTCAGCTAGTCAGACTCGATCGGATACAACTGGTAACTGAAAGAGACTCTGCAGGAAGCGCCTGGGTCACCAAGATTAGTTGGCTTCTTTCTTGCGTCACAGTTTGGCAGCGCCTCTCCCTTTTCTAGCTCACAGGGAAGTCCCATTTCCAGGCCTAGACGAGCAACCTGGATCGAAGCAGAACAAAAACATATATAATCGCCGTCGATATTTCGATGTCTCTCCCTCCCCTTCCCCGCCTCTTCAAGCCCACCAGTCTCTGGCATCAATGTCACATCCTCTCCGCTGGCCTTCTGATTCCATGTTCCGCCCCTATGGCGATTCTCCACCCGTTTCATACACGCAGCACCTCGCCGATTCCGAGTCCGCCAATATCCTGTTGCTTGGATGCGGCGATCCCCTGGGCATCCTGTACACAGTTCATACTGAAACCATGGGCAAGTCCTGCACGTTCAATTGATCTGACGAACCGAGCTTACTCTTCATTCAGACCGAGCTCTCGACTTTACTTGCTGCGACATCGAAGCCGGTGTCTTGGGTACGTTCGGCCAAAAATATAGCAGCCTTTACCGCCACATAGTTAACGTCATTGTCACCCAGCGCGCAACACCATCCTATTCACGCTCCTCTCAGAAGGAAAAGAGGAAGCGGCTTTGAAACCTACTCTCGACTTGCTCTGGAACACCTTCTTCGACATCTTCATCGACAAGTTCTCTTTCGCGCTCCTCTTTGTCCACGTCCGGAACCTCCTGGAAGCATCCAGGTCAATGGATGCCTGGAAAGCCTCCCCGTACCATCGCTATATCTCATTTTGCGACCACGACACCCTTACAGCCGTCCACCAATGCTGGAAGATGTACGACATGTGCGCGGGTCTCAACGACACGCGCTCCAAGGCTGCCATCTCTAATCACATGCAGGGCGTCAAGTGGGTCGTGTCCGACCCCGGCCCAATCGACTTTGTGCAGGCGCGCTCGGCGGGCCTGTTCCGCGGCACAGCGGCACGCGCCCTGCTACGGGGCTACGACCGATTCTGGACGGACGGCGTTATGGCGTTCGACGAGGAGACGAGCGCGCGGGCTATATACGTCAACCACACCATGACCTATTCCCGAGCCGGATGGATGTGGAACGTCGACCTCGGGTCGTACCCGCTCGCGTGCTTTCACCTCACCGAGGTGTTTGCCACGGCCGGTCTCGAGGATGCCAAGATGACGCGGAGGGCAGATAAAGAACACGATGAGCTCCTGCTGAAGGAAATTATCCCAGCTGCAAAAAAGCAATTTTACGCGTGGTGCACGTCCTTGGCCAACGTCTTCCGCGAAGACAAGAAAACTCTATCTACTCTCGCGGAGGACTCCTCCCCCGCTCCTCCTCCATTTCTTGTCCGCATTGCATGCGGCGACGCGCTCGCGTTCTGCAAGGCTCTGCAGTACTACCGCGAGACGGGATCTCCAGAGACGCCAATCGCGACAGCTCCGTTCAGCCTCTCGCGCTTCGCCTTCGACGCGTCCTCTCCGCCCCCGTCCGCATTCGATGCAATCGGCACGTCCACCCTCACCGACGACCTCGGGCTGCTCAACATCCTCACACACACCACGCCGCTCCTGAAGCGCTCTAGCTTTGCCGCGCTCTACACCGAGAGCGTTACCACCCAGCCCGAACGCGGCGATGCCGCCACGACGGGCGCGCGGGAGGGCGGCGCAGTCCTGGAGAGCGCGGCGTGCTGCGATATCGGCACGTTGTCGCTGCTGCTGGGCGTTGTGCCCGTAGCGCACATCTCCGGGTTCGCGATGCACGCCGCTGTCGATGAGATGGACACGCGTAAGGCTGCGAGAGGGTTTGGGTACCGGATCCACGAGCGGGTGGTGTGGCGGCGGCCGGTCATGCCGGTGCCCGTCCCAGGCGCAGTAGTAGCCATGTCGGTCGACGTCGAGGCGGGGCCGACGTACCGTCTGGAGTTTATATCGGAGGAGCTGGCTGGTGCGCTGTATGGGGTGTATCAGAGGATGTTTGGCGACGATGAGAACGGTGTCGAAGACATTGTTAGCAGGATGAAGGGGCTCATGTCTGAAGACCCGTCGGGAGCTGGATCAGAAGACACGAAGCGCGCTAGCCCTTATACCGATCACTACACCAGGCGTGCGTTCGCTGAGCTGCTGGTGGTGGCTCGCAGCCAGTTCGGCGCCGGCACGTCCGCTTCCCCCACTGACGACGCCAATTTCAACGTCAACGTTGAGACAAACTGGACGCGAACGATGAACGCCCTCATAGACCTCATCTGCAACGACAATACGCAGCTCGGCGGCATACATAGCCACCTCCAGGATCTATACACGCAACTACACCTCCTCGGACTGCACACCGCCGACCATCTCCAGCCCTCCAAGTCCGAGCTCACCAACGCTTCAAGTTCTGAAGCGGGCCCGCGCGGTGAAGGAGGCGTGTTCTCCGGCTGGCCCAGCGTACCGCCCACTGTACACATCGTCCTCGTCGTCCCGCGCACCCGGATCGACGAGGTCAGACCGCTGCTGGAGCCGACTCGGAGCCCGGGTGAGCTTGGCTCGACGGGCGCGTGGGGGCCTGTGTTGCGGTGCGTGGTTCTGCGGGGACCGACGTCCGAGTCGGCGGCGGGGGAGGGGACGGAGCAGGTGTTTGAGTCCGTCGATGCGGCGTTCGGAGAGCTTGTCTCCGAGGACGAGGATGGCTCTGGTGGCGAAGACAAGCGCGAGCACACCGGCGGCGGCGACTTCAAGACCCGGACGCGCGTGCGCGTCGTGCCTGCGAAGGACAAGCGCGGGCTCAAGGGGACGGCTGATCTTATCGTGTCATTCGAGGTGCCCACGGCGGTGTTGGCGGGCGATATGAGCGGGCTGAGTGTTGCACTGGCGCTGCGGGGCTCGGAGTGCACGGCGAATGCGAAGGCGCGCTCGCTGCTAGGATCGAAGTTGCACTTGTTCAGAAGCGATGTTAGCGACGAGCGTCACGTTCGCGTCGTGCCGTGCTCGCCGTTCCTCGCTCCGAGCTTCGTCCAGGGTAATAACAGCACACCCCTCGAGAAACCTGCTCGCAGCCGGAACGAGACCTCGACGGCGCTAGTGCCTGTGCCGAAGAATCAGCACCAGACAGCCACCGTCCGTGCTGCGATGGACGATAAACGAGAAAAGGTTGCATCGATGGTCGTCCGGGTGGACGTTCTGGATGTGAATGTGAGGGAGAGCCTGGAGAGCGGTGCTGATGTGACGATGGTGCTTGCTTCTGCGTGTGCTGTGCGCGTCGCCTGGAAAGGATACGTACAGGTGCATTCGTTTCCGCTTCCGATCGATTTCAAGGAAGCGCGGGTGCACGTTGAGAGGAAGGAGTGGTATGTCGAGGTAGGCAAAAGATGATTTCGCGTTTCAGAAGTTCAATTACTGACTTGATGCACGTTTTGGCTAGATCGCCGCTCCTGTGGCATCGTCGATGCTATGCGATAACATGAAATTCCCCGTCCTCTTCACGGACAAGGGACCTGCGATCTGGAACATGCACCGCGTAGCCCTCGACAACCTGCCTCTCCTCAAATTGCTCCCCAAGACCGTCAGAATCGCGCGCAGCGTCATTAACCACGCCGATCTCACACTGTCTCCGCGCGAGCGCTCCATCCTCGGGCTCGACCAGGATGGAACCAAGCGCGAAACTGCTACCTCCGACGCGAACGTGAACGACGGACACAAAGCGTTCGCGGCGCTCAAGCGCTCGATCTTCAACATCTTCTGCGGCTCCGCGACGCACCCCGCGCCGATCGCGTTCCGCCTCGGTGCGCCCTCCGCCTCCGATCCGTGCGTGATCGTGTTCGTGACAGGCCTGCGGCTCGACGTCGGCGGCGGCGGCGGCGGCGCCGTGGTGGTGGCTGACGCGTGGGTTGTGACGGTCACACGCGAGATCATGAGCGAGCTCGGGCCGCTCGCGCTCCCGTATGCGGGGGCGAAGGGGCGGGTTGTCGGGCTGGATGTGGTGGATGGGCCGGCGCTGAGGGCATGGAAGGTGTTTTTGCCTGCTGCGGTGGAGCGGTGCAGGACGTGGGCGCACGGGGAGGGGTGCGAGTATCGTGTCCGGGGTGGGGCGGGCGGTGTTCTGCTGGCGCTTGACGAGGGCAATGTGGTCGAGGGGGGCAGCTCGGATGACGACGAGAGCGAGGGTGTAGACCCGATCTGCTCGTGCGGGCGCGGGATTGGGGTAGCGGAGCAGGAGCCGTTTCGCAAGCAGTGGAGGTCGTTCGCGCCGTACGTGACGCGGGCGGCGCTCAGTCCGCTGTTCCCTGTGCCTTGTTATGAACAGGGTGCTGTGGCGCCTGGAGGCAAGGAGGAGGCGGGGAAGGGTGGTGCCAGTGGCACTGTGTGTTTTGCGTGCGGAGGTAGAGGGAAACCGTCGCTTTTGACGTGCGGCAGGTGTAAGCGGGCCAGGTATTGTTCGGCGGAGTGTCAGCGGAGGGACTGGAAGGAGAAGCATAAATTGGTGTGTGCGGGTTTGGCGGATGGGAGGATATGAGCATTCTTAAGGAGGATAATACAATGTGTAATTAATATTTTGCGATGGAAAACCCACTCTCCTACCCAGATGGATCGGTCGTGTTGAGTCGCACTGATATTAATATCAATTACAAAAGTTGTATTCGCCGCGTTGAATTCGGACTCCGCCGAATCGCCGAAACTTTTGAGCGACTTACACGACCGACCCTCTGGCAAAACTTGTAGGTGGCCGATCTCGGCTTGGTTTGCCGAGCCGCGTTCTCCCACGGCACCAGTGCTCCGTCACGCGAGTATGCAACTGTGAAAATATCAGTGAAACTTGAGTGAAACAATATTAATGTATTCTCGGCCAAAGGTTGTGATTTGTGTTTGATCCACCTATCCGGCACGTCCAAGGGTTTATGACAATGCCTTCCAAATCATAACAAAAAGCAATAGAGCTGCCGGTCAACGAGGGGTCACTAGAGAGATGCCGACTCTTATTGGGCTGAAAGCCCCTTTTTTCCATGTTAAAAGGGGTTTTCCAGTCATGCTCGCCCAAACCCTTGAATTCAGCACCTGATATACAGGAATGGAGTAGTTTTCACTTTATTTATTGTAATTGATAAGTCTTTGATTATCTACAGGTGGGGTGTATACGATGTGGGCCAAGATAAGGACTTGAGTGTGTCGATGAGCTAGCATTGGTGCCGTGGGAGAACGCGGCTCGGCAAACCAAGCCGAGATCGGCCACCTACAAGTTTTGCCAGAGGGTCGGTCGTGTAAGTCGCTCAAAAGTTTCGGCGATTCGGCGGAGTCCGAATTCAACGCGGCGAATACAACTTTTGTAATTGATATTAATATCAGTGCGACTCAACACGACCGATCCATCTGGGTAGGAGAGTGTGGAAAACCATGCAATTGTGAAGATGGAAGAATGCACTTAGACAATATATTTTGCGACTCGTCGCTGAAATTTATTGTCCTGATCAAATTTACGCTCGCCTTTCACACTTGTGAGCTTCGATTGAAGCGATTTGTGTACAATAGAACCACTAGGCCTAGCTTCTATTTTACTGCAAACACTGCACTTGTGGCGAAATTATGGGCTCGCCGTTAACTCTACTTGTTTTATTGGCCGAGTACAGGACAGAGAAGTACATACGCTTTTGTCTGTAGTGATAGGTTTTTTCGAATCTCCGGGGATACGGTAAAAACCCCAGAGCCAGAAGTAGCAAGGTACGAGAGTCGGAAACGCGTTCTTTCGTAGCCTTCCGAGTGTCGCTTTCGTTGAAGTAATTTTGGTCAAGTCTCTTCTATTTAAGCTCATACGCTGATCAGCTTCTGGGATCTAGGCCAGGTCTGATTATATTAAGGGTGGCGCGGATTCACGTCGCCCGATAACATAAAGCTGGATCCCCCACTTTCTCTTTCACCACCCCCGGGCCCTCGCTTTCTCGACGTCTGCCGCGTCAGCTGCAATGTCTTGCCCCTTGCTCTGGTCTGAGAACGAGCCCTTCTACCCGTACGGAGACACCTCGCCTGTCTGCTACACTCAAGACCTCGTCGATGGCGAGCCAGCTAGCATATTGCTGCTCGGATGCGGCGACCCTATGAGCATCCTGCAGACGCTGCACGCCAACACAACTGGTTCACAATGCAGTAAGCGGCATCACTAAATGGGTGGGAAAAGTTTGACCGTTATACCGAGTGATCACCGTTATAATATCGTCGTCGAGACAGTTTTGTATGATCACGAATGGTGACGCATTTCCATTGAGTGAACATATCGTTACGGTGTGGCAGTGAATTTCGGCCGAACACCATGTCGCGGACACTTTACCATTGATCAAAATTGATGATCTTGCTCGTACATTTGTTAGTCAAATATAAAATACGGAGACCATATCAGAAACAAAATTATCATTGAGTGATAACTTCAACTGCATATGGCAGCCACTGCTTTAGGTAGACACGAACACTAACGAACAATAAAAACGGTAGAGATTCGAATACCTGCTTACCTTTACAATGATGCGAACCCGGTTGCATTGGCGAGAGCCTCGTCTTCACTTAACGTTCACTCAGGCTCGAGCTTGCCTTGCAAGACCCCGAGTTGCATCCGGGCGCATTGAAATAGGGACATTCCCTTTGAAAACTAAACTTGAACTGCTGGTATTTAAAGCCACGCGCTCACGGAGCAAGCAAGCATGTCTGAGCACCCATATTTTACGAATAGATTTGTAAAATGAGTTAGTGTGGCGGAAACGCATGAGACGACGCATGAACTCGCCCTTGTGCACACTCGTGGAACAAGTGAGTGGGGGGAGAAAACTGGCCACACCACGTTGAATGCACGAATACCAACCGCTCGGCCTTTGTCTGCTTCTATTCATACCTATAGTTCTTGCAAAGCAATGCTTGATAATTTGAAGCAGCGACATGCATTCCAGCTACAAGAACGACGGCAAAATGAAATAGAAGAGGACCTCTAATAATTCTGGCCAATCAGAGACAGATGATGAAGCCAGCCCTAAAGCTGATGGAGAGATAAGATAAGATAAGACATTTTTGTATGCCTTCGCCTTTTTGAACACTCTCCCCGCCTTTTCTCTCTCCTCCCTTCAACCGTTTCTCTTTCTTCCCCCCGCTATTTATCCTCCCCTGTACTCTCTGTTTTCCTTCCTCACCTTTCTTACACGCCTCCCCACCACCAATTGTCACCACATCCACTTGTCTTCGAATTGTCAAGTTCTTCTGGCGTTTTGGCTCTGGTAAATCTGGCACGTTTTACTACGCATATAAGTACCTCCCGAAAGCCAGAACCCCTTATGCACGAAGCCAACAGCATTCTTCAATGCACTCTACTACGATGAGGTGCATGCATTGTTGCTGTCACCCCATCACTCACTCATTTTTCATCCCTTTTAGCTCAACCCGGTGGAAAGTGATGGACGAAGAGCCATAGATGGCTGATGTGAGTAACTTGAGTCTAATTCTTTCCTCGGACCTCCTGATCTTGTGTACTGCTGCTGCTCTCATGTATCATTGTTGCTCTCATGCTGCTGCCCTCGTGTTCCTGCTCTCGTGTATTATCCTCGTTCGTTGTTTTAACCTCGATTAATGCTACATGCTGTACTATATAATGTTCACAATGAATGTCTTGTCATTGGAATCATGGGCGAGATTGCGAGTCCTCATCATATGGTGTGAGTTTTTATCATGCGGCATAAATCACCAGCCATTCTTATCATGTAATTATCATGCAGGCTCCGTCAGCGGTAAGATAGCCATCAATATTATAATATCATCCCTGATCTGACCATTTCACCATCTGATTTTGGTCTGATTTCCCATATGTTAAAAACGGACTTTACGCTCCACTCGTGCTGGAGATTCGAAATATCATTAAGGTATGGTGTCAGTTATAACGGATTCTACTACTGCTCATGTACTTATATTCGGTCCACCCATTTAGTGATGGCTATGACGAGATGAAAGTTTGGTGGACGTGGCTAACTCCGCCCTGGTTCAGGTCGCAAGCTCGACTTTACGTGTTGCGATCACGAAGGTGGTGTCTTGGGTATGTATGCGGAGCGCTAATACTTAATGTCGCCTCCCTATCACTTATTCAAAAACAAACGTCCAGCTCGGAATGTGTTCTTGCTCACATGTCTTGCGGATGATTACGTCCTTGACCTGCTTCCTTCACTCTGGAACCTGTTCTTCGATTTCTTCATCGACAAATCTTCTGTCACAGTGCTCTTTGTTTACTGCGGGAAACTCTTGGACGCGTCAAAGTCATTGGAGACCTGGGATGCCTCCCCCTACCACGGCTTCATCAAATTCAGCGACACCAACACGCTCTCGGTCGTCCGTGGACATTGGGAGCGCTACTTGGCCAACATCCTTCCCCCCGAAGACGCAAATCACCTCAAGGACAGGTTCGCCTCCGCCACGCACAGAGCGCAAACCCAGCACGGATCGTGGTTCAACTACTCACCAGTCCGCTCAGCTGGTCCGCTCGCCTCGTTCGCGATGCGCACGATGCTCCACGGCTTTCGCAAGTTCTGGGAGACCGGCGTCACGTCGCACGACTGCGAGACGATCGCTCGCGCGCAGTACGTGAACCCCACGCTCGTCCATTCGCGCGGCGCGGGGGAGCCTGGCACGCCGGAGGACTCAGACACATTCAAGCTCGGTGTGCACAAGGGGCTGTACCCGCCTGCCCGCTTCTACCTCGCCAAGGCGTTTGCCACCCTCAATCTGGCGGAGCCGAATCTGGCTCAGAAGGATAGCTCCGTGCAGGACGCCTCTTTGCTCAAGGTGGTCGTGCCTGCCGCGCAAAAGCAGTTCTTTAGGTTGTGCATGGTTTTCTCGAGGGCCATTCGTCAAGTGGGGAGGCCCGCCGCTGCGGACAGCACAGAGTCTCCCTCGCATTCCCCAATTTCCTTGACATTCTTCTGCGGAGATGCGCTTGCGTTCTGCAAAGCCTTGCAGCACCACCGCGACAAGAACGAGCTGTCGACGCCTTTCGCATCTGCACCGTGGAGCGCCACACGCATCGTCTTCGACGCCCTCTCAGATTCGTCTTCAATCCCGACCTCATTCGACGTCATCGACACCTCCACCCTCACCGACGACCTCGGGCTCCTGAACATCCTCACGCACACCACCCCACTCCTAAAACGCTCCAGCTTCTCCGCCCTCTACACCGAGACGCTCGCGCCGTGCAGAGACAAAGACGGCGACGCCATCGCCGGCACGCTGAGAAGCCTCGTGCGCCGCGCGTGCTGCGACCTCGGCACGCTCGCGCTGCTACTCGGCGTCGTGCCCGCGTCGTACGTGTCCGGGTTCGGCGCGCGCCCGTCCGGGTTCGAGATGATGGCGCACCGCATGGTGCGCGTCCCGCTGTCGCAGTTCCACGAGCGGCTCGTGTGGCGGCGGCCGATGCCTGGGACGACTGTTGTCGGCTCGCAGTCGGGGGCACGGGGTGGTGGCGCTGGTTATGGGGTGGAGTTTGTGCCGGAGGAGCTGGCGGGCGTTTTGGAGGGTGTTTATCGGCGGATGTTTGGGCGCGAGAGGGGTTTGGACGAGGCGATGGAGCGTCTCTCCGTGGGCGGGGCCGGCGGGGATGGCAGGCGTTTCTCTGACGCTGCCTCTGTGGGCACCTGTTACACCCAGCGCTCGTACGCTGAGCTCGTCGCGGCGATCCGAGAGAACGTCTGCGCAGGCGCTCCCAACGCTGAAGAGATGGAAGCAAGCTGGCGGCGCACGATGGACGCACTCCTTGAGCTCCTTCGTGGCGAGGGTGATGGCCAACGCTACTTCCAAGACCTATGCGTGCAGCTTCACCTCCTCGGGCTGCACACCGCGGACGTCATACAGCCTCCAGCACTCGACGAGCAGAGACAAAACTGCGATAGCAGTGCTGTTTTCAGCGGGTGGGGCACCATCCCAGCGACGGTGTGCGTCGTGCTCGTCGTCCCGGGACAGCGGGTCCGAGAGGCCAAGAGTTCGCTCGATGAACTTGGAACGCCGACGCTGCGGTGCGAGATCTTTGGGTCCGCCACAGATCAGGCTTTTGCTTCGATCGAGGCTGCGTACGGAAATGTGCTTGTCGATACCACGGCGCCAGGTGAGGAGAACGGGGTAGGCGACAGATACAGGTGCAAGGTAGTGCGGTTCGTCGAGAGTGATGGCGAGCGAGGGTTGAAAGAGGGTGGTTCCGATCTCGTCATCTCTTTTCAAGTGCCTGCGGCGATCTTCATGGCAGAGCCGGCGCTAAGCGTAGCGCTTGCGGTGCGTCCGCAGGCAAAGTCGTCGTTTGGGAGCAGCACCGAGTCCGTGCTTGGGCCGAAGCTGCACGTGTTCAGCAGCCGCGTTGATGACGAGCGCCATGTGCATGTCGTTGCGCAGTCTCCGTTTCATCCAGAGTGTGCTTCGAACGGGGGTACCGGCGAAGGCTCCAGTGCGGACGTGCATCGGCGCGTGGGCGAGCAGGAAAACGTCAAGATTGTGATGGACGACAAGCATGAGAAGGTTGAGACCATGAGTGTTCGTGTCGACGTTGTGGGTGCAGACGCAAGGGAGGCTCTGGCAGGCGGTGCAGCGGTGCAGATGGCGCTTGCTTCCGGGTGTGCTGTTCGCGTGCTGTGGGGAGGTCATACCCATGTGCATGCGTTTCCGCTGCCTGTCGACATCGAGAAGGCCAAGCTTAGGGTTGCCCGGCGGTCTTCCTATATCGAGGTGAGTACCTTCATGGTCAGCTTCGAGAGTAGCTGAACTCACGCAGGCAATATGTTGACACAGGTCGTCGCACCCGTGGCGACAGTGATGCACACCCATAACATGCTCTTCCCCATCTTCCTCACACCGCACGGCCCCGCACTGTGGAACATGCCCCGCATCGCACTGGACAAGCTACCCCTCCTGGTCCTTCCCAACAACGAACATGTCTCGCGTTGGATCGTCCCCTGCACCGACTCGATGTTTTCCCTGCGCGAAAGCGCGATCCTCGATGGGCTCCGACCTGCAGACACGGACACGCACCGCGCGTTCCTCGACGTCAAAAACGCGCTGCACACCATCATCGCCGGCGCCGCGCGCATACCAAGCCCGACAGTCAACGGCATCCCCGGCGTCGGGCACCGCACCGCCCCGCTCGTGTTCGGCCTCGGAAACCCGCGCGAGGTACGCTGCGCGACGCTCGTGTTCGTCACCGGCGTGCGGCTCGATGTCGCTGCGCACAGCGTCGTCGCTGACGCGTGGGTGCTCACCGTCACCCCCGCGCTCCTCCCGCGGCGGCCCGCGAGCCTCGCCTCGCCGCTCGGCCGCGCCGTGTGGGACCTCGCGGACGAGCTCGTGCAGCTCAACACGGACGCGCGCGAGGCGCGCGCGTGGAAGCACCTTCTGCCCGCTGCGGTGGAGCGCTGCAGAGCGGGGCGATGGGCGCACGGCGCGGCGTGCGAGTACCGAGTGCGGGAGGCGGTGCCGCTCACGGTCGGGGACGAGACGGATCCGCTGTGCTCGTGCGGGCGCGGTGTCGGCGCGGGCGAGCATGCGCCGTTCCGGGCGGGCGAGAGGTGGCACGCGTTCGCGCCGCATGTGACGCGTGCGGCGCTGAGCCCGCTGTATGCGCCTGCGTATATGGAGAGCGGCGTCGGGGTGGCGGCGTTCGGAGGCAGGGATACGAGGATGGAGGAGAGGGATGTGTGCTGGGCGTGTGGCAAGCCGCCGAGGCGAGCAGCGCTGGCAACGGGCTTGCAAGTGTGCGGCAAGTGCAGGGTTGCGAAGTACTGTTCGGGACCGTGTCAAAAGAAGGATTGGGACAAGCATCGGTGGGCGTGCGCGATTTTGAAAAAGAATGCTCCAAGTTAGGGCTTGAAGGCTGCACGCTGGTAATGTATGGCGCAGAGGGGGGCGATGATGTTGTATTAGCACTGAGGCATGAGTATCTGTTGTACGGGAAGCCGAAAGTCACAGAGGACATGGCAGAGAGGCGGAGAGTATGCGAAACATCTTGCTGTGACGAATGCTGCTGATACACGTTCGCACGCGTTAAAGATTCTATAGCCCCGTTATATTGTCATTACTGTAACTGACAGAAAAAGAAAGCAATTGCAAGTTCGAGATTTACTGTAAGTACTGACGCAGAATAATCCAACCCTTTCTAGACTGCTACTGCTACCACCACCTTATATCGCGCGGACATATCCCCAACGCCCCATCCGTCCTTCCACGTGATATCAGCCCGACAACGCGCACCACCCCGCTGCGTCTTCCCACCCATCACCACGTCCGAGGCGTGGTGCATCGGTGCAGGGCTGGGACTATGAAGGCGCTTACTCGTTTTCGGAGATGAGGGCAACGATCATGCTGGCAACAGATATTGAGAAGGGCAGAGGGGAAAGAAGGACGCGCAAGGACGTACCGGTAGAGGTAGTAGAAGAACGAGAGGAGGTAAAAACCGAGCTTCATGAAGCTCTCTTTCTTGTGGCCGGACAGCGTCCGGAATATCTCGGTCGCGTCGTACATGTGGTTTTTGTTTCGTATCCTGTGCACCATCCCGCGTCAGCGCCTATCGCCAACGACAAGGGAAGGAAGGCGGAGAGAAGCGAGCAACGTACTTGTTGGCATTATATAGCACTAGAGGCAGGTTGAGGAGGAAGGCGATCCATTGCCCCGAAAGGAGGAATAAGAGCGTGAGGAAGGCGTGGGCGATGTTCTCGGGCAGGACAAACTGGGCAATGCGGGGTTAGCCGTTCAGTCGACGCGCACGCTTATATGAATAGGCAGGGATGGGGATGGGGAGTACGCACCTGGTTGAGCTTGTTGCAAAGGTCTATTGGGTTGATGTAGTCGCATTCGAGGTCGGAGAACATGATGATCTTGACGAATGGGATGAGGGACCGTTCGATGGGGAGGAGGTAAGCACGTACGAAGAAAACCATGGTGAACAGCAGGCCAGCGGCCATAAGCACCGAGAACAGAAACAGCCAGCCTATCATCCCCGAGATTCGCCAGCGAGACGTTGAGAGCGTTGAGGGGGTGGAGTTGGCGTGTAGAGTAGTCCAAGGAGCGCGCACAGCAAGTGAGAAAAGAACGCGTGGTTGAGAATCGGACCATGACGAGAAAAAAATGCGAAACGTACCGGCACCTCCCATCGTACCAAGCTTCGTTCAACTTCGTTTGGAGAGTAAGGTGGATAGACGTGGACAGAAACAGGAACGAGATGAGGATAAGTAGGGGCGACAGAAACTGGTAAACGATAAAGAGTGGGTCAGCTATCGGCGGTCTAATGGTTGGCGCGAGACGCGGGGCAATTGGTGCACCTTGTTCGGCTTCGTCCCTCAAGCTAAGCTTCTGTAGTCCACGTCAAGTTAGTATTAGTGGGGAAAGATAACAAGGAAGGATGGACGTACGTGGTCGTAAGGTGTTCGTGGACTGGGGCGGAGTACGCAGCTGTGCGCAGGACTCAAGCAAACCGTCTGTTTGTCGCGCGCTGACGCAACTGGACTGTCACACAATGAGCTGTCACGAGGTCACGTCATCTTGAACTTGACATGGACCAGCATCATCGACCCTTCGCCGAGCCTTCGACATGCCCTGTTACGTTTTATTCTTGGATCTTCTGCTGCTTATAGACAAAAATCAACCGCTGAAGCCTGACTATTGACCGGTGACCACTCCCAACCAAAGCCAACCTGTCACACTCACAAACTGTTTCAGTCCTCGTTACAGTAACCCTTGTCGTAACCAGCGAGCACGCTCTCGCAATCGACAACGAGTATCAGCTTGATGTCTCGAAAGACGAATCTGCGAGACTCGAGCTAAATCTTACTTTACTTTTCAGACTTTCATCTGTAGTCCTCATGCCATTTCTCTGGGTATCGACAAGTTCTCTTCTTCGACCAGGCTCGAGACACGGGAGCCGCAAGCTGTGCATGTGAGTTTTCACGGGTTTCTTCATGACTTAGATGTATATGCTTTTACTTCTTCTATCATGTTTTCTCATAGTAGAGCACGACCTACGATCCCCGTCACATCCGTCACATCTCTTCACACCACCGTCACTCGCCGGCCGTTTCTAGGGTTTGCTTGGATGTTTTCTCGCCATTCTGACAGGCCGTCACTACTGATTCTCCAGTAGAGCGCGTCTCTTAGCCACAAATCTTGTTCGACAACCTCGGACGACGAGCTTGCATGAACATCTTTATTGATTTGCGCCAGTCGACAACTTGGCCATCGAACAAGTCGTCATTGGTATACATGTCTCTCGGGCAGAACGAAACCTTTCTAGTGAGCAAAACGGCGTAAACTCATTGACTACGTATCACTATGCTAAACTGAAAGAGACTAGGACACTCGTACACTACGAAGCAGGATCTACAGAATCATAGTACTGAATATCTGTGTTGAGGAGGCGTATAGTAATGCGCCTTCCATCGCTAAGGCCTAGTATTGTGACCTTGTTCCCGTCTATCCGCAATTTCAAACCGTTCTGCCTCAGGCTGTGAGGTCGATACCTCGGAGGCAGCCAGCATATCCGCCTACTCCGTTGTCGAAGCCACCCATCTGCGTCGACGCATAGATCTGACCAGGAATGAGCGTCAAATATGACAGCTGGCCCGTCGTACTGATCAGGTTCGTAAACTATTGAATCAGGGTTGTTAGCTTGCTCGTATAGCGGGTAGTTTTCTGGATTCTTCAGATTCATGGCGTTCGTTCTACTGGAAAATGGACCGTAAAGCCGTTTTCCGTTCGGAGACAGGGCCACCGACGCATTCAAGCCAATGTATGTGGACGGTCCTTTGAGTGGAGGGGTGACCTCAATGACGTCCCGGGTATCCCTGTTCCATCGTAGCAGATGACGAGGATCACCTCCCGACTGACAGATGCTTGTCGTACGAAGCAGCCAGATCCCCCTTCGCGTGACAGAGAGGATGTAATAGCAGAATATACCTTCTTCATCATTACCGCCCGGGAGAGGCAGCGACGTGAGCTGCACAAGTGCATCGCGCTCGAAAGAGTACACTACAAATAGACGCTGTAGCGCCGGGGAATCCCGCATAGTGGGTTTCAACACGGCCACGATGGTGTTATCTGGAGAAAACTGAATAGTATCAAAGGGTTGGAATTGAGGGCACTCCTCTGAATAGGCTGTCTCGGAAAACGAGGTGCTTGAAGACGCTTGACGAGTGGCAGCTCGACTGAGGTTGATGATACGGAGCGATTCGTCTTCCAGTTGGAGAACACTAAAGATTTCTTCGGTCTGTGAATTCCATCTCGAGTTCCCCACCCCGATGGCACGAATCATCCCTCCTATCCTTATCCCTACTTTTGATCCATCAAGCGAGATCCACTCCGGCTGCTGTGGTGACTCAGATGAGCCAAGGAGTATAGGTAGTACGCGTGGAGTCTCCCGAGAATTCGCAGGGCCGAGGACGATGATCGAGTTACTTGAAAGACCAAATAGCAATCGGCTGTCATCGAGCCAGTGATGTTTTATCACTCGCTCTATTTCGCCCCTATCGACATTGATGATATAGGCCGATTGATCGATGCCAGGATAACATAGGAGGAATTTGCCATCGTAAGAGAATTCAAGGCACTCGTGCAGGTCGATAATGGCATCAGTCTTCAGCTTCAGACGAGCCTCCAATAGCTGGTCATGACTGTGTGCATTGTGCACACGAAGAACGCAGTGACCATCCACTTGCCAATCTATCGGATGATACCAAAGAGAAGCGACTGCGGCTCCATCGTAGGACAGCGTCATTGAAGGCGCCAGCAGTTCTGATCCTATAGGATTGATTGAAGACACAGTGTCCGACGAGAGATCCCACATCCATATTTCTGATCTAGCTTTCCATCTCCCGGCAATATCCTCAGATGGATCGTTCAAAAGAGCTGGAAGAGGGTATAGGCTGATGGCGACGCTCCGGTTGCTGTAAGAAATGGTAGACCACCCTTCAGAATCATCGGGGAATTCAAGACGCCTCGTCTTGACGACTATACCCGACGCCATGTCCCATATTTCCGCTAGGTTTGAGGAATAAGCATGTATCGCAAGATGGGAGGTGTCTGGAGATAAAGCAATGGTATAAACATCCCTATTCGGATGCACAATACGGATGGTGCAATCCCAGTCGTCGTCCAAACCATGTTCAAAATGAAAAGATGTTGGTTGGACATGATTATAGACGAGGCGAATCTCCGACTTGGCTGGCGCAAATGGTAGGGCTGATTCATAGACGTGGAGGGCTGAAGCACTGATAGGGTCGAAGAAAGTCATAGTCAGCCGCCAACTGTCGTATAGCAGCTCCATTATTTTGTCCTTATCTGGAAAATAGTCTCCGTCCCAGCCCTGTGGTAATCACGATGGCGGGTTTAGGCCTGGAGACGGGGACGATCGGTGTATAGGCTTACCATGACGAGTTGCCGTGCGGCCCTGAATTGCACAATGCATGTATCGAGCTCACCGAAGATAGCGTAGGCCTCTATTGCAAATAAAACACGCTGTTTCATGAAGTCGGCGAGAAGATCATAAGTTTCGCCATCGGGAGAGGTATGTTGAATGTGATATAGCCAATGGCGACAGGCGTACAGGAGCGCGCGGGGTAAATCATCACGTCGTTGAGCAAAGTCGGGAATCTCGGAGTGAAGAAGCGACGGATCGCGTAGGTTGCAGATGTCGTGCCTGAGCAGCGTCGCCATAGTCCGGAAACAGTTAGAAGCTAGACGATGATGTAGATCGGGTTCGGGGTATTGGCCATTATCGGTGTCGCGGATCTGGCCTCTGTTCTGTAAGAAGTCGCGTAGTGAAGCATGGTAGATTTGGACAGGATCGGGGGAGCCGCGGGGAGGGAGGGAAATTAAAGCTGAAAAGGGAAGAAGAAAGCTGTAAACATCAACGTCTCTGAACAGGATGCGTAGATTCTGAGGGGATAAGGTATCGGCGAGGCTGACGACGAGCGATAGATACTTCAGTCCGTCGCTTCGAATGGAGGCGTCGATGTGGTCGATGATGGAGGAGTAGAGATGCTCAATGTTTCCCCATACTCGTGTTACGTGACCGCGTATCATTTCACAAACGAGCGGTAGTTGGTCTCGGGGCTGGTCATTCTGTTTGATAAGTCTGACAACAGTTGCCGCGAAGATGAAGCGACCAGACGCGTGCTGCGCCAGCATGACTAGATCGCTTTCAGGAGGCCAACGTGGGTCGAAAGAATTGGACATGTCGTGAGCGTCATATATCTGTTTGAATTCATGCTGAAGATAAAGGGGGACGTCCTCCCGCGACTCATGATGTTCGACTTGTACTGTTCTTATCGTAGCGGACAGCTGGTTTTCGTTCATGACCGCGCCAATGTGAGGCAATGGTCGGCTGGTGAGGATAATATTGACTATGGGGATGCCGTTGTCCCGGAGAAGACATGCAAGCAAGGAGATGAATGGTAGAAGATGTTCTACACCGCTCGCCGTACCCTCGTCGAGGGCGTCCAGGATGATCGACATGCCAGTCTGAGACCGCTCTTTCCAGATGAACGCGAGCTCCTTCAGCGGGGCAATGACGAGGGCTTCGAGCTGATCGCGGTGCGATCTCTCGGTGGAAAGGAGGGAGGGATCGTCGGAGATGGCTTTGGCAATCACTTCCCTGGCCTGAGGATGGTGCAACCCCAGCTGATACGCTAAGGTAAGAATTACGTGATCAAACGTACTGCGCTTGGTGTGTTTCCTGGAAAAAAAGAATGTCCCAGCGAGCTTGTCTGCCCGGCGGAGTTCTTCCGCCAGCGTATGCGCTACCGTTGACTTCCCACACCCGGACTCGCCGGACAGCCAGACGATCTTGCGTGCCGGGTCGCCAACGTGCTGGTGAAGTGCTTCAAGAAGGCGGACTCTCGTTCCCGGGAGGCACTTGGAGTGCGGCTGGCGTTCGTTGGAGTCGTACACAGCGCCAACAGCGATTTCCTGAGCTAGCTTGTTCCACGGGTCCATATCTAAGACGGATTAGCAGGGCTACGGGCTCGATAACTGTTGACACGCACTTCTTGAGGTATCTGCAATGGTGGTGGTACGAGTTCAAGGAGGCTGGCAGACGCCGGCGTACAGCACCAAAGCCTCGTGGTGGGCCAGCTAGTACTTCCGAGAGCACATGAGCCTGAATGAGCGCTAGAAGACATCAATTTCGCGCGACTTAAGCGCCCCATACAGGACGTCTGGTGGCAGACTTCATAGATATTACCATCGCCCCTGACAACATTGACAGCAAGTACCTGCCAGTAGCTGTGGGTTTTTGCTTTACTAGCATAAATGCTGTCACAACTAAACCTTTATCAAGCGTGGTCAATTCAAGCGGCTGTGCAGCGCCTACAGTTGCTGTGTAGAGCGCCCACACGTTTGCGCCAGCTGTATTCATAGCACGGCTACGTGGCATGATAAGGTCTTTCTGGAAGCGTGTATTCGTTCTTATCGCTCGCTGTGCATCGCAGGATCCCTACAGCAACATCGTTCCCAGTGCAGTACTCCTACCTAGAACGAACGGTGATAACGACGCGATCACCGTCCTGTATAATTTCCGAGTACTTGCGAGCATATCCGCTTCTTCATTACGTATGATGTTGGGAAGTTTGTTTACAGGATATTGACTGCAATACCTATGAGTCGCGTACTTGGTGTTGATAGTGTCCAAAGTAGCACACAGAAGAGCTCTCAGCCATCTTCTTGTGATGGGGGTCATTCTGATACGACTCACTGGAAATAAGTACAGGCAAAGTGTGATCAGTCAGGACATATGCTGAATATGGTCGACGGTGAAATTCGGCATCGTCCACGTTGCCGTCCATGCTCTGCTCGAAGGGCGTTAGCCATGATAAATGAAGTCAGTTAGTTCAAACGAATCAATTGATGAAGGGATAAAGCAAGTGTTATCTTAAACGAACAATCTTCAATAGTACCGTGAGGCGATGCCTGCAGTGAACTGAGCCATACCCTCGGAAATGTGTCCCTTGTACTCGATATGTTCGAGTAGTTGAGGCGAATCGGAAACGAAAAACTATATTTGTTCGGAACATTAATGATGTCAACTCAGCTGAGATGCGATAGGAAAGGAACGAATGTGGCATTGCATTAATCGAGAAACAAGTACACAAAAAAGAGGCGATACCTGGATGTATCATATACATACGATGTATCATCGCCCGAGCATCTATAACAAAAGCAGTTAGAACAGTGTCGATGTCACGGACTTGTACAAAGATCAGAAGTGTCAAATCTGGAGCATGCCCTCCGAGGAGGTGACTCCCTGAAGAAATTCAAACCGAAGTTCGAGCATCACGAAAGATAGCGATATAGTGGGTGGACCAAGGGGATACTCACCTATTATCCAAGCGACTATCCAACACCCGAACACCCTTTCCGCCATCGACCCTAGCCGTAGCATCAACCTTTGAGATCGAGCCTCGAGATTCAGCGAGATAGAGGCGCGACGCCAGGAACCAAAAAGAAGAGGAAACAGCGAGATAACTCGCGAAATCGAACAGCGAAGTTCAAAATAAGCAAAAAATAAACGAGGAACGTCGAATGAGAGTAAGCCCCATTGAGATGACGGCCGCGATCCACAAGAATGAACCGCGAAAGCCGACAATCGCATAACTATGTCTATGAGCAACGACGTGCGCGCCCTCCGCCCACAAAAGCGCGGCCAAGGCTCGTGTCTTCGCGATAGACCGCGGGACGTCGGGCAGCGCAACAGAGCTGGGCGAGCCGAGCTTGCATTCCCATCCGAGAGGAATAGAGAAGCAAGCAGGGTGAACTCGCCCGACCGATCCCCCGCCCTTCCTCGGCGTGGTTGCAGCCAGGGCTTTCCGTTAGCGAACGGGGGCCGGCCCCACGAGGGGGACTCTGTGTCTCCGGGGACTTTTCCCACAGCGTAGGGTAGAAAGCATCGTATGAGGACGTTTCTTGTGCGTGTGCTGCGATGGCGATTCTTCAGACGACGTCCATGGGGTTTTGTGAAAGACGTAAAAATTTGAGATGGACGATATGCGCACGGGCAGATTTAATCGGCGCTTAAACTTCCGCACACCGGACGGGGCTCGGTGGCGGTGCCGGCGACGCATAAGCCGCCCCAAGATTCGGACTCCACCCGCCTCGACTCTCGGACTCTCGAGCGTAAGCTTGTTAGCGCATCCCAGGTTTCTACTACTCCTCGATACGTCTGTGGACAATGTCTACAGAGCCCAACTCTCCGCCCTCGTCCTCTTCGGAAGCACCGTCATCGCCTACCTCACCGCCATCGTCGTCTTCACATCCACCAGTACAACCGCCGCCGCCGCCTTCACAGAAACAGCCTGCGCAGGGATGGCTCAGTAAGCCGTACATCGATATACGCAATTCGCCGCCAGGTACGCATTGCTTTCCATTTGCCTCGCTTTGCCAGACCCTGTCATTCGTCTATGGTGGACATATGCTCACGATTCATCATGCCCCCGCACCACTAGGCCCCCGCTCGCACAGCGCCGACGAGCGGTGCTTCACCTACTGCTCACAGACCTCGCGCGGGCGCAGCGAAGGCCGCGAGCCGTACTGCCGCTCTCTTTGCATTCGCCGGGTTTTCGCGCACGAGGTCGAGCAGCTCATCCGTCCCACTGCCGAGCACGAGAACGACACTGCAGATCCCGTCTCTCAGTCTCAATCTCAACCACAGTCACAGCAGCACCAGTCGACACCGAAGAAAGGCCTATACAAGCTCCCTATGGAAGGTCAGACACCGCGCCCGGCCGAGCCCGCGGGACCGAGCAACCCCGTACGGGACCTCGACGCAGTCATGAGCGGGGATGACCAGCCAGGTCTCTCGTCGTCGGAGGGAGAGCAACGGAAGGGCTTGACGAACGACCGGAAGGGGGCGGAGACGCGGTATTGGGAGGATGGGTGGTACGTGTGGTATACCAAGAACCGGTCGGCGGCGCAGGAGCACATCGGGTTGATGCGGCATGATCTACGGAGGCAGACAGGGTGGCAGGAGAGGAAGGAGGACATGGTCAAGGGACAGGGGAGGGATACGAAGGCGCAGCAGGCTCAGCAGGCGCAGGCGCAAGATCAGACTGGGGAGAAGAAAGAGGGTGCGTCGCCGCCGCCGCCGCCGCCTCCAAGGCAACCGCCTCGACCAACGATTCCCCCTGAGCAGATTATCAGGCAGTGGTGCGTTCTGCTCTACTATTACTTGCACCACAGGATAGCTGACGCGAAAGCAGGGAGGAATCCACGCTCATCCGCCTCCCGCCTCCCATCCCGTTCATTGAGCCCGTACGGAACCTGCTTGCGCCGACGGGCAAGGCACTGGACATCCTCAAGCAGAACTACCAATCTGGTTCGTTTGCTATCCTCGGCGATAAGCTGTGGGAGAAAGCATGGAGTCCCGAGCCATTCTTGCTGGCGAGCAATGCATGTAAGAAGATGTGGGAGAAGTGGAAGGAGGGGCCACCGTCGGACTCGTAGCGAGTTCGAGCATGCTCGTTTATTGCTGGTGATCACTAGACGCATATTTACTATAGATGCTTTGGAACTAATCACCGTCGTTGTAAGACTGGAATCAGGAACTGTAGGAAACATTCCAGAGCACGAATTCGCTACACGCGAAATCCCAAAAAAAAAGAAAAAGAAAAAGCGTATCTCCAAATCACTCGCGCTGCGGGTCATAAGGTGAGAGAAACCAACTGAGATTATACCGACATACATGGTCCTAAGGTTGGACAAAAGTATTTGACAACTGTGAGATTCGAACTCACGCCCTTTCGGACCAGATCCTGATTCTGGCGCCTTAGACCGCTCGGCCAAGTTGCCTTGTGATTGAAGGTCCCTGTCCAGCATTATATCACTACTTCTAGCTCTGATGGTCGGAATGCCACCCCTCCCTCTTGATCTGTGGTTCTCGTAATCTGCTCGCCGGAGATGACGTTGCGATGGGTGTCCATGGGCTCACCACCTACCTCCGCGACCACAAACGCTCTCTCACACGCACACTCGACTTTTCCGCACAGCCAGGTGCATCCGCTGTCTTTGTCGTAGACGGGTGGTCGTAAGTCTTCATCTTCATCGTGGTCATAGCTGTGGGTGCAGCCTCGACGCCACCGGGTGACCATCACCCTAAACACGAGACTGACTGTTCGCATCTTTCTTTGCTCTTAGGTTTATCTACGAGCTCTATGGCGAGTCGAAGCTTCCTTGGGTGTATGGAGGAGAGTATGCCGCGTTCGGGGAGCACGTCGAGGACGTCGTCCTAGCGTGGATCGGCGTGGGGCTGCAGCTGCATTTTGTGTTTGATGGTGCGTCACCTTTGCCCCTCTCGAGGGATCGTCACCAACTGACGATTGTTATTCCTTCTGCAGGCCCCGAACCCGAGCTCAAACTCCCCACTGTCATCAGCCGGCTCAACCGTACAAACGTCGAAGGCCCACTCCTCTTCTTCCGCACGTCTCCCGCATCGCGCAGCACACCCCGCTTCTTGCGCGAAACCGCACTTCTCCCACCCCTTGCTTACGCCGCATGTTTGCAGGCGCTCCAAAAGCTCGCAAGCACCACGCCAGCGGTGCAGGTACACCACGCAGATGAGGAAGGCGATCCATTCGCGGTCGAGCTCGCGGGCAGGTTAGGGGGATACGTCCTCGGGAACGACTCGGACTTTGTGATTCTCAATTCAGGGGAGTATAAGGGGTATGTACAGCTCAACGAGATGATGTGGGTTGCGAATGCACCGCCTTCCACTCCCGCAACGCCCAGTGCCACGTCCACCGCGGATGCGGACTGGGGCGCGGACGATGGCGGATTCACGCCTGTCAAAGCCAAATCGAAGAAAAAACGACAGCCCGTGTTCGACCCAAGGGTGACCTATGGTCTCATCCCCCCTCTCGACGTCGTCCCAGATGACCTCGTTCTATCTGTGTCTGTATACGAGCCCGCCTCACTCGCCGCACAGCTCAAGATCCCCACCACCCTCTTACCCTTACTCGGCGCGCTAGTAGGCAACGACTTCTCGAACCACACCTCGACGCAGCGCAACGTCCAATCCCTCTTCTTCGAGCGACACTTCACCCTCTCACAGCGCATCGCGCACGTCGGCACCGTGCTCAGCACCATCCTCTCTGCCGCAACCTCAGCAGCGCACCAAAAGCGAAAAGCAAAGCACCAGCTCGGGAGCGTGATGGACCTCATCGACAGGGCAGTCACAGCGCTGCTCAGCCCTCGCACTACGACCAACATGGGGCCGGGCGAAGTGGACGCGATCGTGGACCGGATTGTAAATGCTGCACTACAGTACGCGATTCCGCGGGACGACGGGGGTCAGCTTTGGCCGACAACAATATGCGCGTTGCACGGGCCAGAGCAGTGTACCCTGCCCGTGCTGTTCTCCCGCGCGCTGTCTCAGCCCGCCGAGGAACCCGACGCCACATCGGACGACCTCGACGCGGACACACGCGGGCATCACGGCCGTCAGAACCGCAGAAACTCTGCCCTCGATCCCGCCGCCGTTGTCAACGCGATCCACCAAGCTGGCGCGGGCAACGACGATCCGCGCACGGCCCAGCGGGAGGAGATCCGGGACATGTACATCGAGGCGTACCGGGCTGGACGGCTCTCGCCCAAGGTGCTCGACGCGCTCAGCACGGCGACGTTTTGGCCCCGCATCTTTCTCGAGAACCCGGACGCGGAGAATGTAGCTCGGAGTCTCGGCCGACCGCTCCGAACGTGGCTGTACGCGGTGTTGGATGATGCCGTTGGCTTGCCCGAGCCTCCTCCCGAGCCGGAGCCAGAGCCGGATGATGAAGAGAGCCAGGCACAAGGAGAGGGTGCGGACGAGGATGAGGACGATGGAGACCCAGACGAGCTCATCGACGTCGAAGAGGAAGACTCGGACGACGACGGGGTGGACATTCTCGCGCCGCTCAGAGGCGAGCTGCAAAAGCTGCGCCCGCCCTCCCAGGACGATTCAGACACCGGAATAGCAGCACGCGACCGCTCGTGCTCGCGCTCCGTGCGCTCGCGGGCCAAGTACATCACCGAGCACGTGCGCCGCGGGACGCGTGTCGCGCCGGAGGAGGTCCTTGTGCCTGACCTGGGCGATCTGCTCTCGCAGTCGGGGTATCTGGAGTACGACCAGGAGAACTGGATTCCGCTGCAGCTCAGGAGCGAGGAGGAGCGGCTGACGTTGCTGTTGAGGGTGCTGGGCAGCGATATGGAGGGTGTCAGGGGGGTGGAGAAGAGCAGGGTCGTGTATGTGCTTGCGCTACGGTGGGTGGTCAGGAGTATGCATAAGAGGGCGCGGGAGAATCCAGAGAGCAGGGAAAGGCAGCTGGAGCGGTGGACACGCGGGGAGGCGGCTGCGTTCGTGCTTACGTGCGTTCACTCTGCTCCTGCAGCCTCCCGCCCATCTTTGGCAAGTGAAAGCGAAGAGGGGCCAGCGATCGATGACAGAAACATCCAGCTTGTCGCACAATTCCTCGCTGCCCTCGAAGCGGTTCACCTACTCGCGCAGGCCCTGCTTCTCTCGGAGCGTGTACCGTTTGACGTCGGCAGGCTCTCTGGGTCCGCATTGCACGCTGCCCTAAACGCGAAGCTGTCCATCGATATTGCAAGCGCTGTCCCTGGCAAGCTGTGGGCCGCGTGCACTCAGGGCCTCGAAGAAGCTCTCGCGGAAGACAGGAGGAAGCGGGCGAAGAAGGATCGACAGAAGGGTGCTGCTCAGGTTCATGTTAATGGCGTCAACGGCGCTTCGGCGCCGCAGAAGATGGGTGGACACTATAGGGGTAATGTTGTGAGGGTCGGTGGACAGAGGGTGACAAACGGAGCGAGTTTGTTTGGAATGCTCGCGGACATGCAGGACTCGTAGTGTCCATTCATTGATTCGTTGTGATAATCATCGAGTCAGGGTTATGGAACAGGCGTCTAAGGTCCAATCGTACGTACCTATAACATGTCACTTGCTGTTGTGGATGTTTTTGGACGAAGAAGCTCCAGGGTTGTACAGCGCAATTGCTTGGTATCAAGGATTTGGCTACCCTGCACCAAATATTCAGGTCTGAACGGTGAACGCTGTCAAAGTTGCTATTGTTATGTGGAAGCGTGGGTAAATTTTCAATGGGAGCATGGTCCGATGCTTACGGTGACATGTTATATCTCTGTTTTGCAAACATTTGCATACATGAAACTGCAAGGGTTTTTCTGCAACGAGCAAGTAAACCAGGTGCGGTACAGTAGTGGAATGCACATTAAAGTACGCAACAAAATCACTATGCTCGATGACACAGCCCACACTGCATGTAAATCAGCTTTCGAAGTGCGTGCAGTGGTACTGGGATGTCTAGTGAGAGTACGAGCGCTTCGGCGAACAGCACAAAATGGCCTGTTTCGAACGAGATCGTGTTGCCTTTTCAGGCCTGAGATCTAGATTTAGATCGTTCCCAAAGCGGAGGCGCGGCATACAGGGTTTGTGCCAATGCGGCTGTGCTTGTTCGAGAAGTTATTGATTTCCACAATGCTGTAGGAGTTGGGCAGTGCTAGTGAGCCTGAGCGTCAGGATAGCGTTTTTCATAGATATCCCAGTGCCTGATGTGGTACCAAGAACGACACGGATGTGGGTATAAAATCCCTTCCAACCCGGTGTCAAAGTCTTAACTCGCGAACAAACCATCCTCCAGCATCCAACATCCATGCCTTCCGCAAGCAAAGCTGCTGATATCGTCACCTACCGTCACGAAGGCGAGATGGTCTACGTTCAACCTCCCCAAAGTCATGAGGTATGCATTCAGCCGTGCTCTCTGCCGTCAACGGCACTAACCATCTCGTCGCGTTTGTGTTCACCAGCAAGCAGTGTGTATTGCGCGAGAAGTGTATCCACGCTTAGCCTCCGTCGACGCCCGACGCATCGCTTTCGCTGTAAACGTCATCAACGGTGTGAACTCACGGACAGTCCGCATCAGCCCACATGCGTGGTCAAAGATGATGTCCCATCTCCTTCGCTACGAAGTCATCGACATTCAGATTCAACCCGAGATCATCGTGACCGCGCCAGGAGAGTTTCCTCCAGACTACGCGACAGCTCAACAGACAGGGCTCAACATTGCGGTGGACGCAGCCCCGTGCCGGGTTCACGAAAAACACTGCTGCTCATCGCAGAGTACAGCGTCGGAGACAGCGGAAAGGCGGCGATCGAAGTCTCCATCTAGACTGACCGCAGGACTATTCTCTTTCTTGAAGTCGGACGCTTAGTGTTCGGAGCCTTATGCATATATATTCAAGGGACTTAAACTGATGCGTGGCAACTACTTATAATGCAAAGCTTTAGAGATCGATATGCAACAGACGTGTCTATATACCTTCTCTGTAGTTCATACCACTTCTTCATTTAAATTGTACAATAGCATTCCTATAATTGCTGTATTATAGCTTCTTCACTCGTTCTTCACTTCAATCTGAACGCTTTGATGCAACACACATTGCAGATACCTCACACCCAGAGCTAGGCTTGATAACAACCGTCAGAAACTTCTCAACATCCTGATTGCTCGGCACGTTCCTCGCCTCAGTCCGAATGATCCGGCTCTCGTCAGCTCCGATAATACTTGACACGATTAAGAGCTAGACACGTTACTTTCAATGAACTCGCGCGCGTGTCTAACGCGTGTCCAAGAAGGCCTGGTTCACTGACTCTGAGGATTCCCCTAGTACACTTTGATAAGGGCAACCGAGCCCTTCTCGGTTGCGGCGCCGAGGATCTACATGAAATACAGCATTATTCGCCCATGACCCTATGGAAGCAGATGTGGGAGGGTGGATCGACTCTACTAGTAAAGAGTCTGAGCGGGTATGTTTGAGAACCTCGAATGTGTGTCCACAGGAAATGGACGCCACTTAGCGCGGCGACATTTAATTGGTGGCTCGGGGTCTCAATTTTAGCTACTATCCAAAACTTTGATCGGGGGGTGCCACAAGCGCCAAGCAGAGCTGTATAGCCAAAAATGTTGCCGTTTGACACCTTCATAACCGAATGTGGAATCTTGGGCAGCGGGCCTCGTGCGTATACTTAAGGTTTGACGCCCATGAATCAATTTCCCAGGATGTTGGCGGCAAAGCCATTTGCGCCGTAGGCCCTTTCTTGAAGGTTGAAGCATCCATATCCTTAGAGTCAAAGACGTTGGCGGATATAGAAAAATGAAACTCTTGCACTCAGCGGGGGTGTCTTACGTTCCAAAATGGATCAATCAAGCCTCAGGAATGCTCAGGAACCGGTCCGTATATATCGGCCCGGTCTGTCCTGCGTTTCGAAGGGCTGGAGTCGCAGTGACGTACAAATTTTTCGTTGAGCCGACAAACAATGATACATGCTGTTGAAGCATGTTGATGATCCAAGAGGGAATCAGACACCCGTGAAGTAGCCGCGTACTAGTAATCGAAAAGAATGTAAAAATGAGATCACACTGTAGGCCTTTGCTGATCATTACGGTATTGACGCGGTGTAGTCTGGTTCTTTATGCGGTTTTACGCAAACAAAAGCGCACGGCTATCTGGGATATGAGCGGTACTAACCCCCCTTCATGAGGCTTGAACTTTAGCTCTGAGGGTGCCGCTGTGACCGCGTGAAGAATTAGAATACAATTCTAGAAAACACTAGTTAGAAGCCAACTCAGGGATATTGAATACATGCTGAGCCTGTATATATGGCTCCAACATCGGTGAAGTGATGTCTTCTGTGATATTATTTCAGTCACATTAGCCACGAGGGAAGTTTAGTTCTCTGATTTTGCTAGCTACTACCAAGCGAGACAAGCAAAGAATAGACTGAAGAATTTTTCAAAACAGGACGGCGAAATGCGCTCACATTTCTGACGCCCCGAAGCATTGGCGCACATTCACAATTCGTTTTCACATTGTGGTAAAAGTAGCGTCATCGAAATCACAGCCGCTTCTCCTCTGGTCCTGAGCATCGGAGAAGACAAATAGGGCGCTTTGTATGTAACGGACAACAGTACTAGTGCCCTAGATTCACCCTTTCGACCTGATGCTCAATGGCTCCTACGGCATGCCTTCACTTGAAAGGATGCCTTGTTGTTCCCTGGAGATAACGTACGATGTGATCCTCTACAGCATACACTATCCCCGCCCCCCTCTCGCCTCGCCTGCCCTACCGATAGCGTAAGAGCTGCTTAGAGCGGAACGTCGCATTATACTGAAGAAGGTTGTTGATATCCCGCACCCAGTCGTCTTCCTTGCCTGGGGCCACTCCCTCCTTACTATCTAAAGAAAAAGTAGTCAGCATGGGAGTTCTGAGTCAGACGACAGACACATGGAGAAAGTCGAAAACTCCAAAAGGAGGACTCTTCAAGTAGCCAGACTGCGCAACGACTGCGCAGGACGGCAGTGGTACCCATTAGTACCCCACTATCTCCAGCGCAAATAAGCCTCGCTCAATTGGTGCCCCTCTGTCGGCGAGGTGTATACACGATATCAGCCCTTTGGACACTACACGACAGAGTGCCAAAGAAAGCAAATGACTCGTCTCGAAAAGAAAACCAGTAGACGTGGGCAGGTAGAGCGTGCACTTACCTTCAGGAACACCCTCTTTCTCTCCCCCCACTTGTTTACCATCTCCGTCGACATGTTCTTCCCTCCCTGCACCGCGTCCCACGCCGTCTTCAACTATCGACGAGCGATTAATGCATGGAACCGGGTATGGTGAAGCGTGCACTGTGACACTGTCGCCGGGATCGAGGACAAGCGATGACCGGCCATCCATTGACACACCCGCGGACGCGCGGGAGCGACCTCCAATCTGTTGGGAGTCAATTCAATACAGCATAGAAAAAAAGGGAGAGACGGTAGTCGTAAGGCAAAAGGTATGCCATGAATAGAGAGAAAGAGAGCAGGGGTGGTGTGGGGAAAACGAGTCAGTCGGGCAGTACGGTCAACGTGAATCACCCGTTCGAGATGCCGAACAAGTCACCGTCGCATGATGGTTGTCAGTTTACATGAGTATAGCATAGCACATGTCGAATTTCATCCACGGCGAGTCGGAGGCGATGGCCCACCGAAATAAGTGACATAGCAGTTAGAAAGACAGGTCAGAAGGATCCCCGATGTTTGTATGGTGCGACCATTGCAGTCAAACACGCAAGGATGTTCGTATGGTGTATACAGACATGGCGTGTATAACAAGCGTTGCCAAGGCCCGAAAAGGCGGACAACCCAGTCGCCGTTCCCAGATATCGTTGTTGTATTCAGTACAGCACCGGTGAATGTGTGGTGGTCGTGGTCGGTGTATACCGTATCCGTGTCCGTAATCGTTATAAAGTTTATGTCGACGAGCACAGAGCATTCCGTCGAATGGAAGAAATGCGGGAGCGGCGTGGTACGGCGGCAGAGAATGATCGGCGAAGTGGCATAAAGCATACAAGAGCAGTGTCCAGGGCCGGCATGCAGGTATACCGGATCCCAGACCAGGCAGAAAGAATGCAACGGAGCATTCACAAAGGTACAGAAGAGCCGAGGGTGCAAGTTAAGGAGTATGTATGTACCGATAAATTTTCGAGGCCGCAAAGGAGAGGAGCAAGGTCCGAGCATAGCAATCGAGCCGTACACGCCAACCGAACATCGTACCACATTTGTGACGACGACATTGAGTCATATCCGCGAAATTTGTCGGGCATAGGCGAGAAGCCGACCCCAGAGAGACGAGTTGGAGCACATGGAGCATCGGATCGGGAAGGGACGGAGTGGCAGTGCGAAAAAGGGCCGAATAAACCCGAGCAGCGGAGACCAAGCAGTGCGCCAATTCCCGGCGGCGATAGAAATTAGGCGCCGGTAGGTGCGAGATTGCCGCGAAAGCCAACGTGTAGACGCCGGATGATCCAAACGCCAAAGAGAGCGCCGATGATGTCGTAGTCAGACATTTATGAATCAAGGATCAGAGTGATAGGCAAGGGAAGATATGAGAAAATCTCGGTCAGTTATGTCATTTTGGACTCGATAGAACGAAAAGTTTGAACAAGGCATGAGAATAGGATCTCATGGCACACAGCAAGGCCGTTCGTGCGCGCATCAACCAACGAGATGGTGTGTCCACATGTTGATAGAAAATAGAAAAAAGAACGCGCATGCACGGGTAAACATCATGGTAAAAGAAAAAATTCTGCGCGCGGGTGGGAACATACATGACCCACAACATGCGTCCAAGTCATTAGAACCCCACACGCGGCGGCCAGCGCGGAAAGACACAGCACTCAGACGCTGGACACGTTTCCACGAAACGAGAACACCCCAGAAAACAGCTAGCCAAAACACGAGCGCGAACGGAAAAGCAGCGCTCGAGTGCCCAACGCAGCTCTTGGCACGCGCCCATCCAACGAAAACAGCTCAAACAGCAACCCAACCACAGACCAATACGAAACAGATCTCAAACCCCAAAGCACCAAAACAAAACGCTCACCTGAAGCCTAATAACGCTCCCCCTCGGAAACACGAGTGGCCTAAAGCTCAGACTCCGCGGGCATATCGGCACGAGCACGAGCGCGGCGAGCGACGGGTGCACGATCGGCCCGCCGGCGGAGAGCGAGTACGCGGTCGAGCCGGTGGGCGTGGAAACGATGATGCCGTCCGAGACGGCCTCGGTGAGGTGCTGTCCGTCGACGAAGATGTCGATCGTGTTCAGGTGTGGAGATGCGCCGCGGTGTAGCGCGATTTCGTTCATCACTTGCCAGCCTGCGGGAGGGAACGGGGAGGGAGGGGTAAGTGAGTGAGTGATAACAACGAGAAAAGGGGGAACGTACGGTCTTCGTCATCACCTTTTCTGTTCCCGTCCTTGTCGTAGAACGTGCACGTGAGCCGCATGCGGTTGAGGATGGTTGCTTTTCCAAGGAAGACAGCTTCGAGGCTCTTGACGAAATCGTCGATATCTGGCACACGCATCTCGGTCAGCCGAACGAGAGCCTCCGGATGCCCTTTGATGGAAGAAGGGAAACGCACGGAAAGGTAACAGGAATCCGAGCGTGCCCATGGAGAATGACAACACAGGTGGGACCGCGCCTTTGGAGAAGAGTGAGGCAGCATGCAGTATGGTACCGTCCCCGCCAAGCGTGACTACGAGATCGATGTCTGGAGACGAGGGCCCGGGTTTCCACGCCTGGACGCCTTCAGGGATGTCAGGCCTATTCTCGGCATATATCTGGACTTCTGGATATGTGCTCCGGACATGACTGACGAGGTCGGGTCAGCGCTACTTGCACTATGTGCGGAGAAGGAGTGAAGGGAGGAGATGTGGAGTGGAGAAACCAGAAAGTGAAGGAAGGTGAAAGGAGAGGGTGAGGAGAAAGTGAGACCGACATACATGAGAAGTTCGTCTATCGCTTTCACGACTGGGTCTGTTCGGAGCTTGTTCACAATGAGGATGTTTCGGGGTGGAAATATGCCTGCTGGTCTGTTTGCCGTCGCGCCACCGCCGTCATAACCACCATCCGCCCACCCCGTTCGTCATCGAGAAGGGAGGTACGACGTCAAACCAGGGATAATGAATGAAAGAAGAGGGAAGTTAAGAGGTGAGTACGTCAGACCCAGGCCAAAGAACAGCGGAAATCAGAAACGCACGGGGCAGCCATGCTCGTGCTCGCGAGCGAGATGCTTCTCTTTCCTATTCCCTGGCCCGCCGCCCATCTCCCACTCCAACCTGCGCAGATGGTGGTGCCGATACCCAGTGACGTTCCTACTCGCGTTTTTGCGATTGGTGTTGACGTGCTCAAGCATGCGCGCTGGCACCACGATACCCTCCCACCTGCCTCCTTTCCCCACATGCGCGACCTAGCGGCTGCGGCTGCCCATGACAAGGTAGAGCTTGTGCTTGCGAAAGGCCAACCTCGGCCCATCGAGCCGAACGCTATTAGGGATGTAGTAGAGCGATGCATTGTAAGCTATGCGCGATTCGTGTCAAGCGTGTGGGTTGCGCTGTGAGGTCTTGACTCGTCCTGACTGTGCCGTGGTCTCCGGTGAGATTGATGCTAAGTTTCGGCCGACGGCTTGTGCCTTGAGCCTGGACTTTCTGTGGTGTGGGATTAAAGCAAAGAAAGGAAATCAAGAACTAAACGTCGTCGAGATGCTCTTTGGCCAAGCGTGAATCGATATGAGCGTGCAGCCGCTGAGCCTTGCGCTGAGCCCACGATGAAAGAGACGCGGGCTTCCGGAAGCCGATTCTCCACTTCGCTTTTCGCACCTGGAAAAAACCCCCGAACATTCGGGCCGGCCCCGCGTGGGAACATAAGAGCCTTTAAAATTGTCGTGCATCACTTTGTCTGGAACTCTGGACGCCATTCTGTACTGAGCGTTGTGCTATTTCATGGTGCTGAATATTGAAACATCGAAATTCTAAATTAGCTTTATTTTGCATCATTTCTTAACCAAACGGACTGGCTGATTTTCAATGATAAAAACTCACTGCAAATTCATTATAAACAATTGGAGCGTTTTGAGCGTTTTGAAGCGTTAATTATATAGATTATTACTGCATATTCTAGTCATTTTGCAATGTTGTTAACATTTATGTTGTGCAGCCGTATTGAGAGATTCCATGTAATGTAACGAAGTATCGAGCATCTTATAGCAGGAGTTGCGAGGGGTCAACGTTCACATACTGCAGCACAGTTAACTATGTTGTGATTGCTTGTCTCGAGTTTAAATTAGCAATAGAGTCTTGCAGATATTTGCTAAGGCGCCTTTTACTTTGAGAAGTACATCGTATTTAGTAGCATGTACAACCAGTTCACGCTGACTACGGTATGCTCCGAGTCGGAATTAGTGTCGTTCATAATATATTGCGATGATCGCATCGAACTAGGGAAACTTTCGAGCGTGCAGCCTGCGGTTAAAGTTCGTGCGTCGTTCGCAAAAGCAAAGATTTTTGATATGTCACGGAACACCCCAACAGCGGATTTTACTCCTGTGTTTGCATATCAACTATAGGTGTAGGATCCATTTTACCATGTGCAGCCTATCCACAGCAAACTTTCGTGATCGCGTTAGAAGTGAGTAGTTCAGGAGAATCCGCTGCAAAAGTAAGCTCGGAGGATCTCTAGTTTGGGCAGCCGAGTCTGCGCAGTATGTCTCAGTAGCTGACTAGGAAAGTTGAAGGAACAAAGGTAGCTTAAAGGCATTTGGATAGAAGGCCTACTGGGCATAGTGTCCATTGTGGCAACTAATCGGGAAGGTACCTGTACGATACCAGAGTACACAATCCCCCACCATGTGCCACACGAAGTACTGGGGCGTAGGGCTATCCTGTTGTCTACCGCTTGGATTGTTGTTAAAATCAAATGCAGATGGAGGCTGTGAAGCGGTGCTTGCTGTACGAAGCAGTGCCAGTGTGCGGTGTATTTTTATACTTAGATGTCGCTAAGAGTCTCACAAGAACATCTCAACAGCAGGTTCCTGTAAGCAACACGGAGGCGCCGCGGAGCTTCCTGATAATTTGATCACCGCATCCAACAATCTCCGCGACAGTGTGATCGGAATCAACGTTAGTTTTCAACATTCCTTACAGTTGTTGAGAGCGCTAGTTGTAAGCGTCCTTACTTGGTAAGTAACAACCAAGGTCACTAAGTCAGTATGCTCCCGCAATGATCCGTGCCTGTGAGAATGCTTGAGTAGTCATTTTATAGTTGGCCTTCCTAGTTCTGGCGTGAGAACTCTGACCACATAGTCCGTCCTCGACGCATCCTGAAGCCTCAGTCATGCCCTTCACCAGCAGTATCAACCGTTGCAGGTAATGTGTATGAACAGCACTGCAAGAAGTAATGTGGTACTTTGATATCAAAAATTTTCTTGTGTCCGCGTTGATCTTTGGGCGTTGGGATATTTCATAATCATAGGTATCGAGGAAAGCTGCCGATTTGGCACCACAATAATACCACGTATATCTCTGAGTACTTAAGTACTTATAGATGAACACATTGGTTTAGACACATTTAGAGTACGATTTCATCTTATATTGTGGTGTCCGCGGTTGATTACCTCGAATAATTTTGGGATACATACTTAAACCCACCTAAAACCAGTTGTGTCCGGGATAACGAAGGAGAGGTCCAAAATTTAAACGGACATCCCGATACGATCGTGTGTCCCTGATTATGCTGGAAAGTACGAAGGTAAGCATATAAATCCCTTACTTGAATCGAGTCGAGCACGCAGGGAGCGGATAGCTGTTTTTGATCTGAAGTAGATTGACATTGGATAGACAACTAGTATATGGTCAACCGGAGGCTTCACAGTAAAAGTAACCTAGCGAAATCTATGGAATTGACCGAGTGCATATGCTGAGGATCTACAGCCAAAAGCTGTGCTACTGCGGCAAATAACAGTGAAAATCAAAATAACGTCTCCGCTGTACAGGAAGCTGCTCTCACAGTGCCTAGTAGGCCTACTTGTAGGTCTATATTAGTAGAAAGACCGCGGATTATAGTTTTCTGACGATAGGCATTCACGCGAGCGCCTGCTGTACTCCGCCGACGTGCTCGGAAGCAAGCGCCAAGCAGGCAAGTACTGGGCGTCATGACGGTTTTCGTATAAGCGCCAGTCGTCATAGAGTTAAACTCTTAGAGACTACAGCAAACCGTTAAAGGGCTATGAATGTAGCAGTTTAGGTGTCGGAGCTTCCCAATGATGACTGTGTTCGCATCGCATACTAGAATTCCAAGCGGGTGCGATTTCTGCTCATACCGCTAAGCTCTCTTTGCTAGTGTATCGATGCAGGAGTAGCAAGCTTTAGTTTTTTTTTTTTTTTTTTTTTTTTTAGCGCGCCAACTCAAATCCGACAGTGCCGGGAGAAAATACAGGACTGAATCAGGCGCAGACAACTAACTCTGTCAAGCGCCAGAGGGTCGGGGCTCAGCCAACAGGTCACGTAGTAAGATGAAACATGTCTTTGTGCCGTTAATAGGGAAACGAGGTACACCCTGGTCCGCACAGCTGAGCCTGGGAGGGAAGGGAGCTGATTGACTTTAGATGAAGGCAGTTTGCTCGAAGGAGGTACAGCAAGTGGGGATCTACACCTATCAATGAGGTTGAATACCAGTACTGGATAAAAACTACACCAATGTCCAAAGTTCTCGGTACGTGCCTTTGGTCAACTACGGAGATTACAGCCGGTACAAGGTTTAGTTTAATGGAGTCTGTGAATCAGTAGCCTTGAGGCATTGTTATCAAAGGCTTCTACGACGAAAGCGTCGAACTTTGAAGATGTAAAGGAAGCTCTATATTTACACTAGTGCACGATTTCTACACGTGAAGTACCAAAATCTGACACCGTATTGATTTTCTCGGACTATAGTCAAGTTGGCTTGCAGCTCGCGAACTCTGCCGAAGACACGGTTTTAGTAACTTTCTGGATCACTGACGCTCAGAACCGTTGCACTGCGCCAGTAATATGTCTATCGCGAATCCCACAATCTTCTTCTGAGGAGTGACGAGAAATTCAAGCTATAAATTGTCATGTTCTTCAAATTCGCCAACGCGAGATCATGCACCGGACGTCTCCCCACTCTCATCTCCAAATGCATTCAACGCCCTCTTAATCACCTCTGCATCGCGACGATACTCAAACTTGACCGAGAACGGAGGCAGACGCGACGTAAACGCATCCTCCCAAGATTCCAAGTCAAACTTCTTGCCCGGCACCGGTACGATGTTAAACGCCCAGAACATGAGCGCGAGGTTGATGTAGATCGACCGGTTCGCGAGGTGTTGTCCTGGGCAGACCCTACATGCATCGACACAGTCAGGATTCGTCTGAAACGTTTTACAAAGCGTAGGTCACTTACCGTCTCCCGAAACCATATGTAAAGTACTTCATTTCTTTCCTTGGCTGTCCGTCGGCGTCGAGCCAGCGTTGAGGATCGAATTTCTCGGGGTTGGGGAATGCGTCTGGGTCGCGTGAGATAGCCCTGTTATACTGTTAATTAAAAATGAGTGATGATGCTTATGAGACGCTCACCAGTGTGTACCAAGAACGACAGCACCCGTAGGAATTACGTAGTTGTTCTATTCGTATTCTTGAGACAGGAGTTTGTAGAGTATGAACTAGAAGCACTTACGTATATGATATCTCTGTTGGCCACATGGGAGAATCCTGCAGGCCGCATGAGGGTATGTATCGTACAATGTCAAGTGTAGTGCTCACCTATAGGCGTAACCGGCCTGAATCGCAACAGCTCCTGCGTCCAAGCCCACAGCTCAGGTAGGCTGTCGTAGTCTTCGAACGTCGGGGCTACAAAACAACGTTGATCCTTGCTATAGCGGCAGACTCACATTACTCACCTCTTTCTCGCACAATGACAGCATCTATCTCCGCGTGCACACGAGCCTGCGCGTCGGGGAAAGCAGCCGCGAGCATGACGGCGTGCGTCAAGGCAACCGCAGTCTGTTATGCGTGTCGTCAGAAAAGTTGGGATAACTTAGATTAAAGACTAGCCATACCGTATCGCTTCCTGCGCCAAAAAGCCCGAGTGACAGGTACGACATGGTGTCTCGCCCGAGTTCATGCACGTCCTGGTTCTCAATGACAGATCTGGTGAATGAGGTTCCGGCGGTACCGTTGTTCTAGCATCGCGGTTTACACATGTCAGAGAGGGGGCTTCCTTAGAAGAAAGTTAACACGAACCATTTGCTGCTGGACCTTATCAAACTGCTCGGAAACAAGATCACTCTCAAGCTTTTGCCACTCGAGCATGTCGTGTCCATAAGCGCCGACGATTCGGCTGACCCATGTGAGCCCCACAGAGTCGAGCGTGTCGCAGATGCGCCTCATGCCCCCAAGGCGATGGAAAGTTTTCAGGAAGGGAAAGCGGTTGACCGCGTATCGTCCAGGGACGAAGAGAGAGCCCACAAGTCTGGTGAGCTGGTGAACGCGCTGGACCTCTGACGAGTCAATTGACGTCGGGGTTTGTTTGCCGTAGGTGACTTTGAGTATGACGGACGCAGCGTATCTAAAGGATAGTTGTATCAATATCAATCTTTCTGGGAGGCAGTAAAGGGCGCTGCGCACGTTTTCATATGGTCAGCGAAGCTATCGGGGGTTTTCATCAAATTTTGAATGAGGATGCGAGCGTTCGCCATCTGGATGGGCTGGTAGCTCTCAGCAGCTTTAGGCTGCAGCGCTGTATGCAGCGCCCTGCCAAATGTGGGTTGTGAGGATTCAAGTTCTTGTTCTCTGGGAGAATGTCCTCACCGTCTCATCTTGCGGAAACGGTCACCTCCGCTTTCCATGATGATGCGGCCGGCAGTAGTGAGCAGCTCAGTCGCAACGACATTCCGGGGCCGGTCGACGTTGGACCCACCGGCTTTCTCCATGATCTCGGTCGCGGCCTACAATTATTTAAGCTCGGGGGTTTAGACATGCTCAGACGAGAAGAACACCTACTTCCATTCTGCCAACGACGACGAATAGATTGCTTCCTTGCTTGATGGTGAATACGGGACCGTATTCGTCTGTCATATCCGCAAGGATGTGCGCGACACTGACGAACGAGTTCAAGTGTCGGTGTTATCTATTGCCACGAGAAAACCTTCAGGAGTGAGAATACTTACTTTTGGGCAGGAAATGGCGGCTCAAAGAACCATTTTGCTGGAGGACCAGGAGGGAGCGGCAGAGCTTGCCCCTGAGAACCAAGTGCTTTTCCAACACCGTACAATGCGAAAAGCAAAGCACCTGTATAAAGAGCACCAGTGGTAGGAGTCAAGGTTTCTATGAAAGCATGCAGCTGGGTAGGAATCTCGTTCAACTGCTCCATAACGACTCTGTGTAAGCGTAGTGAAAGTAGGGGAAGAAGGGGTGCTGGAGGGCTGAAAGAGCGACCCCAGGTTTATATGTTGTCGGAGGTGCTTCTTTCCATGCGCGAATCATTTTCGGGTACCGAGAACCGTATATGCATAACCTGGATTGTCAAGGATCCACGCACATACACATCAGCGCCGTGTCCGATGAGCGGACGTCGCACCAATGTCGTGTACTCATTTACGTGAAGTTGATGACGTCGAAGGCGCACGCGACCCGCAGCCAGGGAAGCGCTGGTCCGTGTGAGTTTCATCGAGAAAGCGCAACGACCTAAGTACCGGTACCTGCGGTGAGTTGAGTTCTGCGTTGTAGGGAAATTTTGCTTACGCTCACAGAATTCGACATCCGACACCGTGTTTTCTTGCCATCTATTTCTTTGCTCCGGTAGGCCTCCTATCGTTGCGCTTGGTTTGATGTCGGGAACTGATATGTTCGACCTTTGATAGAGCACAGGACGCCGGAACGCAGCGGAGGTTTATCTTGCTTATGAGGCGCAGATGAGACATAAAAGGTTTAGAGGAGCTCATATCCAGTGTGGCTCTGGATGACTCCGTCATGCAATTTTCCGAGATGTGACTCGCTGTTGCTGGAGGACAGGATCAAGGGAGTCAAGAGGACGCAGCGTGGCTGTACAGCGAGACCCGTCACAACGTCACGTAACAAGTCACGAAACACGTGATGCGCGTCTATCACTGTTCGTCACTCGTGAGATCGCGATTTGTCCGCGTTCTGCGCAACGTCCTCCTCTTTGTTCTTTTGCCACACCTTTTCTCTTTTCTTCCGCTTGTCTCACTTGTCAAGGGGACGGAAGGACCACGCATACAAGGAGAAAAGCTTGGAACACAGATCTTATAGAGGCTTTGGATTGACGCAACCTCGTGGAAAGGTGCAGGGTAGACTTTAAACAAGAGACGGTCCACAAGGTGCGTCCCGAACTCGTGGCATTACGGTGGCCCCGTCTCATACACTCATTACGGACTCGCTGAAGAACACTCGCAAAGGAAGGATTGACGAAACACTGTCGCGCGAGCCGACATTGACGCCCGTTTGGCCATGCCGGACAAACGCACTCGCTCGCAACTTGCAGCGCAGCCACCTCCGCTTCCCGCAGACCTGTCAGAGTCACCTCTCAAGACGGCTCGCAGAAAACGCACAAATGGGACTGTAGCGAACGCCACGAAGAAGCTGAGACCAGTGGTGGAGGTGAGAAAGGGGTTCAAGAAGGCGGGTCGTAAGGAGACAGAAGAGGTTGCTGCTCCCGGCCCATCAAGGGGGCAAGGAGAGGACGAGAAGGAGAAAGCAGACGAGATGGTACTGTCGCTACCGACCAGAAGGGAGGGTATGGAACCTGGGGAAGAAGACGTCGACATGGACGCGGGCGCGGATCCGAACGCGCCACCAGACAACCAAGACGCTCACAGCGATCAGGAGGGCGATAGTCGAAAGGGTAGACTCGGAGCAAGGCCACCCGCCTCAAAACGTACCTCGGATACGCGCCGCGAGCTCTCCGTGCCCGCGAGCCCGAGCCTCGAGCGCACGCCCAAGCGCCTACGCGTCGACAAGCCCATGTTCTCATTCCAGGACATCATCGTGCCCGTTCGGGACAAGCCGCGGACGAACCCCAATGACGCCGGGGCGCTACTGGGCCATGGGCACAATCCCAGCAAAGGCAGCCCAAGCAAGGTAGGCGGGTCCAAGCGCGCAATCTCGGTGCCTGCCATTGCCTCCCCGGAGAAGCGGCGCGCTATGGCCGACTCAGAGGCGGAGGACGGCGAAGATGAAGCAGGGCAAAGCGCGGTTCCGCACATCGACTTGCGGCAGCTCCCGCCGTCGCCGTCGAAGCGTCAGGGGAGCATGCCCGCGTTGGACTTTACGCCTGCGAAGGGCTCTAGAGTGAAGGGAAAGGCCAAGGAGAACGGGAAGGAGAAGGAGAAGATGGTCGAGGGCGAAGGCGAGGAAGACGAGCCGATGGACGTCGACGCGTTCGCACCCTTTACGAACGGCGACATGGCGTCGACCGTGCACGCCAGTGGCAGCGGCAGCAAAAGAAAGGCGAAGCTTAAGCGGCGAAGCTCTATTGCGAGCCCTGGCCCTGGCATTGCCTCGGCTTTAGGTGCTCGAGCTGCGATGTTCCCCGAGATCACGGTACAGACTGCGAGCCCACAGACACAGGCGGGTGAGTTGGCGACGCCGCGAGCCGCTCCATCTCGGACTGCTGCTTTCGCGGCTTCTGGGAGCTCGGTCAAGGCAACGCCGCGGAGTACACTCCTCGGACAGCGTTATCAGAAAGCTTCAACGATGCCGAAGACTCCGTTCGGTGGGGTTCCTGCTACGCCCATGTCGCCGCTCACACCGATACCGCCGACACCATGGGTGCCGCAGCGGGCTGACAACGAGGAGGAGGATGGGGACGAGGAGAAAGGAGTGCGGATAGCGAAGCTGGAGTGGGGGAGAGATTTGAAGGTGGGGGACTCCTCTTTGGTGAGCCCCAGATAACGTCCGTTGTCAACGTATATTCATGGATTTCACTGGATCATTAGTCGAAGGAGACGACGTCGCTGGAATCACTGCCAACCAACACTACGTCTACGTCTCTGGCCAACTCCCGACCCTCACCAGCACCCTCTAACCACAGCACACATTCTCAGCCTCGCTCTCAATCCCATGCCCCGACCAAACCTCCCGTTCAAACTACCCTAGTATCAACACCCAAGGCCGCTCCGACCACTTCCGCTTCGAAGATGAGGCCAACGCCAGAAACGAATGTCCTGGCGCAGGCACTCGAAACAGCGGCAACGCCCTCTAGCTCCGGCCCTACACCCAGGAAGCCAGGCCCGACGACGCGCAGGGCGGCGATGCGGAAGAAGGGTGAACGTGAGTAGTCTTAGCAGTGGCGTCGTGAGTGGATGTATGCGTGATTGTGCTCATAATTTTTGGTTTGCTATAGGTATATCCACAGGGACGCCGAACCGGAAGGAGTCCCCCGCACCCTCGATGGCTTCGGAGCCCGCGCCTGAACCAGTACCCACACCCGTACCGGCAGCAGCACCAGCACCGACGCTAGCTGCACTGCTGAACCAGGCAGCGAAAGACAATGCTGCCGCGGGAGTCGAAGCTTCGCGATTGCAGGCTGGGGGCTCAAGGGTGGGTCGGACGATGTCGCGAGCAACGTCGAAAGCTCCGTCTAGAGCTTCATCGAAAGCTCCCCCCGCCAAGGCACATCCAGCACCTGCCAAAGCCCAGTCTAGAGCATCATCGAGAGCGCCACCGGTCAAGGCTCCCGTTGCTGGAGCGCCGTCGAAGGGACAGCCGAGTCGGACAGCTGCGAGGGCACAGTCAAGGGCACAGTCACGAGCGACTTCAAGGGCTCCGTCGAGAGCACCATCCAGACCGTCTTCCAGAGCTGCGTCGCCGGAACTACTACCACCAGACCCGATGGCACAGGAGCAGCCTGTGCAAGGTGAACCTTCGGCGAAAGCCAAGTCGAAATCGAAGAGTCCGCCTCAATCTATACCCCAGACTGACGCTGAGAACGGCATCAGCCAGGCGGCAGAACCTCGACACTCGTCTCCTCACGCTCCGCCCCAGCCCACGACAAGCGACGAGCGCATACCCACACCCGTACACACGCCCTCCTGCGCCCGCACCGAACCGTGGCTTCCCTCTCTCGTTCGCTCTCGCTCTCGTTCCCTGTCCCGATCGCGCTCGCGTTCTATTATGGATGTGGACGCGCGTCTGCCCGCGCCAGCAGCGCAGCGTATGTCGATACCGCGCTCGCCATCTCCGCCCCCGCCGGCAGAGCTGATGGACGTGGACGTCGAGCCATCATCGGAACCTGAAGCGGACGCTGTGGAGCTTGAGAGAGGGCGTAGGGATGAGATGGCAGTCAACGCAGCTGAGGAGGCTGCACGGGGGGAAGTGGGCGACCACGATGGCATAACAGACGCGGCAGAACCAACGCTAGCTCCGGCACCGGACACAGAGGACCTGGCCATTCCGTACGAGCCCACAGAACTGCTTTCAGAGCTCTCGGAGGTTCCGAGCGAGGGCGGTGAAGTCGAGGGTGAAACCGAAGTCGACGCAGCGCGCGGGGCTTCTCCGCTTCCGTCTGCCCCTGCAGCTCCGACCTCGCCTATCGGGGACGTGCCTGGTCCCGCTACTGCGGACGCGATCGAGGCGGCGGCGATCACGACGACGCTGAAGCCAAGGCGCACGCGAGCGAAATCGGTGGTCCAGCCTACGAGGGTGTCGCCGCGGACAAGCAAGGGTGCATCGATGTCGGGGATTATTGCATCAGGGGCCAAATCTGATTCTATTGCTGCTGGTCCGTCAAAGGGTAAGGCGAAGGAACAACCGAAGCCAACGGAGAAGGAAAAGTTCAAGACGGTGCAGAGCGGGAAGCTGAAGCAGGCGTCGCTCATGGCGTTTATGAAGGGCCCGAGCACACCTGCAGCTGCTACCCCTGTCAAGCCGGCTGCTGCCGCAGCGGGTCCGAGCGGTGCTGCTATCAATGCTGCGAAAGCGACCCCTGCAGCTGCAGGGCCCAGCACGAAGAAGCCGACGGTAAGGCCGAGCATGCTGCCCGTCCCATCGCCGCGCAAGCCCACCTCCATCATGTCCACCGCCTCCAGCGGCGGTCTGTCGAAGCTCCCATGGACCTCTAGCACAAGCACGGGCACCACCACCCCAGGAAGTTCACGCCCACCGCTCCGGAACACGCTCTCCACGCTTGCACAAGCGCTCGACAGGCTCGCGATGCCCCCGCCCAGCCGGCCGAACACGAGCCTCGGGTTCAATGCTGACGAATCAGAGATATCCGATAGCGAGGTCAGCTCCTCGGGGGCGTCGTCTGCGCTGGGCAAGGCAAAGGGCAAGGCGAGGGATTATGGTTCACTGGGTGGGATGAAGACGAACGCGGCGGGGATATCTGGGAGGGCCAGGAGCGGCAGCACCAACGCGACTACCAGCACGGGCACGAACCGGAGCACGAGCGTCGCTCCGCGGAGCAAATCCAGTCTCGGGATGATGCAGCGGAGTGCGAGCCTCGCCCCGAGCACTATGTCCTCCTCTGTGCGTACTCCAGGGTCCAATGCGTCGTCTGTCTCTGGCGCTGCCGTTTCTGGCTCTGCGCCCGGGTCTGTTACAGGCGCGGGCGTGGGGCCGTTCGGCTCGCGCGTGCCTGTGCGTGGTGGTGCTGGCCTGAGGGGCCGGGCTACGACGGGTATTTTCGGGCGCACAGGTGCGAACGCGCGAGCGAGCCAGAAGTCGAGTTTACCAATGGTCGTTGGGAGTCCTGTCAAAGGTGGTGGTGCCGCGATGGACGAGGATGTGGATGTGGAGATGGGTGAGAGCGAGAGCGGGAACAGTCTCGGTAGACTCGGTGGACTTGGTGATGCAGAGGATCGATCGGCGGAGGGAGCGATGGACGTCGACGCCGCCGCCGCCGCCAGACCGCATACGCCCAATGGGAAAGGTGACGATGGCGATAGAAGTTTTATATTCGTCCAGTCGTCACCGTCATCGTCGGCGCAGGAGAACGGAAATGATAGGAATCATAGACCACGGGGCGACTCACGCCGTGCTAGCATGGCTCTGATGTCCCTCTCGCAGAGCCTTTCCACAATCCCCGTCACGCCGCCGAAGCCACCCAAACCCGTCGTTGTCGGCACACGTACCGGCCTGCGCTCTTCCTTAAGCGGCCACCCTACCAGCGCCAACGGTACTGGCGAAGGCGGCAGCGTGAGCCAAGACACCGATATGCGCATAGTTCCCAGCAATGGAGCGGGAGGGAGCATGAACTTAGCAGGCGGTAGCGGAAGTGGCGGCAAGGACAAGAGCAAGAAGTCGCTCAAGGTGCTCAAGAGCTGCACGATCTTCGTGGACGTGCGCACGGACGACGGGGACGACGCGGGGAGTCTGTTCGTTGATATGCTCCGCGGGCTGGGGGCGAGGATTTTAGGCAGAGTAGGGCAGAGCTGCACGCACATCGTGTTCAAGAACGGTTTGTCGAGTACGTTGTCACGGTACAGGTTGGTCTCTCTTCCACAATCGGGTGTGCCAAGAGAAGCGCTAATGTAGCGATCGTCTGGCAGATTACTGAACGATCCTAAGCCTGCTGTAGTGGGTATTGCGTGGGTGGTGGAATGCGTTGAGCAGCGTGAGCGGGTCGATGAGGCAAAGTTCAAGGTGGACTTGGACAACATCAACGTCTCCGGGAATCAGAAGGTTCGTCTGGTCTCTGGTCTTTCTCTGTGTTGTATGATCTTAACATGCCTTAGCGCCGTCGATCCATGCTGCCCAAGTCGGTCGTCACTACTCCTGGGCCGTACGTTCCCGATGGGGATTCTTCCGACGTGGAAGATAACGGTGTGCAGGGGAGCGAGAGGGTGTCTTCGCCTTGTACGTACCCTCTTGTCTTTCGTTTAAGTGGTCGTGAAGCTGATGAATGGACAGCGCAAGACCCCGATACGAGCCTCCGATCAAACGAAGACGACTTGCCTCCACTGGAACGAGCCAGGCGCAGAAGAGCCGCAGCTCTTGCAAACGCTGGCAAGGCCTGAACGCTTTCTTTTGACATTCGTTTTTCTATTTGTTTCTGTCTTTCAAAGTTGATTTGCTTTGAGGTGTGAGGTGTTATCGGGCTATCTCCTGGCTTATAGTATATACAAAGAGGCTTTGTTGCCACTTACGACGAGACGGGCCTATCTTTGGGCTGGCACACGATGTGTAATTTATACCATCAGTAACGGAAATGTAGCAGAAAATTGTGATCTGTAGTTGCTTCATTTGCTGTTCGAGAGACTTGGAAAGTAGAGGGCAAGCTGAGCTATCGGTGGTGTTTGATGTTGGATTTGAAGAACATTGAATACCGAGAGACATGAGGGCCACGTTGCGCACAACGTGAGTAATTCACAGGGGGAATAGCCCAACAAGTTCTCAGAACTTATTGTGGAAATATTGCGGATGCATTTTAATTAAGTTTTGCCAGGACAGCGAGACTTATCTTGGAACTTACCAAGGGCACATTTTGAATAAGTTTTGGCGCTTTACAATTGACACGGTTAATTTGGCTATAAGAGACGATTCATTCAATATATCTCCCCGCTATGTACCAAATAAGTCTTCCTTTTTCTGCAAAACGAAATTAAAATACGTCTTCAATATTTCCACCATAAGTCCCGAGAACTTATCGGGCTATTCCCCCTGTGAATTCTTCCGAGACGCGCTCTTAAGTTACTCCTTGTTTTTCTTTCCCCTTTCACATCCCATACATTACACCTCCATGGTCAGCATGCGGTAAGTCACATCCAATGGACACAGCCCGGCTCGCTTGAAGGTCGCTGACTTACCTTGTGCCCAAATCGTACTTCCTTGTCGTCGACGTGCGGTAGTAACCGTTCGGATGCTATTATGCCAAACTTAAGCGCCGATGGGTGGTGATGGGTCCATGTGGGCTCCTCGAGGCTCTCGGGGTGCAGTGTTCCCCTCAGCTTGAACCTGATCCACCATCATGTCTGTCAACTCGCGAAGTGAGTCCTCCTGCTCACGTCTATGACGCTTCTGACGAACTGATGATCACAGCATCGGCTTTTGCTGAAACCGACGGGAATGTGTGGTGGAAACTTGCTGAAGCGTGTGCGCAAGGTGCTGTGTATGACTCAAACGAACGCGCACCGCATTCCAAGTGCCTCCCTCACACCAGGGAAAGCCTCCTCAGAGACCTTTACAGCCTCGCAGACGACAAGAAGCGCAAGATCGTATGGATCGTCGGGGAGTCTGGTTCAGGAAAATCAAGTGTAGCATATTCGTTTGCGGACCACCTTCATCGTACCGGAAATCTCGCAGGGACCTTCTTTTTTTCTAGGAAATATGCCAAACGGAAAACGTTCGACCATGTTCTCCTTACCTTTGCTTATCAACTAGGGTTGCATCATCCTCGGGCGAAGGAAGTTATCACGAAAGCCATCTCCAACGACCCCTCCCTCCTCTCTTCCGAAAAGTCCCGTAGTGCTCAGCTCGAAATGCTCATCATAAGTCCTCTGCGTGAGCTAGCGTTCATTTTGAAGAGTCAAGGTCGGCCTGGTATGTCCATCATCTTGGACGCCCTTGATGAGGGAAGCACGAGCGGCGAAGATCATATCCAACCCTTCGTCCTCCTACTTGCTCGCCTTCTAGAAGATAAGAAGAAGCTGCCAATCATCAATATCTTCATTACTAGCCGGCCCTGGTCTGACATCAGTGCCACGATGGACAGCAGTACTAGTGACCTCTCTGATCTGACGAGGGTCGTCACTGTGCGGGTCGGCAATTACCAATCGCTTGAAGATATTGACCACTTTTTTCGACACGAGCTGGCTAAGGTATATCACTCTCACCAGCTCTCGATTCTGCATCCCCAACCATGGCCTGCTGAAAACGACTTCGTAACGCTGAATCAGCATGCCGCTGGTCGCTTCATTTTCGCGGCGACTGTAGTGAGACTGGTTAAGCAAGGCAAGCCACAGGATCGTCTTCAGCTTGTGTGCAGCATGCTACGTCGTAATGTGGCTCATGTGTGGGGTAACATCGATCACCTATATTCCTCCATTGTTAACGGCATTGAAGACGCATCCATCCGCTCCACCGGATTGAAGTACCTTTCTCAGATTACTCATCTCGCCGAACCACTCTCCCTATCCGATTTGCAGGTCTTCTTTAGAAAGGTCGACCTTCATCAGTATCTCCTTCCCTTCTCAGCCCTGGTTTCAATTCCCCCTGTGGGCTCGCCCGAGCCCGTAGAGATATACCACACTTCTCTCCGCGACTTTTTGCAGAGACGCTCACAACAGACCGATGATGCAGCCGATGATGGTCCCGAGACGCATCGCCGTCTGGTGTCATTGTGCTTCCGAACGATGGCGAGGTTGCTGAAGCACGACCTTTGCGACTTCCAAGATCCTTCCTCTCAGATTTCCGACTTCCCCCAAAGACGCGACGCGGTTCCTCGCGCGCTTCGATACGCGTGCAGGCACTGGTCATATCACCTCCGGCGGACCTCCCCGAATCAGAAGGTCTGCGACCTCCTCTTAGATTTCCTTCAACAGCGCGTTCTTTTTGCGATCGAGGCGTACTCGATTTTCGGCGAGCTAGCTATGGGTGTGGAAATATTCAGAACGGCCAGAATGGTGGTAATGGTGAGCGTTGTTTACACGGATGTATAGTGCAATCAAACTTATCTACTTTCTTAGGGTTGGAACGTCCAGATATTTTCCAGAAAAGATCTCGCTATGGCGCTGCTGTATGACAGCTGGCGGTTGTCTCTGGACTTTTTCGACCCGATTAGCTCTTTTCCTCTCCACGTCTATGAGTCGGCCTTTCCCTGTAGCCCGGCGAAGTCTGCAATTCGCTCCACATATACCTCTGCCATGACCGACACTCTAACAAGCTTCGAGTTTGAAGAAGGGCTACTTGATCACTGGGACTGCGTTGCTCGCGCCATCGACGTCAAAGACATAGTCTTGAGCTTCGCATTATCTCCGGACGGGTCACAGCTTGCAGCGACGTTCTGGGATTCTGTACGCGTGTGGGATACGCCTTCTGGAGTTCCGGTCCACTCACGACCGCTGGGCAGCTACTCCACTTCCAGGTCCAGTATCATCCACAGTGGCTCACATATTGCTATCTTGCCTTATTCTTCGGGTGATGGCCCGGGGGAGAGGTGTTACTTGTGGAATTTGTCAAACGACGCGCTCTACTCGCTTGATGGTCTGTCGACGGAAGTGTTAACGGGCTGTGTAGCCTTCTCGCGTGATGCTACCAAACTTGCTTGCGTATGGGCTCGAAAAGAAACCAAAGAGCACCGCCTTCAAGTTCGTGTCTATGAGGTGTCCACCCGTCATCAACTTCACAGCTTCCAACTACCTTCCGTCCACCTCGAGGCGAAACTCGATAGAGGCTCGTTGGAGTTCTCTCATGATGACAATCACCTAGTAGGATCTATCCCCGGTTTACTCTTCAGCATCGATATTCTTCATGACCGCCTGGTGGAGCATGGGCAATATTATGACGCAGCCACATTTCCATGGTGTCTCTATACCCCCGCGAGTGACTTCGTCATTCACATCACACGCAACAGCAAGGACTCGGAAGTTTACGTGCGCACCATACAAGCTTCCAGTTCTTCGCCTACCCCATCGCGTTCCCTTGCGGAAGCCGAACCTGTCAAGCACAGCGGAGAACTAGTGGGAATACAGCTCGGGGACAGCCTTACAGGCATCTGCAAGTCAAGCAGGACTCACTGGCAGTCACAAAGCGAAATATGTTTTGGCGCTTTGAAACAACAGAGCTCAGAGCATATCCTCATCATTGACCTTGTGCAGGCTACGTTGCGTCCGTCTTTGACTGTGCTAGCTCGATCAGTTCCTCTCGGGGAAGCATACTCTTTTCTCACCTCCTCTATGAGGGGAGACATGAAGGCCTACTTGTCAACGACGGAACGGAAATGCCTTATCCTCGGCTCTCAATCCCGAATGGAAATCCAGCTGCCCCAGCTTGATGCTACAATTAAGCCGACCGTCCAGTTCTCTCCCCAGTCGACATATCTTACCACGTGCTTCGAGACTGGCTTTGGCACCACGAACTCAGAGTCGGCTGCGGAAGTCGAGGAAGCAGACTCAGATTCGGAACGACATGACAAGCAGATCGATGTCTGGGACGCCGTTTCCGGGGTCCACAAGGGCGGTGTATCAGTGCGGTGTGTCGATGATAACATAGTAATGGACGTACACCGAAACACCTGCTTCTCTGAGGATGAGGCGTCCATTGCGATCCTTTGGTACAACAAAGCATGGAGGATTTCCGTGTACTCTATTCGGGGCAAGACGCTCAAGCACCTTGCGTCAACCTCGTTCCCGCGACATAAACGCAACGATATCTGTCATCTGGCTTCTGTTACACGAGATGCGGTCGACCTGTGGTATATCGGAGTCAACACGTACAGGATCAAACACCTCCAGTGGAGCATTAGTTCGCCGATGGTTGTGACAAAAGCACAACTGCCCGACATCAACGTTGGCCCGTTCATCCTTCACCCCCCGGAGCAGTCTCCGGACTTCTCACGGGTGTCTCGCAGGATCCCGGGTGGTATTTTGACTCTGGCGCTGAAAAAGACATCGCCTCAGGGGAGAGACGCCGGATCAGAGCCTGTACAAGACCAATATAATCCCAGCGAAGACAACGACACGGGGACTTACTTCGACAACCTCTCCTGGTCAGACCTTTGCTTGGATAGTAATGGATGGCTTCGACAGAAGAAACGCAAAATATGCTGGCCTCCACCGCGTTACCGGCCCTCTAATCTGACCAAGCGTGGGCTGAAACTTATCATCAAAGACGACAAAGTCACAATTCTGCAAACGGAAGACGGTCAATCTGTTACCATAAGACTCCTTGGAACCACGATCGGATACTTTAACAGAGCAGTCCCAAACTGAAATCAGACACCGTTCTTGATTCGGCCTTGAGCAAAGGGAGCGAGGGCGGAAAGCTTGGGATTTAGGCACTTTATAAATGACATTACTCAACGACTCTGTTCATCAGCCTGAGTGACGTTCCATGTTCTTAGAGACAGAAGATTGATGGCGATGAGGGTTATGTTGTCCACAGTTGTGCTTTCCCCGCCTTCCAAAAGTAAGATCCTAAGAGTCGACAAATGGGGAGGATGTATGCGCTTCGTGGGGGAGAAGATAGCAGCAGTCCATCCGTTGACCGTGGGAATTTCTGAGCGCGTCGCCAAGACGCGTCGAGCCCAAGTCGCGCTTTCCCCTTTCTCACCGAACCTCCTTGTCGTTACCATTTCCACCCTGAATATGCCTGCTCGGAAACGATCCCGTGTCTCTGATTCGGAGGACGACTACGAGGCTATTGACGACGATTCGGACGCGTCCTACTCTGCCCATGCGCCGAAGACTTCCAACCGGCCAGGGAAGCGCGCGAAGGCAAAGCCTGCAGGGAAACGCACAAAGACCAAGAGTGCCGTTGTAGAAGACGCTGAAGAATCGATTTCTAGCGAACCACATGCAGCATCACTCCACGTCATCAGCTCTCCAGAGCCCCTGCGGGCTGCCCTGCTGGACTGGTACAATGTTGTGCATGATGTGCGCGGGATGCCTTGGAGGAAGCGCTATGATCCGTCGCTGGGCGCGGAAGAGCGGTCACAGAGGGCTTATGAGGTGTGTAAGACAACATTATCGCCGTTGAAGTAAGCCTCTGACTGTATGCTCGCTGGTAGGTTTGGGTATCCGAGATCATGTTGCAGCAAACACAGGTCGCCACCGTCATACCATACTACAACCGGTGGATGGAAAAGTACGTGGGTTCTCGTCCAATTTCTCGAGTCAATTGACGTCTTCTCTCTTAGGTTTCCAACCATCGAGCACCTCGCTGACGCGGACGACGAGACGGTGAAGGCGCTGTGGAAGGGTCTTGGGTACTACTCTCGTGCTACGCGGCTGCATCAGGGTGCGCAGATTGCTGTAAAGGACTTTGGCGGACGCCTGCCTACGAATGCGAAGGAGATGGAGGCAAAGATATCCGGCATTGGCCGGTATAGTGCTGGTGCAATATGTTCTATCGCATATAACGAGTGTGCTCCCGTGGTACGTCCCCCTTCCACTGCTCTTGCGTACCTAGGTTGACACGTGAAGGGAATAGCTTGACGGCAACGTACACCGTTTGATGAGTAGACTACTCGCACTGCATTCACCACCGAAGTCAAAGCAGACACTCGACGTCCTCTGGGCAGGCGCGGAGGCGATGGTGAAGCGCGCTGAACACCCGGGAGACATCAACCAAGCGTTGATCGAGCTTGGCAGCACGGTGTGCAAGCCTCGCGACCCGGCCTGCTCAAAATGCCCATTGAACAAGTGGTGTCAGGGTTACAGACTGACGAAGGAGGTTCGTGAGGACCATGTCCTTCCGCGCATGAATATTGACCATCTTCAACTAGGAGTCAATGGAGGACGCACCTGATATTGAAGAACTCTGCACACTCTGCGCCCCTGTCACAGCGGACGAGGAGGTTGGCTCGGTCACCATATACCCTATGAAGGCAGAACGCAAGAAGGCCCGAGAGGAGATGGACTCGGTCAACGTCGTTGAGTGGCGCCACAAAAACACCAACGAACGGTGGTTTCTTCTCGTCCGGCGACCTGAAAGCGGTGCGTCATTCCAATACTCCGAGGGAACTAACTCTAGCTGATTTGATTTCGTGTTCGCAGGTCTTCTGGCAGGCCTTCAAGAATTCCCGTCGATACCCAATATCTCCTCCACCGCATCCAAACTGGCTGAAGCGCCTTACACGCTCCTCGAAGGACTTCTTAGCAGTCCCCCGCGGAAGCAGAAAGCTGCTCAGGGAGACGCGCAGTCCCCTCGAATAACGCGAGTCAAGCCGGCGGGCGACGTCATTCACGTCTTCTCGCACATCCGTAAGACATACCGCGTCCAGTGGGTCCTGCTCGAGGGCGGGAGCGAGAACGGCTCCAGGCCTCCAGCACTGCTTCCACGCCCTACAATTACCAACGACGCTCCATCGCGAGGTCCCGAGAGCAAGAAACCCAAGGGCAAGAAGAACTCGGTCAATGCGAGCGCCTCGCAGCCGGCCGTGATTGCGCAGTGGGTACGTCTGGACGAGGTGGAGAACGCAAAGTATGTTTGTCACTATTCCCCTTGAGTGTCGAGACTCATCAGCACCGCACTGTCGTCCGTGTTTATAGCATCAGCACCGGTGTTCTCAAGATTTGGAAGCAAGTTCAATCTATGTGGAACTGGAACGACTAAGCCCATTGGGATCTAGAAAGTAGCGTCGGTAGACGCTTTCGGTTTCTTGGTGTGGTTGCCATATAAATATCTGACCTACGCAACATCTGTGATATCTTACGATTACCCTAATAGCAGTGCCGATTTGTCTCATCAATGGGGACGTCTTTTTCTCCGAACCGTCAAAGACAGCCGGCCTATGTGTTGCGCTGCGCACGTCGTTTGACCGGGGCATCACATATGCATCACTCCCTCGTTCCGCCCGAGAGCTGCCGGCAGTGTATTCTAGTTGATGCCTAGTTGGTAACCGGGCGAACTAAACATCGGATCGCACGCCCATAATCTGGAGGTGCTCAACCAACCCACACGCATTCGCCACCATGAGAGAGTGTGCTTCTGGCCTCATCTGGTCAGCCACAAATGAGTGGCATGCATTGAAATTTCGTGATAGATGCTGGCCAAAGTCACCGCTATTGATGTACGCAGAACGGTGGCCTCTACAAGGTAAGTGCGTAAACACTTCCAACGATTTGGCATCAGAATACTGATCCAATTCCAACACTAGCTCGATTAACTCGGGTCCATAAGCGCCAGGAATTCGATTTCTCGCCTTCAAGATGCTTTTGATACGAAGGCATGCATTTCTTCTAGGAATGCGCATACTATTTTTATGCCAACGTCAGGACATGCTATGGTGTCATTGTCTGTCATTGTAGGGCGGCCTTTCTATCGCGTTATTTGGAAAGCGTGGGGACAATTTACGTCAAGACATCATGTACGTGAATCCGCTCTGATTGTATTGTACAACGGATTCTCATACACTCAGCCGAGTAACTTGAAGTCGAATGAAGGAATGTAGAAGAAGAGCGCCGGATGCTTCTCAGGTATCGTTTCTCCCGAATAAGCCTACGGATGACAGAATCTCATCGCTGGCTAGATCGTATAAATGCACGCGCTCGTGCGTGTCTCTTCAGCTCAGCGATCCAAGTCTTCTCTCCTGTCTGTCTTTATTCGCGCGGTCGTTTTCGATTTCATCATAATGCTCTCTTTCAACGCTCTCCTTTCACTATGCACCCTCGCGGTAGCTGCGGTCGCTTCGCCGATTCAGTCCCAGTCACGCTCCGCGAAGACCTCGCTGTCTATTGTCAGGCGTTTCGATCTGCCCTTTGGTCAAACCATCGCCGACATCGACCGTGCGCGGGCTCAAGCCCTTGTTCAGGCGGTCACATCCGGCAAGGACAAACGCGATGGTCGCGTCGTCGCGACAAACACCAATGTGTCTTACACGGCTTCCATCGGCGTCGGCAATCCGCCTACGCAATGTAAGTAACCACGTTCCTGCTACTGAGCTGCCAAGAGTTATGGGAAGCTGACGTTGGATTTTTTCGTAGACAATCTCCTCATCGACACTGGTAGCTCTAATACCTGGGTTGGTGCAGGCAGGCGCTACGTCGAGACGAGCACATCACGTAAAACCAGTCAGGGCGTCGTGCGTATCCGAGTTTTTTCAAGTAGAACATGCTGACAATCGCTTTTGATTAGTCTGTATCATATGGCTCCGGCTCGTTCTCAGGGAATGAGTACGACGACCAGGTCACCATTGGCAACTTGATAATCGCTAACCAATCCATCGGCGTCGCCACTCGCTCACGCGGCTTGTACAATGTCGATGGCATCCTCGGTCTTGGGCCTATCGGTCTGACGAAAGGCACGCTCTCCCCCAACAGTCAGCGGACTATTCCGACTGTGGTGGACAACCTGTTCTCGCAGGGCTCGATTAGCAGCGCCGAACTTGGCATCTTCTTCGGGCCTTCCGGTCTTCTCGGTGGTCATGGCGAGCTAAGCTTCGGAGCCCCGGATGCGGTCCTGACGAACGGAGACGTTTCGTATGTCCCACTCACCAAGACGTTCCCTGCGAGCGAGTACTGGGGAATTGATCAGACTATTACGTACGGGCCCTCGACGTCTATCCTTACGGGCGCTGGCATCGTCGACACCGACACTACCCTCGTGCTCCTCGCTACCGGTACGTGTATCGCCTCCTCCACAATTGCTCGCCTTGACGCATCTACTTAACTATTCTGTGCGCAGATGCATTCCAGAAGTATCAAAAGGCTACTGGTGCCGTCCTGGACAAAAGTACGGGCCTTCTCCGCATCACCAACGATCAGTATGAGAGCCTGCAGAACCTCAACTTCAGCGTTGGCGGGAAAACGTATTACTTGACTCGCAACGCTCAAATATTCCCTCGGAACCTCAACATTCGGATCGGAGGATCAAGCATGTACGTTTACTTGATCGTGGCCGACCTCGGTGAGCTCTCAGGCACTGCGAAAGGCCTCTCTTTCATCAATGGCTACACGTTCCTGTGAGTTCACGTTCCGTTGGTTTTCCCCTTTGTAATCACGGTGTGAAATCATACGCTAACCATACACTCGCTGCTAAAACGGTGCAGGGAGCGCTACTACTCGGTGTACGACACGAAGAACAAGCGTATTGGTTTCGCGCCTACCCCCTATACCGATGCAGACATCAACTGATCACCTTGACATTGGCCTGACTGCGAACCTTCGTGCGGATGACTCGCGCTTTCCTTGCAAATTCTTCAGTTAGAAATCTCGCTTTTATGGTTATGAACCTTTTGATCTCGCTTAAACTGTTATTTGTCCTTCGTTGTAAATCTGATTCTCATTGATACCCTTAGTCGTATCAGAAAGTCGTTGAATCCGGAAGTCTGGCGCTGCGCGAGCTGCGACGCAGTCCGGCAGGTACGGCGGGTACGGCGCGGTTGCGGGGTCCCCAAACAAAGTCAATTGCATGTGATCTAGCCGCGTCGCGCAGATTTCCTAGCCCTCCTGAACTTTATCTTATCTATACCCCATTCCCATTCCCTGTGTCCCCCGGCATTATTCCCAGTTTGAGCAGCTCGAATATGAGCAGATCACCGAGTTTATCGAATGTTGTCGCGACTTTCGCGAAGATATCAGCATTATCCAACCGAAGGACTTCTAAGTCGACAGCCTCCACCTTGATCATCAACCTCTTATGTCCACCAGCTCTTTCTATCCATGGTCACGTCTATCCGAACCCAGTACATTCCTATCATGTGGCGGGGTCTTCGAGGCTTCATCTGGTCGCTTCCACCGCTCGAGGAAAGAGAAGAGGCCAGAGATCATTGTAGAAGTATGAGGAGCACGGGTGGGACAAAAGTATATGTGAGTAACCCATAGCTTTCTATTCCGAAGCTCTCCTCATATACTAGGCAAGACACCCCTTTGCCCACCAACTATCGTATGCACTTGGTATGCACAAATTCGCAGTACTAGTGCCCTCAATCCAGCGCATGCGTGACTATGACAAGGTGTGCCGGGACATTATCTTTACCTTCGACGACGGCGTCGAGTTCACAAAGGTCGTCAATCTGACGTGCGCAGGTATGCTCCGAGTCTCTGTTTGCTCTCAAAGTCTGTATCATACTCAACCATTCATGTCTGCTCTAGGATGCCGCCGGAAATATCGCCATAAATACTATGCTCACAGCGGCTCGAAGGTTCGGACGTACTACCCTGGCTTGACCTACCCAAGTACATTCAACTCGACGAACATTATTATGCCGACCGTGGTTTTGATTTCGACTAAGACCCCAAAACCCCTCGCGACTTGCCGCCGGACCGCCGTACCTAGCCAGACCAGCGCGATTGCCGGACTTCCGATTTCAACACCGTCCTCAGTCGTATTACCGCACGCCCTGAACCATATATATCGTACCTAAGTGTGTCCAAAGTGTGTCCAACTTCGTCGCATTCCAAATGTTCTATCAATTCGCGACGTCGATTCCTGTGGTTGGTGCTTATATCAGACGTCCCCCTGAACACAGGGTTGATCAGCCCTAGACCGACATAATATCGTTGTATGCTGACACTGACTACCATCTTGATGTTCCCGCTGCGGATGTTTCCGATGCTGTGTTATCCGTTGAGGGATGCATTGAGCGACTGTATGTAGGGTTGGTGATCTACATGGAATGCTATTCTGGACATCTATGATACATAATCGTCCTTGATGTTTCTATTTCAACATGGCATAGAAAAGGATCATAATCATGCGGCCTTGAACTCGAGAACGCACGCCTCGGCGAGGTCCCAGACTTTCTCGAGCTTGAGGTTCGCAGCAGCACTATTCAACGAAAGGGTCGTGGTGAGCGACGTTTTTCATCGACCATATATAGACGAAACAAGAAACTTACGCGAGCTGGACGGAGTCCTGCAGCGTCCGTTCTTTGGCGTTGTGAAGTATCCACATTGTCATGTCTTGCTCGTACGCGCGGATATTGCCGACGCCGTAGTTGGGCAACAACGGCTCAGGTGCCTGCATAAACATCCGCTTAGAATGCTGCTCTGCTCTGTTTATTAAGGACATTGCTTACGATGTCAGCACCGAGAGTAGAGGCCTCAACCTCGGCCTGTTTCCGACTCAGCCCGCGAAGGACGTAGTCGTCTGCAGGAGATCGGGATGAGATGGTAGCACATTGAGTGGTGATGCATTAATGCACTTACGGACGAGCACACGGCTGTTCGGGCCAAGGGCTTCCCGAACGTTGCGGAGGATGAGAAGAGCCTCATCATCGGGCCAGTCGTGAATGATGTTACGGAGCTACAACAACATAAAACATGGACGAGTTTAGCGCTCATACTCGACTGACAGTGCTAAGAGGCACCCACGTAATATATGTCCTTGCCCTTGACCGGCACCTGCGTGAAGAAGTTGAGCTCTTTGAACTCGACACGGTCCTCCTTGACTGCCTCAGGACACTCGTTGGCCCAAATCTATGTGAACATCTTGATGTGAGTCTATCTGCCAGTGGCTACTTATACAGGGTTTATAGACGTACGTCACGAGCTTGAACGAGAGCTTCGGGAAGGTCGTGGATCGTGATCTTGACGTTCTTGTGTGTGCGGGCCAGAGGAAGGGAGAATGCGCCAATTCCACCGCCAACGTCGACAACGGTTGAAACTTCCGGGAAGGGGTAGGCTATGCAAGGGCGCTGATGATTAGCACGCAGAAAGCGGGACATTAAAAGCAGAACGTACTCGTCAACACAGCGAGAGAACCCATGATATAGTTGAGGCCTCTCATCGAGCGGTGGTAGCTCTATTTCATGTTAGTAACGAATAAGAGTATACCAATGGTTTCTCTCACCAGGCGCCTGCTGTCCTGGGAATGGCGAATGAGTACCAGTTCTCTGCCCCTGCAACATGTGACTTACATCTTCACGCATCCAATCGAAGAAAGTGCCCGTGATACCATCCCTATTGTTTGCGAACATGACGGGAGCGTGGGCGGGGTCATATGAGGGGCCCTGCTCTGGAGCCTTCAGGGTCTCCCAGAAGACAGACGCGCCCTTCGCACAAGCCTCGACGTGGAGGCTGACCATATGCCGCACCGGATGCTCACTGTGGAGAATGAGCGACAGCCGGTTGTTTGCGAACGTGTCGGTGTCGACTGTGTTATCTCGTCAATACCTCGCAAAGAGTCGGTCCGGAGATAATCCGTACCCTCGACGAAGCAGCCGCGAGTTGCAAGCACGCGCATCATGCGTGCGAGCTTCCTAGGCTCGATATTGATAATCTTGCCGAGCTCGTTGACATGGATGCCCTTGGGATAGTCGAGCAGGATGTTGGTGATGTTCTCCCGGAGCACGACGCGGATGCAGGCGTAATCGTAGATTTGCACCATCTAGACGAAACATGGCGATTAGCTCGCTCCAGCATTTCTCAGATAACGGCCGCAGATGCATTCACGGGGACAATCGGTGCGGTGAGGTGGGGTAGGTGGGTCGACTTACGTTGATTGCCGTGTGTGACGGCGGTGCCAGGGTGGTGCAAAGCTGGTGGCAGGCACCCTCGAGCGTTCGGATCGTGCTCTTGAGCGCGACAGTGTCCAAGGCATCGTCGAGAGGGTGCGAGTCCGTCGATTCGAACGACGGGACGTCGCCGCCCTCCTTCTCGTACATCGCGATCGCCTCCTGGGCGGCGGTATTGATGATGGAGAGGAGTGATTCGAGCTTGGCCCTGTTCGACGACATGTTGTTCCCACTGGTGTGTGGAGGAGGTGAAGACGGGTGGGGAGGGAGGTAAAGAAAACGAAAGCGGGGAGGTTGGTCGGTAAACTCTTATAATATACTCCTTTGAAGGTTCCCCGTCCCCGGTAGCAAAGGGCGCAGTAGAAGACAGTGCCTCGGGAATACGAAAATGTAGCCACTCTTGTTCCCAAAAGCAATGGACAAGGGGCCTCGATGCAGCATTATGAAGAGCTAGTGACTGCGAGCGCTACGAAGAACCCTGTCAGTCATCTCACGGAGTCAAGTCTAACAAGGAAGTAAACTTCGCACAACTTGTCGCGCCCGCCCACGAGAACCGGCTTCTCTATCGAACCCATTACCCATCGAGAGGTAAATCCCACGATCTGCAGGAGATAAGGTGACCGAGAACACCTCATCAGACTGGATCGACCCAGCATGTTTCAAGGAAAAGCGACAGCGGGATGGTGCCAATGCCAAGTTTGAATTGAGCTCGCTGGCAATCGAGCTTAAGACCACCGTTGGGGAGCCATAGGGACGCGTTGGATTTGTGCTGTAGTGCCGATCTTTGCCCGCGGAGCTGGTATCGCCATCAGATGTTCTATGGACTTCGACGCCCTCCACGATATGCTTCCATATGCTCGCGAGCCCTCACACTGTCGGAGAGCCTCATAGCGTACGGCAGCGACTCCAGCGAGCATATCTTGCCCCGCGGGGAGTCAAGACACAATCTGATAATAGACAGAAGTCATCTCGATGAGAACTCGAGGGAACCTATCGAGGGTGAGCCTCGTGTAGAGCTGGGCGTGTAGGAAGTTTTGCTCTATGCGAATTGCTATGAGCGTTTTGCGAAAGAATTGTGTCAATGGTTCTCAGGGCAGCTGGAAGTGAAGCAAAGAGGGCCAGAGTCCTTGAACACATCAGTGATGAGCATGGGTCACTGCAATTGACTTACACTAGGTTAGAGTATTACTGTGATATCGTCTGGACGAAGTCTCCCTCTTGTTTGCAAGGGAAATGGAGGCAGCTGGTCGTGGAGGCGAAGCAGAAGCAGAAAATCTAAGAGGTCATTCATGTTCCGCTTCTGCGCGGGCCGTCCTCCGACCCGGACCTTTTAGTTGAGGTTAAGTTACCCCTGAATGCGATTCACGCAACACAGAAAACACAGGCTATCAAACCACGAAACCACAATATTTGACGTGCAGATCCCAAAATATGAACCAATAACAACCAAGAAACCATAAAATCAGGTAAACGATGCAAAGACCCCTCCAAGTAACTAGAGTAAGCAACGGGTAGTGGGATCAGGCATTGGGGTCTGCGACGATAGTGAACCCATGAACGTGAGCACCGTTTCCACAAACCAATGGTGTCGTCCCGATGACGGCCGGGATTCCCTCCTCGTTAGCCTCGCTCACGCCTTGGTATCCGTACAAGCCAAGACCGAAACAGTCGTTTCCGCCCTGGTAAATGGGGCCTTCAGCTGAGGTAATGCCGCCCTAAGAAAACGTCAGTCAAGAAGCCCATCACACACGCGAGTAAGACTTGCCCAGTACACTTTCTGATTGACCATAACCCAGCTTGCACGACTCTGGTTGATGTCGTTGTCGGTCGGGCACGCCATAGTCGTCACTGTGTATGGAGGCGAGTTGAAGATATCCTCCACACCCAGACAGGTACCCAATGAAGGAACATATAAATGACCTGTACGATGAAACATGGGCTGAGGTATATTCGTACTGGAAAAGAAACGTACCTGCGTAGGTTCCGTTCGCGCTTGTCTCCTGGTTGGAGTACACCGCAATGTTCGGGGTGCAAGCTTGAAACTCCACATCTGGCATGCGGAAGTACTCTGCAGGGCCGAAAGAGAGTGTATCGTTCTCAAGAGAGAACGGGTCGCTGTACACTGTGAGTTATTGTATCGCGTTAGTTAAACTCTGGAACCTTGCGAGCGGACAGCCTACCAGTCGTATCGCCAACGAAGATGCCTTGTGCTACCGTCGTGCAGGTCGATTGTGCGCTAGGCGTAACGGCTGACCCGAGGGCACCAGAAGCAACAGAGACCAGAGCAAGCCTTTTTGCGTACATGCTGATAGAGATGAGTGTAGAAGGAGCTGAAGCTGAGTCGTCACGATGAGAAAAGCCATGCTGGCGCAGAGTCTTTTATACGCGTTCAAATATCCGAGTCATTTTGTTTAGTGTTCGGAGACCGCATGGGGCACTCTGTAAAATCACCGTTGCCGCCGTGATTAGCGCCAGAGAAGCGCCTAGTCATAGCGATTTTCAATGTCGGAAAACAATCCAGGCCCAGGGCGGTAACAACTTGTCGGCAAAAGAATTGTTGTCCTTGAATCCGATCGCGTATAGCGGTCAGTTTCAGCCTAACAGCCTTCGGAAGGGGATTCGTCGAGTCAGAAAGCACAGAGGAGCTGCATTCGCGCATGAAGTCAAGGGCAGAAAGAAGGGGTGAGCTGAAGCAAGTCGAGGTATGACTCGTTTGTTTCTCCTGGGACCTGGAGCGTGGGACAATTCCGGACTTGCAGTGCCGAGCGTGTACTTTGCACAGCCACGAACGGGTGCTTCCACCCAAATCACCCACCATTGTGCATGGACCCTCGTTTCATCGTGAGCGACATCCGCAATGTAACCTCTGTTAAGGCCCTCACACTACAGGCAAATGCGCTAATTCTGTGCCCGAGAATAAGCAGGAAAATGACCTGGAAAGTAAACATCTTCCTACAGATTTTCGGGCTAGGAATAAGCACGCGGAAAGTTATCATTTTCTGGTGCGCAAAGAGGCCCAAAAAGGCAGGTTGAAGCAGGAGTTGAATCTCCGCCAGCGCTTAATGTTTATAAATGGAAGGTAAGCTTGTTTTTGTCGCCTGAAAATTCACCGGAACATGAAACTTTTTCGGCCTCTATTGGTCAAAGGGAAATATGGAGGAAAATATTTACTTTCCAGTGCATTTTCCTCCTTATTTTCGGGTCCAGAATTATCGCATTTGCCTGTAGTGTCACTCCAGACATTTTCCTATCCTTGCCGAGGGGCCATTAGTCAGAGAGAGTTGGCTCCTCTCGATATGACCGTGCGTACCCTTCTTTTCAGCCGCATACTCCAGACCAGAGCCATGTACACCACCCTCGAAACACAGGTGCTGTTGGTTTACGCTAAGGTCTCAGATGCCTAGTCAACTCACCATCAGCTACGAGTACAGAACACGAGGTTCTATGAACTTGTCGTCTCAACCCGGGCCTCCCGCTCATCCCCGCCGACAGACGTTCTCACCAGACATCGATGATGTCTCAGCTGCCTCATGGCATACAGTATCTCCCCTAGCTCATGCAAAATAGATTTTTCCGTCCTCCGCACCACCGTCTTCCCTTGACAAATCCCTCCTTAAACGACCGCAAACCAGGAACTTGGCTTGTCCTGGACCATACACGTGTATGCCTTCTCGTATGTCTGGGAACAGGGACTCACAGGACTTGTTGCGAAGTGAGCTGAGTGGGGTGTTGAAGACGTCGACTGATCGGACGAATCATCACGACGTTGGAGCGTATCGTTGGTTGTATGCGCGATTTCGTGGCCTCCAACTGCTATGCACTCGCCGAGTACGCCGACTATATGCTATCGACAATCCTCGGCAAAGCGTCCTCTGACTGACTACTCTAGGCCACGCGCCGCCAAGATGGGCAGGAGTCAAATGATGGCGATCAAGGTTGGATCAAGGCGCTTCTTTCTTATCTGGTATGTCTGCGGGCGACGCCGCCGCCGATGCGTACCTGTAGAGCTTTATACGCTCGCTTTTCTCACACAGAGGTGAAGCTTCGATGACGAGATGACTGTCGCTTGCGGCCACTCTACATCTGATGATTGGATTTAGATCAGGCACTGTGTCCGCCAACGTCGCCGTACTCATGCTGCTTTTGGGCTGCATCTCTTGCGCTCGAAGTCATCTCCTTGAGTTTTACAGTCGGGAATTGGTCATATTGCGAGCGACGGCGCAAGTATCCAGTCGGCTGAGATGCACTGGATCGCACAGGCATCCCCACTGATGTTGGACTGAGACTATCGCGCATCATCACATATGGGTCATTCGGCGATCTCGGCGGACAATTCATGCATCAGGGAGGGCCCGTTTACTTACTATCTGGCGATTATCAGTCTATGTGAGTACATTCGACTCCGGGTTTTCTGGTTGAACGGATCTTACTATCAGCCTGGACACCTAGCCCATCTCCTAGGCTAACCCGCATATCACAGGACGAGGGCTGGCCAAGCTTCGTCTGCCACAAAGCTTGCCTCGACATTCCGATCTGATTCGTTGGGGAACTCGCCGGAGACCTATAGATGGTCTGGCGGCACTCCTTATAATTCGGCATTGGTACTGTGAAGACACTGTGTCTCGTACGGTCCCAAGGAACGCAACGCTTCATGAGTAAGCCTCATCCACAAGCTGGCGGCAATTGAAGGCAGGCGACCAGAGCTTTGTACTTCCCAGTGCCACGAGTATCGAGGTAAAGTGACGTCGACTGGTAAGAGGCGCTCACCTTTCCGCTGTACGATCCGCGAGTTTCGTGGGGTTTGAGCTTGAGGATGTGCACCAGACCACTCCACACTATTGTTCGATCGACCGCTTTTTCCACCATACATAGCATGGAAAATGAGGTATCGGCGATACAACCATCACTTCTCATGACGATGATGACCTCCCCGTGGTAAGCTTTGTGTTAACGACTTGTGGGCGCTTACTGGTCGCTCATCCCACAGACACACGCAACTGGCTAACACGAGTCTTTATGCGTTTGACAGGTCCTGTCACTACTACCCGTGAGTAACTTAAGCAACGTGCCATGGGATCATAACTGAAAGCTATTTCGACATCATTTCAAGCACCCTCTAGGCGGCCCAACAGGATGGCTCTCGGATGTTCAGGGTGGCTAGAGGTATGTAGCTTCACCTGAATAACACCCATCTCTGAGATCTCGGTCTCATGCTGTGGCACTGCTGTTACGCTTCAAGGCACACCAGCGTTTTCTCGAAAACCAACATAGGTCTCCAAAATCTGCGATTTAATACATATCTCCTGCGGGCGTACATCACCAAGTCCAGATCGTCACATTTGGCGGTCGGCAAATCCGGAAGTGAATAACCCCTGTAACCGACGGCGAGGAATGCTGTGCTATCTCGCGGATGGATCATAGTCCGAGTATTCCGGGTCTACAATGGCGGATAAACAGGTCCAAAAGCGCTCTAGGTAGGATACATCGCAACAGGGGTCGCCACCGCCGTAGGGCATACAGCACGAGGGACGCGCTTCGGGTAAGGTGAACGCGCCAAAGTCATGGCACCGGGTGCTCCCAAGATGAGCCGACCATTGCAGTCACCAGCGGCGCACGCAGCTTGCATTCCGGGGCGGCATGAATGTGGATTCGCGATTGTGTAAACATCTACCGAGCGATCGGGCCAAGCAGATTTATATCGTCTACGGAGGGTGCAACAGCCGCAAGGCATAATCCAGGCTAATGCGCTATGGATAGTATGGCCTTTATGGTATGTTTACTCACTGTTGAGCGCGGTGGTATGTGCATCGGAGCGCTTTCGGGGCTGGAATCTCGGACGCAGCATCGCCCGCCAAAACGTTGTCAAAACGTTCCGAATCTTGTTGCGAGATCCAAAGGCGCAATGTCTCCAGGATCTGGCCAGATCACGAGCGTTTAACATGTCTGCGGGACGATCGCATCATTTTCCCCACGTGCGAGAACATACCAGGTGTGCTTGCAATCTGGAGACGGTTGAACCGAATAACTTGATAGGATGCGCTTACCAGATTTGGAAAAGAGCCCCTTTCCTGGTGTGTGCGCACGCGCGGGGACTACTGAAAATGAAATTTGACATGCCACATTGATGACATCCCGCCTGCTGTGCCGCTCGCCTGGCATCACCACATCTTTGAACTCCCGAGTCCCTGCGGTGCTCGTGCGGTTAACCATGGGAAACCAGGCCGGGTTCTTTTGCGGTTGTTCCATCAAATGCAATGATCTACTCAGCAAACACTCCTCTTCCTGGTCCCGCATCCCGCATCCCAAAGTGGATCCTTGGTTCTCGGGCCCACCGCTGGGACTACGCTCCCGTACAAATACCCGCTTCAAGTTGACCTTGGAAGCACTCATCCTCCCCAATGCATTCATCCCAACCTTCGCTCGGCTTTCCCAAGTCGATTGCCGGCCGCCTCGATGGCCCGAAGTCGGTCGCCCTACTCCTCGCCCTTGGGCTCTGGCAATCCTACGCGCTCGGGTGGCTCGAAGACCTGGGCAGTGAGTTCTCTTCTTCATCTCCAGTCGCGAAGGAGAAGGCTAATGGGACTTCTTAGGCGTGCAGCGCCCCATCCTCATCGCCGGCTCTCTCGCGGCAGCCCTCGCCGTGGCTCAGCTCATGAAGCCTGACCCATTGGCCGACGTCCCTGGACCCCTCCTCGCTCGCTGGACACCATTGTGGCTGGGTTACTACGCGCGTATCGGTCAACGGTTTACAGCTGTCCATAAGCTACACATGGTATAAAGTTTTGATCTCAAGGGGTGCGGTGATCGTGGTGGCTTATCTATTCTTAGGAATACGGACCCATCGTGCGGATAGCGCCCAACCATATCTCAGTCGCGGACAAGGACGCGTTGGACCTTGTGTACGCCCAGGGCTCCAATGCTTTCGACAAGTCGACGTTCTACCACGCCTTCGTCTCCGACAAGGCCTCCGTCTTCTCCACCACCGACCGTCACGACCATGCCCAAAAGCGTCGCCTTGTGTCCAACATCTTCGCTGCCAAGTCGCTCCAAGACTGCACGCCATTCATCCGCGATATCGTCGACTCGTTCGTTGTTCAGCTGGATAGACTCGCTGCGAAGAACGAGGAGCTCAACTTGCTCTACTGGTTCCACTTCCTCGCCTTTGACGTCCTTTCCGACCTCGCCTTTGGCCAACGTATCGGTATGGTGGAGAAGGGTTCTGATGCTGTGACGGTTCAGAAGCGGGATGGTTCCGTTTCTACTGAGAATGCTATTGCACTGGTCGACGAGGTGAGTTGTATTGAACCTAAACCTATGTATTGTTGTTGATGTGTTTCAGCGTGAACACCTCGGCGCTGTCCTTGGCGTCCATCCTTCGTTCAAGTTCTGGTCCAAGTTCCTCCCTGACCCTTTCTTCATCCAAGGTCGCAAGTCTTCCGATGGTCTCGTGGACTTCGCCCGTCGCCAGGTCAGCAGGCGCATCGATAACCGCCTCCAGCGCAATGATATCCTCGACAAGCTCATTCGGGCACGCGTCGCCGATGACCAGGAAATTGTGGGCGAGAACTTTGCCGACTTGGTCGCGGAAACCGTCACGCTCCTCATCGCCGGGTCGGACACCACGTCAAACTCGGAGACAGCCATCATGCACCTTCTGTTTACCAACCCGCGCGTGTACAACAAGCTCATCGGCATCTTGGAAGAGGCCGTGGACGAGGAGCTGCCGACGGCCGACCACGTCAGAGATATTCCGTACTTGGACGCTGTCATCAATGAAGGGTACGTCACACTGTCATTTCTCCACGAAGATCTTGCTAAGCGGCGTCATACGATAATTTAGACTTCGTTATCATGCTACGACAGCGATAGGTCTCCACAGGGCCGTGCACGAGAAGGGCGCTATGTTCGGCGGCAAGTACTTCCCTCCTGGTGTAAGTCCTCCTTGCTCCCGCGAATGAAGCCTTACCTGACGCTTGATCTCACAGACTGAGATGTCTGTTCCTGCCTGGACGATCCAGCATGATCCTGTAAGTTTCCCCGCACTGCATCGCATAACCCGACCTGATGGCTGATGTGCCATCTCCTTATAGGAAATCTGGGGTGATCCGGAGGTCTTCCGGCCTGAGCGTTGGATTGAGAACCCCGACCTCAAGAAGTACCTCATGACTTTCGGGAAGGGACCTCGTGCATGCGTAAGCTTAAATCTTTTTCAGCTGCTGAGAGCTTCTTTTACTGACTTCAATCTTTTTCCCGCTGATACAGCTTGGCAGACAGTAAGTCATGCCCCCGGCATCTTCGGCATCTTCGGACAGACGCTGATATCGGGTTTTCTTTGACAGTCTGGCTTACATGGAGATGCGACTCGTGCTCTCGACTGTGCTCCTCCGGTACGACCTCCAGCTCAAGTCACAGGTAATGGAAACAACCGAAGGCTTCATGCACAAGCCCAACGAAATGTTCGTCCGCCTGAGCCGCCGCGAGCGCAAGGGTGCTGCGGTGCAGGCACAGGCACAGGCTTGAGCGGGTCCTGTATTGGTTGTATCTATCTGCTGTCTTTTCTATCTTATCATAGCTTCGCATCCATACCTGTCGCACACATGTAATTTATACCTGCACATTTTTTAGAAGTAGATCATCTTTATACATTGGGAACATTAGATCTATAAAACAGCGCCAGCGCCCACATGCGGGCCATGCCGAACCACGTTCCGCTAGTTCTGAGATGTCACCTTACATTCTTACAGACTTTGACATCAGAAGATCACCGGAGAAGGGCGTACAATTAATTATATCAGCTGGCGCAGTGCGCTTCTTTTCCCTATCTCCATATATGTGCAATCGTTTATGGCTCCTTCAACTTTTTCAAGTTAGGTTCAGGTAATCTATTGAGCGCTTGCAACGTTTCAACAAAACGTGTAAGTATCAGAACTTCTTCTCAGGGCTAAAAACATACTGGTGACTTGTCCTGAAATGGACGGGGTAGCAATAGCGTGGCTCGGTCTGGCCCTCGTCTCGTTTGTGTACTGACCTCTGCTGAGCTGCAAGACCACTTCGGCCGATTAGTGTGGGTGATCGAGCTACATGTGCATCTAGATGTATCCTGATGTATCTGTATACGCCTGACGTGTTGAGCGAACATAGCTTGCGATCATATGTAAGTATCTTCCGTAGATTTTGCCGGCATATACTACTGCTTCCGTGACTAGGCCAAAAGCGGATTTGGCGCCTGTCTAGTAGTTGATCATGTCATGGAACGTAGACCCATATTCCTCTGACCGATCTCGACTAGGCGCGCTGGTCTCTGCATCGCCCCGAGAACGTTGAGGAACGTATTGGGGGAGATCCGAGTATAACTGAAGTGCAGCGGGAATGCCCATGCTTTGTATGCACTCGGCGTGGCTCACAAATAACATTGTCGTCCGACTGACAGGGAGTCAACGTAGCTTTGATGTCGCAAAAACCCGCTCCAGGGCGAATCTATTGGAGTATACAGCCACTAGCGTCAGAAACGTACAAGCGCTGCTTTAGCCTGCTGACGCTAGGCAATCTAGAAGATCGAACGACTTAGTCGGTAAAGAATAAGAATCGGTCCATCACAATGGTGTACCTGCAGTATGGATCACCCTTAATATTTCTGTTCCAGATTTCAACATCGTCTAGATGTAGGAGGTCTTAGCTGAGATGAGATGCGATGATGATTTTGAGCTGTATGAGAGCCCAGATGGCAAAACGTCGCGATCTCACGAGTTTTGATGACAGGGGCTAATAGCCTTTTCGGAACACCCTTTGCCCATCGGGATTCACGTCGTCGAGCGCCTCTTTGTCGCCTCAGGTTTCTCTGTTCCAGACCACTTCAAACCAGCCTCTCAATTTTTGCCGTTACACACTATGTCAGGGGACAACGAAGTCCTCAAACACTTTCAGTTCGTGCGTGTCCTAGACGAAAGTACGCATCCCTCCATTTCCGATCACCTACCGAAGCTAACCTACTCACCACAGACCCAGCGACGCACTATATTGCGCTGGAGGGCACCCTGCCCGATCCTGCGAATCAGATTGACCGACTCTCTGCTGTGTTGAGGATCGAGAAAACTGCTTTCCCTGCCGATTTTGCCGAATCGCTCTCTGTGTCGCCCACCAAAGTGGAGGATGGTGCCGAGGGTGGGGCTCTAAGTGCGCTCAAGGTGATTGAGAAGAATGACATCGTGAGTAATCCTTTGTTCTTCGTCACCGCCTCTTGCCTCTTGAGGTTAACGTGCTGCATATATGCGCCATTAGTATTCATGGTACCGTGGCTGGCTCGCTCACCGCGAATCTGCGCCCGACATCAAGCTGAGCCTCATCTTCCCCGCAACGGAAGTCCACATCAGGAAGTACACCAAGCAAAACGTGCTTATGGTGCACGAAACCCCCGCTTTGTACCTGTCGGTCGTGAAGCCGTACATCGATGCAATCCCGCTCGCGCGTACTCGATGGTGAGCTCGGTCTCCCCTTTCCTCCCACCCACGCCGTGGCTCACTCCGAAATGTCTGCGACCGTCTCACCAGGGTCACCGCTATTCTCGACGGCACATCGGAGGCAGATGCCTTGTTACACAACGATCAGTCCCCGACGACTGGCTTCGTGTTGCTCCCGGACATGAAGTGGGACCGTACGACTGTCGGCGCGCTCTACCTCGTTGCGATCGCGCGGGACCCGGCCCTACGCTCCTTACGCGACCTTACGAAGGCGCATTTACCCTTGCTCAAGGAAATTAGGACCACGGCGAACCATGTTGTGCAGGAGCGCTGGGGTCTGGGGAAGGGTGCGTTGAGGATGTATGTGCATTACCAGCCTTCGTACTGTGAGTGATTTGCCCTGGTATGTCATATTGGAAGATGTAGGCGTGCTGATGCTATTGGCAGACCACTTCCATGTCCACATCGTGCATGTTGCGCACGCCTTTCCGGGCGGCATGAACGTCGGTCAGGCTCACCTACTCGATGATCTTATCTCCCTAGTAAGTGTCGATATTTTTAGCTCTCCGATTACTGTATTCACTCAATACCGTACAGCTTGAGCTCGACACTGCTGTTCCGGCGACCTCATCCATTCTCGCTCGTATGACTTTAACCTACAGTCTTGGGACTCAGCACGGGTTATACGCGCCGCTCGCCGCCGCCCAGGCTTCCTTGGCGGGCGCCAGCGGCCTCTAGTCTCGCCAATCAGAACGTTAAAAGACAACACCGACGCAGCCTACAACTACTTTCTCAATGAGGAAGGGTGCGATATTCGCACGAATCAGCCATGAGCTGATTGGTTCAACCGGCGAGCTCTAGCTCGCCTTCTCAGAATGTCGCGTCAATCGCGAGCTAAGTGCCAAATGGGTCCTTCAGGCCGCTGCTCGGTTGGGTAGGATCGTGAAGGTTCCGTACCGACCCATTAGGTGAAACATCACCTTCTATTCCACGCTGGCGGATTCTGACTCTTATCTGTTCAGGCCGTTGACACGAAACAACAAAACCCAGAAAAATTTCACGAGTAAAGCTCGTGATCAAACGCGCTAAAGTTAGTGCGTCCATGCACAAAGTGCATGAGGCTGGCTTGGTTGCATCTTTTACGTCAGTTTCTCCACTTTTTGCCTTTGCAGTGTACAATGTGCGACGATGCTAGCTGTAAGAATATTTCGAGTTGAAGAATATGATCCTTTGAGCCTTTCTGACACCATACTCCCACTTCGAAGTCCTAACGGAACAACGTCTGCTATAGTTGCAGAAATGCTATTTGATGCCGTTCCGAGATTGAAGGTAGTGAGCACACGGATGTTTTCGACAAGGCATGATTTACTCAATAGCTTCGTACTCCCTTTCACCAGCGCTCTTGGACGATCCTTCCCTCTCCTCGGATATCAAACTGAGGGTAACTTCCTGCGTATGCGTCGAAACGCGATTAAGCTCGCTGTTTTCTATCTTGACGTTATCCTGGTACATGATTCTTCCAAGTAGTTTCGCCCAACCGACGTTTTCTTGGCTCCGAAGGGATGGAGTGATCTGGTGAGTTTGAGTAGGTCACGTTTATTTGGGTCGCTGGCAAGCTCGCTCAAATTTTCCCTCTCCATGACGCATACGCTAAATATTTAGCCCTATAGGGAAAGGTTGTGGGGCGATGTTGTTCCGTAAGGCTTCAACCCTATGCATGCTTTGTCTCTTGAGCTAATTAAATGCAGTGTTACAGCTTTGCATATAGCGTTACAGACTCCCGTACAGTTTCACAATTTCGCCAATCCCACGCCGCTTACGGTGTCCTTAATGAAGCCCGGATAACCTCTCTCTACCTCTCGTTCGACTTCTTCCGTATATGCCGGAAGCCCTACGACCCAGTTGTACGCCTGCCTCCGCTTACCTGGAACGTTGGCGCCCATGTACCAACTATCGACATCGTGGAACAGCGATTTTCTTGATAGGCTGTCGATAAGCTCAGTAAATTCGCGGGCTGCCTCCGCCTTGGGGACGAATTTTGTGATATCGTTCTTATAGAGGTGGTTGATTGTCTTCACGATCCACTGCCCTTGGACTTCGATACAAGTCGGTCCGTTGCAAAAGGCGGTAGGGGCATGTGCTCCGTAAAGGAAGAACATGTTCGGGAAGTTGTCGGTGGTCAAGCCTAGGCTGAGAATCGCCTTCAATACCCACAGACGTAGTTTTACGTCAGAGGACTTACTATGTGCCGACGCTGCCATTCCAATGTTCCTGAATGGTCTTTCCTTTCTCACCTCTCAGGTCCATCCGCATCCAAGGGCCCGTAAAGTTGTCCCATCCTACTCTTACATTAGACTGTCGTGTTGACGGCACAACTTAGTCACTCACCAGTCGCCACAATGAGCACGTCTAGCTCCGTTGAGGTGTTTTTCGTTTTGACAGTGTCTGCTGTTATTTCCACGATCGGATCTTCCTTGATATCGATCAGGTCAACGTTTTCCTGGTTGAAGACCTCGTAGAATCGCTGCTCGAGACAGGGTCGCTTGGTGCCGAATGGATGGGGAGCGATCTTCGGCGCTAGTAGGTCTCGCTTCCTCGGATCTTTAATGCGCGCTGAAGTTTTCTTTTGCCAGAACTTATATGCTTCGTTCGCTGCCTCTTTATCGAAGAAGAGGTCGGAGTATCCCGCGACTATAGGTGCGCAGGTCAGTCTCGTGACAAACTCATTAGCATATAATAACTTAACGCCAGAAGCTGAAGCCGCCCATCCCCCAAATGCTCTCAAAGACTGCCTCACGAACTTCGGGTGGGTCGCTCATGGTCAACCTGGGAATGAAGTCGAAATGGAAACCGCCGAAAGTTTTCGGTAGCTTCTCAAAAATATTGGGGTAAACAGGCATGAAATGAGCCTGCACATCACGCGACATCTGATACTGGACCATGGGAAGAGCCAAGTTTGGGGTGCGTTGGAAGACTGTCAAGTGTTTGACCTGCATCTCACTGTTAGTGAACGCCCAGGTTTCTCGGCTCTACCGGTACAATAACTCTCACCTGCGGTCCGATCTCCTGTATGATTTGTACTCCACTTGCTCCTGTTCCAATTACGCCGACTCGTTTGTTCTTAACGTCGATGCCTTCCGTGGGCCATCGGCCCGAATGGCACCAACGACCCTGGAACGATGCAAGTCCGTCAAATTTCGGAGTGTACGGCTCGGTCGTCGACCCCTACATCGCAGTTAGCCCCTATACCCAATCTGAAGGTATTTGGTCAGTTCACTCACCACAGCCATGATGAAAAACCGAGCTGTTGATTGATGGAAACCTCCTGCCCCGTTCGCCGTGATCTTCCAGATATGCTCATCGTCGTTCCAGTGGGCCGCATTTACGCGGCTCTCCATCCAAGTATACTTAAAGAGGTCGTACTTGTCAGCGACATAAGCGAAGTATCTACGATATTGGTGAGTAACGCGAATTACGTATTCGGAAGAAAATGAGGTCGGCTCACGCTCGTAACTCGGATGAGTCAGGAAACCGCTCGGACCATGTCCATCCCTTTGCGAGGTCATCGACAGGGAACTGGTATATCGGGACGTCTGAATCCACTCGCGCACCAGGGTATTTGTTCCAGTACCATGTCCCCCCCAAAGCAGAGCCAGGTTCGATGAGCCTGCAACGAAGCCCTAGCTTAGTCAAGTGGATCAAGTTGTACACGCCAGAAAATCCACCGCCAGCGATGATCACGTCGTATTCCGGGTCAATCATGGCTGGAGTAAAGACGAAGAGACAACGGAGTCGATTTTAAGGTCTGTCTGTGTTGTGTATGCTCCGGTATCGTTGGCTGGCTTATATGGAAGTTTAACCGTTAAGGTACAGATGCGGGGAAGCGCAGCCAGCCGGGTCAAGGTAAGGGCGGTAGTATGTAATAATTCGCTTCAGAGCTTTGACACTTCCTGTCATGCGATGATTCTGAGTTGAAACAGGCAATCGTGCGCCGAGTTCGCCTACAAGAAGAACAGAACGCTACTGCTTCGACGTATACCGTGGTGGTATAATGTTCCCCGTATTAATATACGCTTCCTGTGGCGGTCACGAGAATCCTAGGCGTAATGCCATGAAGGTTCGCGAGCTCTCTAATTTTTTTCGCTTCCACCGTCTTGATTCTACTTTTTATGAAGCATATGTCCGCAATCATTTTCTGTACAAGCATGTTCTGTACGCAATGGCCGAGATGCTGGTCCTTTACAAGCATAGCACAGCGTAGATTCTGAGTAAGGGCACTCATCTTCAATCTCACGAGTCACGCTAGATAAGGCCATCCTTAGTATAGACTCGGTGAGAATCTCCTTTTAAACCTACATATAGTCTAACGGAGGAAGCAATCAACCGCTTCGTTATTTGAGAAGGTGGGTCATCTGGTATACTACGCGGGCGCGCGGGTAGGCATATGTTCTCACCCACTGGTACCTAAATTATAAACGCAGAGGTCATCGGCTTTAAAGCTCGGTAAAGAATGGCGGGATCTGTAAGAGCATCATCTCAACTTGTGACCAGCGATGGCGAGCATCCCCGATCATACCAAAGCCGAGCTTGACAAGATTCTGCGAGACGTTACAAGCAGCGAAAAGAACAGAATCCCTGGAGTAGTATTTGCTGCTGGTATACTCTGATGTCCTTTTGGAAGCATTCAAGAATGCTCAATCGTCTCATCTGGCAGTTGGACGAGATGGAAAGCCACTCTATGTCGGTGCCGAGGGCGTACGAGCGATTGGGCAAGAGGCAAAGGTAACTAACTTCGTACAACACCTTTGAAAACAGCTTGCGCTGACGCAGTCTTCCCCGCCGCCGACGTAGATGACTCCTGATACGGTATTGTGGATGGCGTCTCTTACCAAGGCGGTGACTGGGATCGCAGCGCTACAACTCATCGAAGAGGGAAAGTTATTCTTAGACGACGCTGCGCAAATCGCCCGGCTCCTGCCCGAGCTGTCGCACGTGAAGGTCGTCTCAGGCAGCAAGGCCAACGGCTTCACCTACACACCTGTACAAGGAGGAACCACATTACGGAACCTTTTGACACATACGAGCGGGCACTCCTACACGTTCTTTGACAAGAAACTCAGAGATGTTGTCGGGACTGGGCAATACCAGGACGAATTCTCTGGGTACGTCTCCGAGGAATCAAGACTTTGTTTGTTGTCTAGAGTTGACCACCTTGTTCGTAGACGCCCAGGTGCTTTCAACCAGCCTTTGGTGCATCAGCCAAACAGCACATTCTCCTACGGAATAGGTGAAGTATTCGTGATAAAATTACTCATGCCTCAGGATACTTACTCTAGTAGGCATTGATTGGGTAGGGATCCTTATTGAGCGCGTCACTGGGAAGAAGCTTGGGACCTACTTCGACGACCAGTATGCCCAACTGTTTAAAACTCACTTCGGCCAAGCTCACATCCATCTTCAGCATCCTAGGTCCTCTTGGACTTCAAGATACCGCGTTCGAGGTTAAACCACACATGCTTCCCAGGCTTTCGGGAATGCATGCACGTCTATCCGAGGACACTATTATTGAGCAGCGTTGGTCCTTTTTATATAAAATACGTCCATTGTGCTTATAAGTGCCTTTGTTAGAACATGCTCCGATTGCTTTTGCTCAGACGAATGAGTTCCACTCGTATGCTCGTGCTTTTAGTTATGTTCGAGGATCTAATTTATTATGTTCAAGGGGCGGTGGCGGTCTCTTCTCTACGATCCACGACTACTTGATGATTCTCACAATATTCATGAACGAAGGGAAAGGATGGAACGGCGCTCAGATTCTCAAGCCTCAGACTGTATCACTCGCCACTCGAGATAATATACCGTCCTCTCTTGCTCCTGCATTGGACGCTCCCGTCTACGCCTGTCGAGAGGCTTTTTCCAACGACATTCCGAACATCTTCCCAGGGTAGGTCATTTATTTAAAAACCTGGACAGAACGCTCAACGCAAATGTCTTCCTCACATAGCGCTATTAAAGGATGGGGTTTAACGTTCATGATATGTACGTCTAAAACTTCTCGCAATCACTCATTAAATTTAACGCCGGTCCCGCTCCTCCACTCGAATCTATCCTCACAGCCAAGAATGAGCTACCTACAGGCCGCTCTCCTGGATCTATCAACTGGTCTGCACTGTGCAAGTGCGTAGTTCTGCGCTCGTCGACTTGCTACGATCATGCTGATGAGACCTCCAGCATGTTTTGGTGGGTGGATTTGAAGAAGGGCGTCGCTGGCATGATCGCTACCCAGGTAAGTGTACCCGTGTATTTTCAAGAAATCTCAAATTGGCGCCCCGGAAATTTGACGGATCGCTGTTATCACTCAGATCCTTCCGTTCCTCGATGCCCCCGTTTTAGGAACACTGTTCAACGCGGAGGCCACGCTGTATCGAGGGTTGGCGGAATCTCCGCAGTTCAAACTTTGAGATGTAGGAAAGTATTATGATGAGGGAAGAAGGATTAACTCGAGCTGTACGTTAGCTGTGATATACCAAAGCACTGTATATGGTGAAGCGATTTCAGCTTTTGTCATTTTATCGAGCTTTCAATGGTGGGAAGATGAGGCGTGCCATGCTCTTAGCTGTCAACTTTCCTGTGACCATACCCGCTTCAAAAAGATAGTGTGGTTCTGGTAGTACAAGATGATCTGCGAACGTGGACGGACCATACAGCTGATCCAGTGTTTCAAATGCCTGGCCGTTACTCACTTTTGAACCCTCGAACGCTGTCTAGGCAAGGCACCCATTCAAAATTGTACAGGAATGATTATCGATGCTAGTACAGCAAGTACCTGTACTTGTGTTCGATGATCTGTCGGTCTCCCATTGGCCTTTTTGGACAGCAAGTATGATCGGTGAGGTCACAATATAAGTGACCCGCATAGGTATAAAACCTGCCCGCACACGCACCACCTTGAGCATCAAGCCCTTGCTCCCAATCCCCACCCTTCGTCTCCTGAATATGTCATAACTCTGAAGAAACAAACAACCCCAATCCGTGCGCCTTTCCACCTACCTTCGAAGTAGCTGAAAAGACGCATACTTACCGATCCCGCAGACGCCTTTGACTGCGAGCTTTGATGAAAGGCTCTCTCCAGCTTTCCTTGAATGCAATGAACTGGATAGAGCATTTCTGAGAGCGCGTATAAGTTACATTGCTACTTACCTCACATTTTCCCACTGAAGACTAGTCACCTGGAGAGCATATCGAGAAATTAAAAACGGGTAACCCACAACTTTCACTCTCATGGAGGATGAACGGAGGGAAGAACTATGCATAGGGATATAACATACAATATGATGAACATAATCTTCTACACTATCTTATTACATAGGGATAACCTTACAGTAGGGATACACGGCTTCGACATCAACTAGCTACATCTACTTTGTTCCACGGACATGGCATGTTATAAGCTCTAGACAGTACAACGCCGTCACGAAAACCAAGGCAGCATTCACATGGTGTATGTAATTATTTTACACATAAGCATACCTACAAATGGTCACTCTGACCGCATCTCCCGAATACCAACCATACCAATGCCCTTATAATGTTATCACAGTACCACACCGCCACATCATACAAGACTCCCCAGAAAATACTCTTTTGATATGAGCTCGCAGCCCACGGCGCGAGAGCCGACCCCAAACGAAGAAGGAGCGGGATACCGCAGGCTCACTCCATGCTGCCGACCTGCTGCGTCGCCTCGCCGTGCGCGCGCAGCTCGGCCTGGCGCGCCTCGACCTCGTCCTGGACGCGCTCGATCGACTTGAAGTATTTGACGGTCTTGACGTGCAGCTCCGCGGTCGCGTCTTCGTCCGTCACGATCAGGGCCCAGGGGTGCATCTGGAGTGCTGAGAGCGTCCACTGCGTTTGTCACGTCCGTCAGCGTCACACTCGGACCAGGAGACGGAGAAGGGATGGAGAAGGAGGGGAGGGAGGAGTACGCACGAGATGGTTTACGCCCTCCTCGATCGCCTTGGAGAGCGCGAGCGCCTTGCGCTGGCCGGTGACCACGACGACGACCTCGCGCGAGTCGAGCACGGTCGCAACACCGACGGTGAGCGCCATACGCGGCACCTTGGAGACGTCGTTCTCGAAGAAACGCGCGTTGGCGAGGATCGTATCATACGCGAGCGTCTTGATGCGCGTGCGCGAGGCGAGAGAGGAGCCTGGTTTGCGTTTGTTTTCGAATTCGAAATCACGATGTGGGGTTGGTGGCGAAGGCGACGTGGGGGTGGAGAAGGTGAAATGTCAAAATGAGCATGTGGTCGAGATAAAGCCGATAATAGATAGGGGCTAATTGGGGAGATAGGAGTTCTCGAAGAAAAAAACCGAGCTCGAGCTCCGGAGAACGAGCATGGGATAGAGCGGGGTAGAAATGGAATAGAATGCGGAAAACGAGAACGCACCAGGTTCGTTGAACGCAATATGCCCATCCTCTCCGATACCTCCGAGGAAGAGTTCGATGCCGCCGAACGACTTGATGCGTTGCTCGTACGAGTTGCACTCGGCGATCAGGTCCTTGGCGTTTCCGTCCAGGATGTTCACCTGGCTCGGCGGGATGTCGACTGAGCCATGTGAGGTTGGTTAGTGTCAGTACATAAGCAAAGGGTTAGAACGACTCACTGTGCGAGAAGAACTCGCGGAACATGAACGTGTGGTACGACTCGGAGTGGTCACGCGGGAGGCCGACGTACTCGTCCATGTTGAACGTGATGACGTTTTTGAAGCTAAGATGGCATCGTATAGTCGGTCTCGTAGCCTCAATACCCAAGCATCAACTCACGAGAGCTTGTCATCTTTGACGAGCTTGATGAGGGCCTTGTAGGTCGCAATGGGCGACGAGCCAGTCGGAAGGCCCAGGACGAACGGTTTCTCGGCCGTGGGATTGAACTCGTTGATCCTAGCCAGAGATATCAGTACATCTTACGCACCACGAGATGAGATGAGGGTGCTCACCGCTTGCAGATGTAGTTGGCGATGTAGTCGCCGACGGCGGCAGAGTCGTCACGGATGATGAGACCTACATGCAACGAATTGTTTCAGCTCGATGTCAACGACGATAATGAAAAGAAAACAAGACTTACGCATGGTGACCTAGATCGGCTTGGAGGAGGGCGGGGCAAGGAGAAGGGTAAGAGCGGGGGGTGGTACTTGGACAGCACAAGAGATGGCGATGAGGAAGGGCGTATTTATCTTTCCCTTTCTTTCGTTTCCGTTAAGATCAGCTCGAGTCTCCTACGCACGTCGTCCGCCTGATTGGCTGGCCTGGCTCGCTGTCAGGTGGCAGCGGTGACACCTCCGCGAGGGGGAGCACATGGCTGGGTCCGCGCCTCGGAACTCGGATGCGCGAGCCGCGGCCAGCCCGTCTATCGAGGTTGCCTATCCCGTCCATCCACCCCTACTCCCCGCCGCCGCCGTGTGCACCGCCCATCGATAGTCTCACAGGCTTGTTCCGGTGCGCTATGGGAGATGAAATGAGGAGACAGAACGTGCTCCAGACCTCTGATGGCTTTCGTGTCAGCGCTTGCTTCATGTCTCCGTGCCGCGTTGTGTGTGAAATCGACCTCGGGAACTTCGGCGACCGTGATAGACTGGGGTCAGGCTGGCTTGCCCGTCGTCGATGACACGTCGCACTTCTTGTTATCACTTGAAATCAAACACGAGCTAGTCCGCTGGCTTGCGGGCTTGGCTCGATTCCTTCTCACCGACAGGGAAAAGGTCAGGGCAGGGCAACGTCTCAGGTTCTGTACTATGCACATGTCTACCTCAACAGTCACCACTGCTCCCCAGAGATGCCGAGCTTTCCGAAGTATTACAACCAGACGCTGCCGATCACTCTTCATCTTCTTTGCATTCTGAGCTTGACTGCGGAGAAGTAACATAGTCTTCCTCAGACTATTCTTGCATGTCTAGTTTGGCTCCAGCTTCTCGGCGATTACCGGTCGGGGAACTCGCTACATCCCTATCGTCAGTTCCTTTACAGTTCGCTGAGTATTGCACGTCTGGGAAGAATGTTGTCTACCTATCTTCGCCTTGGACCTAGGATCATGGTTTTCTTATCACGTTGTAATCCCGACGCTGCATTACGGCATTATCTTAGGTGCAGATTGGCAATGCGGCACAGAGGATACCATGAGTGTTGTAGTACAGAGATGGCTACGATACTTGTATTCTGCCCCCGTGCCTTTTACCAAGGCAAGCCTGCTTTTCGAGGACCATGTCAAGGAACTCAGACTATATTCGCAGTAGCCTTGAATGACTATTGGGTTAATTAACTTTATTCCAAAGTGTTTTTATCAGACAATCTGAAACAATTCTTGTTATGGTGTTGTGTTATCGTGGCGGGCCGCACCCATCCGAGTCTCGCTATTAATGTTCATCTAAAATTGCCATGAGACTGGAGACCTGGCATCACAATCATGATGGTACTGGTTTACTCGGTTCTTTGGACCATTGCTACGTCAGCTAAACCTTAGCAATAGCCACAAATCAGCCGCTCTATATGTACCGTATCGCACAAAAAACATACGATGAGAGAAACATGTCCCACCAAGAATAGACCGGCTATCATATCAAAGCGGTTGCTATACCTGTGCATACGCAGAGTGTATATCAGGTCTACGGGTGTCGTGTGAGACGATACTATCTTAATGGATTCCTCATATTCCTTGTCCTCCCAGACCTACAGGCTAGAGAGTTATATCCGCAGTCAGCTCTATAACTGATATGGTCAACGGACCTTTATGCTGATAGACTTCCCGTGCAGCTAGCATTGCATGTGTGGCAATCTACAGAATATGTAGGCGGCTTTGAAACTTATTGTGCATATCGCAAGATTTGCTGATAAGTTTTCACAGTGTTGAATTTAGACGAAGAGGCATGTCTTATCCAAGAATGAGGTTCTCATGTCCTGACCCTATCGTGCTGTGTATACCATGATTGCGTCAGATCGATCTTCTTTGGGTGAGTACTACTCTTTAGACTGCACGGTATGCTTTCTCTGAATCTGATTTTAAAACGGAAGAAAGGACCATCAAAGCGTTCATTGGCGCTATATGGGCTAGTAAGTCAGATCCTTATACTGTGTTTCTGACTTGATCAAATCTGGTACGGGAAGCTCACGTATGGAGGCGCTCTTATCGGCCTGTAAGTCATTATTATTCAACACCTTAGTATATATCGGCGCTTTGAGCTGACAACAGCTTTGCGCGTATGTGAAGACTTCAAATTCGTAAGATTTAAAAGTGATCTGGATTACGAAAAGACACGTCAACTGAATGTCACATCCTCAGCTACTTTTCACACATATGTTGTATGTGACTCCTTCGTCGTGTCCCTACTTCATCCTGACGTTGCTGTAGGGGTAAAGAAAGAGCAGATATCATGTTAATGAGGTTTATTGATAAAAGATTGGGCGGTAATCATCAGATGTGTGTCAGATTGATTTTACCTTCGGTGTTAAAGCTTGAGCACTCATATGTCTGCAGGCGAGATATTTATGATATTCCTAGAATGTGTTTTACTTGTTTCACTGCAATTTGGACTTAACGGTGGGTCTGATCCTTCTTCTCTAAGTGATATTGTCGTGTTCATTCCGTGTGACCTTTTTGAGCAATGATGGCCTTGCGGGTGTATGCTATGTACGGACGGTCGAAGAAGTTCCGTGCACTGCTATTTGCCTGTTTCTCGATAGCGCAGACGGTTGGCGTTGCAAGCGCGATATGCTCGGTGATTAAACCCGATTTATCTTGTATGTCACCCTTTCTATGTCCCTCGATTGTAGTCCGTTGATCTTGCCTCTAGCCTCTTCGACCATAGGGTGCACCTGGAGCCCTTCCAAGGCTTCGGTGGCACTTAAGTTTGGTAACAATGTCTCACTTTGCGCTTACGACACTATCATGTTCGTCCTGTCTCTGGGGATTGTGTATAGAAACCGAACACGTGGAGTTTATGAATTCGTGTTTACCTACGATAACTTGCTTGCTATCTTACTTAGAGACAACGTTCTCTATTTTCTGGTGTGAGAGGTTCATCATTGCCGTGATATACAGAATGCTCACGACGTCTATGTCAGTGCTAGCGTCTGTTGGGCGCTCTCGGCATGTTCTTATGTTCCAAGGTTGTCAGCTGAAGTGAGAGTTACCTATGCAATGGCGTCGACTTGCCTGGCACTTATACTGTTCTTTGCATACCAGAGTTTTGTCCATTACGGGTCCATCACGTTGACCAACTATGTGAACATCATCCTTGGTCCTACCATGATGCTCAGCATCCGACGTGTTGATGCAAAGCGTACCCAGGGAGGAACGTACAGCACGACGGAAGAAGATACTATGGTGTTTGCTACGGTCGGGTATCTCTCTCAGTCTCACAAGCAGGTGTATAGTTTATAGTTGGACGAACGGAGTTCTAACCTAACCAGGGGCTGGCTGAAGTTGACTGGATTTTGGTGCATTTGATCCCTTCGCTTGTTATTTTAGACCGCGGCGCGCATGACAAGCGCAATAAATACATTCCTTTTTCTGTCGTTACGTACGTGGTGTTGACGCGTTTGCCCTATAGAACAACCGTGATCAAAGACTATGTACTCATGTTACTTGGTCCTAATATGGTGCTTAGCATTCGGCATCTTGACGTTGAATAGGTTCAAGGCGGCACATAAGACGCAGCGGGAGCAGACACCATAGAGTTTTCTGGGGTCGGAAATAGCCCTCGGGCAAATACATAATTGACGCTTGAGTATACCAAGGTTTGATAAACTTGTAAAGGCAATAGATGCACCTTTGCGGTCGTGTTCATCAATGTCGTTCATATATTGAACAAAAAAGGAGTGTAGTACATAGTGCAATCTCGAGAGAACGAATATCGCAGGAGGAGAAATAGCAGTTCAAGGTTCAGGAAAGACTTGGCACCTTCTGTCGAGGGTTCAGAGCCCTGTCTAACGCGTCAGTGACTCCTGCTTGTAGATAATCTCTCGCTCGTCCAAACTGGCGAGCTGCAAGATGAAGCGGAAGAAGCTGTCTAACGATGACTTGATCAAGAAGGGTCCGGTTGGGTGAGAGGATGCGTAGGAAGGCAGGATGTGGTAAAAGAAACTTGGCGAGGATGACAAAGCGGAGCGTTAAGCCTCTCGGGATCATAATGGAGAGAAGTCGAGAATAAGTTACTGGTTCGTATTGCAGATAGGTGCTTCCATGACTCTGTCGTATGAGTTCGACCTGAGCAGAGTACCGGCATGGGACATCTGCATAGTCCACGGGCAACAATCAACGGGTGAGGTGAGGTGGCCAAGATTCGTTGCGAAGCATGGATGTATGGCAGTTCAAGCTACGTTCTGGATGTGCCTTGTCGCGTCCAACATCGTTGAAGCAAGCCATGTGGTGCGCAGGGTTGACGAGGGTGCAAGGGATCAGTCTCATGCGCCAAACGGGGTGATCGCCGAGATCGCCGGCCACGGGTCTCATTCATAGAAGGCGCAGTAACGAGGGTGACTTGAAGGCGATTCAAGCGACGATAGAGTCGGAGGTAGAAATGTATACAAGTTTCCAAGCCCTAGAACGTGTCTAGGAGAAGTTGAGGTGGAGTCGAGAAAAAGAGTAGGGCGAGGCTGACCTTCATCGTGATGGTGGTCAATGCGATTTGCGGCCGTGAAGCGCCCACACGCATGGAACCAGGGCGACAACCATAAACTCAAGCAAAAGGGAACAAGTTTTCGTGCCTCGCTGACGTCATGGTATACGTACTAGGCGTTGTTGGTTGACAAGCTGACATGTCGGAGGAAGCTCTGGTGTGTGAAACGGTGCCAGTTGACAGGATGCGTCGTTTTTGGAGCGATCGGAAACTGTTTTGGAGAATACGGTCCGAATGAGGCAGCTGATAACCCTGATAAGTCGTGGCCACACGAACAGGTTGAGCATCGGAGGCGAGACAGCTTGTTCAGGAAGACAGACACGGTGCGAGTCGGATGAGGATGAGACAGAAACGCGGTCACGTGGTCAGACGCGCATTTTGAGTCGTTCGCACGCGACGTGTTGGTTTATCTTAAGGTTTCGGCGTGGGAGGGCGTCTACACGTTCCTTCCTTACACGCGTCGTCCAACAACACGAGTTTAACACTCAACATCCGGGTCGACGTCGTGCCCGCCAGCGACAAACGACCGCACGACCCACGACTAGTTTATGCCCACCGACAACCGCCAACAAACTCCCCGACGAGACCCATGTCCAACTCCAATTCCGCCGACGCCATCATCAAGCAGTCCGCCAAAGGATGGTCCACTTCAAAACCCTCCTCCGATGACCCCAAACAACCCAAACAACAAGTAACCTCTCCGCTCAGAATTGCAAAACGCGACAGCAGCACCGGCCTCGGCGCACCTCCCGGAAAAGTCGTCGGAGGCCGCCCGCCAATGCCCAACGTCGCGCGCCGCTCCTCGAGCAGCTACAAACACCTCCGGACGAACAACCTCGTATCCAAGTCGCCGTTCAAGTCGTCCACCACCCCTTCTCTCCCCTCCACCTCCACCTCCACCTCCGCGTCCACGTCCTCATCCTCCGCCCGCTCAAATGCACCACAGAAGCAACAAGGCCTCGGCCTCGGCCGCAACCAGTCCCAGAAACGCGGTCCGACACCGCGCAAGACGAGCGGCGAGAAGCGGCCCCGACCAGAGTCGATGCACGAGCAGGCCGAGGAGGAGAACGAGCGCCCGGGCAAGTTCAAGCGCGAGCGGAAGCAGAGCAAGGCGTACCAGGGGCTCATCGAGAAGGAGCACGTCAGCAAGAGCCCCTTTCGCGCGCCGGCGCCGGGCGAGCGGCAGGTCGTGAGCGACGAGGATGCGGCGGAGATGTCGCCTGTGGAGTCGGCGCCGGTGCCCCCGCCAAAGGACGTTCCGCCGAAGGATGTGCCACCGGGCAAGCTGCTTTTTCCGACGACGTCGGGGCAGGGGTACAGTCCGAGTCCGTCGCCGTCGCCCATGCCATCGTCGCGGGCAGGCACACCGACGCGGTCATCGCTCGTGTCGAAGAGGCTGCACGGGCCGCGCACAGCGGATGCGCCGCATGGCGAAGGTGAGCTTTTTTCGCGCATATATTCACAAAAACAGTTAGCGTGCGTATGTGCTTACAAATGGATACCCTGATACAGGACGTCGTCAGCGCCGCAAAACCGTGACGTTCGACGAGCGCTGCGATGTGCTCGAGTTCGAGGCGGAGGAGGCGGAGGAGGATCCATTCTATGAGAGCGATGCTGAGGAGGACGATCAGCGGTACGGTGCGCCCGATGGTGAGGACGAGGAGGGGTTCGTGCATTCGGATAATATGGAGGACGATGAAGAGGAGGCGTTCTTCGGGTCTGGCCATGCGCAGGAGGACGAGGACGTGCAGATGGAGGCGTTTGCTGGCGCTGCTGACGTTGATGGGGAGGAGTATCACCGAGACCCAGAGGAGGAGGAAGAGTACGCGCACCATCATCCAGATCATCCCGAGCACCGCGAAGACGCAGAAGATCACCGGGCCCACGGAGACGAAGATCAGCATCATCATCATCACCACGATGGTGATGATCAACATCAACATCAGCAGCACGATCATAGCTTCGAAGAAGAAGAGGGAGAGGGAGAGGGAGAATCCATGTACCTCGAGCACCGCACCGCGAACGACAGCATCACGGGCATGGTCGACGCCATGATCGCCAGCGCGTTCGCGCCGTCGCATTCGCGCGACACCTCGGCGCAGTCTGGGTCGACCGTCTCGCTGCCTCGTGCGGATGCCAATCCCGATGCCAGTGTTGATGTCGACGCCAGCGCCGACGTCATTGCTGCCGCCGACGCCGACGCGGACCCGGCCTCGCCTGCGCCGTCCACGCCACCGCACGACGCGTCGGTGTTGCCGCCTGATGCGGATACAGAGGACGGGGTGCCGTATGGGCGGACGCATCGGCGGGAGCGGCAGCGTATGCGCTCGGGCGGGGCTGTAGAGGGTTCGCCTGCGGCTGGGTATCCGTTCCCGTCTGTTTCGAGTGTGGAGGGTACGCCGGCGGCGCCTGCGGGTGTGGGTACGGAGAGGGATGTGGGGATGTTGCCGCCGAGTCCGAGTCCGATGGGGAAGACGAGGGAGTTGCCGAGGGATGGAGAAGAGGAGGAGGACGATGAACAGGGCGACGGGGCGGAGGACGAGCACGGAGAGGAGGGGATGGTGCCAAGGTTTGGGCTTCCTCGTGAGAGTGCAGGTGCGTTTCTCTGTGCTGTCGAAGACGACTGGGGCGCTGAAGCTGATATCGGGTTCGCGTTTTTTCTCGCAGGATCTGCATCTGAAGACCCCTTGGGCGCCGAGGAGGCAAACGAGCACGACCGCGACGAGCGGCATGTTCCAGATACGTCTATGATGGAGCTCGAGGAGCTTATGCCGCCCCCGCCGATCCGCGCGGGCGACGAGGGCTTTGTGAATCCGTCGCCCGGAGGCTCGCCGCGCAGTGGGTCGCCGTTGCGCGGGTCGTTGCTCGAGTTGAGGAATCGGAGGCTCAGCGCTAGTGCCGGTGTCGACACAGCCCAAACTCAAGGTCAAGGTCAAGCACAAGCACAAGGCCAAAACCAGGACGCGAGTATGACGTACACGGACGGCGACGAACCTTCCTTTGCGCACAGCGCGGCGAGTCCGCCCCCCGGGACGCCGCAGAGCGCTGGTGGCGGCGGGTCGCCCAGTGCGAGTGCGGCGTCGATCGGGCTCGGGAGTGCCGGTGCCGGTGCTGGGGCGGGTGCGGGGCCTATGGTGGGGAGAGATAGGATTGTGAGTCCGAGCGGGGTGTCGATTCGGAGATTTTCGGGGTCGAGTTCGCCGTTGCATAATCTTCCTTCGCGGCGGAAGGATAAGGATAAGGAGAGGGAAAGGGATATTAAGGACGAGGGAGAGGGGTCGTCTGCGCCGAACGTGAGCCGAGCAACGCCGAGCGACGGCATCGCGAGGGCGGGGTCGCCGACGGTGCCTGTTGCTGCGTTTAGGGCGAGCAGGAGTCAGAGCCATGGATCGCCTTCGTCTGCTCCGGGTTCTGCGAACGCAAGACCAGCAAGACCGGAGCTCGCGCTCGCGCTGCCTCCGCCGCAGCCTGCGTTCGCGCGGTCGGGGTCGCCGATGAACATGGTGCACGGCGGGTCGCCGTTGTCTGAATCGGTCAACGCGTTTGAGCTCGCTGGTGGAGATGAGAGGGACATGGAGGGGAGGGCAAGGGCGGGGAGTAGCGGGAGTGTGGGCGGGCGGCCGAGGATATCGCGGGAGGATGTGCAGCGGCGGTTGATGCATCGGAGGAGCGTGGAGAGTCCGTGTTTTGATGAAGGGGATGAGGGGGAGGCGTTTGTGGGTGTCAAGGGGAGCCGGGCTGGGCAGGAGGGCGAGGCGATGCAGGTTGATGGGGAGGATGAGGAGCGGGGGAGAGGGGAGATGGGGGGAGAGGGTGCTCAGGCAAGAGGCTCAAGGACAGGCTCAAGGACAGGCGCAATCACAGGGCAGCCGACACACGCGCGTGTCGTTGGTCTCTGACACGGATATGAGCGCGGTGTTCGCGAGCATCGAGCACGCGCAGAAAGCGAACACTCACCTTGCTTCTTCGCTCGCTCTCAGATCCGCCGGCGGGCACGCGATGGACCGCGGGCTCAATGCGTCGCACTCGGGCGCGATGTCCGTCGAGTCCGCCGCTGCGCAGTCGAGCTCGCGCGTGCCCGACGCGACGCCTGTGGCCCGCCCGCATTCGTCGCTGGGTGTTCTTGGTGCGGATGTGGATCTGCAGGCGCCGAGGAGGGATAGTGTCCAGCTGGGCGATATCAAGAGCGCGCTGGACCGGTTGATGGAGAATGTGGTGGTGCAGCAGCAGCACAAGGGGCTCGTTGGACCTGGGCCTGGGTTCGCGAGTGCGGGGTCGTCGAGGGGGCAGAGTCCGCGGGTTGGGACGCCCGTCAAGAGCGGTGCTGCGAAGGGCAAAGAGCGGGAGCGGGAGCGGAGTCAGGATCGCGGACATGGAGGTATTCGCGTGGAGAGCGTTACGGAGGGGGTCAAGGCTGGGCGGTATTCGCTTGATGGGGATGTGGAGATGGATGCGGAGGGCGAGGATGCGGAGGACCGGGAGGATGAGATGGACCAGGACCAGGGCGAAGATGAGGAGATGGACGACGGTGGGGCGAGGTCGCGGTCGCTGTCGAGGTCCAAGTCAAGATCGGCATCGCACTCAAGAAGCAGGTCAAGGAGCTTTGCGTCTCCGCCTCCACAACAGCAGCAGCAGGGGCAGTCTCCGTACAGACCATCGCACCAGCGCGCCGCGACGGATTCGGTCGTGTACCAGCCGCCATCGTTCGCCAGTCCCGAGGCCAGCCAGGGCAACAGCCGTACGCAATCGCCCACGCTCTCGCCCTCCGAGGACACACGCCGCTCCTCGTTCGGGCTCGGCGGCTCGCTCGGCGGGTCGGCCTACCCGTCCGGCAGCTTGGGCATCGGCTCGAGCATGGGCATGAGCACGAGCAACCTCAGCCAGCGGCCCATGTCCGCGATGGGCCTCTCTTCGCCCGGTTCACCACAGACGAAGGACGCGCGCAAGCGCCGCGAGCAGCTTATCCTCGAGAAGCGCCGTGCGGCAAAACAGAGGGAGGAAGACGAGGGCTTGGGGTACTATACGCCGCCGCATCCGAGCGACGCTTTCTCGCCCAAGGCCGAGGAACGGCCGAGGCGCACGTCGACGCCGAGACGGCGGACGATGAGCCAGAGTGCGATGAGCGAGGCGAGTGCCGCTGTTACTCCTGCTGGTGGAGCCGAAGAGGACATGATGCTCGGCGAGCTGGGGATGTTCAAGGCGACGGAGAAGTCCGGGGGTTTGGCGGGGACGATTACGAGGGAGCTGAGGAAGCTGGATGGGTTCGAGGGAAGGAAGGGGGTGAGTGAAAAAAAAAAAACGTTTTTGCTGTGGTCTCTTTTGTCTTTTTGTGTTGGGCGCTTTTGGGTGTGAGCGAAGGCTGATGTGGGTTTCTTTCTTTGGGGAAATAGTACCGGATCCGGGAGCACGAGGCGATCATCGCGTCTGCAGACAAGAAGGAGTCGTTCCCGCATATCACGCGTGCTGGTGATCTGGGGAGCAGTCAAGATCAGCCATGGAGGACTGTAAGGCGGCCTTCGGATATGGTGCGTTGTTCTTGATAGCCTTACAGCTGTGAGGGGCTGACGCTGACTTGTTTGTGAAGAACGAGTATTCAAAGCAGATCAAGGAGTTGCGAGCGCAGGAGAAGTCTGGGAAGTCGCACGGCAAGGTTTTCGTTAGAGGTGTGTTTCAGAGTTTATCCGAGTTAGAGTTTGAAAAGCCCCTGACACGTTGGTTGTTTGTTTGCAGTGCTTGGTATCAATCATGTCAAAGTTCCGTTCCCCCGCGAACCCACTACTATAACGTGCACGTTGAATAATGGCATACATTATGTCACGACGCCCGAGTCGACTCTGGCGAAGGACACGAGGATCGATCAGGAGTTTGAACTGTGCGTAGCGGTCCTTTTCATTTCGTTATGCTCGTGGTGCTGACAAATGATTGATAGGATCGAACATAATAAACTCGAATTCACCCTCACCATCAAAGTACGGCGCGACCCGCACATCATCGCGCAGCACAAAGCCCTCGCTCCGCCTGCCCCTCCGCCACCTGTCCGCCAACAAATTGCACCTCCTTCAAAACCACGAGGCGTCTTCGGTGGACTCTTCTCTTCCACGCCCAAGAAATCTGCCGCTGCCGCTGCTGCCATGCGCGCCGCACAGCAGCAGCAGGTGCCAGTGCCGCCAGTGCCCACGCGGATGCCGGAGAACCTCGCACGGTACCTCAAGCAGGACGGCACGCTCGCGCGTGCGTTCATTGCGTTCAAGGACATCGCGCCGCGGTGCGACACGCGCCTGTTCGAGATCTCGTACCCGCTGATCGGGCAGAGGCTGGAGCAGGGCGGCGGGCCGTCGACGCTCGAGCTCGGCGAGATTTCGCTGCAGGTGTTCAGGCTGCCGCCGCTGCCGGGTTTGCCGCCCGATCAGCTGCCGCAGAGCTTGGAGGAGTGCGTGAGGGGGTTTAGGCACACGCATTGGCATAAGGTGACGTATTTCGAGGGGACGTTGACGCAGAACGGCGGAGACTGCACGGTGGGTTCTTGTCGCTCTTGTTCGGTGTCAAGGCGGTATCTGATGAGATTTTCCCTCGACTTGTAGACCTGGCGTCGTCGTCAGCTGCGTGTTATTGGTGCCAACCTGGTCGCGTTCAACGACGTGACGAAGAAGGCGACCGCAACGATCAACCTCAAGAAGGCGGTCGCCGTCGAGGATATGCAAGATATGCGAGGAAAGCTGGACGACGAGGACTACGGCCTGTATGGCGTTGAACGTTCGTTCAGGCTTACGTTCCCGAACGACCAGCACATTTTCTTCTTTGCTGACTCGGACGAGGAGAAGGCGAGATGGTACGTTCTCTTCGCTGCAGAGTCCCCGAAAACGCTCTAATAAACTTTTATCTCCGCTTCAGGCTTGACGTCCTCCGTGCCCTTGTCGGCCACATCCCACCGAACCCGCTCTGGGCGGAGCTGCTCTATCAGCGCCAGCAGGAGTTGGCTACGAAGCTGCAACAGCAGTCGTCACAGGAAAATGTCGCGGGCCCTTCGTCAAAACCATAATAGTCCATCCACTCGGCGACGCTCTTCATCGCATGAGTTGAGGATCTTGATCGTTCCTTGTTTCTTGCCTCTTGCTTCTTGGGAACGAGCGTGCTTGTGCCAGTGTCTTGCCGACGGCCGTCCGTCACGTCGTTCTTATTCCTATGTTTATTGGCGACATCATCTCCTTCAGCTCTCCTACTACACGCTACGACTCGATTATTCTTGACGATCTTCCGCATCCAATCATATACATCCCTCTCTCTCTCTCCCTCTCTCTCTCTCACCGACGTGATTTCCTCTGCTCCATACACATACCCGAATCAGACATCAACATACATCGTCCGTTCGCGTTCACACTCATGCCTCTTTATTTTCGTTATCCTTTCTCATTCTCATTCTCTATCTCAGTCTCTTGTCCGCATTCCTTGACTTCTTGCCATTGCTCGGCCAATCGCGCGAATTCAAAACAACTCTCGCTTTCTCATCGACCACCGACGCCATCGCCATCGTCATCGCCAACAGCGTGTATCATACCAACACCGAATCAGCACTCCAGACATCCTATATCAAACATCAGGCATCGAAAGATTCCAGCTAGAGATTGATATACCACTATTGTCATCACGTTACCTTGCCTCGTAGTCGTTATTTGCTTCTCTTGTATTTATACGACGAGTTCGTCTTAGAGTAGGCGCTACACATCTGTCAACTTACATCCTCGATCGATAATATTGACTTGGAGTTGGTCTAAGGCATGCGTCTATGATTAAGAGCTAATGTTGAAGTTGTCTAGCATCACGAATGAGGACGACTGATGCAAGCTTTGCGTCGCGCGTGAACGTAAGACATCAACGTTTCAACACTTGACTTCATACCGTTATCTCAGTTTATATATTCATACCACTCCCTCGACTCATACCACTATCTCGAAAAGGAAAAGTACCTCAACCCGACCCGCTTCCAGTAGCAGCGTCACTAAATGGGCGGATCGAATATAAGTACATGAGCAGTAGTAGAATCAGTTATAACTGACACCATACCTTAATGATATTTCGAATCTCCAGCACGAGTGGAGTGTAAAGTCCGTTTTTAACATGTGGGAAATCAGACCAAAATCAGACGGTGAAATGGTTAGATCAGGGATGATATTATAATATTGATGGCTATCTTACCGTTGACGGAGCCTGCATGATAATTACATGATAAGAACGGCTGGTGTTTTATGCCGTATGATCAAAACTCACACCATATGATGAGGACTCGCAATCTCGCCCATGATTCCAATGACAAGACATTCATTGTGAATATTATATAGTACATGATGTAGCATTATTCGAGGTTAAAACGACTATCAAAGTTAATACACGAGAGCAGGAACACGAGGGCAGCAGCATGAGAGCAACAATGATACATGAGAGCAGCAGCAGTACACGAGATCAGGAGGTCTGAGGAAAGAATTAGAGCTTACAGACCATGAAGCCGGTAGTCGATGACAGCCACTGCAAGGACAGAGATACCTGAAACTCATGTACCTAAATCACACCCGTACGTTAGTAGTTTTCATGTAATATTCATATCTTCGGAGTATAGTAATAATGTAGATGTTTCATGAGAGTAATGGACTTTGCCGAGATCCAACTATGGACGTTTTCGGATGATTCAATGTACTTTCTAATGGTCAAAGGAACATGATTTTTGAGGCAACGTGGTGGGCCTGAACGCAAAGCCAATAGTTTTCATGGTAAAATATAGTGATTATCACACAAAAAGGTAAGCAAAAACCACTGCAAATGCGATGAAATTCATGTACGTCTATAACTAGTGATTGATGTAGCTACTTGATACGCAGAACTACACCCGAAGAGCCCTGAGCCGCCCACCCGCAGTCCAACCCGCTCCAGGAGCACGAGTGACATCGTACATGCTCATACTGGGAGGAAGGAGGTGGAGGGAGGAGAGATGAAAGCTCGCACCGAACATGTGTAACTGCACGCGCGCGCCAGTGAGCAAGAACCCTGCACATCGCAATGGGCAGGCGCAAGTTTGAAAGTCACCACCTGAACCTTCTTCAGTGCAGCCGGCGCAAATAGGGAAATAGACACTTAGGAGCGTTAAAGCCATCCCTGTGAAGATTACCTGTCAATTGTTCCTATACTGGCAAACATCTCGGAACTGGCGCCATGGATGAGCGGACCAATGGCTATTGTGTGACCGGTGGTCAGCTAGCGCTCGCGAACAAAATGAGCGCATCAAACGGGGTGGCCGCTGGCGACGGCATGCGCTCATGCACATGCGTGATCTGCCACGCCTCGGGCAGGCAACTCCTCTGGACACTGGTGACCCGCACACGGCATAATTTCCGTGATGACAACACTCGCACGCAATAAGATAAAGGAGATCAGTGCAGCATCTTTGACGTACCCATGAGAGGAGGGTGTGGGCCGAGGATTGTCAAGCAAGCAACAACTAACCTTGTACTTCTCCTTCTGCTCGCACGTTCTTATCTCTTCCTCCTTGAGTGACCGTCCCAGACTGCGCTTTCTCTTGTCTGAATGACTGGGGTGCGTGTTTGTTCTTAGCAAAGAGTAGTCAGACTTGATGGATGAGCAAGAGGCTAGCGGGAAGGGGCGGGAAAGGGCGATGGACAAAAAGGGCGATGACGACAGCGAGGACGAAAGGAACAAGAGTGATGGTAACAGGAGCGAGGGCGAGGGCGGCAGCGAAAGAGAAGGTCGAGTGCAGAAGCGAGCTGGAGTGGGTGAGGGCAACAACTTAGAACGTGAGGGGAAGGAAGACAAACCCAAAAGACGAAGTCCAACATTTGCACTTGTTTGTCGGGTGTGGAGACCTCTCCAAACACCGACTCCACCTGACGCCATGATGGACATGATTTTGTGTTTCAGATCCGAGTACATGACTTGGTAAACCAGGCACAGGTACATGAACTCGGAATCAGCTCGAATGTACATGATTCTAGCAAACCAAGTAGCGAGCACATTAAAATCAGGTATACATGCTTTTGCAGTGAGCACTCGTCTACTTTCGGGCTCCAACTCTGACAATGAGGTAGCCGAAGGCGGGTGGGGACGCGAATAGTGACCATCGACTCGGAATATGATAGCCTCAGACTTCAGGCTTGTGATCCAGGTCCTCGCCGACAGCTGGGGGATGGGTGGTGCGAGACTTAAACGAGGCTGCTGGGTTGCTCATCTTCTGTCGGGTCGGACGTTGAGAAGTGACCTGGACGTCATCTGTGGCAGAGAGATCGTGTTAGTGGTCCTGTGAACGCGTGCTTGCTGGAGCCAGCAGTTTCTGTTGTGTGATCGAAGATATTAGTGGCTTATAATCCCAAACAACTCAAGTTACTCACGTCAACCATCTATGGCTCTTTGTCCGCCAATTTCCACCGGGTTGAGCTAAAAGGGAGGATTGAGGGAGGAGAGATAAAAGGCGGGGAGAGTGTTCAAAAAGGCGAAGGCGAACAAAAATGTCTTATCTTATCTTATCTCTCCATCAGCTTTAGGGCTGGCTTCATCATCTGTCTCTGATTGGCCAGAATTATATTTAGACGTTTGAGAGTGTGGCGGCAGTGCTCGCTTGAAATAACTAGAGGTCCTCTTCTATTTCATTTTGCCGTCGTTCTTGTAGCTGGAATGCATGTCGCCGCTTCAAATTATCAAGCATTGCTTCGCAAGAATTATAGGTATGAATAGAAGCAGACAGAGGCCGATCGCGAGCGGTTGGTATTCATGCATTCAACGTGGTGTGGCCGGTTTTCTCCCCCCACTCACTTGTTCTCCACGAGCATGCAAGGGCGAGTTCATGCGTTGTCTCAGACATTTCCGCCACACTGACTCAATTTAGAGATCTATTCGTAAAATATGGGTGCTCAGACATGCTTGCTTGCTCCGTGAGCGCGTGGCTTTAAATACCTGTAGTTTAAGTTTAGTTTTCAAAGGGAATGTTCCTATTTCAAAGCGCCCGGATGCAACTCGGGGTCTTGCAAGGCAAGCTCGAGCCTGAGTGAACGTCGAACGTTGCAATGTTGAACATCGAGTAAACCTAGAGCATGGGTTCAATCATGAATCAGATACACTGCCGTTTGTTGTTGTTTGTTAATGTTTGTTAATGTTTGTTAGTGTTCGTCACTGTTCGTCTCTGCCTAAAGCGGTGGCTGCCATATGCAGTTGAAGTCAGAAAGTCGTTGAATCCGGAAGTCTGGCGCTGCGCGAGCTACGACGCAGTCCGGCGGGTACGGCGGGTACGGCGCGGTTGCGGGGTACCCAAACAAAGTCAATTGCATGTGATCTAGCCACGTCGCGCAGATTTCCTAGCCCTCCTGTACTTTATCTTATCTATAACCCATTCCCATTCCCTGTGTCCCCCGGCATTATTCCCAGTTTGAGCAGCTCGAATATGAGCAGATCACCGCAAGTTTATCGAATGTTGTCGCAACTTTCGCAAAGATATCAGCATTATCCAACTGAAGGACTTCTAAGTCGACAGCCTCCACCCCGTCAACCTACTTGCCCCATGTCCACCAGCTCTTTCTATCCATGGCCACGTCTATCCGAACCCAGTACATTCCTATCATGTGGCAGGGTCTTCTAGGCCTTATCTGATCGCTTCCACCGCTCGAGGAAGGAGAAGAGGCCAGAGATCATTGCAGAAGTATGAGGAGCATGGGTGGGACAAAAGTATATGTGAGTAACCCATAGCTTTCTATTCCGAAGCTCTCCTCATATACTAGGCAAGTTATTATGCCGACCGTGGTTTTGATTTCGACTAAGACCCCAAAACCCCTCGCGACTTGCCGCCGGACTGCCGTACCTAGCCAGACCAGCGCGATTGCCGGACTTCTGGTTTCAACACTGTCCTCGTTGAAGTTATCGCTCAATGATAATTTTGTTTCTGATATGGTCTCCGTATTTTATATTTGACTAACAAATGTACGAGCAAGATCATCAATTTTGATCAATGGTAAAGTGTCCGCGACATGGTGTTCGGCCGAAATTCACTGCCACACCGTAACGATATGTTCACTCAATGGGAATGCGTCACCATTCGTGATCATACAAAACTGTCTCGACGACGATATTATAATGGTGATCACTCGGTATAACGGTCAAACTTTTCCCACCCATTTAGTGATGACCGTGAGCGCTAGGTAATTATGTCGCGTGGCAACCATGTTCAAATCCAGTGTCGGTGCCTGAACTGACTCGGTACGTGGTAAAGGCGAATAGAGCCTTTCCAGTAAATATACCTTATTAGACTTAGCACAGCCTGCCCAATACATACGCCGGGACGCTCCTTAGCGTACGTATTTAGCGCTTCACACGGGATATCATGATATATCTGATTTCCTCCTTCTCCAGTAGACACAACTGGGTCTATGGGTGGACTTGAGACCACCACAGTCGGCGTCGGACTTGTAAGCTATATATCAGGAGGTGTTAAGTGGTAGAAACAACAAAGTAGTACTATACTTGAGGACAACACCTGCGTCTCAGCAGTACTGAGAAGCCTTCAATTTGAGTGTGTTTCGATTAGTGCATGTAAAGCTACTGGTTCTGAAAAAGGTCACGTCGCAGTGGGAAGGATCATCTACCCTTCAAGCTCCAAGTGGGGAGCCCAGCATCACCGACAGTTTGGTAGAGATGGGGTAGTAGGCTGAGTCGGCACTACAGCAAGGATATTGTGCATGAAACGAGTCAATTAATTGCTTACCATAGTCAGCAGATGACAATCTCCTTGTAGACGCTCCGCGCGCCTAATACGTTGACCACGAAGCAATCTCCGAACATTATTGACGCTCGAATGAACGCTGAATATACAGGACATAATGTAGGGTGGGGCTGCTTGTGGTTGATTGTGGCAAATATCCTAAAATATCCTGTTGAATTTAGGGTGAAGACCAGTTATAATGCTGTAGGTCTAGGCGTTACGTTCATCTAGGATCTTCGTGGGTTCGTGGGAAGCATCAACCAACATTAGCCAACCACACTTGTTGGTTTTGTCACGATCAAGAATGTTTGTCCCAAAGCCATAATAGCTGGAATCTGATAGTACCATGGTGGCTCTCTTTGGCAGCGGTCTACTCAACGGAGGTCGAGGTGAAAGAAGAAAAAGTCCAGTATGCCAGAATCCCAAACCAGGTTCATTCTATACACTACCCACTACCTCAAGATATTCCACTCCCCCCACGCCGGATCCCCCTCTGGCGGAAAAACCCCAAACTGCCTCCGCTCCCGCTCCCTCCTCTGCCCCTCCGTCTCGTGCGCATGTCCCTACGCCTGTGCAGCGTGCACCTGCAGCTGCTAATGCTGCTGCCTCGCCCGCTCAATGAGCCGCGCTCGTATCCAAATCAGCATGCTCACGCTCACACACAGCAGCACGAGCAGAATCGTCTCCCCGAGCTCGTCGTCCACGCCAAACTCCTGCGCGTTCCCGTGCTCATTGAGGTACTCCCCGCGCAGAGTACCGTTGAAGTAGTCCTCGGGCCCGAAGTCGAGTTCGTCTGCGATGGCTTGACGGTGCTCGCGTGCGTACTGTGTCAATTGTGGCGTTCGTATGCGGTTGACTGAGTTGTTCCGAAAATAGGCCGAATGCCACGAAAAATTAAACGCACCTCGATGGGATCTTGATCTTCCTGCGGCATCCCGATACCCTAGCGCCGGCGCTTGTGGAAGTCATCGCGCGCTTTGCCCATGTGCCACCAACTACCGGTGTCCTCATCCTCGAGAAGCTCTTGAGCTTGGTGTTGCTGCTGCTCGCGCTGGGCGCGGTCGGCTACCTCGGCTTTTTCGTGCTCGTCGTGTGCTGCTTCATCTATGACAAAGTAAGTCGCTGGTATAGAGCCATGACGTAATGAAGAGACACGTACTGAGTTTTTCTTCTGCAAGGAAGAGATTCATGCTCTCGCCGCCGCCACGAATGGTTAGCCACAAGCTACGAGCGTAGAGCTTGGCGTTTGAAAGCATCGCAGGGAGGTACGCCTCGCTGTTCGTCGCAATTGCTTGGTCATAATGCTGTTTCGCAAGATGGAAGTCCTACTGATCCACCATCAATATGGTTCCGTTGTAACACAGCGCCATGCAACTTGCCTGGGGCACCCCGACACCATTCTCGTACATCCACCCGAGATTCCACATCGCCAGCGCACTCGCCTCGTCCGCCGCGTCATGGTAGTACACCACCGCCTTCTTGAAGCGAACCTTCTCCGGCTCCTCACCCAGCAACCCGAGACCGTGATAATACTAGTCTCCAACCTTGACGAGTGTGTCAATATTACGCTGGCCGGCGCTGCGCGTCCACTGCGTAAGGGCGATGCGTGCGCTCTCGTTCGGCGAACCGCCAAGGATGGGAGATGTAGCCGGGCGAGCGTGGCGAAGCAGCGATATGTCTGTCCAGTGAACGCAATGAGTATCTGAGAAGCAGACAAGAAGACACCCGATACGCACCCTGATCAAGCACATACGCCAGATTATTCTGCCCAATCTCGCTCCCCCTCTCCGCACCACCTCAGCATCGCATGCTCCCTCCCTATTTCCGTCCCGCTCACCCACAGCTCCTCCGCCTCGCCGAGGATGTCCCTGCTGGAACCGATTCCGTACACTTCGCCGGGATTGAGCACGTCCGCGTTCAAAAACGTGCCGCGCTCGGCGACATTCTTGAAGACCGCGCGCGCGCTCTCGCATGTCTCGCGGGCAACGTCGATGTGCCCCGCCGCGCCGTACTCATAGAACGAGTGGGCAAAGAGCTTGCCAAGGTAGAAATGAGCTTCGAACGGGGATCCGTACCGCACCGCGATGTCAAAGGCGGTCACGGCGAACTTGTATTCGCCGAGTTCTGCCTGAGCAAAGACTTTGTTAGCTTCTGGATCTCAATTCTTGTCGCAGAGGAATAAGCGCTCATAGAGGAGGGAGAGACGAGAACGCTGATACGCACCGAAGACGAGGAGAAAAGAACTCACGATAGTACAACTTCGATACATTCATCTACGCCTCTGCCAGCTCCTGCCCCGCCGCCTTCGTGAAATACCCCTGCACCTTTACTGGATCCTTCCTCCCCGGAACCAGCCCATCCCTCCACATCACCCCCAACATATTCGCGCACTCCCGATCATCATACTTTCGAACCATATCATCGCCATCTCACTGTTCTGCCGCACCCCATCCCCTCTCAGGTACATCCTCTCCAAATCGACGGCGGCTAGTGTTGTGCAGGGCCAGGCCTGAGGCCCTAAAGCCTTTGGGCCAAGCCCTGTATAGGCCAAGCCCTGCCCGAGCCCTGGCTAGGGCTTTTGAGGGCCTAGGGCCTGGCCTGGGTTGTTGCAAAGCCCGAGCCCAGGGCCTAAGCCAGGGCCTGTAGCTAAAAAATTGAAAAAAAATGTTAGTATGACTGTACAACTACTCTAGTAACAAAAGGTTGTATAACTTGAACTTAAGTATTAGCTAGTGTACGATGTTTTTATTGATTGTGGGAAATTCTAATCAAAGTGTGCTGTGTCCTGATCTAACTATGGCATTATCTGACTCACTTGCCCTTCAATTAGAATATAGCCTTGAGAGTTATGTCAGTAAATAAGGTGATGTTTGACCCAGCAGGTTACTAATGTCCCAAAGATAGTTATGGTGCAAACAATGAAGCTGAAAACACCTCAGCACCTCAGGCTCAAGGATTCCATGCTTATCTTGGCTCTGAGATGCCTCTTCCAGAAGAGATATCTATTGCCCATTGGTGGGGTGTAAGTTATCTTGTTGTATCACATTTTATGGTTCTAATCAGTGCTACAGTTGAATTCTCTTTTGTACCCTATTTGGGATCACTTTCATGCAGCTGCTGAAATAATCACAAAAAGGTGCAATCACATTGGTGGAGATGTTGTTGAAGCTATTCGGGTGTTGAGGACACTCTGCTGCCAGGAATTAATTTTCCATAAGCTAGGGCCATCCTCAGCAGCTGAGTTATCCTTAGAGAAGACTGAGGGCAATGTTATTGATGAAATGACTGTTGAGAAGCATGATGATGAGCTTGGAGATTTAATTTTAGGTATTTCAGACAATGAGAACCATTGAGATTTGGATGAATAAGTGTCTTTTACTACAGCGATTATTGTGACCCAATCAAAAGTCAATGTCTTCACTGTTTTTTACTATCTGATTGATCCTGATAGCTTCATTGAGTAGAAAATGGACCGCTTCAATTTTTTATGCACAAAGGAAGCAAAATACATGATTTTATAGTGAAAGCCCTGGCCTAGGCCCAAGCCAAGCCCGAGCCAAGCCCTGGCCCTATGTCAGGGCCTGGCCTTGGTTTTTGCAAAGCCCGAGCCCTCAAAAGCCAGGCCAAAGCCAGGGCTTTCAGGCCAAGCCCGGCCCTGCACAACACTAACGGCGGCACACAACGAGGAAGAAGTAGTACGGAGCATTAGAAAAGTCCTACGGGATGCGCCCGAGGCGATGCCGTTGTGCGTGCAGTATATCGAGCCCTGGTAGTATATGCGCCCGAACTTGTATGCAAAGTTGAGTCCGTATCTTCCTCTACCTCATTGTTGCGAAGCGTTTTGCAAGACTTGACAAACCTCGCAGAGCCCTTGTGACCTACGCCTCTCGAATGTGCAGCAAATTATGATGGAGGGATGTAGCGCTCATCTCTGTTGATATGGGCCATGATTGAGATGGAAAGGTACTGAAAGGCAACTTTTATCGCGCCGTGAATGTTCGTAGGACAAAACACAGTGACAACTGGGATGAACATGCGGACCACATATGTTCGAGACGGGACATTTGTCACTCCCGCTTCAAAAATTTTCCCACATAAAACCCAGTTACCTTAAGAGGTAACGGACATTGGAGTCCGATCGGTATTCATTTTGCCAAAGTTACCACGGTTGAAACCGGCCAAAACGTCGCATGTCACCTACTCTCACCTTCTTTCGTTCAAGACACTATGGGTAGTATAATGAACACCGCGACTTGGGTGAGATCATCGTTCAGCAACTCCGTCAGAGACTGGGAGTAAACTGTGCCACATGTTGAAAGTTCCTTTGACTATGAAAGAATAGAGAGGTCTCTCAGGCTCATTTGCCTGAAATAAGCGGATATTGATGATGTCACCGTAATCAGTTCACTCTAACCTCCTTTCCTCCTTGGGAGTTCGGTCACGACCAGCATAAGCTCTTCTCTCGCGCCTTGACCCCAACGTGAGTAGGTGGCATATAGCTGGTACTAGTTAGGAGCAGACGACCATAAATGCACTAGAATGAGTACGCACTCAGATTAGATGTCGTATGTGTCATAGTATCATCTAGTTGTGTTGGAGGATGTATATAGGAATGAATTTACAGGGATTGCCAAGTGAAGAATGTACAGGGAACAAATCTATGAGCGAGGTGTAGGAGCGCTACTGTTATATTTGGATTTTGAAATAGCTCGACTTTGTGTGGAGTGGATCGTTCTTATTGAAAGTTATGTGTTTAATCGTTTAGAGATTCTTCTCTTGGACCAAACCCTGCTAAAAGCCCTGAAAGACGCTGAATCTTGGTCCTTGGCAGTGTGTTAAAGCTAATGCAGCGCTCGTACGGTTGGGCTAGTTGGAGGGTCCCGGAGTGTGCCCATATTTCATCTGGTTTTGCGGTACATATGACGTCAGATGTCCGAAGTACGGTGGAATGTCAGCCGAAGGAAGGAAGTAAGGTTGGAGGTGTGTCCCGCGTAGTCCTATAACGCGTGTGTAAGAATTGGCACCGTTTACCAGCGATCAGGATCATGCCTTACCATGCGTTGTACAGTTGATATGCTCATAATGCATAGACCGAAAAGGAAATTTTGAATTGAAAAGACCCTTAACCTGCCATATAAGGCAATGCATTATGAGCATATCAACTGTATACTCTTCATGTGCGAGTGGATAAAATAGAGAAATGTAAGGGCCGTTGGAATCGGTGTTCATAAATGTATCGGTATTTTGTTGCGCCGCAGACTTGCTAATATGCGTGTTCCTAGGAGTCATTCCTATGGATTGGTCACAACGCTGGCAAAAGCGGCGCCAGCTGTCATCGCCTGCGCATCAATACTCTATAAGCACATACGAGTAGTGAAGCTGAAAGCAAGAGAACGCACCCCGCCGTGTGTTGGCAAATAGAAACTTCGTCGGCCCTAGTTTGTGGCCTGTACAGTGCCGTCTGATTGCTGATGGATCGGCGGTCTTATAGGTGCAGTCGGGTATCAGGCACGAGTATCGTTTAATGCCGAAACTAATAAACGGTATTAATAACGTTAATCATAATTGCCTAGGAGTTCGTTTCTCACTGCTTAGACTCGATATGAATTTTGGCGTTCCTTGTGTTGGCGAAGTGCTTTACGGACTGGCCTTCCGCATCAATGCAGTCGCTATGCGTACAGCAGACCGCCATTGTAGACTGTAGAAAGAGACTGGATCAGTTGGACCGTGAAGGATATAGTGGTCGTATCGTTGAACACGGAAGCAGGCAGGATATGAGCCGAGGGTATGGTCAGATTTGAAGATCGTATTCCATGTTTTATATCAACCTGCTGAACCAGGTCTATACAAGACGCGGAAGGCTTCCAGTATGATTGCATTAATGTGGCTTGTGATGTTTCATAGTAGGTATGCTGTGTTGATACCTGAACCGATATGCTTGACGCATGAGCGAGAACCCATTGCAGTGGTTGTTGTGGACATACAAAGATATCTATCAGCGGGCATACCTGAAGTTCAATGGCGATGACTACACGTACCTGCCGATCTAAAAGGCTTGAGATAAGTTCTCTCAGCCTCCATAGGTATGCCCAAGAGAAAGAAAGTTGTTATCAAAGTCCATGTCTGTCGTCATTGCTTGGGTTCGGGTTGCACCATTGTACTATTGATGTTCTAACATCGCAACGTTAATTCTACAGAGAGAAAGGATGAAGTCTTGTTCATAGGCAGAAATGACATACTATCCCTGTACCCAGTATTCCATAAAGGTGATACGAGGCGCATCGAGATTTCAGAAGCCCACAAGTCACCCATCGAGGCACTCAAGATCTCATTTGTATCGCATGTGGAATGAAATGTGGGTACGAAGAACGTTTACTAATGAAAATTCTCGGAGGTATCTTTCTATAACGTTCTCGAGGTCCTTAAATATCGGATGAAGTGGACTGAGACTTCTTTTGCCAGTTGGGTCGGACAAAAAGGTGATGAACTAGAATTATCCCTGACTAGCTCTAGCGTATATACACACTATTCGTAGGCTACGCGGCTTTATCGAAGATGTGACCATCTATGGCCGACAAAGTGAATGACAACATGCAGAATTAGAGACTAATCAATAGCGTACGCGACCCATACGGAACGATGAGTCACTGACAATTGAAGAGTGTCCGGCAGCTTACAAATGCGCATCGGTAATTTTGTATTTCCCGATAGCTCCCTTTACGTGCCCATCTGATGCCCGATCCGCAAGCATTATGAGAGCGGATTTAACCTACCTATGTGGGTTTAGAGAGTAGGCGTCAAGTCCGGTGCTGTAGAGAAAGGGCGATTCGATCCATGCTTCCCGCGATCGCGCGAATCCGAGACCTATGTGCCATAACGATCAACGAATCAAATACTGAGACTCCATCAAGTTGCTACTATAAAACATTGCGTCCTTGATACCATCCTTGATACGGGGATGGTGAGAGAGACGAGAGCTTCAATACTGGAACATTGGAGTTAGGCGCCAAGGTACTGGTCCGAATACTTCGGCGCGCTTTTGAAACAGAAGGGTTATTTATGACTGCGCGTGAATGTCCAGGTGCGGTATACTAACCCGTGAGAAAAAGAAGACTGGGCAGAGGCAAATTACCTTGCTGCAATATACGACCGCCGCCGGTAACGGCGTGATCGATGGTGAAACACAGAAGTCCGATTGACTGCTTAATGAACTTACGAGATTTACGCTATCGGATCAACTCAACTTGAGCGTTCGCAAGGACGGCGGACGGAGCCGCTAGGCGCTTTGTGGCACATGATGTATAGTAGGCGTCATAGGGCATTGAACATTATTAGTAATAACGCTGGACTAGATCTGGCTGCATGGGGCAGAGGCTATTTTTGCGGTACTGTAATGCTGCGACTCTGTCTTATGCGCTATAAGTATCGAAGTCAGTGTGGGCTACGTCATGTACTCGTAGAGTTCAAGGGGATCAAGGACCACCAGCTATGTGGGAGAACCAAGTGTAAATCGATTACTGGGGAATATCTACGAACATGTGAATATTTAGGTCTTCGAAAGCCTAACCTCGAGGTAAAGGTTCGATAGACATGCGACGGTCAAGGCGCAGCCACGACGAAAACCTTACAGCGTTCAGTAGCTTTTGAGTTCACACGATTGAGTTCACACGATTGAAGTAAGGGAAGAATGCGTCTAAGATTCACGATCCTCATTACAACGAGTGAATGGCACTAAGCGATACATGTAGCATAATCTAATTAGTGTCCGTGTCGAGCCGTCTAAAACATTAAGTGGTCATCATGAAGATGATGCGTAGACATGAGGAATATTAGCAAGTGAATGAAACGTCAGGAACCCATCGACCAAGAGGTGCGTCGCCTACATGCACATGTTCAGATCAGCACCGCTGGCAGCCCACCACACCTTGTCAGGCGTCGCGTACTTCTCTGCGCTACGCGGAGAGTTCGCATTGGTGACCGAAGAAAGCTTACTAGCCTTCACAGACCGCGAGCCAGGAGCTGCGGGGCCGATGAGGCGCTGCATCCTAAGGGGCGTGCGTTGAGGGGTGCGCGGCGCAATCGCCCGGGAGGCGAGGAGCTTGGCGGGGTCGACATACGCGCCGTCGCGCGCAAGGTCGATGGCGTCGCGCATCTGCGCCCAGAGATCGTCCGTGTCCACACTCTGGTCTGCGGCGTCGTCGCCCGAGTTTTCCCTGGGCGGCCTAACCGGCTTGCAGACGCTCCGCAGGGGTGTGGTGAGGAACCAGAACGGCGAGCGCCCGAGCAGCTTGCGCGCGGAGCGGACGGCGCTGGCGCTTCCCAGACGTCGCCGCCCACTCGCACTCACGTTGTCGCCATCGGCTCCACGTCTGACCGGGGTCGCATAGAGCACGCTGTGCGACATGAAGTCCGCAACCGAGCTCTCAATGATAGAGTGCTCGTTCCCATCGCCGTAGACGCGACGAGGGCTGGGCGAAGGTGCCAGAGAGCGGTAGGTCCTGTCGTGGTTGAAGCTGTAGCCATACTCGTCGTAGCTCTCATCATCGTTCTCCCAGAGCCATGAGCCCGGGGTCGAGACGGGATGCGAGCGCGTGTACATCCCAAGGATGCTGGCGTCGGGGTCAAGGTCTTCGATGTCTTCTTCTTTAACGTGACCTTCGTAGTCTTCGTAGCTCGAGTTGTGCTCGAGTTGTTGGTCCGTGGTGTCCATTTCTGGGCCCTCGTTGTCGAAGTCGTTGGTTTCGGCTTCGTTGTCCGCGTTTGCGGCAGCAACATGGGCATGTTCAGGGTGCGCGCCAGCCCCGATAAGCGGGGGTGCGCACGGCATAGAACCGGAAGATGGAACGGAGGAAGGGAAGGCGCAATCGTATGTGGAAGAAGAGGGAAGAGCGCAAGCAGAGGTAGATCCCTTGGCGGATGTAGAGTAGATTGTCGTCGCGGACTCGGAGAGGCCCCCGCACATAGCCTCCGAAGAGGATAACGAGGGGAGAGCCGACCACCCAGACGGGACGGTCGACATCGTCTCGCGAGACTCGCTTGATGCAGCGTCGACTATCGCGGCAGATCTACTAAGAACATCACCGACGCCGAGGCCCACTCCCACAGTGGTGCCTCTGTCGGGACGTGCGAGCGGCTCGCGGCTCTCAAGGGGCGCATCGGTGAGGGGGACGCCACAATGAGCAGTAGGAGAGGGAGGAGAGGGAGGAGAGGCGCCAACAGGCGTGCAGTTGACGACGTGCAGTTGACGGGGTTTGTCGGGGATGACTTGGCCATAGTCCTCTTCGCTGTCGCTTTCGAGGACGATAGGCATCTGCTCGCGGGGGCGCTGGTTCGGATACCAGCCGCCGCGGCAGAGGGTTGAGGGCCTAAGGCGGTCAGGATCCCTCGACAGGGTGCTGTAGGTGCACCTAGCAGCATCCGTATAGGTGTTGGCGTTGGCGAGGCCAGAGAGGCCGGACATGATGGAGGGGGAGGGGGTCATGCCGCCAAAACCGGAGCTGGGACCAGAGGCGGCCCCATGAGCAGCTCCGGTGCCGAAGGAGAAGCGGCTGAGCGCAACGTCGAAGAAGCGCTCTTCGCTCGTCGACGAACTTCCCACAGTATCGTCGGCGGTCTGAATCTCGCATGCGCGAGACATGTCCTCCGGGCGCATCTCGAATTCGCCCTGTTCAGAACCGGTCAAGGACGGCCCCTCGACGTAGATCGCAGGGCCGCCTTCGCCGCGGGTGCCTTGCTTGCCTGAGGCATCCGCAGGACCGCCAGTCGTTCCGTCCTCGTGGATCGGGACACCAAACGACTTGTGCACACACTGGACAAAAAGTCCCAACCCGCTACCCGCTTTCTTGTTAGTCTTCTTTCCCTTTCCCTTTCCCTTCTTAGACTTGTTGGACCTGCGGCCTCGCTTCTTCCAGAACGGAGAGAACTTTGGCGCTTTCACAGGAACAGAGCCGGTGGTCGTCTTCTGGCCGAGGCGAGTGGAAGGGCCACGGTGGAAGACCTTGAGGAGGGATGAGAGGATGGCGTGGGGAACTTTGAGACTGCGGGGGATGGAAGCCATTGTTCTAGGCGAAAAAAAGGTACGGGGCGCAGGTCAGGCGCGTTTACAACACTAGTCGAATGGATGCTTACAATGTCTTGGGTAGGTTGCAGGAGATAGGACTCGAGGTCAAAGGCGTGCTTGGGAGGCGATAGGATGAGAACGTGGGTGAAGGAGATAGAGAACAGAGGAAGGAGGCAAGGCGTATATAAGTCAAATGACATTCTAGGTCAGACCAGAATCTACGCACCGCGATGACGCAAAGGAATACCTGTAACAGCGACAGCTCCTTCTTTTCGACACACATTAGAGATCGAACCAGCCTAGCTAAGACCAGAGTAGGGGGTCATGACGACGACGGACGTCACATTCGAGGATTTAGGATGACGATGGCAAGGTGAGAGCGACAGGTGTGAAGTCGAGCTTAAGAAGTAAGAGGTGACTGTGTTTATCGAGTCTGGATCCTGTTGCACACCCCAGCATCAGTTGTCGGGGCGAATTACCCAGTAGAGCCTGACTGAGAGGCAGTGAGGCAAGGTGTCTGCGCCCGTGAATACGAGATCGTCGTGCCATTGCGAGATGTTCCGTAGCCAAGCAAAGAATATGCGTGTCGGTCTGCGTATTTGCGGGGTCGCCATAGATGGAACGACGAAGAGCAGACGAGGCGGAGAACGGGATTGCACCCAAATAATAGCAAACAAACGCCGCAGCGCGCTCCGGGCAAATCGGAATTGGTCTCACCGCCACGCAGTGGCGCGCCGACGCACATCAATGTAGAGTACCCCTCCGCTAAATCACTAACCCGCCACAATCCGTTATTATTACACTCTCCGAATCACGCGTCGACAAGCCTATACATGTAGTATTATAACGACGCTGCAAGCGCCCGAGAGTATTATACACAAGTGACTGACAACAACAGGTGAGTAATTGCGACGGCAGAAAACCGTCGGACGAGTACATGCGGCGGAATAAAAAGCGTCCCTGACCTAGCCTGGATCAGTGTCTCCCACAGACATCGATCCGGTAAGGGACCCGGGTAGTCGATATGTCGTCTACAGCTGCGTCCTGAAGCAAGAGATGATCGCCCTCGTCCCCGAGGCCCTCTCCTCGAAGCGGCAGCTATCCCGTTTTCTTCTCCGATCAATCCCGTCTACTCAATAGCCAGTAGCCTAATACTCCATGCAGCTATCCGTCGGGCACAAACTCGGGCGACTATCGGCGCCGGTAGACCTGGCAGCCAAAGACCTCGAGGCACCCGTCGCCTGCAGACGGACGCTAGCCGCGCGAGAACTCGAAGCAGCCATGTAGCAGTGGCCATCTTCCTCGCTGTCGAACTCGAACAAGACACTCCATTCCAGGCCCTCGTCATGGATACGGTTATCAACCGCGCCATCAGTGTGGACGTGGGCATCATCCGAGCGTGCAACAGTCCCTCTCGGCGGGATCGCGCGCGCCGCAGGATCAGGAACGTAGTGAGATGATAGGAGTCGATGTAATGCAGACACAGATGGTGGAGAGGCCGGAGAAACCGCCGGAGGAGAATCAACAAGAGCCAAGAAGCTGAGCGCGGACGACCCCGATCCGCGCATCGCAGAGCTGATTGTCGTCGAAGAGTCGGTGTCGCTGGCCAGGTTGACGACGAAGACCCGGGGATCAGATGTCGTCGAGTCAGATGACGACGAGACACCTTGAGGGACGTCGGCGTTAAGGACGCTAACACCCAGACCGACACCGTGAGTAAGACGCGCGTTCGAGCCAGAGAGCGGACCGCTGCTCGTCGGAACACACATGGACAAGTTCCGTGTCCCAGGTGACCTCCTCATATGGCCCCTAGGCACCGCTTCCGCGACATCCAGGTGCGTCTTCGTCCCACACGAAAACGCGCCCGTCTGAGCCGCATCGAAAGCCGGAAGGTATGGTGTGCCGTCCGACACCCGAGACGGAGAAGGATGCACAAGCCGTAGGAGCGTCCTCACCGCGCTTGTCGTCTTGTCTTCGGGCTTCGAAGTGCCGGAAGGAAGAAACCTATGGTAGTCCTCCGAGCTATCGCTGGTGGTGGTGATATCGTCGGAGCCATCGTCGGAGTCGTCGCTCTCGAAAAGCACAGGCATGTCGACGAACGGACCGGAAGAGTGCACGCGGGGTTGTATGAAGGTCGTTGGCCAGAGACGAGTCGGATCCCTGGACAGGAGCGCGAACGGACTCATGTTAACACCCGAGAGCGCTAAAAGATCCGGAGACGCAGGAGAGGGAGTCATAGCGCCTCCTCGATCGGGGGTTGAGGGATTGTTGACGCTGCGGGTTGGCTCAACGTTGAGGAAGGGCTCGTCCGACGCCCACGAGTAATCTGCGAGCTCATACGCGCTGTACGAGGGTCCCACCTCGGATTCGCCCGAGCCCCCGTGGTAGCGCGTAGAGGAGTGAATCGCGGGCGCCTTCTTCCCTTTCTTGCCCCTGACCTTCGCGCTCATTGCCTCGCGTATCCAGCAACGACGCTTCGTCCACTTACCCACTCGCTCGCACGTCTTGCGGAGTGGAGAGATAGGTTCGCCGGGTTGGTACTGCGGAACGGGCGTAGGAGGGGCGGGCTGAAAGAATGCCGCAAAAGCTGCGTGAGGTACGGAAGCACCGGCCATGACTTTGGGTGACGAGAGAGGGATGAAGGACAAAGATGAGGGCGGGCTGATGAATGACAGGTGCGAGCAGCGGTGAAAGACGACTCGGTGCAGTTGGATACTAGGTTTTTTGCACGTATGCAGACGCACTGTCGTCGGAAAAACTTGTTATAAGTAACTTGTGAGTGCCACAGATTAAGAACACGTTACTTACAGTCAGTTATAAACTCGATACAGGGTCAAAGCTGTGTTAACGGAGCAACTGTGGCGGATTCGGGGACAGGGTGAGGGTAAAGGTAATAGTTGAGATGAGGAGTAAGGATGGAGAGTCACGAATCAGTAGAGAGCGCTGGTGTCAGTCTGAAGTCAAACGGGCATCCACGGATTGCAATGATGCGTCATCCTCTACCTCTCCACCTAATTGTGAACTTGACTGGGTAAATCTTGTTATGACGCCATCCCAAAGGCTCGAAGAAGAAGTAGACAGCTTGGCGAGTCGTAGCCATGCGATGCCGGAGAGCAGAGGGCCGCCGAGTATCAGAACAAGATAGGTTCAAAGGGTTTACTAGTAATGCAAAGAGGAAACGTTAGCCGGTTTAACTGCGCTGGGCCGGGATGACATTACCCGCGTGCCTTTCATAAAGCAAAACGAGAACGACCGGGACCTCTGGTTGATCTACATGTCATAAGGCCATAATGGGAAGAAATTATCATCAAAGAAGGAAAGTGCAGCGGATGAAGTCCAAAGATGAAAAACACGCTGTAGCTGATCGGAGTCGATCCTATTCGATCTCGAATCGGGATCAACAACGTGCGCTTAATATCGACCGGAACCAGAGTCAAACATCCGTACACTCGTAAGGCTGGTCATATCGATGGGGGTGATGGGAGCTGCGAGTCAACAACCTCGCGGGATAGATAACCACAAATAATGCATTGGTGAACTCAACAATACACACACACAGGATTCGATATGTTGGTTGGCTCGCATCATAGATGACGCGTCAAATGGTCGCCTCCGTCTCCCAAGGCTTGACGACGAGCTTCTTCCCGCTAATAGTCTTGAGACGCTCTAGCCCATCCGCTATAGCGTTCAACCCGCCAGGGAGCACTTCCACCGGGTTCGGCTAGCAAGATGGACCCTCCTCAACTAAAAAACAACAAGATCGAGAAGTAAATGCGCACCTTAAGCTCGCCACGCTCAACGAGCCCAGGCCAAAAGCTCAAGAACTCCCTCCCAAACTCCTCGTGGATTGGGTTAAACTGGAACGCGCCACGCACGAAGATCACCTCCTTCCCGCTCCCTTCTTCTGGTTGGACCACCGGGGAGGTGGTAACGACCATCTTGCCGCCCTTTGCGAGCAGCGTCAACCCAGCTCGCTGCGTCTCCGGGAACGCTACAGCGTCGAATACGTATGTCACGCCTTCTTTCTTGCCGGTGATAGTTTCAACTGCTTCGACGACGCGTTCGGCGGAGAGCGAGCGGTCGAGCACGTGCGTCGCCCCGATGCCCCTCAGTACACCAGAGTTGTGCAGCGATGCGGTGGTGATGATGGGACTGAAGCTGGCGTTGTGCGCGAATTGGATCGCCCACTGGCCTATCTGAGATGCACCGCCGAGTACGACAAATGGCTTCCCAGCATTGATCTCGGAGTCAAAGTCGGAACGCCATGGGGCAGAGACGCCCAATCCGTGAGGCGAGGGTTGATATACGCCTAAAAGGGCTGCTGTAAGCGCGGCAGGGACGGACGCTGCCGTCTCGAAGTCCATGTTATCTGGGATCTACATCATACATATTGCACCCACGTCACTGACGCTCAGACATCGCGAATTTCCAAAAGAAAGCGCACCTGAAACAACCACTCCGCTTCGCTAACGATCCACTGCTGAAACGTCCTCCCCTTATTCTCCATCACGCCCATGTACGCGACCCTATCCCCGACCTTCACGCGCGTGACGCCCTCGCCAACGGCCTCGACGGTGCCCGCGCCTTCATATCCAATCACGGCGGGCCACTCGCGCACGGCGATGAAACCCTTGGACTGCGACTTGTGGTCGGCGGGGTTGAGGCCTGCTGCAAAGTTTTTGATAAGGGCTTCGCCGGGGCCGAGACTCGAAGGAGTGGGAGCGGGGATTCGCCCGAGCTCGAAGGGCGCGCCGACGGCGGGCAGGAGCAGGGCGAGCTGGGTTGGGGAAGTGTCGGTGCTCGACATTGCTTGTTATTGATGAGTCTAAAAACGGAGAGAGCGGCCAATTCGATGCCAGGTTCTTGGCCTCCCGAAGACGACGTCTCGTACCTCTCTATATAGCCCTCTTCCTATGGCGTTCCCAACGTTGCGTTCAACCGAATCTCATAATGACTGGCAAGTATGACCTCCGGTGTTCGCGTCGTTCACGTACTCGTCCACAGGAGGCTTCTTCGAAAGTCGAAAGTACCGAGCTTCTAACCTCCCGTAGGTATCCCACAGCTCCTAGGCTAGAGGTACACCGAGCGGACCACCTCCTCGCCGTCTGTCCTCGCGATTTTCATCGCGGGTTGCCTAGTCAAGGAACCAACTTTGATAGGAGATATAAGAATGATGATAGTGTCTTTGAGTCATAGGCTGACAAAGCGATCGAGGACAAGATGGGATCGCGAACCTGCTACGTTCCCGAGAGAACCGGCAAAGAGGTGCTGACCAATCAGTAGTGGGATTAGACAAGTCATCTCACGTACATTGTTTTGAAGTCCAAGACGGTAGGGGCTTGAGCAGAGAATGAATGCAAAGAATTGGCTGGTAAAGCATGAGATTGCATGAGACAGAGACAGTTGTAGAGCACTGAAGCGCTGAACGTGTATGCGGGCGTAGGTAGGTGCAGGCTCCTCCGCGCGTTGGCCGGTGCTAACTTCACTTTCCCACGACAACTCTTATTAATGTCGGAAATTCTTTTTTGGCATTGTGATCCATTGCAACGGATCACAATGCCAAAATGAATCTGGCCGTTACAATGACAAAGTCGTCATCAAAATGCCCATCATAGCGACCATTTTAATGCATTGCAATGGAATTGCGACAGGAATTTGATGAAAATTGCTGGGCGCCAACGGCATCACAACGGAAAAAATGCATCACTAAATGGGTGGGAAAAATCTGACCGTTATACCGAGTGCTCACCGTTATAATATCGCCGTCGAGACAGTTGTGTATAATCACGAATGGTGACGCATTCCCATTGAGTGAACATATCGTTATGGTGTGGTAGTGAATTTCGGCCGAACACCATGTCGCGGACACTTTACCATTGATCAAAATTGATGATCTTGCTCGTACATTTGTTAGTCGAATATAAAATACGGAGACCATCTCAGAAACAAAATTACCATTGAGCGATAACTTCAACTGCATATGTCAGCCACCGCTTTAGGCAGAGAGGAATACTAATGAACATTAACAAATAACAAACGAAAAACGATGAACAATAACAAACAGTAGAGATTCGAATACCCGCTGACCTTTACAATGATGCGGGGCCGGTCGCGTTGGTGAGAGTCTCGTCTTCACTTAACGTTCACTCAGGCTCGAGCTTGCCTTGCAAGACCCCAAGTTGTATCCAGGCGCATTGAAATAGGGACATATCCTTTGAAAACTAAACTTGAACTGCTGGTATTTAAAGCCACGCACTCACGGAGCAAGCAAGCATGTCTGAGCACCCATATTTTACGAATAGATTTGTAAAATGAGTTAGTGTGGCGGAAACGCCTGAGACGACGCATGAACTCGCCCTTGTGCACACTCGTGGAACAAGTGAGTGGGGGGAGAAAACCGGCCACATCACGTTGAATGCATGGATACCAACCGCTCGGCCTCTGTCTGCTTCTATTCATACCTATAGTTCTTGCAAAGCAATGCTTGATAATTTGAAGCGGCGACATGCATTCCAGCTACAAGAACGACGGCAAAATGAAATAGAAGAGGACCTCTAATAATTCTGACCAATCAGAGACAGATGATGAAGCCAGCCCTAAAGCTGATGGAGAGATAAGATAAGATAAGACATTTTTGTTTGCCTTCGCCTTTTTGAACTCTCTCCTCGCCTTTTCTCTCTCCTCCCTTCAACCGTTTCTCTTTCTTTCCCCCGCTATTTATCCTCCCCTGTACTCTCTGTTTTCATTACACGCCTCCCCACCACCAATTGTCTCCACATCCACTTGTCTTAGAATTGTCAAGTTCTTCTGGCGTTTTGGCTCTGGTAAATTTGGCATGTTTTACTACGCATATAAGTACCTTCCGAAAGCTAGAACCCCTTATGCACGAAGCCAACAGCATTCTTCAATGCACTCTACTACGATGAGGTGCATGCATTATTGCTGTCGCCCCATCACTCACTCATTTTTCATCCCTTTTAGCTCAACCCGGTGGAAAGTGATGGACGAAGAGCTATAGATGGTTGATGTGAGTAACTTGAGTCTAATTCTTTCCTCGGACCTCCTGATCTCGTGTACTGCTGCTGCTCTCATGTATCATTGTTGCTCTCATGCTGCTGCTCTCGTGTTCCTGCTCTCGTGTATTATCCTCGTTCGTCGTTTTAACCTCGCATAATGCTACATCATGTACTATATGATATTCACGATGAATGTCTTGTCATTAAAATCATGGGCGAGATTGCGAGTCCTCATCATATGGTGTGAGTTTTTATCATGCGGCATAAATCACCAGCCGTTCTTATCGTGTAATTATCATGCAGGCTCCGTCAGTGGTAAGATAGCCATCAATATTATAATATCATCCCTGATCTGACCATTTCACCGTCAGATTTTGGTCTGATTTCCCATATGTTAAAAACGGACTTTACGCTCCACTCGTGCTGGAGATTCGAAATATCATTAAGGTACGGTGTCAATTATAACTGATTCTACTACTGCTCATGTACATGTACTTATATTCGATCCGCCCATTTAGTGATGTGTGTTATAATAGATCACAATGCCCTAATGGCAAAGTTCCGTTGCGATGCAAAAAGTAAATTTCCGACATTATCACACGCAATTAGCTCACGCCACCTGCGTGTCGTTCGCAGCCACAAGCAAGGCCGCAAGGTTTGAGAAAGAGGAAGTTTACAATGCGGTGACACTAGGGAAGGGGATGTACTCAATGTTCTTTTGACCGTCATGCTTATATCTGAACACCAGATTTAGAAAATTTCCTTGAGCATGGAAGGAGCATCATAATGATGCACTCATTCGCTTCCACACTTCCGATCAGTCATGGTATACTGAAGCTGCTGATTCACGTCACGCACAAATCAGACTACACGTCGAATTCTCTATATTTTACAGATATATCGTAAAGCATCGCCCTCCCTCAAGGGCAAACGCCAGTCTAAGTACATGTATAGGGAATCCAATTAGTCAGCGTATAATGCATAATGGTCCGTTATCCATAACCAAAGAAGAAGAAAATAGACGAGATGGTATGTGCCAGAGAACGTATCGCGTGTCACGGGAGCTTCACTCCCCACGTGTGTTCGGGTCCTGAGAAGAGATCTGATGGAAAGTAAGCATTTGGCGTTTCCTCGAAAACTAAAAATCCGAGGGGACTCACCATATCGATCACCTCTACGAACTGGAACCCTCTAGACACCGGGTGAGCCTGGTGGGGTGGTGGATTCTAGCTCAAGAGCCTCGTCTTCGGCGACACTGTCGGCCAGAGCAGCCAACACATACGCGGGAAGGCGACTTTGGATCGCATCCGCAAGCTCCATCTCAAGGGCATGACGGGCGGTCCGCGCATTACTCGTCGTGATGACGTTCGGGGTGATCCTAGCATTGCCTGCAGCATTGCGAGGGGCGGCAGCGGGAGGGCTGACATCGTGAACGTTGACATCCACCAATGTAGGTGTCGCGCTTCCGACGCTGCCGTCTTCGTCCTCGTCTTCTTCCATGATGATCGAGACGTCCGGTGAGATGGAAACGGGCGACACCCTCCGTCTGGACGGCATCACCTGCAACCTCCGTCTGGAAGGCACCGCCACCACCGTTGTCGACGCCGAGGAAGTAGAGTGGTTGGAGAGTTCGCGAGTCAAGGTGTTGTCCTGGGCGATCACCGGCCCGTCGACACGGGGAGCCGGCTGGATCGGTTGAGGGGCGAGGATCGGTTGAGGGGCGAGGATCGGTTGAGGAGCGGGCACCGGTTGAGGAGCGGGCACCGGTGTAGGCTCGACAAGCGCCGTATCAAGCGCCTCTCGCAGCCTTCGCATCTTCTCCTGCGAGGCGTCGTCCTCGGGCTGTGCATTGACGCCGAACCAAAGCTCGCGTGCGCGCTGCCTCTGCCGCTCCTCCTCCTCCTCCCGCTCGCGCTCCTCGCGCTCCATGCGCTCCATCTCTCTCTCCACCCTCTCGATCTCCTCCTTCTGGGCCTTGAACGCCTGGCGGCGCAACCGCGCGGCCTCCATCTCCGGAGTAACCTCCACCTCGTCCGTAACGAGCAGCTCCGTGCGCGCCTTGCGAGGCGTCCGTGCCGACTCCCCGCGAAGACCCGCAATGATAGTCTGCATGAAGGACTTGGTCTCCCGCTGCGTCGTCTCCGCTCGCCTCTCCGCCTGAACCGCCGACAGCTCCTCGAAACGGTGCTCGATTCGACGCCGCTCCTGCTCATACACATGTTCGGGTATGCGCGGGTCCCGAGGGGGAGGAGCGATGCCATGGCTGACCATGTACGCAACATGGGCGTCGAGCCGCCCCATCTCCCGTGCATACGCCTCAATGTTGCGGCGATGCAGGGCTGCCTGTGTTGGCGTGAGGGTAGGGTCGATGCCGGTCTCGGGGAGATGAAGCTCGAGACCGAGCATGGTGCCCAGAGCGGCGCCAGCGGGGGAGGTACCCCGGGCCCAGTCGTCGCGCTCGTCCTCGGTGTCCGACGTGAGGCCATCATCGAACACATCGCCTTCTTCTAGCTCTTCATCGCCGTAAAATCCTTCGTCGTCGAACTCCAAGTACTCTTCTCCGTTGGGTAAGTCGTCCTGGCCCTCTTCGTTTGTGTCGACTTCTCGCTCGTCGCGAGAATGATCGGCTTCGTGGTGGGCATTCCCAGAGTGTGCCCACGTCCCGACAGGCGGGAGCGTGTGCGCTTCTGAGGCTAGGGGTGACCGATTCGCGGATGGGGAATATGATTCGAAAACGTTTCCTTCTTCTTCGGAAGGGGATGCTGGCACAGTGGCCTCGCGCGAAGACGAGGCGTATTGAGCCACGGATAGAGCAGCGGCCTCGGCGAGTGCGAGTTCATCCTCGCTTATCATGGCCCAAGCTGAAACTGACATTCCGTCAGCATCAGCGTGAGTGGCAATGGTGTCGTGAGTGAGCACCGGAACAGGCTCGATGGTGTCGGTAGGGGATAGGACTAGAGAAAGTTGAGCGACAGTCCTTACGAGAGAAAACAGCTGCTTACCGAACGTCTTTAGTTGTTCATCCACTGCGACAATATCGTACGCCTGCGCAGATGCAGGCGTCGAGGGAAGCGGCAGAGCGGTGGGCGAGGGCGTCCTGTTGACCACCCTGAGAGGGCCCCGCGCCGGCTCCTCGTCGTTGTCTTCCTGCCCCACTCGAGCTCGTGGGGTAGCATGCGTCTGAGGCTGGTTCCAGGCCTGAGCATCCAGCCACTCCTGGGCTTGGGCATGCGTCTCGAGCTGCGCATGCCATCGCGCCTGAATCTGCGCTTGTGCCTGTGCTTGAGCTTGCGCCTGAGCCTGAGCCTGCGCACGAGCCTGCGCGTGGGCTTGGGTTTGGGCGAGATAGTAGTTCAAGAACTGTCCGTTGTCCACCAGAATGGCGTTCGCGGGCACCCATGGTGCGGCAGCGCGCATGGCGGCCATGCCGAGAGGGGTCTCGCCCGGGCGGTACGTCGGTGCGAAGGGGGCATATGCGGGAATGAGGCTGGCGGGGTGGGCGCTGGTAGTGGGAATGGTCATGGTCGGGAACGGAGCGGAGGCGATGTAGGAGTTGGAGGCAGAGGTGGAAGCGAGGCTGGTGGCGGCGTTGACGTTGAGCACGTTCGGAATGTTCCTCGACGCTCTAGGGGTCAACTAGATCTCTTGGTTAGTGCCAGTCGTGTTAACAATGATGCAAGGGAACGCACCTCGTCATCCTCGTCTTCTTTGACCTCTTTCTCATTGTCCTGCCCCACTTCCGTGGCGAGCGTGTCCATAGACGCACCCGCGTTTGCGTTGCTGATTCCCAGCGAGCTGGTCGACGCAGCTGCAGTCGAAAACGTCGTGACAGAGGCAGACGCAAAGGTGTAAGCATCCAAAGTGCCGAACGACATCGCCGCAGCTCCTGCCATAGAAGAGGGCACCCGCCCAGCAGACAAGCCGGGCGGAATGGCATAGACTCTGCCAGTGGTAGGCGCGGGAGTGGGACCAGACTCGGACGCAAGACGTCCCGAGGACGAATTGGCGCCGGTGCTGGGGCCCACCTCATTGGCTTCCGCGGTGGGCGGGCAGAGGTTCGCATCGCTGCGGGCGACAACGTTCGTGTGGACACTGACACGCACACCTCTGTCGCGGCTACCGCGAACACCGTGCCTCCACGGGAACTTGACGGTCTTGCTCTTCTTGGCCTGCTTCGCGGCCTTCTTGGATGCCTTCTTAGCGGCCTTGCGGGCCGCTTCCTCGGCTTTGGCTTCAGCCCGAGCCTGGCCCTCAACTGCGTCTCCGACAGAGTCGTAGTGAACCTGGGCTTGGAAGAGCCGGGAGATCGAGCGGGGGACATGCGGGAGCCAGGTACGCCAGCTCCTCCCTTCGTTTGCGGAGGGAGAAGTGGGAATGGGGGCGGAGGTGGGGATGCCTTCGCCCAGGGTGGAAGGATGAGATGTCATCGGCATCGCGTTGGGGGTTGTAGACGATGTCATGATACGCGTCAAGTCTACAATGTGGGGTCGAGTCCGAGCGGTGAGCAACGACCGGGTGAAGGTGAAGGTGGGGCAGGCTTACTAATGATACGAGTAGGGAAGATTGTAGTGCTCTTCTAATTTGCGATGCAGAGTCCAACGACGCGAGGGTCACTCGAGTCCGTACGCGATTTCTTGCAACTATTTACCAGGTTGTTGCGATAGACGCGACGTAGCAAAGCGTAGTGGGATGGAACGCGTGTGGGATGTCTAAGTTCTGCAGCAGTGTGAGCGATGAGCGCACAGAAGAGGTAAGAGTATGGGGTGAGGTGTGGTAGGATGGATGGGTAGTGGTTGGGGCTGATGAAAGATGAGTTGGCGACGAGCAGCGCGAAGAAATAGGCGTACGCTGCACGGATTTGGACTGCTAGACATCTCCTAACATTGCTGGTCTGCGTCGATATGAATGGGGTGATGTTGAATGCGAGGGGCCATAAGGCCGGCACTAACGCTCCGAGGTGGGAAAGTGAGAGAGGAGAGGGTTTCCTCGCGTTTCACGACGTCGGTCCGAGCATTAACAAAGGAGCCATACATGGAGAGGTGCATGGCGTGGCTGATGGAAGGATATGTTGCTGAGGCTGAAGTTTACTAGACGGAGTGGGGTTTCCGTTTGACTGGAAAGCGCTGAGCAGTATTCTCCAGTCAAATGGACACCCCACTCATGAAGGGAGATGTCAGTCAAAACGGGGAGACGGGCGTTTAATATTAATTCCGTCTCCGATTTCCCCGGAAAACCCACACTACCTGGCTGAGTAATCCGGTATTTTTATAGACGCCTTAAGAGTGCTCCTCATCATCCTCGCTCAGCTCAGATCCGCATGTTTCGAGCCATTGAAGTACCTCAAGTACGCGATAGGGACGAGCGAAATTGTGACTCGTAATGCATCCTTGTCATGAATGTAGGATTCATAAGCTCAAACGTACTCTTTCTTGCCAAAACTGAACGTCTTACTCAGCGATGAATGGCACGCTCGTCTATATAGCAGAGCGTCACCGTAGCCCATCCCAACGTTGCTTCACGGATCTTTACCACTAGCTCACCTCGACCACATTCGATGTCTTCTTCCATTACCATCCCATCCACCCAAGTCGCTCTCCATCTCTCGGACGAAACCCCGACTTCTCCTCGCACATTCAACCTCTCGTCCTCCACGCCCGTGCCACGCCCTGCTCCAGGACACGTTCTTGTGCGCAACGAGGCGGCGGGGCTCAATCCGCTCGATGCGCACATTCAAGAACAGGGCTACTGGCGCGTGACAGTCTACCCGGCGATCCTCGGGTGGGAAGGCGCAGGCGTTGTCGTCGAGGTCGGCGAGAGCGTCAAGGGGTTCCAGGTTGGCGACCGTGTGTGAGTGGCCCCTTGTCTCCATTTCGTCCAATGCCTTGGACACTGAATATCCGCAACGTGCTGGTTGTGTATCATTCAGCGCGTACCAAGGTACCGCAGACGACACCCGCCGCTCTTTCCAGCAGTACAGCGCTCCGCTCGCGACCGCTACGCTCAAGATTCCCAAGAACATTTCGTTCGACGAGGGCGCGACAATTCCGACTGCGTACCTCACAGTTATCGTGGGTCTATACCAGGCCGCACCACGCGGGCTAGGTCTCGTTGCGCCCTGGGCAGAGGGCGGCAAGGGCCTTGGCGCGCACAAGGGCAGGTCGATCTTGATCATGGGCGGGTCGTCGCAGATCGGGCTGGCTGGTGCGTTTGCTCCTGTCTATCCCTTCTTGTTACAGAATTGACCTCTCAAATTTTCCACAGCAATCCAGCTTGCCCGCCTTGGTGGCTTTCACCCCATTCTTACGACCGCGTCCTTGAAGCACGAGCCTCTGCTCACCTCCCTCGGCGCTACACAGATCCTCGACCGCTCGCTCTCAACATCCGAGCTCGTCTCCCAGATCAAATCTCTCACGCAATTGACACCTCTTGCGCTCGCCTACGACTCGATCTCCACCGCGGACACGCAGCTCGTGGCGTTCGATGCCCTCGCGCCGAGCGGCGGCGACCTCGTGCTGGTGCTTCCTCCCCTGCTGGACGAAGCCAAGGTGAAAGCGGAAGAGGCAAGTGGGAAGAAGGTGACCTATTTCATGGTCGGTGGTTCAATCGATCTACCCGCGGACGATCACGATTTCGGGGAGGCGTTCTGTAAAGCTGCTGAGGGAATGCTGGAGAGGGGTGATATCAAGGTGCGTGTCCAGGCTACATTGCAATGGGCGTAAAGTGATGTTAGATCGTTGTTGTGCAGCCCGGAAACCCCGAGATTGTTGCTGGTGGGCTAAATGCCGTGTGGCCTGCGCTCCAGAGGCTCAAGGCGGGGCAGGCGAGCGCGTCTAAGTTTGTGGTCAGGCCTTCGGAGACGGTAGTGGCTTGAGTGTCTACTCCTACTTTCCGCGTCGCGTACGCACCAGCCAATGCGCTTGAACAAGAAAACAATGATTCCATATCCTCTACTATAAAATATCACTCATACCTAGTCACACACCTGATATCGTCGTCGTAAAACCTTGCCTGCGAACCTATCATTACACCCAAATTACACCCGTGCCTTCCCCGCATGAATCGGCACATCGGCCCGCCAAAGCCGAATCGTCATCTTATCGACGGCACTCCGTCGCGTCGTCCATCTCCCTCCCACCAGCCAATCATTAATCCAACTCAGGCGCGTTTCCTTCTCGTTGCCCTCCCCATCATCAAGCCTCCCACACACCGCTGATCCCGAGGAGTCACAGGACCCCTTCGGACCGGTAAGTTCTCCCTTGCCTTTAATCTACGGCGTCACCCCCGCTGGCCAAGCTGGGTCATCGCGGTGTCACCTGCCCGCGAGAATACAGCGGCGGACGTGGCGGGGTGTCCATTTGCTCCCTAGAGTTGCTGCGATGCCACTCACGCTGTTATCTTTCACTGGCAGGACGTCGTCTGCCTCTTTAAGGTTCTCTTCGACTGTTACTGCTCGTCAGCTTAAGGCTTCTTATCGCAGCGCTATCTCTCCTGCGACTACTCGATTGTCAAGGCTGCTTAGTACGATGACACAGAGAAAGGTTATGATATGTGGTCCGTGTCTCCTCTCTTGTGTGCACCGAACCCAGCGGGAAGATCGCTGACCCCTTGCTTGTGCTACACTTGATACAGGTGATCTCGCATGGGCGCACGAGGAGTGCAAGCAGCTCTTCGACGGGCTTGCAGAGGTTGTGGTACGTCGCCCTTCATTTGCCTCTGCTCAACAATCTCTTCCGTCACCCATCGCCCCATTCACATTCCCCCCACTCCACGTTCCCCACGACGTGAACTGACGACACGCACGATACACCAACAGCGCATGGACTCGCAGACACGCGACGACTTCCTCGCGGGCCTCAAGCCCGGCGGCAAGTACGCAGACACGGTCGGCATCTACAGGCACAACACCTCCGCGGACCGCATCGGCGTGTTCGACAAGCCCGTCGTCGCCGCGCTCTCTGAAGCCGGCGTCAAGTGGGTCGCACACAACGGCGCAGGCTACGATCAGATCGACGTGCTGGAGTGCAGGGCCAAGGGTACGTCTCTCCCCACCGTTCTCTCCCGTTGTCTTTCCTTACAACGGTAAACGCTGCGTGAACAGGCATAACCGTCTCCAACACCCCCGGCGCCGTCGACGACGCAACCGCAACGACCGCGCTCTTCCTCCTCGTCTCCTGCCTGCGCCACTTCTCACACGCCGAACGCGCCCTGCGCGCAGGCCAGTGGAAAAACCCCCTATCCGCAGGCAAAACGCACGACCTCACCGGACGCACGCTCGGCATCCTCGGGCTCGGCGGCATCGGCCTGCGCCTCGCGCACCTCGTCCGCGCATTTCCGATGGAGATCGTGTACCACTCGCGCCGGCCGAATCCGGACGCGCCGAGCTGGTGCCGGTACGTCGAGAAGCTGGACGACTTCTGGGGTGCGTGCGACGTGTTGAGTGTGCATGTGCCGCTGCGGCCGGAGACGGTGCATCTGGTCGGGGAGAAGGAGATCAGGAAGATGCGCAAGGGGAGTATCATTATCAATACGGCGCGAGGGAAGGTGATTGATGAGGAGGCGATGATTCGTGCGCTCGAGGATGGACACGTGCGTATACATTTTATCGCTCGACGTCCATCTCATCTCAAACGCTTTCACAGCTGTCGTCGGTCGGCCTTGACGTGTACCCCGACGAGCCCAATGTGAACCCGCGGCTGCTCGAGTTCCCGCAGAACGCGCTCCTTCCGCACATGGGCACGGAGAACCAGGATTCGCAGCGTAAGATGGAGGTCCGCGCACTCACCAACGTACGCGACTTCCTCGTCCAGGGCGCGGGTAAGGACGTGGTTCCGGAGATGGTCAGCAAGCTCTAGATGAATATTCGTTGGCGATCTAGATAGAATGGAGATGAAAAGGAACGAAATGGATTGCATCGTGTACTATAGGAACAATATAACCAAGATCTACCAATTCCCGTAGACAGGGCGATTATACTTGATGGGCAGACAACAGGAAGAGCGAATATTCAAAACCGGATGCAGGCTCTTGAGAGCGGCGGATGTGAGGGTGAAAAAAACTGTGATGATATGGGAGATCGCGCTGGTGGGAAAAGAGGTAGAGAGCAAGTCGGATTGCATTGAAAGCGAAGCACGATAGAATGGATACATCGAAGATGTAGTATATGGTCATAGACGACAGGAAAGTACCGCGACCCAGCGTCGATGTGCACGCACCGAGACATCTGCATCAGCGAGCACGATGAAGTCGCATCACGAACACACCGTATCCATCCATGCCCACAAATCCCCCACCCCACGAAACGAAACAACCCAAGAAGAAGCCGAAAAAAAAAAGTCTGTACGAAACCCCCGACCCGTCGCCTTCCCCGTCTACTCTCCTCTCCGCGAACGGCGATGAAAGTCGGAAAAGGCGCGTATGGGTGCTAAGACGTCCGAAAGCGTCGCTCTGGACACGGCCTGACACTCGAACAGCCGCGTGGAAGGGGCAGCCGTGAGCAACACTGGGGAAAATTGAAGACCGTGACGCCGCACTAAGGAGAAAAAAGTGGGCGCGGGTCGGGGGAGGTTTTGTACAGAGAAGCGTGGGAATATCGATTAGGGCAGGCTGATTCAGCGCGGAACGTGTACAGGCCTCGGACCGGCGCGTCGGAGCCACTAGTACCAAACTGGCACTTCGAAGTTCTTTTTACCAACCTATTGACACCAATAAACCTGTATCGCGAAGGCTTACCATGCGCCAGTAGCATGCCTCAACCACATTATGAAAGTTGACACAACAATAGAAGAAACCCAGCACGAGCAGATCGCGAGGAGAGGACATCCGCACTTGTGGATTGCTTGTGGACGCGATGGCGGCGGTATATTATGAGTCTCGGACGAGCTGATTCAAGAAACACCCCTTCCGCAGCGTTCAGACACTTCATTCCATTCCGCCTGCTTTTCCGTTACCTCTACTGCCTCACAAACAGGGCTCTTTCCCCCATCACCCAACTTGACGCTGTGCGTCGTTGCTGGCCGGAGGAAGCGCTCAACACTAGTTTCAAGATGACGTCAATATACTGCCCCGAACCTAAGTGCATCGGCATGAACGGAGAGCCGAGGTCATTTAGAGGTCGCAGAGCTCAGAGAGCTCACATCGAGTCTAAGCAGTGCGTGGCAGCTGCTTTTCATATTCACGTCAACTAACCCATCTTAAGTCTTGGGCTGAAGAGATACAAGTGTCGTTTATGCACTCATGAAGCAGCCGACCAATCGGCCATCGGAAAGCATTGTAAGAAACAGCACGGCGCTACCAAACTCTACTATGACAAGCTCAGTGGTAAGCCATTTCTCTTCCGAGGAGGGTGGGGGTTGACGCTTCACATATCCAGGCGACCAGCGTTGGCTCGAGTTTCTGGCCAGCCGAGAAGGGCATCTAGTTGCCGGAACTCACGCTCGAGTTAGTACTATCGGATCGCACTCGGTAATGAATTGGCAGCCTACCAGCATCCCCACCCCCATGCTGCCATCGACCTTGAATTCCTCCGTCGGTTCCTTAGGAGGTTGGACACAGGATTTTCACGGTACAGCGCCTGATCACGGTTCTCTTGGCATATTTCAAGGCCATGGTAAGCGATTGTTCTAACAATGCAGTGATTAATACGCACTCACGTCGTAATCTTAGAAGGTCCGCAGCAGGAAACGATGCCCACACACCCGGTCGCACTAGGCTGGCTCTCTCATCTTCAAATGGGCGAGCGCATTGGCACAAACTTCCCGCCCGTAAATGGTCATCTTGTCGACACTGCATTACACCCAAGCCTGGCTGCAAGCAACGTGGCCCTGGCGAGCGGAGACCCGTCCCGGATTGGGTGGTCCTCCAACACCATGGGATCGCACAATACGAACCTCAATCAAGCTGTGGAGTACAGCCAATGGCGATCAAGCGACTATTCTTCTCCGGCACCGGTCTCCGCTGACGGCGTACAGTCGGTGAACGCTCATCTCCCTTTTTTGATAGGGACACATAACGCAATCGATATGGGTGGCTTTGGTATGTGAACGACACTCCTGGCATCGCTGATGATGGCACGTACCCGCTGGACGGACAATCTACCAAGCTAGTCTTGGCTGGCGCTCATGATGATAGTTACTTTCTCTTTCTCTCCGTTACTCTGCTGCAGTATCTCATGTGAATACAACTTGGTGTATTAAAGAGACGTTTGTTATAGTCTAGAAGGCATATCAACCCATGTTACTTATTGCTCGAGCAGCGCACATAATAAATTATGTTTACGTACCTTCAAAACCAGAGAATGTTTTTAAAATGCCTAGCAAACTTGGAACTGCAGCATTCGCGATGTGGTGCTGAAGCCGATGGTGATCTGTTGGCCAGCTGATATTGAGAGTCGGGAGCGACAGCTGAGGAAGAAAGGAAGCAGAAGTCGCTGACGCCCCCGCTTTTCGATGAAAGGTGCGCACAAAAACCTCGCGTTCCCACAGAACGTTCAGATCTATCAGAATCCTCTGGCCGCTGGAAATGTTCTACATATCTGAGAGCCGATGTATCAGAGCACTAATAATATCCCGAGCGCTTCACGGGGATCTAACCAGAAACGAGCACATTGCGCCTGGAAGTTGTCGTACTCGGAGGTTCAGTATGGCTATATTTGGCTGCTTAACCGACTCGCCCTTGTTGAGCTTGTGCGCGAAGAATTGCAGACCAGTACAGTATCGCCATGAACGGTAAATGATGCATGGTCACAGACCCTGGACTCGTTCGACGCCCGGGGGCTTGGCAGCCTGGACACATGCTTCTGTTGTGGAGTTGGATAAGATCTTGAATGGGTGCGGATGTCCACTCTGAGGGCGATGCCAAATGTGCAGATGCTCCAACCGACAAGTTCACGTCTCGTTGGTCGGGCTGTCAGAGTAGAGTTACCCCCGAACGCGCGGCGATCAGAAATAACCTGCAACGTTGCAAGCACAATCAGTAGAAGCTATATTGTGTCCAGTCCACGGCGGTAACGTTGCCAAGTGACGGTGAAGATCTAAAGCACTTGGTGCCAGTGACTCGGAAGTCGTTGCTCCAGCTAGTCAGCAGGACATACGGCATTGAAAAGGGAGATATTTTGTGCTCTCGGAATCGATGCCTGACCGACTGGACAAACGTGCGATGCGGAGTTCCCTTTTTAGGCCCGTTGAAAGTGGCACCTGTGTTGATGTAGCCGTCCACAGTGGACGATTACAAACTACAAAGTTGTTGCCGACGACTTATCATCAAATATTGTCTCAAGAATGGCGTCACATAAGGAGATCACATCTAGTAGATGGGCACTCTCAAGTTGTTCGGGTTCGACCGTTCTTCGTCGTGTTCCAGCCATGCAGCCCAAACCTGTAAGATTTTGTAGCAGGGCTTGCCGACAGCGTACTCGTTATCCGAGGGCCAGTCTTGTCATTCAATATTCAGATGCGGCGATAACAGCTTGGCCCCAGCGTAACGCTCACCGCGACGTTTGATCCTTGTGCGCCCACAGCGGGCCGTAAGCCTCCAGGTAGATCCTGCGCCAAGCAATGATTCGCTCCAGAAATCAAAGCATAGTTGGGGAAGAACGAGGACTGTGACGCCGCACGACTCAGCTCACAACCCTAGTGGGTGCGGCATGGCGCGGGAATATTTCCGGCTGTCGCCAGGCCCGCATGCAGGAATCAGGGAGTAAAAGCAGTGGCCAGACACCCACAACCGCCGCCAACGGCATGACGAGGTCAGATGTCTAAAGGTTCGATCCGTGATCAGGGACGTAAAACCCTGAATGAACACGCCGTGTGCGCGCGTGTCTGGTCGGACAAGGTTCTAGACAAGTGGAGCCAAATGGACCCGCCGTGTTCGGCCCCAGCGTCACGCATCCTCGTGTGCCTAAAGTAAGTGATCCAATAGTAGTTGCTGAGAATGTAAGTTTACATGTTCAGTGTACGACGGCGCAGATATCGCCCTCGCATAGCGAAAGTCTTCCGGCGGGAAATGAGACGTTTATCGTTTCCTTCTCTGGGCCGTTCACCGGATTCGCGCTCGCGATGACACCGGATCGTCACCCCACTAACTTGTCGATCACTCCTCAGTGGAATACGTGGCCCAAAGGTCAAGTGGAGGGTGTGTTTAACACAACGGAGGCGGGCGACGCGAATATTTGCGCCTCTACCACCAATGCGATTTATCCCGGTATTGTTGAACGGTGCAGGTGAGTAAGAATTTCAGGGATAAGATATTAGTAGGGATCGAGAGCTAAAATCTTTCTTAGCGTCTGGTAAGGACTTGGACAGTACACTGGCCAGTGATCGTGGAGGATGTGCAGAGGTAGAGGTAGCCTAGTGATCAAGTGTTTTTAACGAGCTTCCCCTAGCATACAATCGTGCCGCTTGTAATATTGAAATGGTATTGGCAATGTCTCCAACCTCTGTCGCAACGACGGTTGCATTTGAATCACTAAGGACGAGTCTGGCCGTGTGGATGGATGCTTATTGGCGAGTGGCTGGCCAATCATACCAAGTCAAAGATTAGGTTCTGCTGTGCACGTTGAGATGTGAGAGAACGGGGACGATGCTTATGGCGACCACGTTGATACATTGTTCTCGGCGCGGAGGACCCAGGGCATGTAGACAGGACGGTGGCTATGTAGACCGAACGGGGTTGTTACCCCGGATCCAGGGGTCGTGTGCACGCGCGTCGCGACGAAAAGAGGATGATAAAGCGCGCTGGCACTTGATTTGGTTTCCATACCCAGACTCTTCAGCATATGGACCAACTAGCTCATCCACGTCGTCCGACGACCCTCTGGCGCTCGACCACCACCTAGTCCAGCTTCTAAAGCCGTCAAGAACGGGATACAACTCTTGTCAACCCTTATCGCATCTCGCGCTAAGATCTTTGGCTGGTTCAAAGTGCATTGAGTGCGGAGACCGTCGTATTGCTCAAGCTACATTAGAGGAACTCTCGTGAGTACCGTTGAGTACATTTTTCGCCCCCAGATTGACAGTAGCCCTCTCATCGAATACGCCAGTGATCTACACCATGTCTCTCTATCTCTGCGTCGACTGCGGAGGCTCGAAGACCTCGGCCGTCATCACCAACGCGTCCGGCACAATCGTCGGCCGTGCACTGGGTGGCCCGTCCAACTTTGCTTACGTCAGCCCCTCTGCGTTCGCCGATGCCGTGCGCATCGCCGTATCCAACGCGCTCAAAACATGCGTCTCCCCACCCTCGATTGCGCCCGTAGCGCTCCCGCCTCCTCCCTCCGCCCCCCTCTTCGCTGCAGCGTGGTTCGGGATCTCGGGTGTGGACAGCCCCGCTGCGGTGCTCAATGCGCGCACGGTTCTCGCGGAGCTGCTCGGCCTCCCTTTGGACGAGCGGATCAGCGTTGGAAACGATACGGTTTTGCTGGCCGCGCCGCTACGGCTGCACCCGGACATCAGGCACGCGATCACCGCCATCGGCGGCACGGGCTCGTGCGTCGTCTCGTTTCGCCTGGACGACAATGACAGCCTGTTGAAGGAGATGGCGCGCACGGGCGGGATCGGGTGGATCCTCGGCGACGAGGGGGGAGGGTTCCACGTCGGTCGGGAGACAGTGAAGCAGATGATGTACGAGTTCGATCGGGAGACGCTGGGTGGAACGCCCTATCCGCCATCGACGCTCAAGCAGAAGGTGCTTGATTACTTTGGGGTGAAGGGCGGGCACGCGGCGACGCCGGAGATTCTAACGGCGGTGCACATTCCCGAGCCGGCCGCTGCGGGAGACGTACATCCCGGCACGGATCCGCTGTTGCTCATTCCTAGGGAGAAGAGGCTCAGTCAGATTAGTCCGCTTGCGTTTGACGCTGCGTTCAAGGATGGCGATGGGTTTGCGCTGCGTGTGCTGCGCTACTCTGCAGGTACGCTGGCGGATCAAATCGCGATGCTCTCTCGGCCAGAGGGCGAGGATCCCGCTGTCGCGCCACGCGCGATCGTCGCAAAAGACACGGTCATCTGCTTTGGAGGGACGCTTGTGGGTATCAAGGACTACAGGGATCTGGTGATAGACGAGTTGAAGAAGCGGGGACACGTGTTCCGGTACATCGAGTTCGTGGATGATGCAGCTGGTGTGGGTGCTGTGACGCTCGCGCAGCTTTGGGAGTCGAAGAAGTAGTGGATGGGGTTACTTGTGTGTAATCTATGTTGTAACAGAAACACTCGATTTATTCATTCCATCAATTATGACCTATAGCTAATCTGATCGTAATGGTATGTTTTGTAATATGTTTCGTTACGTGTCGACAAAAGGAGGTAGACAGGGGCAAATGACCAATTTAGTGAGGCGAATTGTCGTAAAGCCGCCTCGCAATTCCCTACCAGCATGACCACGTCCACCAGCGGGCCAACGATATTATTCTCCCTTCCACTTGAGCACTCGTTTAGCGCCCACGGATGTCTCATGACCGGAAGACCGCGGGAGATCCCATATCCGTGTTGTTCTAGGAAACAGCAAGCGACGAAACCTGTAGGTGAGCGATACCCGTCCAGTCCAGTACTAGTGGAACCCTCACTCATGTACACATTGACGTCCGATCGCTCTCCTTCAACATCAGACGTCCATCTTCAAGAGTCCACTTGCTCTAGCTCATGAGCAACTCGGATGGACCGCTTAGGCTACTGGCCCTCGGTACGTCGTGATCATAGTATCTCCCTCTACTATACGCGCTCATACTGTCCGTGTTTCTCAGATGGCGGTGGGATACGCGGCATATCAGAGCTGATCATATTGCGAGAGATGATCCATCGCATAGAGCTCGACTCTAGTTCTGGCAACATCGCGTCGCCCCGACCCCGCGATTACTTCGATATGATAGGTGGGACTGGGACAGGCGGGTACGTTGCTGTGGGGTTGAGCGATATTTACCTGACTCCTCCATTCTTCCTTCGTCTCCCGCCCGTTCATCTTCTCACTCGACATTTAGATGGATCGCCATCATGCTAGGACGTCTCGGTATGACCATCCACGAGGCAATTATCACGTACACGGACATATCAAAGAAGGTCTTCTCGGAGAAGAAGCGCAACCTATCGAAGGAAGGGATGTACAAGGCGACGCTTCTTGAAGATGCGCTGAAGGAGATGGTGAAGAGCAAGCTGGGGAGTGATACATATCATATGATGGAGGCCGACACGGGCAGGTTGCCTTGCAAGACGTGCGTTTTTTTTGTTCGCCTCACTTCTTCTAGCCTTTGTATAACCACGGGACCGCTGACACAATTATCTCCACCATCAGTTTCGTCAGCGCGCAGCTGGCCAACAACTTCGCCGGCAACGCCCCAGAGCTCTTCCGCACGTACAAATCTCCACGCGGACGCTCGATCAATTGTTACATCTGGGAAGCCGCACGCGCTACGTCTGCCAACCCTCAGTTCTTCAAACGTGCTCATGTTAGTGACGGCGAGATCACATACGAGTTCGTTGGCGGTGGCACAGGCGCGAATAACCCTATACGTGTTCTACTGACGGAGGCGGCCGCTGTGTTTCCCGGGCGCACCGTTGGCTGCATCATCAGTCTAGGCGCGGGACACCCCGCGACGATCGCCATGCCTGAAATCTCTGCAACATCGTCAGTCGCAAGTAAAATATCGGGGGTGCTCCTATCGGGGACGCTCAGGGCGCTGCAGATCGCGACAATTACAGTTCGGGCGATCGCGGACGACTGTGAGGCCGAGGCGGAGCGCATGGCGCAGCGCTTCAAAGAGAGACCCGGGATCTACTTCAGGTTCAGCGTCGTGCAGGGTATGCAAGGGATAGGGCAGGGAGATGTGGAGCAAAGCAACGCGATTGCCGCGCATACGTCACAGTATCTCAAGATGGAGAATGTCACGAGGGAGCTGGACGATGCAGTGCGGGCAACGGCGAGGCCTCAGGGGGCGGTGGGAATTGGGGAGCTCAGTAAGCTACCTTCAATGTCGGATGCGGTGGAGACTGACAGGGCGTTCTTAGTGGCGGATGCGACGAATTTGTCTGGGACGACGCTGGTTCCTGGGCAAAGAGGTGGACAGCGCGATCCGAAACCACATGGTGGTCAACCGCAGAGGCCGGAGCTTATCGTAACGCCTGCTACTGGCTCTTCGCCGTCTCCTGCGCCGCCCAAAGAGAGCACTGGCAACACATCACTTTCAGAATATATGCAGCCAAACAAGCGTGAGTCGCGTCCGGATGTACCAGGGACGTCGCTCTCGGACTGGGACCGACAAAACGGGGGTCTTACTAACCAGGGAAGCGCCACGCCCTCGAGTGCGCCAGTCGGAACCCTCATCGACCTTGGCAGTCATCCGTCCCCTTCTCCTTCTCCATTGTCTCCAGCCCCAGGTTCAAAGGTAGAACCCTACGTCGTGCACGATGACTACCTCATGCAAAGGGATCTTACGGAGTCTATCGATGAACGCACCGTTTCCAATGCACCATCGGCTACCCCAGCGCGCACACCATCAGCCGCTGAGTCCGATTTATTGCTCGATGAGCCTTTCACACAGTTCTTGTCGCCGAACGTGGCGTCCCTTCGCGACTCGGAGAAGTATCGCGTTCAGCAGCAGCTCATGGAGCTGTCAATCAACATAGAGGGCGCAATTCAGGCGTGCACGAAATGTATTCGGCTGTATCCTATCTACCCGGTCCGTCCTCGAGTCATTTTAGGATGTCCTACTGAATACAAATGCAGATGCTGATAGCAGTCGCGTTCTCACATGCGTCGCTTTGCTTGGGCGATCACAGGTACGTGCATCGTTACGTTCATTGATGATCGGAGGTGCTCATGAAAGATAGTGTTGTCTCAGAGCTGAAAGACAACCTCGACAAGTTTGCCAAAGGTTCTACCACGCCACTTTTGTGGCTAATCAACCACGCTGAGATCAAGGCGCGGCTCGTGGATGTAATCAACATCGAGGTTTGTTGTCCTTCGTCAAATTTTCGTTTAGAAATTGCTGATAGCACATTTACTATCAAGCCCCGCGGTCCCAATCATGAGCATTCATGTCTCCTGACTAAACTACTTGATTGGCGGACTATCAATAAATCCGACATAGTCTGCCTGGGTGTTCACGTAGCTGTTGTACTGAAGGACCATGCTCAGGCTCAAGAGTTCCTCAAACAGCGAGACCAGAACGCGCAGACGCTTCTGGACCTCTTGCAAGCGGCAAGTCCTCACCATTCCCTCAAACATGGAAATTTGGCTGATGTACCACTTTTCTGGAATAGCTGCTGAGCTACTCAAAAATCGATCCGAACATGCAACGTACATTCCTCCACGCCCTCATCAAGCTCGCCACCAAGTCGGGTCGTTTTCCTCAGTGCCTCAAGCTTCGCAGTCTCGCGTGGGAGAGCCAACCGTTCTCTGGTGGGGGCTTTGGAGACGTGTACAAAGGGAGCGTGAAGAGTAGGCCGGATGTCCCACTTGCGATCAAGGTCGTGAAGGTCTATCAGTCTTCGAGGAAGGATCGGCTGCTCAAGGTTGGCTATCTTCTCCTCTACTTCAACGTTTACCCATCCATCGTTTTCTACTGCGTAGAGTTTCTCAAGCGAGGCTGTCGTATGGAGTCATCTGCGGCATCCGAACGTCCTACCATTTTACGGGGTATTTCAACAGGGTGACGCTACACTATGTTTGGTGTCGCCGTACATGGGAAGGGGCAACGTACGGAGCTACCTCAGAGAAGGGTCTAAGAGGGTCAATAGGATGCTCTTGGTATGCTCGTCTTCCCACCAGTTTTTGAACACTTTTGACCAACTGACCTTGTAGGCGCTTGACGCCGCCCGCGGACTGGAGTATCTCCATAACCATAACCCGACAATTGTTCACGCTGACATCAAAGGAGTCCGTGTTCTTTTCCCCTATAATAATCCTTAGTAGCTGAGCGATGGCCAACAGGTTAATATCCTCGTCTCGAACTCCGGCCGTGCTTGTCTTGCCGATTTCGGCTTTGCGACAGCCAAAGACACCAACCAGGCGCAGGCGCAGAGCACTATGCCCTCTGCCCTCACTGTTGCGTGGTCTGCGCCTGAGATTCTCATAAGTTTTGGGAAGCCGGGCCACCAGGCGCACACGACCAAAAGCGACATGTATTCTTTTGGGTGTGTTTGTTATGAGGTTGGTTTACACCTTGTTGTTGCAAACTTGCCTTTAGGATGAGGGAAGCTGATGAATTGCAATATAGATATTCTGCGAGCGTGATCCATTCCACGGCGCTGGGCTACCGATCGTTCTCGGCCTGATCATTTCGGGGAAACGGCCTGAGCGTCCTGAGCGGGGCGCCGCGCTGCATCTAAATGATGAACTATGGCGGTTCATGAGCCGTTGTTGGGTCGAGAATGCCAACGAAAGACCTTCGGCGAGCGATGCAGTACGATTACTCGAGCGTCTGGCTGCCAAAACAGGAGTGGGAGGCGCTGGTGAGCCTCAGAGCACGGATGAATGGGATTATTCTATACTGGAAGAGATTTTGGCGGAGACGGTGCACCCTTTTTCGATGTTGTTGGGCGTTTCGATGCCTCCTTCATAAGGGTTAGAAATCTATAAGCTGTCTTCTGTTTGTTGTAGAGTTTACGGACCGAGAACGCTGATCGGAAACAGGCCGTTGCAAAGGTTGGAAGTCATCGGGCGCTAAGGGCGATGCCAGAGGTCTTGTGATCGGAACACTATGTAGTTGAAAGAGAAGTTGAACAAGGTAGTCTTTAAGACTTGTTCGAAGGTTTGTTTTCTTGACGTCTTGTACATTGGCTCGGTTGACCCTGGTGGCTGTGCTGTAGTCGGCAGGCGACTCTCCGGCCTTATGGCAGCTGTGTGGCATCGGGGTGTCGTCTCCAGCGCAACTCACTTAAATATCGATGTCCATCCCGTGCACCAATGTCGAGCACTCATTCACAAAACTCCTCTAGCGTGGTTTATCATGAGTGGACCGCCGCTGAAGCTCCTGGCCCTTGGTAAGCCTCCTGAGCTAGTCGTCAAAACAGGAGCAGCTAACTCGTTTTCGACTACAGATGGCGGAGGTGTCCGTGGTCTGTCGGAACTCTTGATACTTCGTGAACTACTTCATCGGCTTGGATATGAACGAGGCGGAAAAGAGGTTCGGCCGTGCGAAGAATTCGACATGATAGGTGGGACAGGGACAGGCGGGTACGTCGACTAGCCATTGCAGTGCTCTGTATATCCTTTACGATACCTCAGGTGGATAGCGATCATGCTTGGTCGACTTGGGATGACCACGGAAGAAGCCATCAGTGCATACAGTGACGTTGTCACACACGTCTTCTCCAACGGCAAGAAATGGTCCAAAGAGGGGATGTACAAAGCCACTGCTCTTGAGAACGCGTTCAAACACGTCTTGAAGTCCAGGCTGGGTGCATCCAACCTGCGCATGCGGGATGAGACGACTGATAGTCTTCGTTGTCGAACGTACGTCTTGCCATCTGTCCTTTGGCCTGTCTGTCAATCTAACTTGGCCGCCAGGTTCGTGTGTGCCCAGCTTGAGCAGAACTTCACCGGTGGAAGACCAACTCTCTTTCGCTCATACCGCCCTCATACCGCCTCGGTCAATCCTCTCATCTGGGAGGCGGCTCGCGCCACCTCCGCTAACCCCTTCTTGTTCAAGCGCATCGCGATCACGGACGGTGGTATCACTGAAGTCTACATCGATGGCGGCACAGGAGGTGCTAACAACCCCATCCAAACCCTCCTCGCCGAAGCTCGAGTTGTCTTCCCGGGTCGATCCGTTGGCTGTATCATCAGTCTCGGTGCTGGTCACCCCAACACGATCAGCATCCCCACGACTCAATTCCTCAAACTCTCGATTAGACACAGGCTCAAAGTTGCAAAGACTGCCCGTGCAATTGCAGAGGATTGCGAGGCTGAGGCGGAAAAGGTGGCCATTCAGCTCAAGGGTTATTCAAACATATACTTTAGATTAAGCGTTGATCAGGGGATGCAGGGGATCAAACAAGCGGACGTGGAGAAGCTAAACGCAGTGATTGCGCATACTTCACAGTATATGAAGATGGAGACGGTCATGACAGCGCTGGAAGAGGCAGTGAGGGCGTTGAAGAACCCCCTGCCACGTGTAACCACCGATGAGCTTGGTAGGCGACGTGTTGACGACGGTCGAGGAGTGAAACTAAAGCATTCTTCAGGTAGGGCGTCAAACGCTACACTGACGGTTCCGATATCACGCTCATCAGGAACGCAGAGACATCTAAGAGCGCCATCGCCTATATCTTCTTCCGTGTCTAGTATTTCTATCCCACGTACGTGCCTTACGATATCGGACGATCAGAGGCGCTAATAAACTTACGTCTCAGCTTCAACCTCCTCTGATATACCCACAACCTCTAATGACACCCAATTTCTATCCAGGACACCGAGCGCTTCCCTTGAATTGCCATACGGCCCGTCTCTTACAAGCGCCAGCCCTTCGCTAAAACGAAGCAGTGCCAATCTAGAACAAGCTCCCATTACCTCTATTGACAACTGTCGTGAATGCTCCAACGACGACTATATCACCTCACCTGAGGTTTCCGTGACCGGACATCAACCTCAGCATGGTGCGCCGGCAAATGGACCCTCTGTCGAGGAAGTCATGTTATTGGCGCCGAACGTCGCATCGCTTCGCAAGGCGGAGCAGCATCAAATAGTTCAACAACTTTGCGAGATTGCTCTCAGTAAAGACGTAGAAGTCGTCATCTCTCGTCTTGTTCTTGCTTCTCCGATTTATCCCGTGAGTCGCCGTTTAGCCTCTCCTTAATTGTGATTGAAGCTGGAACGTCATATGCGAAAGATGCTCATGGCAACCGCATGCTCGCACGCTGCGCTTTGTTTGGCTGACGAGCGGTGCGTCTTTCGAAAGGGCACATGTACATGACATCTCAGCCTTATCTAGTGTCCTGAAACGACTCTTCAGCGATCTTGGCGTCTTTATGGCTGACATAAAGGGGAATGTTGACTGGATAATGAAACACTCTACGCTGAAATCGATGTTGGAACTGGTCACAAAGGCTAAGGTGAGCCTTTGAATAAAAATATATGTCTTGGTTTTGATATAGCAATCGGACGTTAGCCTGATAGATTTGATGAAACATGTTCTTGTCTTATAGGTCGTCTGACGAATCGGCCTGTGGTTGCACCTTGTGACATTATCTGCTTCGGTGTGCAGGTCGCTTTGGTTATGGAGGACCCAAATCAGGGTCAGGTTTTCCTCACTCAGCAAGGTGATGCCGCGCAATCCCTGCTTGATCTTCTCCAAGCAGTACGTCTTCCATAATACCGGCCCTTGCGTTATCTCAGTGCTCCCAACATGCGTAGCTCCTTAGCTATCCGAAGCTCAACAATGAGATGCGACGCATCTTCCGTTACGCGCTCACCAAGCTCGCCACAAAGTCAGGACGATATCCGCAGTGCCTGCACCTGAGGAATCTGGCCTGGGACGGTATCCCAATCTCCAGCGGTCATTTCGGCGACCTATTCAAAGGGAGTGTCATCGGGAGACCGGACCGACCTGTAGCTGGAAAGGTCGTCAGAGTGTACGAACACGGGTCGAGAGTTCGATTCCTTAAAGTTGGTTGATCCGCGACACATGTTTTCAGCGAGGCTGATCCATTCTTCTAGAACTTTGCGAACGAGGCTGCGGTGTGGAGCCAGCTTAGGCACCCGAACGTTGTTCCTCTGTATAGTGTATTCTGGAAGGAGAGCGCTCCGTGCTTAGTGTCGCCGTTCGTGGAAAACGGAAACTTACGCGCATACCTGAAACAGAATCCGGTTGCAGACAGGAAGCTTCTCGTATGTTCTTATCGTCTTGTTTTGCCTTCGGTTATATAAGTTCTTTGAGGCGCTTGATATTGCGCGTGGTTTGGAGTACCTTCATGGCGAAAAGCCCACTATCATCCATGCGGACATCAAAGGGGTGCGCATCTCATTTCTTCACCACTTCCGATTCTGGCTTGACGAGAAATGAGATAGGACAACGTTTTGATAACGAAAAGTGGACACGCCTGTCTCGTCGATTTTGGGCTGTCGACGGCAAAAGATGCTGGTCTTGTCCAAGTCCCAAGTACGACGCCTGCTATTCATGCAGCTGCATGGACAGCCCCCGAGATTCTCGAACATCATTCCCTGGTCAACAGTAGAGGTCACGGACAACATACGACGATGAGTGACATGTACTCCTTCGGCTGCGTCTGTTACGAGGTACGCACACTGATTTAACCTCTTGGAATCGGTCGCTGATAAACTTCGCTCGCAAAACAGATCTTCTGCAATCAAATACCCTTCTTTGGAAAATACGACTGCATAAGTCTCGTCAAGCAAGGCAAATGCCCTGAACGTTTGATACGTTATACTTGGACGATGACCGCCTATGGGAGTTCATGATGTGCTGTTGGAGCCGTACTCCATGTGAGCGCCCCAGTGCAAATGATGCGATACAGTTCTTTCGTGGTCTTCTGTGTGATGTACAAGACACTCGGGAGACGCACGAATGGGATTTCTCAGTTCTGTCAGACATAGTGGCTGAGACGGAGCACCTATTCTCTCTGAACATAAATGATGCCCCGTCGATATAAAGGCGCCTACCCGTTTGACGCTGGGATCTAGCTCAATTGCATAATACCCCCGTATGACTCAGGTTACTATCATTCCCGCGGGTAATGACTCACCCAACGTGTATTTTTGGTCAGATACGTCCCCTTCTTTATCGTAAACTTTGCGGATGGTTCTTATCGACATCATGCACATGTTAGGCGCACCCTTTTAATATACCAGCCGCCCTATCCCAACTGTAAGCGCCCTAATGAGAGGATTTTATAAAGCATCCCTGGCGCACTGGACACACGTATCCTTCCCTGCGCCTATTTGCAACCACTGACACAGCTTCGGACGCTCGGATTCCAAGCAAGTCTGGAGGACGCCTCCATTGAACTTATCTTTGGTGGATATCATTCTTGATATCGTCTGCAAGTGTTTCCAAGCCGAAATCAGCAGGGGAGGTCGAAGAGATGGTGCGCTTTATGTTCTGTCTGGCTATTAGCAATTATTAATGTGTTCTATGTAAGTTCTCCCAAGCTATGCTTCATCCACTGTAACTCCTTACGCCTTGTTCTGCAGACCGACTTAGCTCGCCCCTATAAACATTGTCTTCATTGAGCCCTCGACAATATAACCGCCACTTGTCTCTGTCATCGACTGGTCATAAGTGAGTTCCAAAGGTACTGCTCACATAACGACAATGAGCTCACCAGGTATCACTTCCTTCCACCCAGATGCGTCTCTTCTGGAGACATATCCATGCACTTTCTGACAATGTCTCAACATCAACGCTGGGTCAGCACACTTAAATTCGCATTGTGTGCATTGAAGTCGTTTGTATCCAAAACTACGGGATGTTTGTTCCTATCATGCCGAGAAAGACGCTTGATCTGGGCACTTACTGTATGTTCTCAATGTGAATTCTTGCGTTGGCTCTCGAAGCAAACGTGATGTTGTAGGGACAAGACGAGTACACACAAATGAATCGAGGGCTACAGGACATCTATTTCTTGGTCAAAATCGAATAAACATTATTTCACTCATCAGACTTGCGTTTTCGGGGCAGCCGCCCATTGTCAGGTAAGTAGTGGGTGAAGGTAGAAGAGAAAGAGTGTGATTCCTCGTGCATGGAGCACCTAGCATGTCCATATATCCACAGCTACCAACATTGATGCTGTATCCATTCAAATTCTTGCATATCTTTGCAGAAACGAATACAGAAGCACGCCAAGGTTTCACAAAACTGTCGATGGTAGCCTATACTGGGTACAACATGAGGAGTTAGAAGCTTGGAGCTTGCTTATTTCCTAAGTGATTAAGAGAAGCTGTGCGGGAATGATTAGGAGGACCAAACTGGGCATCGTCGTAATATAGCTATGCACAAGCCTCAGAGCACCTCGGGCAAATGTCTATCAAGTTTCACATCAAGTACACATTCCATCTTATCCCTGTTTGTGTTGGTAACAGCTGAGTCTGAGTTGAAGGAAAATGTATTGCAGACAAAGGTGTCTCATACAACCCCTCACCACAAGCGCAGCAATTCATACAGAGAACAGTGCCTCGATGCTGTGTGAACTTTACGCCTAGTTTATAAGCCCCCACTAATATTAAGCCGCTTTGATAGCCCGCGGCAGACAATGACTAATGTTTCTAGATACAAGACATCAGTTAACAAGCACCATCACCGCCAAGCAGGTGCGCAACGCATCCATAAGGCCGGATCCAAGCCTGGAGATGTGGTTACGAACACATAAGTGTGACGTGGATGGGATGATTACGGAAGTATTCAGCTCAGTGTATAATCATGTGAGTTGTCCTATCATATGTCTCAAAGGCGGACATTGGGTCTGTGCGGGCGCTCTGCCGGTGTGCGTGCAGAAGCGAGAAGGCGAGTTCGAAGGGGGATCCAAGGCGCTAGGCCGTGAGGGTAGATATGGGAGTTTTGGATAGTATAGATGATTGATCGCGGAGAATAAGAACGACGCGGCGAACGATTGAAACGAAAGAAACGTCAAACGAAGGGAGTGCGATTCACTGAGGTAACTAGAGCGAAATACATCCGGTATTTATACTAGCGAGCTGCAGAACGATCTGAGACGTATCTAGAGGCGTGTAAAGCGTATATTCGAGGCTGTATTACTTCTAGCTGTTGTATCTTTACGTGTCGGGTCGTTGCGCGAGGCCTGCGCGCGTAGAATATGCACTAAACTAATGTAAGTAGAACGAAACAGAGGGAAAATGAAACGGAAATCGAAATCGAGAGGAGTTGGTGAGGTGCTCAGGGTCTGGCGGGCGAACGGCGCGTGAACTGATCAAGATTAATGAACTAGGTTCGGGGCCGGCGGTGCTCAGGGTTCGACGTTGTGAACGAGGTCGTTCGTAGATTGTGGCGCAGCCGCGTGGCGCTCGTTCTCGTGTCGCGCGGCCCAGCCGTCGGGCCGCCCTTACAGGTCTAACTTGAATATTTGCCGTAACATTGACAGACGATTTGATTATGGCGGTTATAGTGAACGTTTGTTTTTAGATCGCTTTATGGCGTAGTCAAAGTAGGTCACGAGAAGTTAACGATCGGCTATGTATTTCGACGCCAGGAAACATACATCATCATCAGGTCGGAGCAAGAGCTGGTCAAGTGGACTGTCGGCGAATTATACTCTAGAATCCTATATTTATTCCCCAGAACCTTCCTATCATTGTGAGCCACCATCCGCGGTACAATACGTACCATCCCTCCTCCGTGACTATGCACTTAGCGCAATCAATAACACCCTCGTATGGTTCTCTATCCACCTTGAGTCTGAAGCAAGGATCAGCGAGCACGCCTCCGATTGAGAAAGAGACGATAACACACTCTATGACATCCTCCTCAGCGCCGGAGTATTCGACCGTGATCTCATAGTCAATGACCTCTTCTTGTGAAGAGGAGTCGAGCTTTGGTCCTGCATCATTACGCTGGATTGCCAGTCGGACCGATTTAACCTCTACGGGAGTCAGGACAACAGCGGTAAGAAAGGCTTCGACGTTAAACAAGATCAACGTGTTGGCAGAAATGTCAATCAAGTTTGTGCCGTTGAGAAACCACACCACTAAGCGCCCGGCAGAGAAGGGAAGATGTGATGTAGACCACGGAGCCTGAATTGACAGCATGCGAGAAAGGAGTTTGATTCGGAGCTTGCGGGGGAAGAGAACATTATATGCGATGTGTAACATGAGTGCTGCAAGCAAACCTGACGTGCGAAACAGGATCCAAGGGCATCGTCACTCAGTTGGCGTTAGAAGAACTCGAACGAGTGTAAGGCATTGAAGGTCGGTAGCTTGGCGGACGTCGAGATTGCGCTGTAATCGGGCCTGTGAAGACGTTGTGTCTATCAAGGCCGACTGTACGTACCGGTAAGTGAGGATGGCTTGAGGAAGAGACAGCATGGCTGCAGGTAGGACGTAGAGAAGCGAGCCAATCCACCCCAACGAACGACTATAGTCAAGAGAGCCAAGCATCCCGGGTAGTAGGGAGGTACGAGTGCCATTCCGGAGGTCGTCTTCACTCAGAAAGAAGAGGATATAGATCAGATTGGCAACCTGGAGCGTAAGGCTAGGGACTAAGGTCAAAGATGTCAGACGATTCGGAGGAGCAGTAATAACAACTAATATGTGAGACGCACTGAATCCCCGAAATAGCCCCCAAACGCCCTTGATATTGTGAGATTTAATATCAATGGTCACAAACAAGAACGCGACCTGACAAACACAGCTCACCTCCATCTTTTGCATACATTGATTCAGGCCAAAGAAACTGGAAATGACCGGTCCAGTGATAGGTTGGACATCTTGCTCGGTGCTGAGCTGCAGACTCCTCGCATCGTAGTGTGCTCTGAAACGGATTAGTACACTCCTTATACTTTGTACTAGAACATATGTGATGTAAAAGTAGATGAAGAGGCAGACGGTGGTTTCTGTCTTCAGCATGATGAGTGACGACGTTGATTTACTCTTGCACCGGAATGAGCTGCATTTATCCAAGCTGTACATGTTCCGGGTACTCAAGTACTCACACACGGACCTTTTGTCTTGAAGTGGACGAGGCTGGTGATCGGCGTGTATAGAAGCATCCAGAGCTTATCGATATATCAGGCGACGGACCTGACAACGTAGGCTCGGTCTGCAAGCAAGGCAAGAGCAAGGGACGACTAGTGATGCTTGTCAGTCGGTGAAATGGTTTCCATGAGATGCGGGAGTGGTGGCGTTTACAGAATGTCTAACAAGTTTCATCATGGTCATTTGCATCAGAAATGTTCTATCGCTGGGACGGGACGTTTCAATGAGTGACCACACCAGCGTGAGGGATTTAGTACCCCATCAGCTAGTTTTTTTTCTGTTCTGCGCCTTGGGTCTCAGGGAGTCTCATAGAGATATAACCAGGGGGACGGTGAGGTTGAAAGTCGAAACTTGGATTTCAAGCTGAGAAAAGCGCACCAACCTTCATTCGGAGCCTAAACTTTAAATTAGACATCCGGATAACTCCTCAGTACTCAGTACTCAGTACTCAGTCCAGCTTATCGACTATATGGGGGCTCGTAACTCACGCGCACTGATCTAGTCCTTAGTACATATCTCATGACACACCATCCTTGCCTCGTGGATACTTGTATAACTACAGAGATCTACCACCTTTCCCCCAGCGTCGACTGAAATACTTTCGCAGAGACTATTACACGTGGATGGACACAAACGGCCGATCTCATCACCCGCCAGCAATCTGCTTTTACAACTCTTACTGCTTCTATCGTCTACTCTTTCGCATCGCGAAGCCACGTTGAATTTTTAGAGGAATGTACAGAGAGGTTTGATGTACGTGCTAGAAGCTATTGTCCTGTGGGCGCTCATTGAACCTTCCGTAGTTTTTCCAAAAGTTATCTACTACGCAGCTGATCTCGGTGCGATAAGCATTATCGGCGTGCAACCACTCATTTTCGTCTATTGCGGGTGTCCATGTCAACGATGTTTGCTGCTCCAGATGCACAGAAGGATTGAAGATGTCGCATGCGATGTTCGTATTACTCGCTTCCAGAGAATATCCGTATATCCCAATGGGGTTTTGTAGAAATTCGATGTCGGCCAAGAACTCTCCCCATTTGCTCTTGTAGCTATCTATGGGTGAGCCTTCGTTAGAATCCATCATGCGAAACATATATGAACGTTTGCTCACCAGGAAGGGACTCTTTCCACATAACTTCCTTACCGGAGGCGTAGTCATGCACATTCCGACAGTGTCTAGACACCGCTGAAGGGTCGGCACTCTTGTAGCTGCAAGCCAAACAATGGTAACGTTTGTACTTTAAGCTTATATTGCGAGCTTTCCGTCAACGTGCGCAAACCGGCTACCCATGCGTAAACGGTACGCACTGTCTACCCTCAATGTGAACCCTCGCGTCCCTCGCCCGGGCAAAGGCTACTATCGTAGCCGGAGTCGACGAGCATGACGGATGAATACACACTAGTTTTGCTTCCTGGATGATGTGAGTTCGTGCTCTATTCGAGAAATCAATGAGATGAGGCATGGTGTAGGACATACTTGTTTGCGTTGAGGGGGCATGACGAGAGCACTGGGCTGGGGAAAATCGTCGAAAATCCCCAAATATATATCCACCCTTGGCAGTACGCTGTCGACTATATTCAGACGTCCATTGGTGCCATTTTTCATACGGGGACCACCCATGGCGGGTTTGATTGCGGCAGATGCTACTTGTCACGGTGTATACCAAAAGTGCTCGAAAATCGCCGAGAAATCGAATATTTTCACTCGTGTGTTGGACACCTGGTGGGGCTGTACTCCGTTTCTCCCAAACGAGACAACGAGCCTTAATAAAGAGAACAAGATGTATAGCCACTCGAGGTTACCCGGAACTAGAGTTCACAGACTGAGATAATTAAGACGTTCAATAGTGGGGGAAACGAGTAGATTTTTCACTCTGAATTCACGCGAACCCAGAAGGACACTGAATCGACTGTTATGTACTATCTTATTTTGCTTCTGTATGCTGCAAAACAGCATCAGCGGGGGGACTCCTGTATTTCCCAAAGCTTAGAGTGTTGGATTTGAGTACTAGTCGGTATGAACGAAGCCAACCTTGAACAGGAAGTGCTACATAAAAGGAATAAAGTTCGTGCATCAAGTGCAGGCGAGAACTGTAAGCAAAAATAGCCCAAGGATGTTAAACCTGGTGGTCCTTTTGGGCATTTCTGGCACAGTATAGTGGATGGAAACACCGACACACACGGAAAAACGTTGGCCTAGACGTCAGCATGGAAATACCACAGCTATTTTCCCGGCTGCCAAGTGAGGTGTTCCAAGAGGCCCGATGAAGCTGGATGGGTTGGCAGCGTCCGGACCCGAGGGAAATGCAAGAGGAAGAGAGGCTAGGATAACGCTAGACATATTACAATGTGAGTCTATGCCAATAAGCAAAGAAATCATGTTCCGTCAACTCCTTACCTGACAGACAAAACGGGGAATATGGGCCATTTGAGTGACAAACTCGAACAACAGCCTGAGGGATACCAGTCTGGAGGACATAAATCCAATGGTTCCCATGTTCCAGTTCGAAGATTATCCATCAACAAGACATCAATAGATTTGAGGCTCTGGGCTAGCGACCTTCAGAATCAGCGGAGCATGGTGTTGAGAATTCACGCATGAACGTTCGAGTCACAGCGCGGGCTCGTTGAAGACTTCAATCCGGGTTAAGATCATGGTAAATGCTGTTCAAATCTTTGTGTCCGCTCATTATTAAGCTATGACAAGCGTAATTTGTGGCGCTAGGTTTTAGTTTACGCTACTTATTACATGAAAGCACAGTGCGCTCGATTTGTCATAGTATAAAGGGAAATGCAACAGGCGCTGTGTGTATCGTACAACACGCTAATCAACAAGCAGAACAAATGTACATTTACGCTCACACGATGAACTTCCAGGCGTGCGGGAAACTACCTTGAAATAAGGCCGGATAACGATGTGGCCCACCATGCACGATATAACACAGGCCACCCCTCCTCTTTGATGATGCGCTTTCCACAGTCGAGCAGTCCGGTGTAAGCCTCTCTATCGGTCCTCAAGCTATCCAGAAAGTCAGATAGTGGCCGCTTCGAGATAAAATGAGATTAGCTCACTCAACCACATCCTCGTCGCTATACCTCTCTCCCGCTCTCTCGACACTACTGCCATCATCTTGAGCACCAGAGTTCACTTCTGGCAATGTGTGGTTGCGCTGGATGGAAAGCCTCACAAGGATGACGTCGATCGGTGTCATAACAATCGCTGAAAGAAATGCATTCAGGACCACCGTAATATTGAATAGGGCAACAATTCCCATCCCCCTGTGCCACAAAAAGTTTCCAAGGAACATCAGGATGGCTCGGGGAGCGACGAAATTGTAAACCCAGCGGATGGCAAGTCCTGCGAATACGCCGGGGGTGAGGTACATTCCCCACGGCCTTTGGCGCTCCGTTGAAGTCAGAAGAATACGAAGAGAGCCAGAAACACCGAAGTACGACAACTTCTTGGGAGTGGTGATCGACCTATATGATATCTGTGATTCCCTGAACGTAAACCACCCTGACTGAAGACATACCTATCGAGTATGATGAGTTCCGGAAGCTTCACCACGAAAGACAGAAGATGCGATATGGTTTGGAGCACGAGAGGATTGTGAAAAATAAGTGAACAAGGAGATTTGTGAGCGCCATTGGAGATACAATACGCCAAGGCAAACGACCAGGGAAGGACACTAGATATCATGTAGAATGCCGCATAAATCAAACTCGGCACTAGTTAGAATACGAAGAATTAAGTGCGGAAATGTGCGGCAAGCCAGCTGATCACGTACTGAGACCTTTGTATAGCCCCGGGATTCCCTGTAGGAGAGTGGTGTTCAAGCGAGCGTTGAACGTTTACATCAACGTGGTAGGCTTACCTCAAGCTTGTAAACACGTCTGAGTACCTTGAAGTAGCCGACGAAGACGGTCTCTGCCTGTGGTGCCGCGCCCTCCTCTGAGCCGAGTGTGATGCACCTTGGGTTGTAGCTTGCCCTGAAGCGAACGAGTGCACCTTGAAACGGGACCGCAACAATGGCGATCAACAGGGGGACGGTTCGGAAAAGGACAAAGACAGCAAAGTTAGACATGGAGGTTTGGAGCATCAAGGGTTGGTGGCGGAAGCACGCTATGACCCTCCTTTATACAGCAACTATACAGCATATGCCACAGCATTGGTCAGGGCGCGAAGTTCAGATTGTAGTTGCCGGTGTCATACATCATGTGGCGAGGCCCTTTGTTCTTGTTTGGCGGCACTTTTCGAAGTCCGAAGCAGTTTCCAAGAGACAGCCAAAAGTCTACTACTGTGTCTTTGAGACACTCCTCAATCAACATATCCCAAACGAGCTCACGCCAGCCAATCTTCCTCTCCAGACTCATGTTCCTCCTGTTTTGATTCCCGAACACAACGTCCATGTCAATCGAAGGGCACTGGAAAATAAAATAGTTAGTCAAGCAGAGATAGAAAGTATTCAGTTGGCTGGCAACTCACTTGGACCTTTGAGAAATCCCGAAACACCCTGAATCGGCGGCGCGACCGCCGCAAACGACTAGTCAGACGACGATGTCGACGATCGCCGGAGGCTCCAAAAGCGCGGACTAACCTCGATGTTATAAACACGTCTGTACATGCCAAAGTAGCTCGCAACAACAGGCCCAGTGTAGGGCCGTACGTCACCCTCTGCATCGAGCTGGAGGCGTTTCGGCGTGTAGTGAGCCCTGTAGCGGACCAAGACACCGCGAGCCGCGATTCCGAAGGGGACGATGGGGATTTGAGGCAGGAGGGGAACCATCCATTCAAGTGTGTATTTGACGGCGTCGTAGAGCGACGGTAACATAACGGTGATGTCTGGGGGTGATCAGTGACCGGGGAAATATAGTGTTTGGGTTAATCAGAGATGCGGCGGACTGCAGAATAAGTATCTATAGAATGCACAGCGCTGGATAGACGTTGTGCGTGTCGCGAGACCAGCTATATTTGAGCATGGATATGCACAGCATGGGTGTTGCTAAGTATCCATCATCGGACTTGGTCGTCGTTGTGCGGGTTTAGTGCTTTACTTCAAGTTGCATTTGGGAACGCACGTTTCTCTGCGCACGTTTTTGTCTGAGTGTCGGTGATTGATCTGGGCTCAGCGATTACTTCACGATATTGGAACGAAGTTGGACGGTTCCTCGAGTTCCTTGGCAAGCTTCAAGCTGAAATCGTCGATGTCGACTAGTTCTTGTGGGAACTTGTTGTCGGACTTTGAAGTCTTAACCATAAGCTAGGGCTAGGGGCAAATAGCAAGTGTACCACTTCCCGGACCCGGGTTACCATCTCTCCACAACATCTGCAAGGGTGCGGTTCGCTAGTCCCGCACCTGCGATCCATTCTCGCTTTCGTCCACATGTCGAGTTCAGCTAACATTTCTCACCATGACGTAGAAACTCTCGCATCCCTGATCGCGTCCCAGCCGTAGGTCCGTCCTCTTGCGCATACGTGGATTGGTGAAGAGTGCGAGGGTCCTGACGAGCCCTTTGTGCAGGGAGAGCATCGAGATACTTCCCGGCGACGCGTCCGCCTGGGTACCGCCGGACTCGGAGCACCATCCGTATCTGCTTGTAGAGGGAAACCTCGGTGTGCCGCAGAAGGAGCTGTACAAGGTCTACGTGCAGGCTGTCTCCGTGTTCGCTAGGGCTAGGCGGTCGGATGCTGTCAAGGCGCTGTATTCGTGCACTGGCGCAGGGAGTCGGAGTACCTCTTCTTCAGCGATCACACCGCCGTCTCAGCGAGACACCACGCTCGCGGCCTTTGATGCGCAAGACCCCTCGATCCGAACGCTGATAGCAGCCTCGACCATCCTCGCGCTCGCCAACCCCGCACATCAAACGGCGCTCAGTGCGCGTAGACGGCTCATCTCCTCCGGCCTTATCGACGCGCGCTCCGAGCTGTGGTTCACACGCGCGGTGCTCCTCTGCGCGCGGCACTGTGCAAAGGAGGCGGGGCTGTGGTTCCACCGGCGGTGGGTCCTCGCGCGGGTGCATGGGTGCGATTTTGGGGAGGATGGCGCCCGTTCGGAGAAGATGGGGACGATGGAGATGGCGGATGTGAAGAGAGAGCTGGAGATGGCGGGGAGAGCGTGCGAGGTGTATCCGCGGAACTATTTTGCGTGGATGCATCGAGTTGTGTGTGTGCGTCTTGTGCTTTCTTCGCTCCGCGCGGGGTCTGAGCACGCGGGAGGAGGTCGGGGTGTCGAGTTCGTCCAGGGCGAGATGAGGGACGTGCGGGCGTGGATTGATGTGCATGTGGGGGATTATAGTGCCGTGCATCATCTCGTGTCGGTTTTGCGGGCTATTTTGCTGGATGAGGGGTTCGATGCTGGGGCTGTCGAGGTGGGGAAGCGAGAACTGGAGATGGCGGTGGAGCACTCAGGGGGCTTGGTGCGTGCTTACCCGGGGCACGAGGCATTGTGGATGTATGTGCGGGCCGTGTATGCGTTGGCGCTGGAGGTGGACATGTCCCCAGGGAGCCTGGAGGATGCAACAGTAGATCTGCTTGCGTCCAGTGGTGATCACAGTGAGGAAACGGCGTGGAATGCAGGTCAGTTTGGGAAGTGGAAGGAGGTGTTTGTGCGGAAGGGTGGCTCTGGGATAATGCCGTAGTGTATTCTTAGTGTTTATTTTTTTTTTTTTTTTTGGTGGAACGGGGGATGCCGAGATGGTGGGAAGCGAGTCAGTCACGAGTCACTACCGATATCTCAGCCGTTTAGGGGCAGGCGAGGCACCTGCGAGGGCGGGGAATCAAAGCGAGAAGACAAAAAACCAATGGATCCGTACGGGAGAAATGCATTAACGCACGCCACTAAGTGGCAGTGTGGGGCTCACCTGTTCCTGCCCGGAGGGCGACGACAGGTAATACCCACTAAAACTCCGGTATCGTGGATCCAGTTGTCCGAGAGCCCATCTTCGTTGAGCAAGGCGCCACTCCAGGTTTGGAGGACCAGCTTATCTTTGATAGCTCGAGGGCCGAAGCGGCGTCTGTTGGTCAGGAGTGTATCTAGGGTAAGCCTTTGATTTAGTCGGCGTATCCAGCGGTGTTCCACCTCTAGCGGGGGGTGTGCTTCCGGGGGGTTCTGGTGCATATTATGGATCCTCTCACAGCGGAGCTTCCAGATCAGGTGGGCGGACTCGGATACAACAATCTTGAAGAGGCGCGAGGCGCCCGTGAGTTTCTTCCCCTTAGGGTTACGGAAGATGACAAGACCACAGCCCAGGATCAGTCCGTATGACAATTCGGGCCAAGTTATGCCTTTCAAGTCACAGAGTGCTTTCGCCAGGGCCCACACGGTTTTGATGGGAGCAAGGGAGCTATGACAGTCCAGAAGTATGTGTTCCATGGACTCGATCCCCTCACGGCAGAGGGGGCAGCGGGCGCGGTAGGCCATGTTGGGAATCGCCTCCCAGTGGGTGCCCAACCTATAACCGTCATGCAACGATTTGAACTTGAAGCCGTTCGTCGTTACTGGCATGTCCGCGTCACGAGTCGATCGCCAAATATCCTCGGTGAGTGGCGGATCACCATTGATTTCTGCCACAGCGTGCCGCGTTCGGGCGACTTGCACGTCCGTGCGGGTGCGGCGAGCTGGACGGTTATTTTCTTGGATGACCCGATAGAAGATTCGTTGGGATCCAGCCCCAAGTGGCATGCCCAGCAGCGAAGTGTGGGCAGGCGCGGTGGGCTCGAAGGTGGAGTCGTGGGGCAGGAGGGCTGCGTCGTGAGCGAGGTCGGCGGCCGCTTTGGTGGCAGCGGTGTCGTCGTTGTGTTTACTCTGCTGAATGAGGGTGGCCGCCCTGCGGGCCCTCAACAGGGCTACCATTGTCCGCATTGTTCTCCTCTCGTCTGCCGCAAGGGACAGCCAGAAGGTATGCTCTTCGGGGAATAGCCGGGAGGTGAGCAGTTCGAACAGGTGTTTCGAGCTGATAACCAGGAGTGCAGGCCTATACTCACTTACGGCGGTAAGGGCAAGGAGTATCGACCGTGCCTCACCTAGGAAGGACGATGTTTCCGTGGAGGTGGTCCGGTACCTAAATTCAGGTCCGCCGGAGCCACCAACAAGGGCTCCCCCAGAAATGATGACGTCCCCATCTGCCCGTAGGGAACAGAGGTTCGAGGAGTAGATGGGTGAGCAAAGGCGCAGGTCGCGTACAACCCTGTGTGTGGCATTGGGCCAGTGGCCCATGAAGCGGTTTTGGCCTGCAAAGATCCTGATCTCGGGGCGAGGGGGGGACTGTGGTCCTTCCTCAGCGAGGAACACCATGATGTTCCTGCCGACGGATGTCACCTCTTGGTCGGACGGGATGGCCCTTTCAGGGGGCGGACTCGCCGGGTTCCACTTGCTCGGGAGGTTAGCCAATAGTCTTTGGGCGAGGTTGCGGCACTTGGCTGGGTCGTCACATTGGTCCGTGTCACGGTTATGCGTACACGCTCGACATGTGCAGAAAAGGGAGTCCCTGTGGTCCGTTGGTGTATCTCTTAGCCAGCTCGCCACATCCCCTACGGTGGCGAGCCCGTGGTTCATTCGGAGGCATCTGGACGTCGGCGTGTTGTTCTTTTGTCTGTCGCGGGCAGTGTTGGCAAGGTGGTACCACATTGGCACACGGAGTTTAGTGGCGAGGCCAATGGTGTGGTGGTCGACAGTTAGGTGGTATTTTTTAGCCACCTTCACCAGGCGTCGCAGGAAGGGGGGCAGTTTGTTGGTGGACACCTCCCATGACTGGTAAGGGAACGCAATTCGCGCGGAGGGGGGTATTCTGGGTTGACTCTTGGGGCATCGGTTGATGATATGCATTGCAAAGTATGTCCATGTCTCGGGGGTGTCGGAGGGTGCAAGTAGTCTCCGCAGCCAGTTCAGGTCAGTGGAGACGTTTCGGTGGGGGAGATTCACCACATTCTTTCCGCCATATTTATGCTTAGCTTGCAGGGTAGGCGCGTTTATGGTTGAGCGGCCTGCGTTATCCCACGCGAATTGGCGTGTGAGGAGGGATAGCTCGTCTTCTACCGACTTGGGCATACCTTGCGCGTTGGTGAGATATTGAGTCTTTCCACAGACGAACCATTGGATGAGAATACTCCGTCCCTCCATAGTGGGGTGTAAGCGGTCCCAGCGTTCTAAGCTTTCTTTAATGTCATCGATGACGGGAGACCATATCGCTGCCTGGTCTATGCCATTCCCCATCCAGGCTCCGAGGATACGGACCGCAGAGCCGTCCTTCGCAATACGGATGGACGGCGGGAGAGGTTGTTGCGACGGGGCCAGGCAGCGGGTTTCTTCAACCTCTTTTCTGTGGACTGGTGAGCCGATAGGGATCACTTCGGTTTTGTTGACGTTGAACTTGGCCCCAGAGGCGTGACACCACAGGTCCAGTAGGGATTGGAGGGTCACGAAGTCATCTTCCTTCCGTAGGTATACTGTCGTATCGTCCGCAAACATTGACACGATGACTCGTTCGGCCATGTCTGGGACATCGTAGCCTCGGAGCTCCGATTGACGAAGCAGGGCAGCAAGGGGCTCGATCGCTACATTGAAGAGGAGGCATGACATAGCGTCGCCCTGTCGAACTCCGCGAGTTATCTTGAACATATCGCTCATGAATCCATTGATCATGATGGAGGTCTCAGCATGGCTATAGAGGGAGCGAACGAGGGCTATGAAGGATGCAGGGAAGCCGTAGGCCTTTAGGACGTCAAATAGGTACTGATGTGAGATCTTGTTGTAGGCCTTCTCTTGGTCTAGGGCGATGACGGAGCCATTGGCTTCCTCCATTTCTGCGTATGACATTATCATCTCAGTGAGTTTTGTTTGGGCGGAAATACTTCGCCCGGGGATGAACCCCGCTTGGTCTTTATGGATAATTGTTGGCGACACCTTCGCCAGTCTCAGGGCAAGTGCCTTAGTCAAAATCTTGTAGTCACTATTGAGTAGTGTAATGGGTCGGTAGTTAGCGATGTCGGAACGGTCATTTTTCTTATAGAGCGGGCACATCCATCCGTCAGACAGGCCCGATGACTCGTCAACTCCATTCTCCTCAATATCGTTATATACGGCTGTGAGGGCGGCTGCGATGTTGAAGGGCGCAGCTTTCCGCTCGCTCTGGGACATGAGGGCCCATGCTGTCGGGGATGGGCTACTCGCTGCTAGTTTTTTCCACAGTTCGTACGGGAGGCCATCGGTCCCGGCCGCCTTTCCGTTGGGGAGCTGTTTGATGAGGGACGCGATCTCGGATTCGGTAATCCGGGATCCCAGCAGGTCTTGATCCTCCTGCGTGAGCGTGACATTAATGCAGGGCCGGATACTTTCAAAGGCTTCACGTTGGCGGGCGGGATTCGCTAGGTCTTTCGACTGCAGAGTCTCGTGGTATTCCCTCGCTAGGTTTGCCATACCGGCTGTATCAGATACTAATATTGGTGGGGAGGAATCGGGGATCCTGAGTTCTGTGATCGTGTCTCGTGGCTTGCTGGCTTTACCGAGTTTAGCCCAGCGTTTGCTGCCCGCTTTCTCTTTCTCCACGTGGAACCCTGCGTCCATTGAGTCAAAGTCTCGCTGGAAGCGGGTCCGGACGACATCGTCCAGCCTGGCCTGTAGTTCAGAAGTGATGAGCTTTTTGTCGTGTTCGTCCAGGGTACCGTCATTACATACGAGCCGTATCTTCCCTTTCAGCGTATTCGCTTTGCGCTCCATGGCTGGGATGCGTTTCTTTGCCTCGCCTCGTAGGAAGGCGATAACTTTGGTTTTGAAGTCGCGTAGGGCCGTCTGCGGCGTCTTCAGGTCTCCTCGGCCGCCCGAGGCGCAGTCGGCAAGTTCTTCCTCGAATCCTTTGCCGAGTTTGTCGATTTCTCGGAGGATACGTTTGTCTTCGGCAAGGAACAGCGGTAACGTCCACCGGCCTCTGCCGATATAGGGTAGGTCTTGTGTGGAGAGCCGCGCCGACACCAGTTGGTGGTCCGTATGGATACCGGGGGGGTTGATGTCCCAATCGCGGGAGAAGGGGAGGAATGAGCTTCTTACATATATGCGGTCTATGCGGGATTTACTACCACCTTGTCGCTGGGATTGCGAGAAGGTGTACGATAGGGTAGTGGGAGCGGTGTCTCTCCAGCCATCGCGAAGGCCAAGTGCGAGCTTGAGTTTACGGAGGGAGTGCACCGCGGATGTACTATCCTCGCGGGCTGGGAGTCTGTCGAGAGGGTCTTCGACGAGGTTGAAGTCGCCCAGCAGGACGTCGGGGCGGTCGAGCCTGTCGGTGTTGTTTGTGAGGCGGTCGAGGATCGAAGTCCAGAAGTCGTCTTGCAGGGGGTCGCCGGCTGTTGGGGCGTATATCGCCAGTATCACCAAGGAGTGAGGCCCGTGCCAGGGTAGCTTCACATGTAGAGCCCGGCCAGGGACGATTACGGTGGCGCAGAGTTTATCGGTTCTGAGAACATGTTTATTAAATGCCAACGCGACGCCGCCTACGTTATGGTTGGACGGTGACGCGGTTCCTACGATATGCATGGAGTTACGGTATCGGTCGTTCAGGTCTGAGATGTCAGTGTCGGATGCGTGAGTTTCCTGGAGGGCCAGCACACCTAAGCGTCTTTCGCGTACCAGTTTGCTAATCCCTCGCCACTTGTCCTTCCCATCGTGAAAGCGGCCTCTCATATTGAGAGAGCCGATGGGCGTGCTGGCGCGGACAGGTGCCTTAGATGCTTTACGGTCGGTTGGCCGATTGGGAAGAGGGGGAGCTGAGGTGCGGGAGCCCCTAGCATGGGTGTGGACTGTCGTGGGGGGAGCTACGTTCGGATTTCGCGTGCGTGAGGAGGCTTCCGGGGGCGTCTGTAGAGCGCCAGGTAGGGCGGATGGCGCGTCTGGTTGCGGAGTTGTGGCCAGATGGGTTGAGATCGGGGGGCGGGGCGATGCTCGCTGTGCGTCGCGCGGGGGCGAGGCTGGGTGCTGGGGTGGTACCCGGCCAAGTGTAGTAGTAGGCGATGGGAGCCGTGGGGGCGATGCCCGGGGAGGAGATAATGGGGAACGTACCAGGAGAGTAGCAGGGGTGTCTTCCGGGATTGGTGCAGTGTTGTGATTGGATTTGAGGGAGGTCGAGTCTTGATGAGGTGTGGAGGATCTTGAGATGTCCTTGGTCGGCAGGGTTCTCATGTCGGGAGGGTCCAGGGCCGTGTCATGGTCTTGAGGAGGGAATCTGTCGGAAAGGTTAGTAGCAACCTGCGTGGCAGGCTCGGGCGTAGAGGAGACAAGAGTTATTGGTTGAGATGGATAGTTATTTGCAGCCTATGGGTACCGGCCTCTCCTCAGCCACAGGATATGGAGGTCGAGCCGCGTTAACCTACGCGGCGGAGTTGGGCCAAATCGACTCGGAGACCACCTTTAACCCGTGAGGGGGAGTCCAGTGGTTCGTCGTCGCCTTTCGGTCACGCATGACCACGGCGGGCCCTACCTGAATAGGTACTCCGTTTATTACAGTATTATTTCGTCCGAGGCTTTCCTGTCCGCCGAAGCGTCAGTAAATGTGGGCCTCCATTGACGTTACCTTTACTCAACCGCCGGGCTTGTCGGGCACCGGTTGCTCTTCCTCACAAGGGCATGGTCAAGGGGGCGCAAAGTTTATACGAATGAGTGACTACAGTTAGATGTAAGGAGCGTGGTTATGGATAGTGCGTGGAGCGAGTATCAGTCATAGGGTAGTTGAAAATATAGTGAGTGTGTTAGAGGCGGCGGTTACGACCCTTCCCACCTCTGCCCTTGCCATTTCCCGTCCTGGCATTCCCCGTCTTGGTTGCCGTCGATGCCGGCGCGGGAGCGCTCGGTCCCGCTGATATGAACATGCCGGTCGCGGCTGCAGAGTCCTGGGCGCGTTGGGGGCCAAGCCATCCGGGTGCGAGGGGGAATGGGCACAGCCCGGTCGGATGGTCGAAGCTTCGGCAGAAGGTGCAGATGAACTGGCGGGTCCCTGTTCGGAAGGACCCGCGCCCGAAGAAGGTCGAGGTGAAGACGGTGGTCCGGATGATGGAGGTCCAGCCCTGGAAGTCCAGGACCGAGAGATCAGGGAGGTCATGGCAGATTACGTTGAAGACGACCAGGGGTTTGCCACCTTCGCCGAAGATGCGCACGGCGGTGATCGTGATCGAGTCGACGACGCGGGTGTAAGCCTGTGGGTCGGGAAGGTGCATGTGCTCTTCGAGATAGACGGCGGCCTCTTGATTGGCCCGGAGAAAGAATTTGATCTCGGCCAGGGCCGAGGAGACTTCGTCCGGGTCCGCGCCAAGCGCGAAACCCTCCACCGTGCCAAGGTATCCGGGGCGTCTCGGGGTCCAGGGAACGAAGAAGAGAGTGATCTCCTTGGTGCACAGAACGCGCTGGCAGAGGAGGACTTGAATCATCCATTTGCGCGGGAGGTTCAGCATATAGCAATGCGGGAAGGGGTGGCGACCGTTGGAAGGAGTGTTGGTGGCCGGGGTCGGGACGCCGATCATGACTTCCTTCCCAACCATTCCGAGTCGGCCCGCGACTGCTTGACGCGAGAGGGCGACTGTTCGTGTCGCGTTCTCCTCGTACCGGGGGTTGGACGTATAGAACCACACTTTGTTGCCATGGAGTCCATCCCATACCTTGACCTGGTCGACGTCTTGACCGTGCGATGGAAGGTAGCCAAGGTACGTGATCGCCCAGCCCTCGGGGGGCTCCGAGGTATAGATCGTGCCCCCAGGGGCCATGTGGGTCAGGGGGGGCTCGACTTCGTCGCCCTCGAGAATGTGGTAGTCCTCAGGGCCAGGGGAGGTCGCGTCGGAGATGTTCATCATGGGGGAGTCGACAAGGATTCCGGCGGCGGTGAAGGGGCGCTTCGACATAGAGTGGTCAGGGAGGGGTTCCTCCTTCACCTGGACCGCGAGCGGGTGACCGGTAGCCGCGTTGGCAGCAGATGATAACAGGTGAGTAGGCCTCGCAGGAGACACGACCGAGGTACCAAGGTAGACGATCGCAGGGGTGGCGTGAACGTCTGGGTGGGTGGTGTGGGCCAGGGCGAGTTCAGGGGAAGAAGGAGGCGCAGCCGGAGTGGGCAAGTCGAGGTTGGTGGGATCGCCTTCTCCGAGGGCTAGGAGGGGTGCGAAGCGGTTGGCCGAGTCGGCGACGTTGTCGGTGATGGACAGTACCACGCCGTTGACGATGGCTTCCGGCGCCGGTTGCGCTCTCCTAGCCCCTCTCAGTGGGCGGATGGTAGCGGTGGTCCTTGCGACTCCGCTGGCAGGCTGTACGGGAAGGGTGTTAGGGACAATCATGGGACATAAGGAGGGGGTGCTAACCGCGACGTTCTCGCCCTCAAGCGTAGACGACCGCGCCTTCTTGGCAGCGATGAGGTCGTCGTCGATTGGTGAGGTGGGCACGGCGTCTGCTGCCAGCGTCGATCCAGTGGACGAGGTCTGCGAGGCCTTTCATTTCTTGGGGAGGGACGCGGGAGCCATGAAGGAAAGAGGGTGTATGGTCTGATGGTTGACGATAGATTTCAAAGGGAGTGGGGGGAAGTCTTCTAGACTGCTGGAGTGGGACATGTTGGATACCGACTAGGAGGGCGTGTCTTTATACTTGAAGAGGTTCGGTGGCGTCTAGTGCACGTTCCGCTAGAATCATCGTACCAGACGGTCCGCGGCAAGGGTCGTTGTGTGAGACTGTGTGGCGTAGGCAGAGACGTCCCCGTAGGTTGGATAGTGGTGTCGTGACCATGATCGTGCTGTGAGGATGTTCATAGGTGATGACGGAGGGGGGTGAGTTCCAGGAGATGGTGAGATGATGGGCTTCGTTCCTGGACTAGTGGTATCTCCGTAGGGGGAGGACCGGGTGTAGGTTATACGGAGGGCAGGTGGCCGTCTGGGGAGTGGCGAGAGTAGTGTACGAGGTGAGCGGGCGTGGGCCGGCGTCAGCCAGAGCTGTATTGAGGGCGTCGCCAGGTCGTCGGTCTGGCCGTCGCGCTCTATGAGGGTGAGGTACTCGTGCCCGGACGAGCAGGGGAGAGTAGTGCCCACCAGGTAGGAGGGTCTGTGCGGGTTGTGTCCAAGGTGTATGCGGATGTCAGGGGGGCGTTGGGCCGGCGCGTAGTATCTGCAGTGGCCCTGTGGCTGTCCAAATGTTGGGGCTGATACAGAGGGTGGCGGTATGGGAGTTAGTCCCGAGAGCACGGTGGGGGGTGCAGGAGGATGGGTGGGTCAGAGGAAGTTACGAGAAGGTGGGCGGGAGCGCGGAGTGGCGGCGGAGTCGCTCCTGGGTTTGGTGCACGGCCTCCCACGTATGTGGAGGTCGTGTGTAGTGCGTATATTGAGATACGTATTGGGACTCACCGTCGCGCTAGTGCAAAGTAGGCATGGGCGTTCGGGGCTCATGGTCGTTCCTTGTGTCGTAAGGTCGTTGCTTCGGGGTTTCAAATAGAGAGCCGGGTTCGGCATTGTCCGGCGGTGATGGATCGCTCAGGTGCGGCAATGCGGCGGGACCATCTGGGTTTATTGAGAGGCTACGGTACATACATCAGCAGCGTGTGGTAAGGAGGCAGCAAGAGTAGGTTCGCAGGACCCGTATTGGTCCAGTGTGCCGTTAGGTAATGAAGAGGGTTTATAGTAAGGGAGGGGGCCCAGCCCGGTGTTTAGTTAGTGTTAGATTGGTCCATTTACTAAGGGAGGTGTGGCGGAGGCGCGGGCGCAGGTGTACGTAAGAAACGAGCGTTAATAGATGGGTAGTAGTAGTGTCCAGCACCGCGTATGTAGGGTGATGTTATCTATGGGCTGGTATGGGACGGTAGTGAGAGGTGGGCGGAGAATGAGTGGGGGGTGGCTTACTGTCACTTCAGGCGGACAGCGCTGTGGGTGTTCCATGGATAGACCCTTCCCAGAGAAAGGTCGGCGATCCGTAGTCGACTTCCTGACTATAGTCGATGTTGGGCCATACGATCTTGCTGACAAGGAGGGAGAAGCGTAGTGCGCGTGTCCATTTGATGTCCGAGGTCGTCGGCGTATAAAAGAAGTTTTTGACCGCAAGGACCACCGGGCCGGGGGTAACCGGCTCCGCGAGGAATGGGATGGGGTTAGGGGCAAAGGTCTCTGCCCGTTCCACCAGAAAGTATGACCAGTATTGGTCTGCGTTCACCACGGTGGTGGCATAGCCACTGAAGAGGGGGCGTGCAATCCTCCTGTTGCTTGCGTAGGGGTCGATTGTCTCGTAGAATGCGGTGAGATGCCTGCCAACCTCAAATGTGGTGCCGTCGATGGTGCTGTAGTCTCTGAGGTAGAAGAGGGGGAGGGTGCGTAGTCCAACTCTTGTCGTCGTCGGCGTGTCTACTTTGCGGACATTGACAATAACGCCCATGGCTAGGTACTGGGGGCGCAAGTGGTTCGGCGGAGCGCAGTGCATGTTGGAGGGTGGTATTGGGGGTCAACTCTGAAGGTGAGCGGTCAAGGAGGGACATGAGTGACGTTAAATACGACATAGCAGAGCGGAAATCGGAGAGTAGCGAAGGTTAGGCGGACCAGAACATAACGTAACGTATGTCGGCCCAATTTCTATGTTGGGCAGTGTCGTCACCACCGGATTGGTTTCTGTCGGGTCTCCAGAGGGGGTGGCGACAAAGCCCCAGCGATAGGCTGGGAGGCTGGCTGGTGGGCCAGTATGGTTTACAAGAGACGGGGAGGTCGGGGAAGTTGTCTCCCACAGTAATTAGCGGGGGATGTGAAAAACTGAGCTTCTGATCAATGATCAGTGGGGACGGGGATGGGACTCCGCGTGTGAGTTGGCGGGATATGTCTGAGGCAGCAGGTCGGCCGAGTATCATCGGGGGAGTGTTATACTTCGCTACCCGAGGGTGTTTTCCAACGGGGCCACGGTCTTGTAGTAGCTGACCACCGCACTGTCTGCGTTGTGGTATTCGCAGGGATAGAGAGGGTAGTGGTTGCATGTGTCTATGTCGGCGGTCGCGCAGCAGGCAAGGGCGGATTTGGACTTGGTCCTAGTGTGGTTGTGAGTATCGCCGGCTGGGGAGGGGGTTGGATTGCTGTAATGTTTAGGGCATCACCGTCGGCAGAGGCGACGGCTGCAGCGTATTGCCTGAGGGCGATGTGGGAGGTGCGCATAGGGTTGCGATACTCAGCTCACGGGCGGTCACCACCGTTCGCGATGGCAATTTAAACGGTGGGTTGGGCTCAGGTCATTACCAATTACATTCGTGCGTACGTGTATTCATCCTGTATGTCGCTTGGGGGACTCGGGTTCAGCTCAGAGCCTAGTTGCGATGAACGACACAGTACGCACTCTCGTGCGTACGTGGCGGGTGCTCTTTTTGAAAAGAGACGCCCACCCTGTACATGGTGGTACAGGTCCAAGACCCCCCCCTATTCTTAGTGTTTAGTGTGTCTGATAGACGTGTGTTGATAGCGTGGGCGTGTCATAATAACATAGCCCGGAGATCTCGGAGCGCCCGTTAATATGTCAGGGGTGTGTTTATATGTATTTGTGATGTAGGCCGCAGTGTTTGTGGGGTGGTCGCGTTTGGATTTACTTGACCGATTGCTTCATTCATTGAAGCACTCCAAAGTAAGCCTTCCGTCTCTCTGTCCCTCCGACCCACTCGTCCAATGTCCCATCCGTAGCCTGAACGCTCACACTCACACCAGGTGCTCGAGAATAACTGTAGGTCGTTGCTCACCTGACGCGGTCTTAGCTGTCTCAGTTGCAACGCACGTCGCAAGCGCTGAAACGTCGGGAGGTCCACCCACCGACGCACCGATCCGACGACTCCGTGATACGTGACATCCGAGCGGGCCTTGTTGCATAAAGCAAACTCGCCTGTGCAATCTTGCCTTGAACACTTCTACCTGACGCCCACGACGACGCACGGGCCTGACGTGAGCTCGCCCCATCGTTTGTTTTCTCCTTGTCCGGTGACCGACTCCGCCGCCCCTCCCTTGTCCCACGCCCCCCGTCACACCGACAGCCTTCCGTCTCCGCCTCGTATTCCATATCTCTAGCCGACGTTCAAGAACTCACAAATGGCCCAATCGTCTCCTTTCCCTATGCCCGTGTTCGCCGGCGACACTAACACGCCCGTCCCCATGCCCGTCTTTGCCGGCGACACCACCGTTCCCGCGCCCGCGCACCCCGCACCCGCGCTCGCGCCCACGCCCGCACCCTCCACACCCGCGCCTGTCTCATCTACCCCCACCTCCTCCCACGAACCCTCCTCCACCCCCGCCCCCGCCCCCGCCGCAGGGCACGGCCCGACCGCGCCATTCGACGCGCGCGCGCTTGAGCCCGCGATCTACGCCATCCTGAGCGCGCCCTCGGTCGACCTGAGCACGATCAGCGCGAAGCGTGTGCGCAAGACGCTGAGGGAGAAGGACGCGGCGCTGGACGAGCCTGTGCGTGCGCACCGCGAGGCGGTGGATGCGGTTATTGCGGAGGTGTATGGGCGGGTTAGTGCTGCTGCTGCTGCTACCGCTGCGAATGCGGCGGTGGCGGCGGGTGGTGTGGTTGAGAAGAAGGAAGAGGAGGGGAGCGAGGTTGGGGGGAAGAGGAAGAGGGGGGAGGGGGTGGAGGGGGAGGGGGAGTTTGCTGAGGAGGATGGGGGTGAGGGCGAGGATGGGGAGGATGGGGAAGAGGACGCTGAAGAGGAGGAGGAGGAAAAGCCACCGAAGAAGAAATCGCACAAGGCGACACCCAAGTCGAAGCTCGAGGAGGCAGATGCGGCGCTCGCGCGCCAGCTGTCGTCGCAGCTCAATGCGCGCTCGACGCGGCACTCGTCCTCGCGCGCGGGCTCGGCGAACGGCGGGGCGAAGAAGGGCGGAGGGGCGGCAGCGAAGAAGGGCGGGAGGGCGAAGAAGAGCGCGGCGACGGTGGATGATTCGGATGGGGATGGGGATGAAGGAGGAGCAGGGGCAGGGAGGAAGAAGAAGCGGAAGGGGGCAAAAGGGGGCGGGGCGAAGGGGGGTTTCGCGAAGGAGTATATGCTTAGGTGGGTCTTTGTTGTTTTAATTCGCTGAACATGTCCCTGCTCTTCTATGCGGATCGATATCCCCTCTGCACCGTGTTTCCCCCTCTTTCCGCATTCTTGCTTCCTATCGTACGCCCGCTTGCTGACCACCTCGACCCCCGCTGCCCGTGCCTTTCGCAGCGAACCGCTCTCGATCCTCGTCGCCGCGCCCAAGATGTCACGCCCGCAGGTGGTGAGCAAGCTATGGGAGTACATCAAGGCGCACGAGCTGCAGAACGCGTCGAACCGGCGCGAGATCCTGTGCGACGCGACGATGCGCGCCGTGTTCGCGTGCGACAAGATCGACATGTTCACGATGAACAAGAAGCTGGGGCAGTGCGTTTCCCCCTTTCCTCCCATTCAGGGACTCTTGCTGACATCGCCGACTGTTGTTTGCGATTTGCGAGCAGGCACCTGCACGAGGACCAGTGACGATGTTGGGTGTCAGCGTTTTAATACCGTGGTAAGATGAGATACTGGACGGGACATACACGTTGAAGGTAGTTTCTGAATATATGCGATTTTTCCCTGCACACGAGTCGTTGTTTTATCTTAATATTCGCAGATTATTCTAGCTTTTACGCTGAACTCCGCGGGTGTCTAAAGAGTGATCGTGGCTTTGTTGTTGTCTTAGTTAGCTACGATGAATTTGCCTTTCCTAGTGCCTTTGATTTCTCTTTTCCCCCCTTCTGCTCGTTTGTGTGTTCAGTGCGTGCCAAGGAGGTGTAGAATAGCTCGAAAGATAGGCTCGGGCTGTGGACATAATGAGATAGGGGCTTTCGGCACGGCACGTGGCCCCGGTCACAGCGTTTCGGGCGACGTGTCCATCCGGCGCGTTGACGTCTTTACGTTCCACTTTCTTGTGCTGTAGCCGCCCGCGCATATTCTTCCTTCCTTCTCTTGACGCATTCAAACGCTATTCGACAACATCTCAGGGAACGACTGCGGCTGTATGCGCTGTGATTGAGGGCTGTTTACTTTTACTCTAACCAAGTGGAACAAGAAAGTCTCATCTGCCGGGAAGACTAATTGACAATGGCACGAACGAATCGCGGGCGGGGGCGATGTGCGCGCAAGGCGACGTTTCTGGCGTTTGGGTTTGCGGTACTTGCTGCTTCTGCGTCTGCGGCTTCTGCGTCGCATGATTCGGGTGCAGGGGCGAGTGTGGATACGAGTGTGAGTGTTCCTTCGCTGTGTGCTTCACTATCGAGGGAACTCACGGGAGAAATGCGTGGGTTTGATAGTTGAGCCCGAGCGAGGTGAAGACAGAGACGGGAACGGGGACGGGCACGGAGACGGCTTATTCGTTCTCGAGCGCCAAGGGTCGCGCTGTGGTCAATGTGAGCTGTCTCTGCTTGTATGTTATATGTTGTGGGACATGCTTATAAACGTCGTTGACTTTCTATAGACGCAAAATTCAGAAGATGCGCAAGCCGCTGAAGGTACCGTCTTCCCCTTCCCTCCTCTTCACTTTCACACTTACTCGCGTCTCACGCATCTGCTCTTGAACAACACCCAGCCGCCCGCGCATACCGCACCGCCCTTCTCACGCTCGCGAACCTGACCGCGCACCCACCGCCGTACACCGCCGACCCGTCGTACGGCTCTGCACCGGACCAGCACGCGCCCTCGCTCCTCTCCCTCGTCGGCGACACGCTCGTCGGCACCGGCGCGGGTGGGGCGCACGGGTACGACGAGGGCCAGGGCCCGTTCGGGAGCGCGATTAGGATCGCGAAGAAGCTGGGCACGCAGGTGAAGAACGTGTACAGTGCGCCCGGCAGGGCTGTTTCGAGTTTGTTAGGTGGCGGGGGCGCCGGTGGAAGTGGGGGTGGGAGCGGGGAGGGGGGGAGGTTGTGGGGGCGCGGCGCGGCGGGGAGGGACGAGGATGCGCAGAGGAAGGCGGTGAAGGTGTTGGATCTGCTGCAGCATGCGGCTGAGCTTGGGAGTGTGGATGCGGTGTATGTGCTTGGGATGGTGTCGCTCGTGAGTGTCTTTGTGGTGTCTCTCTTTCGTTTCTCTTTCGTTTCTCCGCTTTCGCTCGTTCTTTCTTCGTGATGGTGTACATTGTCGGTGCTAACACGCACGCGCACAGTTCCCGCCCAACTTCCACTTCCCCTCCGACCCCGTGCTTGCTTTCTCCTCCTTCGCCACGCACGCAGCAGCGACCGGCAACGGCACGTCGCACGCCTACCTCGGCTTCCTACATGCCACCGGCTACGGCGGTGCCTCCTCTTCCGCGGGCTCTTCGTCCTCAGCTGGGAGCCCAAGTATCGACCAGGCACGCGCACTGCTGCACTACACGTTTGGCGCGCACGCGGGCGACGCAGGCGCCCAGGCCGCGCTTGGGTACCGGTATACGGCCGGGATAGGCGCGCAGAGCGACTGTAAGCGGAGTTTGGAGTGGTGGGAAGGGGCTGCTGAGCATGGTGCGTGCTGTGTTGCTTGCTGCTGTGTGCGTATATATAAAAGGCTCATGTTTGGATCGTGCTGTGGTGTTCGCCCTTTTCTGCGTCTGCAGCTTATGCGGCGTTCTTGGATGGTCCACCTGGCGGGCGGACGCTTCCGCTGACTGCGACCCGGTTGTCGGATTTGGATGGGGGCGTGTATGGGCCGGGCGCGAGTGTTGCGAGTGCGGGTATGAATGTGCTGAGGCCGGCGGTGAAGGCTGGGTTGGCGCAGGCGGCGGGGGAGACGTGGGAGGACGTTATGGAATATTACATCGTGCGCTCTCTTTCCTCTCCTCCCATTCCACATCCACTAACCACCCATACCGGACAGTTCAACGCCGACCGCGGCGAGCTCGACTTCGCGTACAAGCTCGGGCGCATATATTACCAAGGCTCGATCTACTACACGCCCGGCGGCATCGCGTCGGGCGCCGAGGGCGTCGGGCGCATCCCGCAGGACTATAACAAGGCACTGCACTACTTCTTCCTCGTCGCGCGCACGGTCTGGCCGCGCGACCCGCTCGCGAATCCGCTGAGCGCGCATATGGCGCCGAGCGCGGGGTTCAAGGTCGAGGGCGTGACGCAGCCCGGGTGGGCGCACCGCGCTGCGGCGTACCTGGGCAGGATGTATCTGAGGGGCGAGGGGGTGAGGCAGAGTAATGAGATGGCGATGATGTGGTTTGAGAGGGGGGTGGAGTATGATGATCGGGAGTGTGCGAATATGCTGGGGGTGATGTGGAGGGACGGGCTGGTGCCGGGGAGGAAGGATCCGGTGAAGGCGCAAGGGTATTTTGCGAAGGCGGCGGGGCAGGAGTTGGCGGAGGCGCAGGTGAATGTGGCGAAGCTGTATTATCGTGAGTTTTTCATCGTCGCTCGCTCATCCCGCCACAGCGAGAATGAGTGGTGGCATTTTTGTTGGACACTCGACGGGATGCTGATTATGTCTCCCTTTTTTTACCTTGCAGAGCGCGGTGAGTACAAGCTCGCCGCGACCGCGTTCGACACTGCGGTCCGCTACGGTTCTCCATTCGAGGCGCCATTTTACCTCGGCAAGCTCTTCGCGCACTCGTTCTATGAGTACGACGCGGCGGGGCACATCGACGTTGCGCGTGAGACGTGCGAGAGTGCGCGGGCATTCTTCAAGAATGTCGCCGAGCGCGGTACGTTTGCGGACGCGGACGCGCTCAACCCCGGCGAAGTGTATGGCATCGGTCCCAGCGGTGATATTCTGGGCGAGGCCGAGGAGCTGTGGGCGAGCGGGACGGAAAGAGGGAGGGAGCAGGCGATGCTGAGGTGGTGGCTCGCGGCGGAGAGGGGGAGCGAGATTGCGCAGAATAATCTGGCGTATGTGCTTGATCAGGGTGCGTATCGGGTGTCGTGTCGTCTGCTTTTCTGGTGCTCATTACGTTTGCTGGACAGATAAATCGCTGCTCCGCAACGCTCGTCCAGCCACGTCTCCCACCCTTGGTGGCTCGCCGAACGAGAGCGCACGGGTTGCGCTTACGCAGTGGACACGCAGCGCCGGCCAGCGAAATATCGACGCGCTCGTCAAGGTCGGAGACTACTATTACCACGGTCTCGGGCTGCAGGGCGAGGAGCCGGAGAAGGTTCGCTTCGAGAAGGCCGCGCTGTATTATCACGACGCGGCGGATAAAGCGAGCGCGCTGGCGATGTGGAATCTGGGCTGGATGTACGAAAATGGTGTTGGGGTGCCTCAAGTAAGTTGCACGGTGCTGCGTTACGACCGGACAATGTTGACGGCGGGTCGATAGGACTTCCATCTTGCGAAACGGCATTATGACCAAGCGCTTGCGACGAACAGCGAGGCGTATCTCCCTGTGATGCTTTCGAATGCCAAGCTCTATGCTCGTAGCCTGTGGCTGACCATTCGTGGTGGTGGCGAGAGCACGAATCTCTTCCTTGGAGAAGAAAAACTCAGTACGCGTCCCTTGATCTCGCCATAGCTCTATATCAGTGACTGACATTATTACAGTCGAAGCGGCACACGACGAGCACGAAAAGGCCGAGGCAGACAAACGCGCCCAGCGCGAGCAGCAGCAACGCCAAGCTCAAGAGCTCCTCGAGGATGAAGACACCGGCAGCGGGTGGTATATGGGTAAAGCGCGCGACGACTTCCACAAGCGCCGGCGCCAGGGTGTCGGGATGCCGCAAGAAGATCAAGATCCCATCGAGGTGCGTTTACTCTTTGCATTCGGGTTTTTCTCGGAATAACTCAACTAATCACGCAAACGCAACAATGTACACAGTACGCGCGCGAACACCGTCAAGCGCTCGCAGACGAACTCGACTACGGGCCCGAGGACTACTTCGACGGCGCGCTGCGCGGGGGGTACCGCGACGAGCATGGGAACGCGCAGGAGTTCGGCGTGGACGACGAGCTCGGGGAGACGATCCTGCTCGTGCTGCTGTGCGTGAGCGTGAGCGTGCTGATCTGGATACGCGCACGGCTCGTCGAGCGGGCGCGGCAGCAGCAGCAGCTGCTGCAGGCGCACGCTGCACAGGCGCATGGGCATGCAAATGAGACGGAGGAGCAGAGGAGGGAGCGGGAGCGGAGGCAGTTTGGGGTGTTTCCGCCTGAGGGGGATCCGGCGCGGGGAGAGTGGAATATTCTGCGATAGTGGGTAGTGTATAGAACGAAGTTGATTGGGATTCTGTTATTATCTGGTTTTATTTCTTATTCGCCCTTGACTCCCGCTGAGTAGACTCCCGCCACGGAAAAACGCGGTAGAGCAATATCAGATGTCTGATAAGGTGGCTCTGGGACAATCATTCTTAACTGTGATAGAAGCAACAAAGGTGGCCGAACAACGTTGGGCGAGGCTTCTTAATCTTAGGGACTCACGAAGACCCTAGGTGAACGCCTGGACCTACAGCTTTACTAGTCTTTACCCTGAATTCGACAAGAAAGGCTAGCATGCTGTGGCGATCAGCCCTGCGCGGCCGCATCCTATATTGCAGCTAGTTTACACGGAACCTTTGCAGACCATGTCCGCTTCAAAGGGTTTCCAAGGTCTTGCCTGACCCTTGATCATACTCACAACGGCTGTTTCATTCTTAGCTGTACAATGCCTGTCCACAATAGTTTTTAATACGTCCTCATCCGTATCAAAGAACATTCCATTCTCACAGCAAGGTCCCGACCTTTTGGTCGAGAGCCTGAAGATGTTGTATCTTTTGCTCTTTATTTATTGTATTTGTATTGTGTTTTGCTAAAAGCAGGATTTTGTCAATAGGCCTGATGCGATGGCAAGTTAGTTTCCTCCCGAAAGATCTCTTTGAGTAATGCAAGCTTGGCTTTGACTCAATGACACAGAACAAATGGTCTTCGCGTTTGTCAAGCACCACATTCCGTCGCTTTCCTCCCTTTGTAGACTATCAAGCCTCATACTTTACTCTGGTCTATGAAACAGGAGGCGGATGTTCATGCAAACCGAGAGCATTATATTTGTACAGCTTGAGTAGCAGAGTCTTCTCAGGCGTGTAATCGCTTTCCATTGTCATAGGGAACGTCTTACCTTGAAACCTTATTGGCGGTGCAGCTCACTAGATCACCTATTCATTGACAATTATTTGAATCAAGATTCACTCGCCTTTCTTCGTGAACTCATTGTAATTATGATGCTCCCGGGTTTCTTTAAATCCGTCCGAGTACTGCAGAGAGACATCAGCAGATACATAACACTTAAATGCTATACTTAGCCACGTGAATTTGCTGTAATCACCAGAACAAAGGTCTGTTCCATGATACATCCTTGTTACGTGCTGTGCTTGTAAGCGTCTTATCCTTCATTTCATGATAACGCTTGATCCGACGGCAATAAATTTCATGAGGACATGCACCCAAAACTTATGAATGTGATTACCATTATCAGTGACCTTGGACTAGCAGACACAGTCGAGGCCTCTAAACCCTAGTAAGGCACTCGATCCGGCCTATCTCAGTCGCACAGCGAGCTCAGCATGTGCCACATCAACTCACCCCTCGGATATCCAAGGATCAATAACCAGTTTTATGACCTGACTTGACAAGTCCCTCAAGAAATACTCTGATCAACAACTCGAACCTTGAAGATTACGCTTAGGGTATGCATTCCAGGAAGTCGCTTGAACCTAATCTGTTCATGCAGTGTATCAGAGTCATTGGCGGATTTATGAATTGCATGGGACACTCTTCGGGCTTGGGTATATAACAGGGTTCAAAACCGATGGAGCTCCCCAACCCTTCAACTTATCCCATCGGCCTGCCTGCAAATACGGTCTGCCATGTCTTTAACTAGCCAACAGGGCGGTCTTGCTCGCTTCTTTTCCGTTTGCCTTTATCTGATGCCCATCATCGTACATCAGGTTAAAAGGTACATTTGTACCGTTGAAGACTGCGGAGCATCTTTCAAGCAATCAAGGGATGCTAGAAGCCACATTGAAGGCGCACAGTGCGTACCTTCGCTGCTTGACGGTCGTTCTTAAACGATCGACGTCAACTTGAACTCGTAGCTTGGGTTGGAGGCGCTTTCAGTGCAACCTTTGCCCCTATTGCTCGTGTGACGAGTCAGCCATGCGACGACACTGCAAGCGTATTCATCAGAGAGCGCCTGATGAAATCCAAGGAAGGCCTTGGACCGTAGCCAATGTTGCTGGTGATTGCACTGTCAATTTTTTTTTCAAAGCCGTGCTCAAGCTCACAATAAGAAACAGAAGTATGGAGGTGGTGGTGCTTTGACAGAAACAACATGTTCAGCTCCACGTTGTAAGATGAAATGCCTTTGTGGCAGAATGCATAACGGTCGGACTACGTCTTGAAGAAGGAATCCCATGCAATTTTCTCCCGCTCCGGCGGGACTAGATGTGCATTGCAGGCTTGCTTCGGCATCGCGTACCGCAATATCATCATGTCTGTTAGCGCTACAAATAAGAAAAAAACGAGCTCGTTTTCTTGTTTTTGGTTTGATATGTTTACACGCGCCTCGGTTTTTCGTAAATGGCTTCTGCCAAGTGAAACCGGACCGAAAGTGAAGTTGCCCGGATATATCCGTAAGCCCCTAGAGGCCACATAGGCGCTCGGGAGGGAGCGGCCGACCGCGGACGAACCTAATCTTGTACCATTTGCGCGGACAGCGCCGTCCACACCAGAGTCCCTGTACATCATGATGCATGAGTTGCTGTAGCCTGTGAGGGAGCCTATCATAAGCCTTTAAGCTGCTTATGAAGGTTTCAGTACGCTCGCGACTCCCACGGGTTGTTCAGCACGTTGACTACACAAGTGCTGTCCGCAAAGTCCACATACTATCAATCAAGACCACGTGTATTCGCGATGCGGACAGTGCCCTAGCCGGAAAAACTCTGGGCGGACGAGCGCGGATGAAGCCGTCGTTGGACACATATCGTAGGTGCGATGGCGGACGGGTGCGGACATGTCCTCTTCTTAATGTGACATGGACGTAGGACTCTCTGTATATATACAGGCATGTATGTATCCACGGAAAGAGCACCAGCAGCCAGTGTGCAGTTCAAGATATTATAGCTTATTCAGACATGCCTCCTCAACGCCAAGTGGTTCGTTCAATACTTCTCACTGGATTATCTATAATCTGAGCTGACTTCGTCCAGGGCGCGAAATTTCAATGTGTACATCCAAAATGTGAGGAACAATCAGAGCCGACACTCTTCGCCAGAAGTAGAGATGCGAAAGTGCATATTGAAGGAGTACAGTAAGCGTACCTTGGCAATAAATTTATCACCCTCTGATGTACCATTCGTCAGTCTTAAGTACCAACGATATCAGTGTCTTAAATGTACGTACAGAAGTGCAGATCCGTCGGCAATCAGCAGACACTGCCAGAACATACATAAATATCGGACTAAGAGTGAGCAGAGAGCTATGTGGGAAGAAGATATACCAAGTAAGTGGAGCGTGTTCTTCTCATTCGTTGCTAATTAATGATTATCCGGGACCTTGCAGACGAATTAAAAGAAGAGTGGAGGATGTATCTTACGACCATCGCGCAGCAGCGCAGTCCGACCGAGGATAACCCTCTTCAGGCCCATTCGTTCACGGATGGCGAGTGTTACGCATACCAAGAAGATCCGAACCGAAATCGGTACCTTCATGCTTATAACAGCAATCAGCAGGTCTTTCAGTGGGCGAACCGAGAATATCAACTCTGGGTTGACAACGCGTACCGCGCCCAGATCGGTGCTTCTGCGGATCGCGGGTGTCGAAGCTTTTTGCAGCATTGATTGTATGTTTATTGTGATTCTGTCCTTGAGAACGCACGTATGCGATGTGAATGATTACATGTAGATTCTGTATGATCGTCTATGCACCAATCAGTATAACATGTATATAGAGAGAGAAATTCAAGATCGTGATCCCTTCGGAAATCTCCTCGCATTCTCGGTCCGACAACACATATCACCTCAAACCTCTTCCGGGTAAGACCGTACTCGCATCATTCCGAAGTCACGTCTATCACCCCCCACACCTAAAGACAATGAAAAATCAGAAACACTACCACTGGATCAAACCCGGACACCCGAGAGTAGAGATAAGCAAGTACAAAACTTCCCACATACCAGCAAGATCCCGGGCGCCCCACAACTGAGTGACGTCCAACTCCTGAGGCAACACAGCGTAGTATGCGGCGCGATCGCTATTTCCCGGGACGATGCCACGGTCTACGGCAAATCGCGCTTTCGTGGCGTCGTCGAGCTTATGTTCGAGCGCGTCTGCGACGATCGCGCCTATTGTCGGAAGGAACTAGTGGATTGTGAGAATCAGCATAAGCATGCAAGTTCCAAGTAAGGAGGAACATGGATCGGGGATCACAGAAAGGGCACAGACCTTGAACCCGTGGCCACTTCCTCCGGTAGCCAGCACAAGGCCAGCATCGTTCGGGTAGTAGCCGATGACCCAGTTTCCATCAGGTGAGTCAGTGTACCTAGCTCAGCCGCAGATCAACAACACGACCTTTGCATGGGTAACCCGCCGTCTCACCAGCACATGCGCGTGTTCAAAAACGGCTTCTTGGCCAGCTCGGGATACACCTCTGCGAGGTACATCCGGAGCTGCTTCGCGGCCGTTGCAGGTATGCGCAGCCCGTCTTCGTTGTGCGAGAGCACAGTGCGCGGGGTGGATATCGCGCGTTGGTCGTCAGCGTGCGAAGGCACGATCGAGTTCGTGTAGCCTGCACTGTGTATCGCGAATTTGACGACGCCTTGGCTGGTTGGCTGAAGCGCAGCCACGGACAGATGAGTTCGCCTTTTGGCATCTGGGGTGATAGGTGGTAAAGAGAGCTCACAGGAAACACATAGAAACCCGTTCTGAAGTCGAGTGTGACGGGGCAGTCCTTGTAATGTAAGAATTCCTCTGGTTCAAGTTGGACGGTGGCTACAGTTTGGCTGGTGCGATTGTCAGTGCTAGGGAGGGTGCATTTGAGACTGACAGTCGCTTACCCAGCAGCTAGGCACCGCTCGTCGAGCTTTAACTCGGGCACAGCGGACGAGGACCAGGCGCCCAGAGCAAGTACAACGACATCCGCACGGTAGGTTGTTCCATCTGAACAGATAACACCACTTGTCCTGCCTCCATCTTTGACCAGAGAGGTGACTGTCTTCCCGGGTGTCACATTCGCGCCGAGCGATTTAACTTTATCCAGAGCTATCTTGACGGCGCGTTCGGCTTCGGCCCAGCCACCTATTTTGTTGAAGAAGCCAGAGGCACTACTGAGCGTACCTAGCGAAGATGACTCCCGTAAGGCCGACGGATACCTCTCACAGACAGAGACAGAGTCGGGCAGAGGGCTGTTGATATCGATGTCGTTGAGATAAGACGTGTCTCGCTGATAGTCGGTGCATAGAGTAACGGCACCCGATCTTTGAAGGTCATTAAACGGCGCGTGTCAGCAATCCAAGTGAGAACACGCGTGAAGGAAGAACGTACTCATGATAGCACCCATCCCATTCACCGCTCTTCCACGCGCTAATCGCTTCTCGGGCCAACTTCGTGTAGAAGATATCGTTGTAGCATGACCTTACAACTAAGTGAAGAGCGCATACATGAGCTAAGTAGTCGTTTGGATGGACTGTGGATGCTTACTCTTATTGATATCTGTGCTAGCAGCATCCTGCGCTGGCAGGTGCTCCGCCCGGTCAAGTATAGTCACGTCTTTGTATCCACGGCGAAGTAGATGCAAAGCAGTAGACAGTCCATAACATCCTGCACCCACGATCAATACGCTCCGCGACGTAGGTTCACCAGACATGATGCTGTTGGAAAGATGATAAGATCGGCAGGATCGGGATCCGACGGGCGTTGAAACGGATACTTTAGTGGTCCTCGCGGCAGTAACACTATGAGCATGTACTGGGGCTTACCGAACGAAGTTGCAGCGATGACAATGATCGTTTCACACTCGCTGACAGTGTCCACTGGTTATCTCTGGAAAGTCTGCTCTCCATGGCTGTCATCTTCAAAGGGCTCGCCTTACGCGTGGTGGTCGTCGCGCAGGAGAATGCAGGAGTGGCAAGGCATCGGATAAATCGTTCCGAACCGAGGACGCTAGTATTTCAAACTCCGCCGTCATCAGCCACTTTGACAGCCGTCGGAACGTGGTTTGTTTTGCTTCTTCGCTTCAATCGCGCTTACCAGCAAAACGTGAAAACAGGCCTCCGTGATGTTCATTTCCCCCCACACTCATTCTTACGTCCTACCACCGTTGCAGTTGGGCTAGTCATGGTCTATATCGATGCTTCCCATCGTCACCCCTGGTATCCCCACAACACCACTCAAGGGATTTGCGGCGAGCGTTACGGCAACTCCATGGTAAATCCTGTTCTCTCTTCTAAGCATAATAAAAAACACAACACGCGTTCTCGTACAGCCCTTCGCGTCCACTTCCTTTGGTCTTCCCCACACATGCTTCGAAGACGTCATCCTCGTCCCGCTTGCTTCCTGGATATTCCTCATCATCTTCGCACTTTCGTTCCTTCGTCGAGGTGGATCTGGGCCGGCCAGGACACTTCATAGAATAAGATATCGAAGCGGAAAGCCGGGGTGGTCGGGACGATGGTCCAAGACAGCGACAGGTCTCTCAATCTTATACTCTTTCCTCGTAGCCGCCACGTTACTCATGAGTAAGTCATGTCGTCTCCTTGTCATCCTCCGCTCTCTGAGCCTGATTCAATAGATGTCCTTGAGGTTGTCCGCCTCCGCCTTGCAGCCCGCGGCGCAGGACTGCTGTACTTCTCGCTCATAGTGCTCCTCCTCGTCCTCGTGTACATGCATATCCCGCTCCCGTACAAGCAAAGACTACCTCTGCGGGTCGCCTTTTTCACATTCTTCACGCTCTCCCTTGTGTTTACAAGCGTGAAGCTCGCGACGCTCGAAAAGCTCGCCAACATTGAGCCACGCACGGGGACTGAATATCTTAACTCGGATCAGCGCATTGATGTAGAGACATACTTGGGTCTGGTATGTATTCTCCGCTTCGCCCTTGATATGACGGACGCTCATGTCTGCTCATCTGAACAGTACGCGGTCGAGTTCCTTGTGGAGAGTTACCGCCTACTACAGCTCATACGGAGATCACTTGAGCCTGAACAATCTGAGCAACAAGAAAAACGAGAAGGCCAAGCTGCAGATTGCGATGCAGAACGCGAAGGAGCATCCGGTGAAGATTAGGGCTGTCGGTTCGACATTCATGTTTACCCTATGATACCCGACATCTCAAAATGTTCAGTTGTTTCCCTTCCAATACCGCAAATTGACACGTTTGATACGTATTGTAAATGCTCAAGGTGTGGCCCTTGTCGAGGTGATAAAAATAGCCGAGCGTCTATGTAGGTGTCTCAGCTTCCTATGCGCTCGGCGATGGCCGTTTTGTCAACACGGTATGCTGTAACGTACGCTGTGCCTCTTGCCGACGCCCGACACGAACAGTCGCCATGTCAGACAGCTCTCGCAGTACGCTATTCGTTTCTCTTGCTTAATGATCGCAGCCTCCACTCACCTCCGCATCTGTTTACAGACCCACCTCTACCTTGGGGCAATCAAACAGTATGGCAGCAGCTAGCTCACGAGTGTGCTCAAGGCGCCATCTATGATTCAAACGAGCGGTATCCGCATTCCCGATGTCTTACAGGAACCAGAGTTGTGCTTCTCCAAACTATCAAGGAACTCGTCGACACCGAGGATCGCAAGATAGTGTGGATCTCGGGTGAATCTGGTTCGGGCAAGTCCACTGTAGCGCATACACTCGCGGATAAACTTCGGGAGGAGGGCAGGCTTGCGTGTACGTTCTTTTTCTCGAGAAAGCATACCAAGCGGAGCACCTTCGACCATGTCCTCCTCACCTTCGCATATCAGCTGGGTCTCCATCACCCTCGAGCCAAGGAGATCATTGTCAAAGCCATAACAGACGACCCTGCCTTGCTCTCCCCTGAGAAATCTCGCCACGATATCATGGAATCTCTCGTGGTCCCGCCTTTGAAACAGTTGGCACTTGCTTGGAAAGACAGACTTGGCATGTCCCTCATCCTGGATGCCCTCGAAGAAGGCGCGACCAACGGTAATCACCACATCGGTCCTTTCATCTCGTCACTCGCTCGTCTTCTCCGAAACAACTCCATTCCCATTCGTAACATCATCATCACCACCCGACCATGGCCTCAAATACGGTCGGTGATGCGTGGCGGCGACATATCTGACGTCGTCAGGCTTGTTAACTTTGATGACTACGACTCTTTCGAAGACGTCACCCGCTTTTTCCGACACGAGTTCGAGCAGATTTACGAGAACCACAGCCTTTCATTCTTCTTTCCCGAGCCGTGGCCTGCTGAAGATGCTCTGTTGATGCTGGCGGAGCGGGCCAACGGGCGCTTCATTTTTGCAGCGACTGTGATCAGGTTGATAGACCAGGACCAGCCTCAAGATCGTCTCCCGCTCGTGTGCGGCATGCTACGCGGCGATGTGTCACGTGTCTGGGGAGACATTGATCATCTTTACGCGTCTGCGATCAACGATATCGACGCCTCGGTTCGAACTGTTGGATTGCAATATCTCTCCCTCATCGTCAACCTCGCTGAGCCGCTGTCTTCGTCTAACTTGCGCTTCTTATTTGGAACCGACATCCATCCGTATTTGTTGCCCTTTTCAGCCTTCGTCTCTATCCCTCCCTCCAGTTCCTCCAACGTCGTTCAGATCTACCATACATCACTCCGAGACTTTTTACAGAAATGTGACCCGCAAAGTGGACATCAACAACTGGCCGACGCGGAGACTCATCAACGGTTGGTTACTTCTTGCTTTCGAATGATGGCGAGGGTGCTCAGACGTGATGTCTGCGGGCTCAAAGACCCGTCTCTGCTTCACGATGAGATTCCAGATTATACCCAGAAACGTGACGCTATTCCTCGCGCTCTCCTCTACACGTGCCGTCACTGGCTATATCATCTACAGCGCACGGGAGCACCTCCCGATAATGCTACTCAAGGACTTCTCCTCGACTTCCTAGAAAAACGAGTTGTCTTCGCGATAGAGGTTTATTCGATATTCGGCGAGTTAGCTGTGGGCGTTCGGCTGCTCAGGGCTGCGAGAAAGTTCGTTCGGGTAAGACAAGGATTATTCTTGGTCTTCATCATACACTAAGTACATGGAAAACTGCAGACCTGGCCCACGAGCGCTATCAAGGATACCGCATTGCCCCTGCTGTACGACTGCTGGCGGCTGACTCTAGACTTCTTCTATCCCATCAGCTTTTCTGCACTTCACGTATACGAATCGGCCTTACCCTGTAGTCCAGCGAGGTCAAAAATCCGCTCCGCTTACATGCACATTATCGACCGCCCAACCACGCTCGTGTTTGAACACGGGCTAGATGAAGAGTGGGACTGTGTCACGCGGATCATAGAGACGGAATTCTCTGATCTCCTCTTGTCGCCTGATGGGGCCCAACTTGTGACAAGAGCTCCCCTGGAGATACATGTGTGGGATACCGCTACTGGACAGCTCGTCACGTCACTTTCACAGAACATTCCTGTACCGTCGACGACACACAGCTTTGCTTATAACGGGTCTCATGTTGCCCTGTGCGGCGTACGCAGCTTTTACTTGTGGAACCTATCCACTGGTGGATGCGTTGAACTTTTCCCCGAGCCGTTACACTTGATCCACGGCAGAGTCCGCCATACATCCGGCTTTATGATAGGTGCTAGTGCAACAAGAGATGGGACCCCCGTGTACCATTCAGCACAACTGCTGGCCACAGGACCACTATGTTTCTCTTTTGACGGAAGCAGCATTGCATGTGTGGCTGCTAAACCACCTCAAGCTGAAAACGCGAATACAAAGCGGTGCTCTATCTATATCTACGACGTGAACACGGGAAAACTGAGATCCCAGATCCCCTTCGAATTCGAGGCGGTGCGGACATCGTTGGAGTTCGCTGCCGACAACAATCACCTGCTCGTTCACAATGTAGGATTCGTCGGAATCGTCGACGTTATGAATGGTCAGCTTCTAGGAAGCTTGGGGTGCTGCAATACCCAGAGCGGATGGAGGAGGACACTCTTTAGCCTCGACAACAGGCAGATCTTTCATCTAGCAGATCAGGGAAGAGCAGATATAGAGAAGTACTCCTTTGGCCAGACAACTCGTACAGTATCCTACCAGTTGGCGACTCAGAACTCTGCGACTCAACTTCACATCAGAGGTCCGCCGCCGACAGGATCACGATCTCTGATGCTTCAAAAAATCGAAGACACATCGCAGTCAGAACAATCCTTGTTGGGCGCAAACCCTCAGCCTATCGAATACGCAGGTACCGTTGTAGGGATAAAGTTGGGAGAACAAATAACCGCACTGTTCAGACACAATCGGACCCAATGGTCTCTCGATGAGTAGCGTTTTGGTGTTCTGCGGGGGGTTAACAAGATCTACATTGTCAACCTCGTTTACGCAGCGCATCAACAAGATCCAGGTTCTCGCTCAGTCTCTGCCAAACGTCCAGCCTCCGACCAATATCCAAACATAGATCTCCGATTCCGGGCCACAATGCCAGCGCTTGTGTCAGATCTGGGAGATTTGATGGCTTTGAAAACGGAGAGCAACACGTATGTTGTGATCCGCACCTCCGGCATGTATGAATCCTTCTGCTGTGAAGTTAACCTCGATGCATGCGGCATTGCTCTGCGTCACATCCTCCGATTTACGCCACAGTCAACGTATATTGCTATTGCAGATACTACTGCTGACGGCACTCGAATCCAGCTCTGGGATCCCTCTCGTAGGTCGGGCTACAGCATAGAAAGTGTGTTGTTACCATCCACCGCACCAGGTCTGCTAGATATGCGGTTCTGCAAAGAAGAAACGGCAGTGGCATTATCATTCCTGTCCGAAAGCCAATGGAAGATCGCAGTCTTCTCTCAGGAAGGGAGTAAGCTCGAGCATGTGACGCTATTCTCCCCCGGAGCTCTGACAGATGACCTAGCCGCACTCATTTCGATCACCTCCGTGACCCCCAATACTGTCCATTTGTGGCGCAGCAATGCAGACGGCACTCAGGTCAATCATCTTGAATGGAGGCGGGCAACGTCAACGGTGACTACAAGAGCAACTTTCCCGTACCCATGTGATACGGCAGGGAAACGTTTGTGGCTTGTCAAGGTCGCCCACTCCCCGAGCTTCAATCATGTACATTTTATGTCATTGGACGTCCACCATAGAGTGCTCACGACTACCTTCACCATGAAAACCCCTCTTCCAGACCATGAAAGGGATAACAACAGAGAAGACTCTTACAAGGTCAAATTACATGAGGACCAGGATTCCTTTTCGGACATGCTTTCATGGTCTGATTTGCGCATGGACACAGATGGTTGGCTTCGACAGAGGAGACGTAGGATATGCTGGCTTCCCGAACGGTACAGGCCAAAAGATCTTGAGAAGGCCGGGCTGAGGCTGGTAGTTGACGGTAGTAGAGTCACAATCCCGTGCACCAACGAGAGGAAGAGCGTTACTTTACGGTTTTGCAACACGGAAATCCATTATTTTGATTAGAGCTTATAGTTTGTAGTAGCACCAGCTGAACACAACGGGCAATGCGAAGCGGAATAACCACTGGGAAGCAGAATTCAATAAAGACTTGCCTCAATCTTGGCCGTAGCCAAACTGCTTTTTTTCTTCTATCCAGGTATAGTACTGTGCAGCGAATTCAAATTGAGAAGTTAATGTTTACCGATCCACATTAAGTACTTACGCTAAATTAACGTTATACATTCTCAAATACGTGATGGTTTATGAGTGATGTGCTTAAATTTTTATGTTCGTAACGACAGCTGCAGGTTTCTCGACGGTACACTAGCAGTTTCTTGATTCTCGATCGTCATGCTCGTTTGTTTAGCCTTGTTGAATCCTGAAGCCTTTGCCAAATAGCATCAAGCGATCCAAACACCGGCTCCTTCGGATCGAACTAGAGCCGCGCCAACAGCGACGGGAACAACAGCTCATTGGCTACGCGGTCACCTGCGGATAACCTGCTTCCTCACTCATTGCGACGGGCCGTGGGCACTGGGGGATCTTCAGGCCAGCTGAGTAACGCGACACCTTGCAGCACTATGTCCATGACGCGTTCATCCCCTCGATATCCACAAGCCGTCGACAGCGCTACCGAGGTAGTCTTCGGCCCGAATGTTTCGATTGTCAATATGTCATGGTTCATTCAACATGCTCAATGTTCGGAAGCGAAGAACAGCTAAGATCGACCCGTGGCGAACTTGAATATATTGAAGTCTCATCCTCTCGCTCAAACTCTCTTCACTTAAAGTACTTCCTCCTGCGACGATGGAATCTCCACCCCTCCATGCAAACGATCCATATGGAGAGGATTCACCGACAACGACATTGGGAGAGCAGGATATCATATATGTGAGCTTGAATACATGTTACACCACCATGTGATACTGAGCAGTTTTCACAGGTTGATTTCGACCAAGGCGACCCACGACACCCGACGTCATTCTCACTCACGAAGAAGTGGACGATTACGCTGACCGCATGCATCTTCACTATCCTAGCTTGTACGTCTCTCTGCACAATCGCCCTTGTGTACCCACCTTGACGTCAAACTGTGATACTACTAGGTGCGTCGTGTTCGTCCTTTGCCTTGGGCTACGCCTCCATGATCCGGGACCTGGGCTGCACGCAATTCGAGGCAACGCTCGGTCTCAGCCTCTACATCCTCGGCTTTGCCATCGTCCCGCTCTTCACGTCCGCGTTCAGCGAGGAATTTGGGAGGAGACCCTTGTACCTTGTATGCGCGCTCTTTTATACGCTCGCGCAAGTCATGACAGCTTTGTGAGTACAAATCCTTTTTCGGCATCATCTTCACCATTGAGACGTTCCAGGTCTACGAATACCGCGATGATGATAGTTTCGCGCCTGCTTGCTGGAACTTTCGGGTCGACGGGTGCTACGGTGGTGACCGGGACCATAGCTGATATCTGGGCGCCGAAGGAGTAAGTCTGTAAAACCCTCTTCGATTGTTCCAAGATCACAATCACGACACCTTCGTAGTCGTGGATTGCCCATGTCGCTATACTCTCTTTCAGCTGTCGCATCGTTTGGTCTTGGCCCCTTGGTCGCCGGCTGGATAGAAGCAAATCCTCACTTGGAGTGGCGATGGATCCAGTGGTTTCATGCTATGTATGTGCCTTCGTCATCTACCTTTGTCTTTACCATCCTTATAAGCGACCGCAGATTCAGCGGAGCCTACTTCCTTCTGGTCGTGGTATACATGCGTGAAACGCGCATTGCAATCATCACCGCTAGTATTGCTCGAAAGATGAGAAAAGAGACTGGAAGTGACCGATACCATTCACGCGCTGAGGATAGTGATACGGCGAAGGGCTTGAAAGCGATGCTCTGGGTGACTTTGACGAGGCCTATTTGTGAGCTTACCCTTTACCACTCAGACGGCCATCGACTGACGCCGCTCATTTAGTCTTGTTACTGACCGAGCCAACGGTACAGGTGCTTTCTGTAAGTGACCTCCTCGCGCCTGGTTAGGCACTGAGTTGAACGACGTTAGCTATGGATTGGCTTCACATGGGGCGTACTGTTCTGTCTCGTCGAGTGAGTCCAACGCCTTTTCGTGCTCATACCACGCTGACTCACTCCCCACAGATCCATATCCCCAGAATTACAGGCCGTGTACCATTTCGACATCGGAGAGACAGGAAGTGCCTACACGCCCCTTGTGTACGCAGTTGATTCGATTTGTCATTGACTGGTGGGGTGACTGTATGTTTCGCAGGCTAGGCAGCATCATCGGCTTCTTCGCTTCGAGATACCAGGAAACGTTGTACCAGTGCGATTCTCTGCTACAAATCCAGAACATTTCTGACGATACTGGTATGTTACACAGAAATAATGTAGCACGTAAGCACCAAGAGGCTCGTCTCTATCTCGCTATGGCGGCCGCGTTCCTCTTGCCAGTTGGCATGTTCATGTGGGCTTGGACGGCGAACCCGCACGTTCCGTGGATCATCCCACTGCTTGCCCTCACGGTACGTTTCGAAGCAATAGTCCTCCGAATACCAAGATAGTAAAGATTATACGTATTACGGCAGATCTTCATGATTGGAGCATACATTCTATACTTCGTGGTCTTCGTCTACCTCGCCGATTGGTACGTCATGTCTCTTTTGTACCTGGAAAACGCATAGCTTACGGTTTATGGCACTAGCTACGGCATGTACGCCTCGTCTGCCATGGCGGGCCAGAGCCTATTGCGTGCGTTATTTTCATCTTCGCCACGATCTCAGCGTTCTAGCGACTTCGTGTGTTACATAGGAAACATCCTCTCGACGACTTTCCCCCTCTTCACGAAGCAAATGTTCGCGAATCTCACGTACAGATGGGCGAACACGATGTTTGGTTGCATCGCGTGTCTGATGGTGCCTATTCCCTTTGTGAGTCCATGTCCCATCAATCTGCTACGTCGGCTGATAGGGATGTTTGACTTTAGCTCCTGTATATTTACGGCTCCGATCTTCGACGGAGGAGCGCTTTTTCGAGGACGACGCTGGAGACGGAAGAGAAGCAGACTAACTTGGCGAAGGTTTGAGCTCGACATGACGGGCAACCTATGGTACTGTATGCTCAATTTAATATACCGTATTTCACTTTAATAACCGCACCGATGTACCTGTCTTCCGTTTATTTGGGTTGGTTACGTTGAGTTTGAAGAGACGCCGGGTGAGTGAGTTGTCGATCAGTCAAGAGAAGAAGATCATCTTAGGAAAGTGGAAAGTTGTAAGAAGCCGACGTTCCGCCTAGAGCTGCGAACGTGTCTCACTGGCAAATCGTGGGAAATGTCACATTAGCGTCCCGGAATGACAACCAAGCGTCGTAAACTTGGGTTAATGTCTATCAGCGCTTGTCGATCCTTTCTTATCCAAACGGATGGTTATTTGTCCCGATCTACTAATTAAGGTAGGTGAAACCTGCTCAGGAACAAACACTTTGTTGTAATAACTGATCGTCGATAAGAGCTTGAATAATCCGGAATGGGCATTACAGACCTTGCCCTACGAACAATGTACTATTCTCGTACACGAAATAATAGCATATCCCTTACACACCCTTCTCAATAACTTCCAGCCAAGCTTTCCTGTTGGAGATATCTTTCCACCACCTAGCCACGCTGGGACGCGACTCGAAGAGCGCAACTTGACCACCCTGAATTAGGGCCAGTGCACCATACGCGAGGCGGAATATATCCGCGAGGGTGTATTCCTACATAAGGTCAATTGTTGTTAGTATCCTCATTTCAAAGCACAGCTGTGGGCGATCTCGGAAGGACTCACGTTGCCGCCGATATACTTCTGCTTGCCCAGTAGAACGTCGTACGCATCAAGCTTGACGTTGAGGGTCGCAAGGCAATCTGCCGCACGGGTTTGGGAGTCATATTGAACATTCTATAAAACGCATCAGCTTGCCAACTTACCGGTCATCGAAAGTGGAGAAAAATAAATGGAGGAGAATCTATGACTAGTGGGAGCAAGGAGGAAACTGAACGTACGGCTTGAAGACTTTCTCCGACGCATATCCTATGGCTGAGGGATAGAAATTGGACGACTCGATCGAGACGCCCTGCTCAAAAAGAGCCTCCTCCTTCGGACCAGTAGGAATCAACTTTGTGTTATCTCCAGCATATTTCTTTGCGAGGTAGCGCGAGATGGCGCGCGACTCGAACAGCTTAAAACCGTCCTCGTCCTATCGTTTGTGCGTACATATATAATTGGATAGTGTCCACAGACGACAGACAGTGAGAGATCAAGGGTTGGGAAAGCATGAATAGAGATTACGTACGATGTAGGGGATCTGGCTAAATGGATGTGCGGCAGTGAACTCAGCCGTTTTGTGCTCGCCGCCAGCCAAGTCGACGTTAACAAATTCGTACGGGACATTGAGCTCCTTGCACGTAGCCGCCACAGTGCGCGTGCGAGTGGAAATTGGCGAGCCGCAGAGTTTTAGAGCCATGTTGGTGTTCTTGTTAGAGGTATCAGAATATTTTGTGGTAGAACAAAGGAAGTGAGAATGAGAGGGTCGCTGGATACAGACGGACCAACGGATGCGCTGTTTATACCCTGTCCAAAGCAATGATAACGATGATATGGAGGAGTCTAGTATTTACCCGGTCGTGCATCTCCTTGATGCTGCCTTTGGCCAGATCAGCAATTACGAGTAGCCAAGAACTCGCAATTAACTCTGCAGAATGTATCGTCGCTGAATTCAGTTCTCTCGCGGTACGGGAATATGCACCATATGCACTCACATTCATCTCTGCAAGTTGGGGGCTTTCTTTCCCGTCATTTCCGAGAAATGACAAGAGGGTTCACGCGGTGCAGCTTACGGTGGCGATCATCAAGAGCAAACCATGGAGCAATTGTAGAGAAGAAAAAACACGGAGAAAGCGTCAGCTTTTGGAGAAACACGACTAGACGTGGGGAGTTTTGACCACGAACTCGACATTTTGACGTGGGCCGCTGTGTCCTATTTCCCGGTGGTCGGGAATTGGCTTGCTGCCCCTGGTGCCATCCTGCTGTACCCACCTTGAAACGAACTTGGGCTTCAGTTCATATGACGAAGGTTAGTCACCTTTCCCTCATTTCTCATTTCATCGAGTCAATGCGGGACACGACGTGGAATTGCGATGCTGAGATGATGATTGTGCAAAGTCCGGGTTGCACTATTGCACCCGAGCACTCCTCCCATTGCTATGGCTCAGTACGTAAGAAGTTACCGGATCCCAAGGCACGTGTATGCAGAGAAACGCAGCTATGAAATCAGCCAAGGCCACAGTGGACAGCGATAGGGTGCGTTTGCGAGTAAATGGCGACTGACATAAATTTACATATTCTTTCATGACTTCCCTCACAACTTTGTCATGCAGCTAATTATTACTGGCCATGGGGTTTCGAGGGCTCAGTATGTATCAAGCGGGACCCCTCCTGCTAACACTGATATGTGCAAAGATACAAGAAGAAACGCGAGGATGATTACCAACGATATTCGTCACTGCGATGGCCGCTCTTCTATGACATGGTCATATACCACCGAGGCTGGACTCCTAAGTATCAACAGTCAGCATGCAAACTACACGACACGATACTCGTGCTACGGTACCTCTGTTCAACTCCCTGTTGCCTCTGTGAGTCACTGTGGCCGAAGAGTTGGAAGAAAACAAATACTTACGTATTCAGTCCAACTGAGCTGGGAACGAAGCTCTTTAATTCCGAAGATGAGCACCAAGCTAAACTCCTGCCGGTAGAATTGCCGCCCGTTGATATCCTTTTGAAGGGTGATGGTCTTGGCGACCTGCGACGTGTCAGCATTCACAGTGCAAAGGTTCCAGTATTTCTCTGTAAGACCATCAGTTCAGAGCCAGGTTTTTGACCGAGCCATAGGTTTGGTAGATGCAAGTGAAAGAGGAAGTATACAGCAGGTTACTTACCGGGCTCAGAGTCGATCCAGCGTGGAGCGGGATCATCGCCTTTATAGCAGATGATTTCGATTGAGATCTTGTCGAAGGTCAACTTCGTTGTGCTCTCGGTAATGAACTCTTTACGGAACTCTTTGTCCCCCGAGACTTTCGTGTCCTATGAGTGGTTAGGTCAAACTTGCACTATCACGAGCACCAGTATCGTGGTCGTAAGGTAGGAAGCTCTCACCTTAACTAGGACTGGGCTGAACACGTTCGGGAGGACTGACCGCCCCGATGGCCTCGGTATGATCGTTTCTACACGTTTAATGTGCTCCGGGTCGCTTTTGTTGTATTCCACTGCAGACATCGTGCCGTACGTGAAGCACGCCGTACGAGTCGAGACACTGTGGTCGAGATAGAACGCGACCGCGCCGTCCGCGACGGCCTTGCCCGTGTGGCTATCCGGTCTGCAGAAATCGAGTCCGTGTGGTGTAAGGCTCTCTTTCAGGTTGAGGAATAGCCAATCGCTGGCTGCGAAGCTACCGATGAGGAATACGCTCTGTGAGTTTGTTCGGTCATCTTTCTCTGCGTGTAGAAGTCGAAAGGGAGCTTACATGGATCGGTTTGCGCGCGGCCTGGCGCTGGTGGTTGACAGCTCTGATTACGGCTTCGATTGATGGCTCGAACAGCTTCGCGACGTCAGTGCTGTGGACCTGCGTCAATTCATTGTCTGCAGTGCTGAAGTAAAACGTCACCCCGGGAGCTTCAGCTGCCCCGACCGGATGCCAAAATCTTGATCCTTGTCCCTGATCGTGCCGAACTTTATGTAGGCAGGCTCCGAGGGATTGCTGAACCGAAGTTTGGTCGTGCGATCAAAAATCTTGGTCATTTCTTTGACGTCAGATTCGTCGCCGAACTTCGACCCTTGTAGCTTTACTGCAGATAAATGTTAGAGGAGGTTGCGGCAAAAGAGGAACCGGGAAAGCAAACTTCGTAGGAATGATTCAGCACGGCGCGTGACAAAGATGGATCCTTGGAGGCGACCTGAAGGCTGAAGTGAGTGCCTGAGACACCTCCGACTCGAGGACGAAGGCGTTACAGTCTCCAGGGGTAATCTCCTCAAAGGAGGTGAGGTTGCTCGTCATGTAGTATGCATTCAGTTTGACTGTTCTTTCTCCCGCTTCAACGATAATGACCCCTTGGTTATCCTAGTACCCAGCGTGAGTTTTCTTCATATGAGTTCGTGCGCGGAGAGCCACTCACGTGAAATGCGCTGGTTGCGAGGTTCGAGTTGAGACAATAGTGTAAATTCGCTACTCCTTCAGTCACCAGCTGAATCCGACTCTGATCCTTCGGTCTATCACCCACCAACCCAGCGAGCACAGCCGCTTTTCGTATCTGCGCCTGCTGCGGACCCTCCCATCCGCTGGGATGGCTCAGCACGAAGTCGATTTTGTCTTCAAGCGAGGCCCACAGGTCTGGGCCGTTGGCGTGCGTCTGCTTGATGTAGTTCCTAGTGCACTCGAATAGATACCTCATGAAGTCGCCGAGGATCTCGATAGCTGTCTTGCCGAAAGGTAGCGGAGGGAGATCCGCGTCGGTGACTTGAGACAGTGTGTTTTTTGGGCGGAGATGGAGCATCCACCTTTGCCGTGGATCTGTGTCAGGGCGGGGCGTGTACAACGTGCTAAGGGACATACCATTCTGCCATCTGCCAGTCCTCGTCCTCTGCGTTCTCCAAGACGCTCTCTTGTAGGGCTTCAGCTCCTATCGCGCGAACCTTCCCTTCGTCGCCATAGTACAAGATTGAGGGAATCTTGGAGTCTCCCCTAACATAGTCCTGGGCTGGATAGCTGTAGTCGAAATGAGACGCGTGTCGCCAAACGAGGACCGTCTGACGTACCGATTGACTCCCTGTATGGCGGGCACCTCTCCAGGGCACAATACACAGTATGAAACGCCACTATGAGTGGTGCCGATGTCGAAAGCGATCGCGAGTTTTCGCTGCTGTCCTTGGTACGGCTGTCGTTGAGGCATATTGAGTGGGAATGGTTCAAGCGCTGGGCACGTGGCAGGCTGCCAGCCCAAGTGCTCGGGGTGCATTTATGGGCTCTCGCGGGCTGAATGACTCCTAGGCCGGCGCACATCCAATGGCAGGTCGATTGTTCGTTGTCGATACAAAGGCATGCCACCACAGCAGCGGACCCACAACCTCCTGGGGCAAGGCAGACACGAGACATGTAGTGGATCTCGGCGATGATCTAAATCGGAAGGTTGAGGTCCAGAAGCACCGGCTTCATCGTCTTAGGGATTCCTAGTGTCGCTGACGGTACCAGGAAATGAAAAACGGCAATAGAGCTGCGTCAAATCAGCGGTCCAAGCTCACGCGTCTTAGAGTGCGAGAATAATTCAGTACAAACTTAGTGGTGGGCGATCTTAATTCTTGGCCAGCTCGCAAACGATAACAAGGAGTACTCCTCCTGAGGCGCATAGTAGGTCATACACAGTCATCCTGAAAGAGATTTCCGGATCCCGGTTACTGTAATAACAGATAGGGCATGACATCGGAAAGAAACCATGAATGACTTAGGCTACAACGACAACGAAAAAAGAGGCCACGTAACTTGAAGTCATCGTTCTCAATTAGAGCGAAAAGCATAAGGATAAGAATGATACATTCGTTTTCACTGTTCTACAACAGGTCCAGGTTTATCGTGAGGAGTCAGAGAGTAATTAACGGCGTGCTCGTGGTCATAAATAAAACCGCGTGAATGTAAGTATGCAGATGGTATGAAAAGTGAACGATAGAAAAGCAAGAATCGGAAATCAGAAAATAAGAGCTCTATGTATATTGCTGAAAGATATAAACCACCGTCGTCCCCGTCCAGAACCCCCACAACCAAGCAGACGAATAACCCAAGTCCATCCAGCGCAGAAGAAGCTACACGCCCCACCAAGGGACCGCACCGCCTCATGCAGACGCAGCAGCAACAGCACCCTCAAACATCCCCGCAACAACCACATCCATCCGCCCGTCCCGAATCGCCTCGCACACGCGCGAAATGCTGTCCCCGTGCGTAGCCTCAACACCCTCGCCCTCCACATCAGCCCCCACAAGCCCGCCCGAGCGCATCCCGAACACGTCCCCGCGGATATTCGCCGAGCCGTGCATGCGCACGCCCAGATCCACGCGCACGAACTCGTACAGCGCACGCGTCGCCGGGGCGAGGTACACCGACGCGGGCGCGGGGCCGCGCGATGCGGACGCGATTGAGGCGGGTAGATCCGAGGTGGTGGTGGTGGTGCGTGGGAGGACGTCCACGGGGATGCCCATGTACGCGCACTTGAGCTCGCCCGAGAGGCGTGCGAGGCGCGCGGCGAGGCGCGAGCGGAGAGCGGGGAAAGATGCGGCGGCGACGATGAGGTCGGGCCTGGACGCACAAAACTCGACCCAGGGGAGGGCGCCTGCGCCCGCTGCCTTGGACATGCGAGCGGGGGTGTCCATCGTGCTGTTCTTGTCGAGGCAGTCTTGGATCTCGTACACGAGCAGCGCCGACAGCGCGTTGATGTCAGCCTCAGACACGGGCGAGGCGATGGCGGTGGAGAGCGTGAGGGCAACCTCGGACCGGATAACCCGGGCCGCGTGCTCCGAGAACTCGCGCTGGATGGCGCGGAGGTCGACTGCCTGGCACATGACAACGAGGTGCGATGCGAGAAGGAGCGAGAGCACATCGTACGCCTGGAGGGTATACCGTGCAGACACGAGAGCGAGCGAGTTGACGCTCTGGTTGTGCATCTCTGCACTGACACTGCCCACGCCAACATTCATCCCACCGAGCGAATGCAGCTCGCCGAGGTACGATGCAGCGTTGATATCAATGCCCTTGAAACCGTAATCCAAGCTCGGCTCGCCGCCAGCGAGGTTAGGCGGCAACCCGCGGTTCATCGTCGCGTTCACCGTCTCCGTGAGCTGCGCGAACGAGATCTTGCCGAGCAGCGCCAGCCCAAGACGCGCATGGTCCATCACCGTCGTCATATGCAGCGCCTGGAAGTTGCCGCCGTGGTGCACCGTCCCGGGCACCGGCTCGTCCTTGCCGCCGTCGGAAGTGGGCGAAGCAGGGCCGTGCGCCTCGATAAGCGGGTTGTCCGTCGTCGAGTTGATCTCAATGCGGACGGTCTCCCTGACCTTGGCGACGTCCTCGAGCATCGGCCCGAGCCACTGTGGTGCCGTGCGGAGCGCGTAGCGATCCTGGCGCAGCAGGCCAGCGTCATCGGCAATCTTGACTTCCTCCTCAACCGCGTGGGCGCCTTGTTCGGTTCCAGTCGCGAACGAGGAGCCCTGCAGGAGGGCGTGGAGGGTCGCTGCAGCGGTGATCTGACCAGGGTGGGGACGCGCTTGTGAGATGAATGGCACGAAGCTGTGGGCCGTGCCAGTGAGAGCTTCGGTCGCGAGTGCCGTAGTCGCCTGTTAAAGACATATTAGCAAGGCTAAGTGATGTGACAGCGGAAGGATACGCACAATGCTAAGCATGGCCAAGCTCTGGAGGCCCTGAGCGGCCTGAGCGGCCACAGAAGCAGAGAAAGCCGTGCCGTTAAGGATTCCAAGGTGCTCCTTCGAGGCGAGGGGAAGGGGCTCGATGCCATAGTGCTCTAGAGCCTTCCTGCTGGGAAGGATGGTTCGCCCTGAGCGCGTGACGCGCTTCTTGGGCGCAGACTTGGAACCATTCGCGAGTCCGTTGGACGAAGTTGACGTGATGCATGGTTGGGATGACCAGACACGGATGCCGGGGTTTCCGATAAGCGTGCCGGCGATGTACGAAAGGGACGAAAGATCTACATCACAAGAGGAACGTTAATAACCCGATCACAACCATATGAATAGCACGCGCAGCGCCTGCAAGAACGCAAGGAAGGAAGGTGGAGTGATACAAGCATCACCGACGATTTGCAATTCTGCACTAGGCACAGAACAGCCCTCGGTCTCGACCACGAGATGGCGCTGCACATAAACGGAAGAAGATGTGCTCACCTCCGCTGGCCGAAATACTTCCGCGAAGAGGGACGACAGGGGTGATGTTGTGAATCAGTAGCTGGCCCATCTTCTCGATGAGTGCCCACCGCACACCAGAGTGGCCACGGATGAGCGAGTTCATGCGGACGAGGACAGCACCCCGGACCCATGACTCGGGCATGGTGGTTCCGGATACGGGGTCGTTGAGCGGTAGGGGTTCATCTGATTCGTCGGCGTCCTCGCTCGAGGAGTCTTCCGAACAGGAATCACGCCAGTTGGGCAGGATGACACCACCGTGCTGGTGCTGGAGGAGGGCTGCACCGAGAGCGATAGCGTCGTCGGTACGTGTGTCGGCTGAGCCACCGAAGCCAGTAGTGACACCGTAGACGGAGACGTTGCGGTCAACCTTGGACTGGATGACTGCCCGGGAGGCCTCTACGCCTGAGCGTACAGAGGGATCGGCAGAGAGAGCGATGCGCGTCCGAGGACGGCGAGCGGCGTAGGCGAGGGCGGGGAGGGTGAGGGACTGGCCATTAAGCACAACGGGCTTGCCATTGCTGTAATGGTGATGTCAGTCTGACGAGGCAATGTAGATGGCGACTTGACACGTACGCATATAGTTGCGACTCGCGCACGTCCTGGATGTATGCGTCGACGACAGAGGGAGTAGAAGAGGTGGAGACCTCGGTGGCGATACGCTGTTGCTTGAGCGAGATGGTCATGGTGGATGAAGTAGAAGGTGAGGATGTAGAGGGCAGTACGGTCGAGACGAGGTGATATCTGTGTTGAGTGAAAAGAGGCGAGTGCTCTTTGGGTGTTGTTGTAGGCCATGGATTCGTGGTGGGTGCATATAAATACAGATACTGGGAGGCAATGATCCGTCCGGGCCTGGTATGACGGCAATCTGAACCTGCGACGAGTCTGTTGACATAATACTAGCAAAATGAAATGAAAATCCGTTGTCGCGTTCGATCACACCCATCCCTGCCCAGCACCGCTTTCTTGCATCCTGTCCGCCCATCCAAAACAGGCACAGCAGCCCCCGGTCACCCCATCTCAGATCCAGTCGTGTTATTATAGCCCTGTTGTCGGAGCAATCCACCCCTCGATAAGAATATCCTCCCGAAACCGCCCTTGGACATCTGGACAGCTGCACAGACCCAGCGCTATCTAATCGCTTCCAAAACAAGATCCGCCTCCAGAGTCCATGCAATGACAGCCAGCCTTCCCAGACCCATGCCCGCTTCCCACTCGCGACTACTGGCTGACCAGGCAACCGCAGACGTCAACCCCATATCGACGCTTCTTTCTCCCCATGTACATATGCAGAAAGAAAGTCCCAAAAGGCGTGATTTGACACGACCCACTGCGCTGCCCATTGCGCCCTTTCATTTCAATCTTGAGAACAAAACACAGAACAACCACCCCAGACTTCGGCTGGGAGAGTTCACACATGCGCACGTCGATATCTTGTTCACACCGTGAGCTCACCACTGACCGAGCCAGTGTCATCATCTGCGTATCTGCATCACAGACGGGGCGAGAACCGATAAGATATAGTTATGTAAAGGAACGCGTTAGATAGACGACGATACAATGTTCTACAGAAACTACATCATCCTGTGACGCGTCCTGCCACGTTTATCTCCGCGATTTTCAAAAAAACCACTTCGCGAACCCTCCCATGCAGGCATTAATCCCGCTCTTGGACGCATTCATTCGTTCGCTCAGCACATGTACAGCAGCCAATGACGGCCGCGGCGCCTTCTCGCATCGCACCATTAGAACTCCCGGTAAACTAGGGCGGGCGTCCCTCGCGCCCCAATCCAGCCTCGGGTCGGATCTTAATATTGACACGATGACGGTTCGAATGATGATGATACGAAATATTACCGAATTCTGTTCTGTGCACTTTGTCTTTACGAACAGCGGGGTAAGCGTGCAGTAAACTCGCGTCCGAGACGATCAGCATGGCAGACGCGTGCGGCGGTGGGTGACGTCACCTGTCAAGCGCAACAATGAAAAGTCGTTCGCGTCCGCTGTGTGTGCGCCCGTATCCGCGAGAAACCATACCGCGCTGCCACATCAATGTTCAAAGAAAAACAAAAACCACGAATCAGAACGTCATAAATTTAGACTAGCGATTGAGCACATGGTGAAGAACGCGACCAACGTTCTCCGTGGACTCGCAGATCCTCGGGCGCGTGAGATGGCACGCTTTCACGCGTCGAGGGAGGGGTGATACATCGATCGACACCGACGGAACCGTGCGAGCTCGAAGAACCGCTTCCGAGAGTTTGCGCCTCGAGCAACTGGCAGCGAGAAAAAAGGCGGGACCGCGGCGCCGCCATGGGTGCCTGTGGAGTGTGTACTGAGAGCTAGAAGACACGAAGATGTGCGAAAGAGGGTAGGTAAGCGTGAATGCATAGACTTGGATTACGCAACGCGCCTCTCACCTGGCGCGAGAGCGACTCACGCGTAGAACGGGTATCAAATAACCATGATCATCTCAATGCGTGTACTCACACCTCACCCAGACAAAACCCACGTAGCTTGACATGAGGAATGATGAACACTGCGCCTGAGTAGATCCAAGGATACGCTGTGACGTCGAAGTTTATTAATGGCAAGTAGATGATCATCTAGCCTCGTCCTATCCTAACGCATGTGAAGAAGTCAACCATAATATCAGCAGGTAGGCAACCAAATAACCAAATCGAAGAGCGCTTACACACACCCTCCGTTTAGCGCCTATGTCCAAAACCACAAACAAAACTGGAACACGATTCCAATACCCTCAACACAATATCCCGGTCCTATCCACCGGCATCCAACAACGACGCCGGCACCCGTATTGATCCTGCAGCACAGAGCTTTGGAAATCGCAGCGCAACGCACCACAACATCTGTGCCAAAATCTCAAAATCAACGTATCCCGACATCTGCGGTGCCCCGGCAAGTACTCAGCAAAGTCCATCTCGACGCTCGAATCCTCGATCCACAATGGACACCCGATAACGCACCGTCGCACGCACACCTTCAAAATCTCGCAGCGCCTCTAACGGAGCGCCCGCTGAACCGAGGCTGGGACCCCGGGACCCAGCCCATCCCAGCCCACAGCGGAAGAGAAACTCGAAGACGGAGTCAGAACGAGTCGGAGACGCGGGGCCGATTCGATGATGGTTTCAGAGATCTAGAACTGGCTCGTCCGCAAAAAGAAAAGAAAAACGTGTTTTTGAATCTTGACTCGCCGTATCAAACCGTCGTCGCACTGTGCCTGAGAAGGTTACCGTCCACCACCTAGTGATACACTATCGGCACAAAGACTCTGCGATGCTGTGTGCGTTGCTGTGCGTTGATCTGGAGTCTAAGCGGTGAAGCGTTCGAGTTACAGCTACAGCTAAGCCGCGTAATGACATCAGCGTGGGACGCACGGGCTTGCGGCCGGATCGGCCCGAGGGCGCTTATTTCTGAGGGCCGTGTTTTACGCCCAAAGACGCGTTTCACCTTTCGGGTTTTTATTAAGACTTTGTGGTGTCGCTGTTAGCGAGGTTCTGTGTCGGTGCTGGTGGGCTAGCGCGTTTCATTCTCGTCGCCGCCTCGGTAGATCGCGCCATTTGTATCGGCGATAGTCGAGCGGAGGAGTGGGACTCCGAAAACATGTCGGCAGCGCGCGAGATGGAGGGTAAAAAACTGTTTGTGGCACGTGTTGTTCTGCTCTCGAATGAGCAGTCGAGTCCCAATAATGTGAGTTGTCTTGATCGAATGTCTTGGTGTGACGCCATACAGCCAGGATACGAGATACACATCACTGTGGACAGCAGCGATCATGATGAGACGAAACTGACGCGACATACGTGCACTCGGAAGGAATAACCAGGAACGAAAAAATCAGGGTGGTTGTCGTATCATAGACGATGTTAGACGATGACCGATCGAATCCATGAAGTCTATCAGAAACACTCGAAGTCAAAACGTCCATGACCACGCGATATCGCCCGACCCCGGATGCTTTGTGACATACAGCGTGAATGGCATTGGTGGCTAAAGATGCGAAGCGGGTACCTACACGAATAAACTTCGAGTGTGATGCCCGTTATCTAGGTATGCTTGACCTGGGATCAGAATCAGAATTGAAGAACTCTCCTTTGTATGCGCAGCGCAGATCGTTCGAAAGGAAACAAAGAAAAGACCTTTTGTCGTAGGGCACGACCCGCAACAGAAGCACATCAAACTTGAGGATGAAGAAAGATTGTCGATAAAGGTGAGAGCCCGAGCAACGCCAACACTGAGTCGGCCTCCACGTGCACGATATGTAGAGTTTCGTGAAGAACAAGACGTACTCCTGACAGTTTTGCGGGAGAATCATCGGAACAATAGACCGACAAAGGACAGTACGTGCTTTTGAGCACGTTGGTCTTGGTATCAGCAGGGTTTCGTGGAGAACAAGGTGCAGTCCTGAGGTTACCGGATTCGCCGTGTTCAGGGGACAGGATGACAGGTAACCTTGAAAGCCGGTATCATGGTCTGCCCCTTATTGTGTACAAGAGAGATTAGAGTTAGTCAACAAGTGTAGTCATAGGCGGCGACAAACGCAGATATGCTGGGGATGCCAAGGACTGGGGAGGTAGACAAAGACATATTCTTGATGTCCTACCGTCCCGCAATCGAGGCGTCGGCGGAGAGCGAACGAACCCGAATCCATGTCACTGAGTATCAACAAGTCAATAGCATGATCAGAATGTTTGCGCAACGAAAGAGAGGTCAAGAGCCAGCAAGCACTTGCCATCAGATTCTATCTACGCTGTCAGGCTCTTTGGCGCTATATCGTGATGGACATCGTAGATGCGATTCTCGGAGAGCCGGTCGGGTCCATGTGTCGGCTAGGGACAGCCTGTTGAGAACTGAGGGGTCTGCGGGAAGCTGTACGCACCCTCGGCCACGCGCCGGTCACGAGGAATCTGCAAACGACGCTGCGGGGTTGACAGGGAAGACGTGGGGTTAACTGGTAGCTTGTTCCTCCGAGTCGGACTTCTATCACAGGCATGCACGATGAAGTCAGCACGAGGATGTAAGTCAATGAAGTACCGCAAGCATCCCCATTACCGTGCAGCACTAGTCATCCCCAAGCCAGCGAGCACAAGGTGAATGAGTACTGGCGGTAAACCGTCGCGACCTGTCGCGACGACACGCGTCAGGCCTTCAGGGACACAGCGAAGTGAGAGACGCGTCATCCAGATCCGGAGGCAAAAATCCTAAACGCGTCGACACTCATGTTCCCACGCTCTTCTGCTGCCTTACTGGGACCCCGAAACAAGTCTTGTGTCCAACGTCGATGGTCTCGTGCATTCGACGACATCGGTGAAAGGCAACTCCTCCCGCTCAGGTGTTCAGCGGGCGTTCATTCACTTTTGATCATTGCAAACACTTTCATCGTCACTATTAGGCTGCGGCGTGAACGTGCTAGGACCTCGGATTTTGATCTCGATGGTCAGCGGTACGTCTCCTATACCACCCGTTTTGATCACTTACGACGCTCCTATACAATCTAGTCAATATTGGTGTGAGATGTGATGCCAATGCATATTTTTTCTCTATACGTTATTCCACCACGCATATACTCATCTTTTGACTGCGTATCAGATCGGTTTGCACCTCGGGGTAGTAAAACGTGGCCTCGAACGTTCGGTCGTTCGGGACAATGATGCTGGTGATGGTGGCGTTGTCGAGGAATGGGTCCGACAATAGCGTATCGCTTTGGATCCAGACCAAGATACCGGAGGCAGAGCTTGAGCGTTCTCAAGAATCACATTGATGTACCGTACTACGGTCAGCACAAGTTTCATCGCTTTTGATCTTACTCGCGATGGTATCGCATACCCTATCCTTGAAGTATGATACGATCTTCGCGGATTCCTTGCGCCATAATCTGCTCTATGATCGTATTTTGATGTGACTGAATGACTGTTGCTCATGTCCCCTTGTCTGCTTTTAGGTAGACGACAGACCACCCTGGTTTAACATCCGTGGCTCCGTCCGCCACTCGGCCTGGCGTTCAAAAATAAGTGCTGCGTCTGTCCAAAACATCGGTATCTCATTCCAGATCACCCATTTCGTCTAGGTATTTCCATATACTCATGGAGCAAACACTGCATGGTGCGCCACCAGGCGAGTCATACTTTGCCGTGTCTCATGCTCCGGGGGCTTAACACCGTTCACTGCAGTGCCCGCATGATTTATCCGCATTTGCGGAGGTTTTCTCTTGTCCACGATTCACTCGGAACGGAGCGGGAGATGCGGCAGCGCCACTACTGGTCTCTGGCCAATCGAGCGACGCATCTCCAGGCGACGTTTCACTTGCTGGCGCGTTGCTAAGCTGATACACTGGAGCCTCCATCAAGCAGTGCACGAATATCAGGCACAACGTTTGCTCAAACCGAGATCGCGGAAGTAAACGGAGTATAGTCCCGTCTAGCTTCTCATCGCGTGGTAGGCCAACCTCCGTCTCGTTAGATGTAATCGATTCAATGTAAGCTCAATACTACCACTACCTTCGTCCTGAAAGTTTCTTATACAGAGCAGCGAATCATGTGCCGATCCATAAGCTGTATGGTTTGATTCAAGTTGAAATGCCTAGATGTCGGACGTAGGAAGATAATACCCCATGCGTAATCGCCTGCGAATCAATGCATGACTGAGTCGTGTCAAGCGCAACTACGGGATTCTCATCAAGCCTTTTTTGTGTACAGCTTTTTGTTAGCGGATCGCTAGCGGATCGAAAGCACTGCTAAACACAACACACAGTTCTGATTTTCTTTGGCTTTTCTCATCAAACCTACACGCTAGCCGGAGCGCCCTCCATAGACAGGGGCTCAGTCATATCAGGCCACGTGTACAGCCACCAAATCCGAGAACCCGGCATTACCCCTGATTTACGCCGAAGCAACTTAGCACTGAGCCATCATCGCACTCTCTTCTGGCCGACGACTAAGAAAGCGCGAGAACCCTGCTTCACGAAGCACAAGGCAACTTCCAGATTGATGGTGCTTTCAGCTTCTTTGAATCGCCATGACGCCGGATGCCTCACTGTCGAAGAGCTGTAGCCTGCGACAAAACATCTCTATACGGGCAATATACGGGAGCCGTACGCTGCCAAGGATATGGAGGGGGACGGCACTTGTAGGGCTCGTTTATTACGATCTATAAATGCATGGAAGGCCGCGCTGACTTGCTGTGTGGCCGCAACAGATACAGACGGCGCTCAGCTGAAGCCGTTTTTGTTGAGTCGTGCCATGTCTTTCATTTCATGGTTGATCATCCTCATGGAAGGTTTCTTTTCCAGCCATGTCGACTGCTTTGATCATATGCCATGCAGTTGGAGGTAAAGATGAATCAATAAGTCACCTTAGTGTCTCCCACATCCAAAGTGTTTTACACTTCGGATCACCTGTGCTGAGGCCGAGGTTGCCTAGACTCTGCCGGCATGCTACGTTCTTCCGTGAAAGGACCCGCAACTAGTGAACATACGCATGACTCGCAAATGACTGCATTCCTCAAGTCCAATGTGGTGTCCCTCTTAATTTCACACTGCATGTCACTCCAACTAGATACGAGGGCTGTAAGGCTCTCGGGCGGACCTTGACGGCCAGTCAGCCTCTTAAGGTTTTTGCTTCTCCGCTTCAACATAAATCACATTAACTGGACAGCTTGCGCAGGTCCCTCAGTGGAGGAGCATTATTCGGTTGCTCTTTGAGAGTGAGACCACCCAGCGCGCCCCCCGAAACCCAGCATGACTGACGAAGATCACGCCAGAGGCCTCGTGCCATTTGGTAACAATTAAGACGCTGATCGGACCCACGGCGAGTATCACCGTTGTAGTCTCCATCGGCTATCTGAATGCTTAAGCTCTTTCAGGCCCTCTCAACGTGTTTTTGGTATGTTTAATGAGACGTCATCGGTTTTCAAAGCGACATATGACAGGAAATTGCTCATCAAGCCACCCTTGGGTGTCCGACCGTATGAGTTCAGGTGGAGGACCAAGTACTTGGATCCTAAAGTCCGCATGGGCATCAGTCGGTGCTATCATATTCGAAGCTTGGGAGATGAAAATACTTGCGAAAGACGTCGGCAGCTATGCTGCGTAGCTGCGTAGTGAGTATATGGAACTGTTCACCACCGGTGCTTGAGGCGACACCGAATTTGTAAGTGCCCATGTCGTCATCGCGTCCCGGATCTCATCCAGGACTCCAGACCACTCCACAGGTACGACCACACAGTTTCGTACGTATGTGCGCTCCGACGGATGCACGTCGAAATCACAAACTTGGTAGGCCTGGGGTTTGCGATCACACCGTTGAAGCTGACGGTACATGAAATGAACTTGGCCGAAACTTATAAGTGCAGTACACGCCGCTTTATTTGACTTTTTTTATTCAACTCGCTCAATACTATCCATATGGTTAACTACCGAACTAGCGTACTTCTGTTGAGAAAATCATGAGGCAGGGCCACAGGCACTACCACAACTTTCACTTGGTAGGGCGCTAATTAGTCATTCCGGCTTCCGCTCCCTTGTTTCCGGTGGCCAAGATCCGAGGCGGCTCTTTGTCTGCCGTTTTCATTGGGTGATAGCATCCAGCCCCTGGGGATAAGTTAACGATCAAGTCGGTATCAACAGAAGCCTCTGGTACGACTATGTGGTACGAGTGAACGGTATTGCCTGGCGACCGCTGTGATTTGGGGTGCTCACCTATAAACGGGATATATCTTTGTGTCGGTGAGTTTTTCTTCGGCCGGATCTATAACATAACATTCAAGCAAGCAGCCTGCTTTTGGCCAGAGATATCAGACTGCGTGCTCGTTATCTATCCCTGAGCGAATACGTTCAATCATGACATGGTGTGGTGATAACGAAAGTGTCGCCATGTGCATCCTTCCGCAGCGCTGACTAGTTGCTTGCGAGTAATAATGACATCTACCAGACAAGAATGTCCAAGTGTCATTTCGTTCAACGGAGCAGCTGTGATGGGCAAAACTCAAGTATATTGTCTCATTTTATTTTTTATTGAGAGCATACTTCGACTGACACATTGACCAACCAACAGTAAATACATGCTTCTGCATGCTCTACTTCTCTCTGATTCAACACCGCTGTTCACCGCTGCAATATTCTTGAAAATACCGAAAGGTGGTACTGAAGATCTGGCCTTGCTGCATATACCCCGTATGGATCGGATTGACTGGCGCTCCGATGTATCGGCAGGGAAGCACCTGGAAGCACCTTACACTGTACAGGGCTTGACATATCGCGAACGAATGGCATCGCTAATAATAGTCAATCAACCCGGGAACTTAACTGGCCGAACGCTTCAGCACAGCTCTCCCACTACTCCCGAGCTACGCGGAGCACCATTTGGCTCTCGCGGTCGTCCACAGTGATGGCGGCCGCAACCCTTACTGTGCTGTGGGCCTGTGGCGTGGTTTCGTAGCAGAGGACAAGTGTAAGCGCAAAAGTCAGCTTGTTTCCTCGCTACGCATGAGATGTCCGATGTCGGTATGTGATGCGAAATACGCGGGATGAGGTTATTTCGTTTGACGTTACCGACCACGGTGTCCGCAGGTGTCTGCCTTTGTAGGTCCTCAGAAGCACCACGCGAGTCGCGTCTTCGGCTCGGTCCGAAGTTCGCCTGACAAGTTGCATAGAAACGCTGGGAACTATCGTCTTGGCAGGGGCCTACGTTTACTGGGATGAATGACGGAACCGAACGGAATAACCCGTTGTGCTTGACCTGAACTCCTTCATGGGCTCATCATTATCTCAAAGAGCGTGCAATGGATGGCTTTATCTCGCAGCAAGCATACGCAAAGGATGAGAAACGGACCGACATACGCACTCAGGTAACTCGGAAAGCCCACAAGGGGAAACGAGCATATCTCATGAACGTCACCATATGATTGAAGTATGGGGAATCAACTCGAGTTCACAACCGCGAAGGTTAAATCGTTTGAAGTCTGAAGTTTGATAGAGAGTGATACCCCGTTAGGTAAATTATCCTATCGAGGCACCCTGGTCATTCTGAAGTACACCATAAGAAGCGAAAAGAAACAAGTTATTCAAGGATATAGAATGCAATTACGTATACAATGCCATGATGTGTCTATGATAGTCCTAACGATTAATGAACAGTAGTCTCAGCCTGAGGAACGACCCAGTTCTGGCCAGGGGCAACGACGTTAGCCACCTGCTCCTCATCAAGCCAGGCCTCGCCCATGGCAAACATGGTCCTGTCGGGGAACACCTCGAGAATCTCGCACTCGAATCCAGGGGTCTCGAGTTTATACGTCCGGCGGAGCTCGCGCTTGCCGTTCTCGATACGGCTCTGGACGTCGAGGAGGCTAAATTGAGGCGTGCGCTGAGCCCGGCGGAACGTTTGACCAATGGGGTATTTGTCCTCCAGGAACAGGCGCTCGAACTCAGGGGAAGTGATGGTGACCGATGAGGTCGCGATGCAGACGACGCGACCTGAGCAGACGAGGTGGACCTGGCGAATCTGCGAGACGGGGGTTTCAGGGGAAGCGGGCTTGGTGCGAGGAGCAGTGTGGGCATATATGCACTCGATAAATATCGGGCGAGAGAAGAACGTGCTGTGGGGCGTGGTCAGTGCAAAGCACACATAACGAGTTTCAGGAGCTCACCTCAGGAGTCTCTGGAGGTCACCCTGGGCAACGAGCATGATGCGCTCAAGTCCGGTGGTGTCCTTGGGCAAGGCGGTGAGCTGTTTATAAACTGTTTAGTGATAATGCGAGACTGAAACGATGAGGACGAGCTACCGAGACAGAGGTAGAAGCAACATTAAACGAGTCGTTGGCCAACATTGTTGAGAATACGAGGCGCAAGCGGCTCTGAACTGTTGAAAGTGTTGTGAGGGAGAGTGTTGAACTGGAATTCAGGAAAGAGGTGAGTTTATATACGAAAGCCTTGACGCCGGAGACTCACAGAGTTTTCCGGAGAAGGATATTACTTGATGGGGCACTAGAACCTTTTTCTTATTCGCTCGCAGGACGATCGGAAGCACCGACGCGAGGACGGGGGAACACGTCCCGCAAAAGGATTCGGGTGTGTGACAGCACCTGTCAATGTCATGAAGACGCCGAAGTCATGCTATCTAATCGGCAAATGGTGATAAGGACAAATTACTCACCTCGGGCTATATTTGTTGCAGTTGCTCTTCACCCGAGTTCACATCCTCCGTTTCGATTTCGATGCCCCATGCATTAACGTTTCCGGTTGTTGGTCGCACGTTTGATCGTGAGATCGGAAAGGGGACAACTGAGCTCATCAGTCCTCGGGCTGCTGTTTATAGCCGAACAAAGAAAAATAGCGATCGCCAGATCTCCATAGTTCCACGTCAGATAGCAAGTTCATGCCAGCATTTACTTCAGTCGAATCGTTGCGAGACGTTCTTGCTTGTTAAGGTACTGATATGGTTTACACGCACTACCTCATGGGTGCGCATGGAAGCTGTATGGAGTCAATATAGACCCGTTGGGACGTGGAACCCAGAATGCGGTGCCCTGGCGTTTCTGATGAGGATGAGTTCGCAGAAGCAGGGAAGGTACGGTGACGCGGAAACTCGCAGGGGGTGAAACCAATGGAGCACCAGGATGTCGACAGGAGGCGCAATTGGACGTTTAATATGCAAGCTCACATAACCAAGGGGAGAAGGTCCAATGAAGTGAGCTGTAGAGCAAATGAGCAGCTCATCGAAAGGCCCCAGATTTGCCATTGTCTCCGTACTCATCCGACCGGGTCCACGCGATGAAGGGCGAGCGGAGATGAGCTATGATCAATACTTGGGCCCCTAGTGCCCCACCGAGCATATCGGATGGCAAGATACCGTTGAAAGTGGATGTCTAAGACTTCAAGGGGTGGCTTCAGGATTGTAACCCCGTGCAACAAGAGACTAACAAGAGACTGCTCAAGAGGTTGTTCGCTGTCGCCCGCGGCACGAGCAAGTTTCGGCAACTGCCGAGCGTATGTCCGGTTTTGTCACGGTCCCTTCGCTCCTCAACCAGCGCTGACTGCTGTTGATCACATCGCATACTATGGTGAGCATACATCCCATGTCTGGTCGTTGAGGCGTTTTGATTAGCCGCTATCAAGGGAAAAGCCAAGAAAACCCGCAAGTTTGCCGCTGTGAAGCGGCTGCTAAACCCCAATGACGCTCGTCTGTCCGTCGCCTACTGCTTGTCCTACCATCCCGCGCCTGCTGATTTCTCGAGTTTAGCAAGGAGAACCAGCTGAAGCAAAAGAAGAAAGAGGAAGAGGAGAAGGCTAAGGCAGTCCGCCGAGTGTGAGTTTAGCGCCATCTTGCGCCTTGGCTGATACTGAACATCACCCAGGCCTCAAGTCGCTTCATCACTCTTCCTTGCTCACAACACTGAACTAGTCCCTCCATATCGGGTGCTGATCGATACCAACTTTATCAACTTCAGCCTTCAAAATAAGCTAGAACTCGTCAGTGCGATGATGGACTGCCTATATGCGAAGTGTATGCTCGCTTCGCCCCTTTTTTCCGACGACCGGCTCACCCCTCTTCATCCCAAGGCATACCTTGCGTGACGGACTGCGTAATGGCGGAGTTGGAGAAGCTTGGACACCGGTACCGTGTGGCCCTCAGGTGGGTTGCGTGTGTACCCTTCCCTGCGCATAGCTCACATGCGCTCCCGATGCTGCAGAGTCGCGCGAGACCCCCGTTTCGAGCGCCTAAATTGTAGCCACACGGGAACATACGCCGACGATTGCTTAGTCCAACGTGTGACGGCACACAAGTGCTACATTGTGGCAACGTGCGATCGAGAGCTTCGCCGTCGAATACGCAAAATTCCGGGGGTGCCTCTCATGTACATCGTGTCTCGGCGATACGCCATTGAGAGACTACCAGATCAGGCCGCACCTGGAGCGTGAGGGGGTCATTGGCTTGCCATGAGTTTCTGGGTGCTAGGAAGTCGGCAAGCTATCAAAAGTAGACACGTACTTGTGAGTATGCCATTCGGCCCGTCGGGGATGGGCGCTCACTCTTTCGCAGACAGATAATTTTATCAATGTATCATTTCTGGTAAAGGCCTTTCGGAAAGTTACTGCATCTTGCCCGTGAGGCTTGCTCGCTCTCGATACCTTCCTGGTTTTCTTACGTTCATGCGAAGTTTTACTTGAAAAAGATCCCGTTCATAGGTCAAGGTGCACGCTCTAGACTTGCAGCGCAGTATGACAAATTTACTTCATGGCGGGAATGCTCTTTTCTCACCTTCCGTCACCGTGTGCGCGCCGGCGCTGATGGAACTTTACGGGGATTGCCCATATGCCCACAGGCAGCTCGTTCGGGTTTCATAGCGTTCTACGGACCGGGGCATAAGTGGTGCTCATACGCCCAGTATGTTCGAAGGGGATATGCGATTCACCACACCCCACTTAAATTCTGAACCTGCAAGTTATCGTCTACCACACGACGTCGAGCATGCCAGTTTAGCGTGGTCGAGTCACGGCATAATCCCGAAGTCTTCATGGCTAGCCATATCTCGTGCAAGTTCTCAAGAAGAGAAGTCCAAGCTTCGTTCCTCTTGTGGAGCTCCTAGTCTATGTGATAACGAATCTCCGTACAACGATATGATTGGTGCGTAATTTCGCCTTATCTGATTTCTTCCACTCATCGTAATAAATAGTGGTCTATTGTACAGATGATGCCTAATTGACTATTTCCCGCTACAGGTAGTCGTTGTGCCTTTGCCAATAATCCCGCCAGGAAAGGCTCGCGGGCGCGGGCGCTCCGGTCTTCTCGGTGGCTAGAAACACTCGCAATGTTCAATATCTGCTGGACAGTATTGCGTTCCGTAGAAACATAAGTTTGGAGGTTGCGTTTCGGACCGCACCGAGGTACACTACATGGTCCGAGGAGCGTGTCCACTACGTGCCTTCGCTATATAGTATCTTCACTGACTCCAAAATACCGGTCTCAAAAGTCTAAACCTCATGTTCGCTCTCCACTTTGACGATACTCGGCTCTCAGAGTGCCTGACCAACCTATTTATACTCGACGTACAGAGCTCGCGGTGATCTAAATCATGAGGAACGTCCGAAGGAGTTCGAAGCTTGCAATCGTCGAATCCCGGAATAACCTCGCGGAAGCGAGCTATGGGAACGGTGACACTATGTCATCGGTTCTTATTTGGCTCTTGGCCCAATCTTCTAACACCCTGTTAGCCTCTTACACCTTTTAAGCAACTTTGCTCAATGTCAGTGTCCTGTTTCCCTCATCGTACCAGCCATGTCCGCGAACTTTACGCTTTTCGACAGGAAGACGGTGCTAGGTAGGCCATCGGCTGCGCCAATCGTGAGCGCTTGAGCGACGAGAAGAATCTCTCATGCGGCGCGTATACATCCGCCGACCCAAAGTGTTGGTGAGCGAATGGAAGTCAAGTAAGCAGCGCATCCTGTATCCGCGGACCTAATGTCCTCCATTTCGCACCATTGACCGCGGAAATGTCGAGAAGAACCCCTCGCACTTATCTAGGGTTTATTGAACTGGGTTAAGTCTCGGAGTGAACGGCTCGAGTTGCTAATACGAGCCCAATGGTCACGAAGAGGCAATGCATACGAACCGATGGAATATTCTGCATGACACCCTTTAACACACGATGAGAAACTTTTAATCAGCATTCAAAAGCTTGGGAGTCTGGCCAGGGTGCATTTCATTTAAATGTCATGGTTTTAACGAGCAGGACTTGATCTGTACTGTTATGGTCTGTTATGGCCATTAGAGCGCATAATCGTAATCTTGATCGTGAACTGGCTTCCGGACGCTTTGGAAAGAACGACGATAGGACTCTGCCTTGATTTTTTGTTGATTTTAGCATAGCAGCGCAAAGGAGATATATTGCTTCCGGGATAGGGGCCAGACACGCGTCGCGTCGCGTCACGTTACAATTGAACTCCTGTTATTGACCCTCTTGCCCTCATTTGCTAAAGAACAAGTCCTCACAGTCTACCCGTTCGGCTATCATCCAAGTCCTTGATCCAAGTACGATATGGCACCCAAGAACGAAGACGTGATACCGGAAAATTACACGTATGAGTGGTCGGCCCACTCGGACGTGCCGCTGGCGGATTTTTTGACCAAGGTGATGTGCTTCAACGCGCATGCTGTGCTCAAAGGAGCTAACAAGGATCGAACGTTCAGTACAAGCCGTCGATGGTACAGAACGATGGCACTAAACCCGTGAGTATGGCACGCACCCGTCGAGCTCCTTTGGGTACCTGATAGGTCTCCAGTGGATATGGGTGCGGGGAGTCGATTCGTCAGCCGGGGTGAAGGGCGTGGAAGAAGCCGTGAAGGAAGCGTCGACCCTGTGTGCGTACCATTAACCACTGGTTAGCGATGGCTCCCTTTCTTACCTTCTACAGTGGGCGAGGTTTCCAAACGAGTGGAGGACATCAAGGTATAGTCGAAGCTGTCGCCCCGTCTCAACGGCTGACGTCGAGTAGAACGATGACTCTATCCCGGTGAGGTCAAGCAAGAAGACAGGTGCCAGGAGCAAGAAGGAGGTTCGCGAGCAGACCCAGGCAGAGGCTACGGAGAAACTGAAGGAGATATCTGAGCGGCATGGTTATGTCAACGGGAAATGGTATGCGGACAGCTCGGCTTCATTGCACTTACCTAGATTGTTTTCAGGCTTATATTCGCGTCCGCAGACAGAGTTGATGTCATATGGTCGAGTATTGCCAGTGAGTACAGCCTTACCACATTCCATCTGAACCATCATGCATTAACACGCGTCGCTCTCGTAGCCTCACTCACCTCTGGACCTCTGAAGGACACCTCTGCATATTGCACGAAAGTGTCTACCTCTCCAGAGAATGATACCCCCAACTATCAACACGTTATTTGCGTCTACATGCCGAATGTGTACGACAAAGACGCCGTTACTGAGGTATGCTCTTCCTCCGTGCGTTCTCTGAGGGTCGCTCAAACCGTATGAAGGTAATGAAGGTCTTGCTGCGCAATCATGGAGTTAACTTGAGCGGCGTCAAGTCGGATCTCTACACCGTGATTGGTACCTTGCCTCCTCTCATATGTGTATGTTATGGACCTCAATGTTATGAGTAGGTTTGGACAGCAAACACAGTAGCGGCATACCGTCGACGGTAAGGCCGAAAACACTGACCTGCGTGTAATCCTCTAAAAGCTCCGCAGGTTTGGAAGAACACGACACTTCTCAAAGACTCCGAAATCAAGGTTCGCTCCCTCGACTTTCGTTCACCTATGAGTGGATATACTGATCACTTGTCCAGGAAATGAAAGAAGCTTTTTTCTCCGAGCTCAGCGCGAAGAAAGCTGCAGCATCAGAGACCAAGGCGCAAGACGCCGCAGAGTCGTCGAAAGCTAAGGCGGTTGCAGAGCCCAAGAAAAAGGTCCTGAAGAAGAAAGTGCAAGACGATGACGATCCGTTCGCCTCGGATGAGGGCGACGAGGCACCGTCCAAGAAGCCCGTTTCCAAGAAGAAACCTGCTTCAACCAAGAAACGTCCGCAAGAGGACGAGAGCGAGGAGGAAGTGCAGCCCAAGAAAGGAAGACGAAAGTGATCTGTTTTTGGTGATACTGGTCGAGTTTATCTTGTGTACTTGCCTCCTCGTGAAATTACCCGTCTAATGGATCGGAGACAAATCATTGCCAGCACATGGTACAAACAACTGGGGTCATTAAATCGCTCACGTAGTTTTGAAGCTTTTGAGACCCCGAACCAAACATGTAAACCACTCCCTTATGGGTGCGTTTGGCCTACTTTCCATCAGAATGGACGTATCTCATCCATTGTTCCTCAACGGGGATCCGCATCCCCGTCGCACAGCAACATTCTGAGGCGGTCCCCAGCGAACGACTTCCACAATGTAGGCCTGAGAATCCATCACATACTTAATGGGCTTGTTTTTCTCAGTGTACCTATCCCGAACTTACAGGCGTGGGCTCCACGAAGGTCCCGATACTACGGTCGTTGGTATCCTTTTCCCTGAACAAGCAAGTTTTGCTCATCAGGAGTAATGATAACAGCCTGGCAGATCGCCGACACCGCCAACTTGAATACAAAGACCCTCGGTCGAGAGCGGCCTTCCCTTGAGATAATGGGCTCATGGTGGGTGGGTTTGGACTTATGTTTGTTCGAAATCGCCCCACAAGCGGACATTAAACCCGCTCCTTGGAGCTGTGTGGCTAACTTAACTGACGGAAATAAAGTAAGAAATACACGTGCGTCACACCAAGTTCAGCCACCATTGTCCGAGAAAAATCAACAATCCAATAGTTTGTTCGGAGTAAAATCGACTAATATGTAATAGTGATGACAACGACGACACGGATTGAATCAAGTACGAAGTGAAACAAAACAAGGAATCGAAGATATTAGTAGTCAATGTCTCATGGATCAACACTCCCCGTCTTGCGGGGCTTCTTCGCCCTATGCGAGTCTCCGTTCTCCTCACCGTCTGCTAGGCTCCTCTTTGTCCCCTTCTTAGTCCTCTTGCGCCGGCGCGCTTCCAGAATCTCATCTTCCGAAGATTCTTCCTCCTCTTGAGCTCGAGGTTGGTACGCCGCTGCATCAGGATGCAAGCGCTTGCTGCGTCGCCGTACAAGGTCGGCAGCCGCCGGACGCTCTTTCTTCTTTTTCGCAATCGCACCAGAACCACCGTCAGCACTCTTCACAGACGACGTGCGTTTCTGCAGGCTGGCCTTCGTCTTGTCCTTCTTCATCTCCGTGCCGGGTTTAGCACCTTCCCCGTCTTCGTCGTCACCTTCGCCGTCGTAGTCTGATAGAGCATAAGACGAAGCCGAGGCTGACATCGATTGTCCGCGTGAGCTGTGCGATTTCGCCTTGGGCTTGGATGACGAGGCAATGGATTCGTGAGAATCATGAGGTTCCTCGTTCTTGATAGACGGCGCGGAGGACAGCGCCGACTCCGCTTTCGAATCCGGCGGCCGGATCGACGGAGGCACTAGAGAAGACCGACAATCATCGTGTCTCAGCTTCGACACCGACGGCGAGTTCGGTGCGCTCCGCCCCATTACTGACGAAGTCTCTATCGCGCTGAGCCCCCTCGAGAGACCCAACGACTTCCTACTCTCCCGCCTACTCCTGCTCTTCTTCGGCCGCTTCTTGAACAGCGCCTCCTCGCCCGGCTGGACGAGATAGAACACCTCGTTTTCACGGAGCAGGTCCACTCCAACAAGCTGCCGCAGCACGCCGATGAGGTCTGAGCTGAAACAGTCGAGCAACTCGATGTTGCCGAGCAGCTGGCGGTAGTCTTCGTATGTCGCCGGGCCGTGGTCTTCAATCTCCTCTTCGTCCATGAGCTCCTTGTCGCCGAGCGAGCACCCGGGCACGACGAAGCACATGCGCGGGCCGCCTTCTTCCTTGGGTAGGCTGATCTTGTGGAAGCGGCAGTTCGAGCGCGTGACGGGTGAACTGGACATTGGACCTGATACTGCAGCCGACTCGAGGGATTGGGTGCGGAGGACAGATGGGGTGGGGGGAGGCTGGATCTCAGGGTTCGATGTCTGGAGAGGAGCGGGCGGGGGTGGAGCGGGGGGCTTAGCCATGACCTGCTGGAGAGACTGCCCTCTGGCAAGGGAAGGAGGCTTGTTATGTTGGTGACGCAGCACACCAGCATGGAATGTAGGTGGTGGGAGTGACGGCAGTACTAGACTTGGCCGCGTAGAAGACGTCGAGTTTGACACAACCGAAGATTCCCGAGAGGCCCTGAGCATCTTCGACGCGACACTGGCACCGTCGCTAGACTCGACGTCGCTGCCTTCGGCATCCTGCTCGTCATCGTGCTCCTCGTTACGAATCTTGCTATCGCCTGCATCGCTAGCTTCTGCGCGATCCTCATCGAACACGTCTGGTTTAGCGCGTTTTGCAGCGGGAGTTGTGTGAGACGCAGAGCGGGTGAGGCGACTCGGTTTCGTGTCTGAAGGGGATCTTCTGCGCTTCGCTGGCCGGTTCTGCGAGGACGGTTTGTCCGCAGAATCAGGCCTTCCGGCGGGATCACGATGGAGAGTTTCAGTGGACGAATGCCTACGCACCAGCGTTAGACAATTTGACAATAGTGGAAAATTCAAATAAAAGAACGTACTTCGCCTTGACGTCCACAGATGGGGTCACTTCACGAACCACGTCCTTGTCCTTGGCCGAATCCTCTTCTGCAACCGCCTGTGCAACTTCTTGTTCGTCTTCCTCCGGCTCCGTAAGATCAGAGGGCGGATACTCGAGCGAGGCAATGCTCGTCGTATCAGCATCCTCCACCGCAGGTACTGCAGTTTCCTCTACCGTTTGCTCCTCTTCAATTTCTTCCTCTTCCTCTTCACCCTCCGCATCGGCCTCGTCGTCAGGGATGACAACCGCACCGTCGAGCACGGTAGAGTCAGCGCCGACTGGAGAAGATGGGGCATTGAGCGCATCCTCGACAGCCACGACGTCCACCATAGGTGAGCCAGGTTCAAGGGAGGCGAGGCGAGGCGGGGGGCGTTCTGTATCTGGCGTGCTATCGACGATTTCATAGTCCACCACAGAATCATTCAGCTCGAGGGGTCCGTCGACGCGCATTTCCTCGTCCACAGCTTTCTCCACCGCCTCGTCCACCTCACCGTTGGCATATCCTTGGCCTTGACCATCGTCCACCACGTCGGCGTCGGCGTCGATGTCAGCCCCACCCTCATCCTTCCCCTCATTCTTCCCCTCATAATCCTTCTTCTCCTCAGGCGTCAACACCCTATGCACAAGCGCATCCACAATATCCCGCGCAATATCCCCACTCGCTCCTGCCCCCGCTCCCACCGTCTCCGCCACCACCGCATCCCCATCCGCAGGCGACTGCACCGACTCACCCGTACTCGAAAACCCATTCAACGGCGTAAACAGCCCGCTCGGCCCGTGCCCCATACCAGGCTCGAGCGCGCTGCTCGGGCCTGACGGCGGCTGGTCTCCGTTCGTCGGATTCGCGCTCGCGCTTGCACCGGCGCTAGCACCAACGCCAGTGCCGGCGTGCACACCAGCAGGAGGCTGAGCGAGCTCCACGCTCGCCCCGCGCGACGACAGCGCGCGGATCAGCGACGTGCTCAGGTTCATGCTCACCGGCGGCGGCGTGCCCGTGCCCGCGCCCGGGGTCTGTGCTGGGCTCAGAATGAGCCTCGGAGTGCCCGGAACGCTAATTAGCCGGGGCGGAGACGCAAGCGAGAAGTGCGGTGGAGGCTGCTGCTGCAGGTGCTGAATCGGCGGGGAGACGAGCGGGTCCGGTACGGACGGGTTCGCTGTGGTAGGCTGAGGCGTGGACGGGGGCGGTGGCAACGATACATGTAGGGGCTGGGCGGTAGAAGCTGAAGAGGGCTCGGTGGTAGATGGCTGGGAGACGCCCGTGTCGCTCTCGGGTGTAACGTCCGGCGAAGGCAATTGCGTGTTCTCGGGAAGGGAGTGAGGGAGGAGTACGTCGATCTCGTTGGGGTCGTTGGCTGCTATGGCTGCGGCTGCAGCGGCAGCCTCCGCTAGGGTCATGGGCATGGAATTCATCACTTGCGCGCTCGAATCAAGTTCAGGTTCGGGTAAGGTTTGGGGAGTAGATTCGACCAAGAGAGCAGACTCCGGCTCAGCCTGGGACGCAGACTCATGAGCAGGCTCGCGTTCCGGGGTAGAGACCCTCGGTGTAGGAGCACCGCTAATACCGAGGCCAGGCGGAAGGAAGTCGTCATCATCGTCAAAGGCAGTGGGAGGGTTGGCTTCCTCAGCATCTGCAGTTGCCTGAAGGAACGTCAGGTTTACGCAAAATCTAATCTTGAAAATACACTGACACCTCGGGAAACGTCCTCGATGACATACTCCGCCGATGGCTCGACAGAGCCCATGTCGCCACTGACGGACGAAACTTCGATTATGGGCGTAAGCAGAGCGGCCGAGGTTTCCTCCGACTCAGCCTCAGAGATATCATACAGAACGTTCGCAGTTTCTTCTTCCTGATCCTCGGGACCCGATCCTTGGTCGGAGGGCGACGAGGACCTAATATCAAAGTCGTCTTCTTCGTCTAGACAGCATTGTTAGCATAACTATCACATCGGTGCAATAATAATAAAACGCACCTTGAACGACCTCAACGTCCACACCCGTCTCGTCGTCTTCGGGCCTATCAGAGTCCTGCGATGGCCCAATAGTTTCATCATCGTCTTCCTCCTCAAGCTCCCCCTCCTCCTGCTCGCGGCCATCCGAATCCGGCAACTCAAGCACCTCAATCTCGACATCGGCATCATCGACATCATACACGAGATCGCTCGTGCCCAGCGGAATCGGACCCTCGTCCTCATCGTCAACGCTCCCGTCCGCATCGACATCCGACTCCCCTTCCGCATCAGCATCAGCGTCTGCCTCCCCTTCGAAACCGTCTTCGCCCCGAGCCCAGCGCTGGAACTGCCCCTTGACGAGAGCCTCCTCGTCCACATCCAGCTCCGCATCAACATCAATCAGCTCCACATCGCCGTCGTCCTCGGCCCCATCTACGACCATGCCACCCGGTGACGTCGCGATGTGCCCCGGACGCGTCGTGACGCGGCCCGGGAAGGCTGGGGGCCAGTTCCAGTCGAGGTGCGCGCCGTGGTCGTTGAATGTGTGGCCGTCGTCGAGCATGTAATCTGCGTCGGCTGCGTCGGCCGGGCGGGTAGGAGGCGAGGACGGAGGGGGCGGACTCGAGTCGGGGAGGGCATCGTCGTCGCCATCGTCGCCTTCTTCTTCTTCGTCTGCGTCTGAGGGCTCGTCCAGGACTTTGAGAATTTCGGGCTTGGGCTTCTTACCTGGCTTTTTGCGTTGATTCCGGGGGGTGCCCTCGACGTCCATGACGGCTTCATCGTCTCGCTCTTCAGCGGGGTCGTCTCTCGCTGCTGCGGGCACCTCAGCCTCATCTTCGAAAGCGTTCTCGTCGATGAACGCGGCAGCGTCATGGAGTGGTGTGAGGCTCGAGGGGTCGATCTCGGCGTCTCGTAGATCGGAGACGAAAGGAGAAGGGAAGTCGCCGCCCGCGTAAAAGTCCTCAGCGTACTCGCGGGGGCCGGCCCAGGGGTCGGGGAGCTCGACGGCCTGGCGCCCGGCGTGCGATGGGTGGAAAGCAGTACCATCTGTTCGAGATAAATACATGTTTATTGTATGAAAGGATTAGAAAAGAAGTGAAGGGGACTTACCGTCGGCATCGGCGGTGCGGTCAATATCTTCTTCGTCTCCGTCCGCTGAGATGGATAGCTGGTCATCGTCTTCGTCCCGGTCAGAGACACGTCCTGGAGAGACGTCGCGTTCTTCTTCGTCTTCCTCGTCCCCTTCCTCCTCATCTTCGCCGTACGCGTAGTCACGAGCGTGCGGTTGCTGCCTGGGGTCATAGTGCTGGGCATGACGGGGGTGAATAGAAGTAGCGGAGCCCGCCGGGCCTCTCAGGTCGCCGCTGTTGGCTTGTTCCTCGTCGCTGTCCACAAGTTCAATGATTTCCGGACTTTGCTCCCTTTCGTCACTCTCCTCGCCCTCCTCAGACACTTCTTCTTCTTCGACTTCCTCATCTTCCTCACTGGCCTCTACGCGCGGCTGACGTTGGCGAGGGTGAACAATGTCCGTGCCCTCGTAGATCCCCTCTTCTTCATCCTCCTCTTCCTGTTCTTCGTCCTCGCCAATATAGTACTCGCCTTCGCGCAGCACTCCATCTTCATCGTACTCGTCCTCCTCGTCCAGCTCTTCCGAGCCAGCATCAGAGACGGGACTGGATCTCGGGGAGCCCTGCTCGTCGCCTTCCTCCTCTTCGCCCGCTTCAGAGTCGGAAAGAAGCTCGATGGGATTTTGCTGTCCACCAAAGCCAGGGCCCTCGCGAGGGTCGCGAGCCTTGCCTTTTGCTCTCAGGCTAGGTCCGTACGACAGCGAGTCTTCCTCGTGGAAGGTGGCGTCAGCGACGTCTTGGCCCGTGCCGTCGTCGGCCAGTACCATGTTCAGGTCCGGCCCCGCGCCAGGACGACGGGCCTCGTCGCCAGCGTGTGATTCGTTGGAAACGCGGGCCTCTTCGTCAGCTTCTTCATCGTCCTGACCGAGGGCACGTCTAAGCGCGGAGGTGATACCGCCTATCCAGTCGTCGAACTCGGGCTTGGAAAACTTGTCGTAGGGGTTGTGGATCGGAGCTCTGGCTTTGTTCGGGTGAGATTTTTGGACGTTAAGCGCAGAGACCGGTGTGAGCTGGGGCGCGCTTGGACGCGCATATGAGTAGGTAGGAGACCAGCTCGCAGACATTGTGGTCGCGAGGGCGGGAAGAGGAAAGACGCGCTCTTGTGGGTCAGTGAGGGGACAGAGCAAGAGGCCAAGACGCGAGCCGTCATTAATGATGCACGTGCCCACGTGCTTTCCTTCCTGTTCTGGACAACCCCCTTTCTGTTGCTCAGCCAATGTTGCGATGAGGGTAAAGAGTCTGCTGGTCTCCAGTAATATTAGAATATTTAAACATGCCAGCCTTGTCCTTGCAGTCCAAGCTGGCCGAAAGTCTTAAACTAAAGCTTGAAGACCTGGGAAGGTTCGGCAGATGCCGGGCCAAACAAATGCAAGCAGCTTCCGCGGCGCCGAACAAAAGTCCCGCAGCAACCAGTAGCCCTCTTGATCGTCTGACAAGGCACTTTATTCCAATCCAGGCCTACAATTGTTCATTTAACGACATAGACTCTTTTTATCCGTGTCATTCGTCCGGACCCTGCCACGATCCCCACTTGGATCGCGCGGCCCAGTCAACGTGGATACGACTTCGCAAGCGAACACGATTGACATTCGTCAACACGCCGATCCGTCGAACCTTCAGGGTGGCTTACGCATTTTCTCCATATCTTCTGGCTGCTGTGCTCTCTTTGGCCAATAAAGGCTATAGTAGAAGCAGATGCGGCCCCGTGCTCATTGCATTGTCGCCATAAACTCGACCCGCATTGTCGTCGCGAAAAATTGACAATTCAGTAGGCAGATTGACCCTGACCAAATAGTTTCCGCTGGGCCGTTTTTGGATACCTGAGGCATCCGAGTTGCTTGAGCCTGATTTCCTGTGCTTTTTCCTACGTCCAAGCTCGCCACCTTAAAAACTGGCTGGTTCGGTTTACGACCTTGTCGACTCTCCTCTCGTCTTCTCTTGTGCTCTTGACACCCCCGCTTCCCTTGCATATACCTATCCCTCTACCACATCTCAAACCTAGTTGGTGAGAATAGCTTGCATCTTACTCGTCCAGTGCTTTATCTAACCGTCTTAATTCCTGCAGAAACAATATGAATAGCGTTACCGACGATACCGCTCCGTATCAATCCGCTGCCGACGTAGACTTTGAGCTTCCTCTCGCTTCCCAAAGCCCTGTCGTTTTCAACATCGACCTCGCGGACGGCCCATCGCTCTGGGCCGATGCTCACCAGAAGCTCTTGGGCTTAGGAGACCGGCTGATAGATATCCGCATCGACGTCTCTCGGGCTCCTGATGGTTTCGACTGGATTCGTCATCTCTCTGAAGCATCTCACAACGTTCTCGAAAACGTCTTCAGTCCATCTATTGCTCCGCAAGTGCGCAAGTATGATATCATCGCTACTCCGAAAGCTCTTCCTTTCTTCCTCAATGAGCTTCGTCGACCGGCACCGGCGCTCGAAAGTCTGCGACTGGAATGTTCTCAACACGTTGAATCAAAGTGCTCGCCACATGTCAAATCAGAGTACTCTCAAGACGCTCAAATGAAGTGCTCTCAGTACGACGAATTTCTTCCCTTGACCTTGCTCGATGGCCACGCTCCCTACCTCCGCGAGATCATCTTGGATAACATCGCTCTGCCATGGAACTCTCCGCTCTGGGGCTACCATCTCAGAGAAATCCAGCTTATCTCCGTGCCAGAAAAGCTAGCGCCGACGACGACTCAAATACTCACCATTTTCTCTGGGACGACCTTGCTACAGACATTCGAGATGAGGCACACCCTCCCTGTACCCGATCTTCCTAGCGTCCCAGAACACGAAGGGCATCTTTGTGCACTCCCACATCTGACGGGAATCTCTCTTCACGGGCCGTACGAGCGGTACACCCACTTGATGGCTTATCTGCTTCCTCCGGTTGATGCCTTGGTGGAAGCAACGATCGACGGGTTCGAGCACGAAGGACACGGGCACCCCGCAAACCTTCCTCTTATCCCCGCCGAGACGCTCGCGCCTCCTGTCGACGTAGAATGCCTCGACCTCGAGTTCTGGGACGACTGTCACGCGGTCGTACTCTCCAGCAGCAGCGACGCCACCAACGCCCCCGACTGGCCTTGGAACCCCGCATCCCCCTTCGACATGCGCTTCGACGCCTCCTTCAAGCTCTCATGCCTCAACGGCGGCCACGAGCACATCGTGTCCACCTACACCTCTCTCTCCGAATCTCTCCGCGCGCGCACCATCTCCACGCTCCGCATCGACGCCGTCCGCCCTCGATACACAGTCCCATGGATGACCATCCTCACCTCCCTCCCACACGTCCAGCGCCTGTCCCTCAAAGTCGACGACAGCGCCCTGTACCAGCTTCTCCACATTCTCCAACCATGGAGGCCGTCGGCGCCCGGAGGTCCGCATGGCTCTAGAGCGTACCTGCCGCCTACGCACGGGCGGTACTCCCTGGTTCTTCCTCAGCTGAAAGAGCTTGTTCTCAGCTGGGGGCACAGCTACCCCGGTGACGAAGACGTGGCGAACCACAACAACTTCATCTTGGCTCAGGAACTTGCGTCCTGCTTACACGCTCGAGCGAGCGTCAATGCGAAGCTGGCCTATCTCGAAGTGAGGTCGCATCAGCTCACCTTGAGGAGCGGAAGACTCTGGCCAGAGGTTGGTGTGCCCTATCTGATTGGTGCGGCGAGCAGTTGGCGTTGGGTAGAAACGATCGAAGAGTTTGAGGATTCTCACTCGGACAACGATGGATGTTGGGAGTTTCGCTGAAAGAGATCTCGAGATTATAATAGATATATATAACTAATCAGAGTTGGTTTGTTTCGCACTACAATAATATACAAACTTTCGTGATAACAATACAAGAAATTGGTGCAGAAAAAAAAACATTCAAAGACTCCGCTGCGAGCGTTGAAGACACGCGGGGGTTGGCGTAGACAATCAAAGGCCCGACATAAAACCCGATGTTGAACTTGGTGTGAGGTATGCACTGTTCGTCGGCAGCGCTTATGCACAAATCCCAGGAGCTTGTAGAAAACGAACGCGGTCAACAAAGAACCCTAGCCATCGAATCGCGCCTACGGCGTACCAGAAACACCTGCGATATATGCCAGGTATATCAATCAAAATCGATACGAGAGACTGACTTCAAACTCCAGCTCGTCCAGCCCATCCCTACCCAATTACAGCACCACCTTTGAGAAGCCCTTGGTGGGCGGAGAGCCCCCTGCCGAACTGGCCAGGAGCCCGCGCACATCGCGCGTGCTCCACGGTCACTTCGGCATGGGACACGGCCACTCACCGAGACATAACTCCATTTTTGAGGTCGTTCTCTGCGGCTCCGCTATGCCGTTCAGAAGATTAGTTCTAACCCGTGTAGCTCGAATGCCGTTCAAACCGAAGGAGGTCGAGGATATTGAGTTCCTTGGGCGGAAGCCGTCACTTTAGTTTTTCTTTGTTAGCATGACGTCTTCACCCATGTATTACGCCTTGAAGTAGCGGACGAGCTGAACCAAGGACCGTGGACGACCCTCTCGAGTTTAAGGATCTCTACCCCGTACAGAGGCGAACGCGGGAATGTACCAGTCTCGTATGCCCCCTCGAGTTTCAGTACAGAGCCAAATCGGCGCTTTCAAAGATGGATGCACTGGTTGGGAGCCAAGTCGGTTGTTGATGCGGTACCATTCCCAACCCCATTGGCCACCATAATGCATAATTGAAGGCGGCGGTAACATAACAGCGAAGACAGATGGACGAGGGCGAGGACGATAGCGCTGGAAGCAGCGCACTTCGCTAATGAGATAAGTCAAATGCGTATCAAGTCTTATTTCCGCCGTGGTGCACTTGTCTCGTGTTCGGAAACTGGGCCCACGTGCGAAGGCCAGGACTGAACGAGGTCTTCCTATGTCAGCACTGCCATTACGGCGCTAACCGACTGGATTAGAGTTCTCCGTCGTAGATCTACCGTTTTGCACTAACCATGAGAGCCAGACTCCTCCCAGACAGCACACGCAACGGCAATCCTAGGTCTCGCCGGGAGTTCGTCTGACTTGCAGAACTGAGAGCCGCAGACTTGGTGCTTGTCGCCTCTAGAAGATCCGAGTCAGATGTCCGTTTTATCCAGTCGAGCGGAACAAGAGAGAACACTCACAGACTGGTCGATGGTCTCCTACGCGGCCGTCACCCAGTCCTCATCGTTGAAACGTTGAAGGCCGAAGAAAATCTGGTCGCTGCGGCTCCGCGTTTTGGGATGTAGGAGCCTTGTGTTTGGCTTCATCCTAAGTCCGAGATGTCATGAAAAGAAGGTGGTTCTCTAAATGAAGTTCTGGAAGATGATGGTGACGCATGGGGTGATGCACTGGGGTGGTGACTGCTCTAAATCGACGTACCACCTACAGACGCAAACGGTCTGGCCAGATGCTTGTCAGATCATGTCAGGCCCCATTGGGCACAGTCGAGGCTCATGGATAATGCGAGGTGCATGGGGTCGAAGTGGAGAGGTACAGTATGGCAGCCTCGAGGGGCACGGACGGAGCCTGTGATCTCGAGCTGGGGAGAGATGAGGAAGAGCGCGGGCGCAACCGCTTGATCCAGTGATCGCCAACGCCGTCGCCAGGCCTCGAGCATCGAGCATCTTCGCCCTCTTTCCATCGCCTTCACCAGCACCGTCGGCGACGAGGAGAAAGCAAATAGGAGCAGAGTGGGCCCAGCGTTGACGCGACAGACAACATTGCTCGGCTCAACGGCAGCCCCTCTGGCAGGCGACGTGCAACACGCAACGCACCCATAAAAGGACCCGGGGCAACCAGCACACCCATTTGTGTCCCCCTCATAACATCCTCACGTCCACCCCTTCTTCGTCCACCGATCCCCCCTTCTCCATATCTTAGCCCATAAGGAAGAACGCCAAAGGACTAGACGACATTCACCAAGCTTGAACGCACGACTAGCTATCCTCCCACAGTCGAGGCCTGCTGACTATCCTCGAGTTTCGCACAATTCCGCCAGTCCGGTATTGCCCATTTCGCCTGAAAAAGTCTAGTCGAAAAGGAGCAGCGGTCAATGGCGGTACGCTTGCTTGTTCCCTCCCATCACGTTCTTGCTTAGCTCAACTTACGATCTGCCCGCCGATCACCCGCTGCGTCACGGCTGACCCTTACCAACCATCTACGACACGGATCCTGACTCGCAATGCTCATCAATCGGCTACCGGTGGACTACCTCACAGACCAGCGTTGACGTAAAGGGTCCAATGCCCATCCCTTGTCGTTCTCGTCCCCACTCATACCACCAACCCATCCCCGGCTCTCCCTCCAGCCCTTGCAGCAGCATCGCCAGTACATCACGGTTGACTCACACCGATGTCGGTGCTGAGCCAGATTCACCGGAGAATCTCGTACGGGGAGCGTACTCAAGGTTCTCTACACGGGAAATAGTCTTCTTCCTCCGCGTTCGGAATCTCCCCATCTCGGGCACGACCGCTGAGCTCGTCTCTCGGCTTGTGAACCACGATCTCCACACATATCACTTCCCCCGCGCCCGCTCCTCGTCTCCCCCGCTCACCAGCTGCCCGTCATCCACCTCTCTCTCGCTTTCCGCCCCACATGTATACTCGCGAGGGAGGTTAGGGATCAGCACGAAGGGAAAGGAGGTGCTCCCCAATCTGCCAGTTGAGCTCATCGCCGAGATCACCGACACCTTAGGAGACTGGGAGCTCGCTCGTGCCCTCGGTCTTCCCACTTCCCTCCCTACCCCGCCCGAATGGGTGAACGCTTCTCCATCTGCAATCGCCCTCCTTCCCGGCTCCCTCTCCCTTCTCCGCTCACCACACGTATCCCTCCAGGACCTCGAGAAAGACCCGCCAAGCCCAAGCGCGTCCGCTGCAGCCTCAGCCGTCGTGCGCTTCGGCCACGTCCACGTCCTCGACTACCTCCTCGCGCACCAGCGCCGCGTCTTCGCCGTCCTCTTCAAGCCCAAGCCCTCCAGCAGCGACGGCGACACCATCCCCACCGTCGCCTCCACCCACGGCCGCACCGCCATCCTCGCATGGTACAAGCACGCGTTCACCGCGCACCCCGAGCTCGTCCCGCCCCCCGCGCGCAGCGCGATCGAGGCCGCGATCGACGGCGCCTCGCGCGGCGGGAGCGTCGCCGCGCTCGACTGGTGGGCGGGCTCGGCCGGGACCGCGTTCGCGTACACGGAGAGCGCGCTCGAGCACGCGAGCGCCAAGGGCCACATCGCCGTGCTCGAGTGGTGGCGCGCCGCGCACCTCGCGGACCCCGAGGGCGTGCCGCTCCTCGTTGGGCGCGCGCTCGATGCGGCGTCGAGCGCGGGGCAGGTGGCGGTGCTCGCGTGGTGGGCGGCGTCGAGGCTGTCGTACAACTATGATCGGCTGAGCATGTTGCATGCGAGTGTGGCGGGGAGGCTGGATGTGTTGGATTGGTGGTTGGCGAGTGGGCTGCAGGTGATGTATGATGGGGATGTGCTTGTTGGTGCGACGAGGCACGATCGGGCGGACGTGCTGGAGTGGTGGGCGAGGAGCGGGCTGAGGGTCGAGTGGCGGATGTGTGATATCGAGGAGGCACTTGAGGACGCGATTGGTGGAGGAGAGGGGGCGAGAGCGTGGTGGAGAGCGAGAGGTGTCGACTTCAGGGCTGAGGATAGGGAGTGGATGAAGGTTCAGACGCTGAACTGAATGGTTTGGAGGTCGGTGCGTGGCAGGATAAGGACGATCAGACGACTGCTATCGTTATGAATACTCATAAACGCTTTAATACTTTCTTTCTTGTTTTTCTAGATCACACTCCTCTTCATCTTACGTATTACTGTATGCTGATACTTCAATGGCACAATTGCAGCTCGTCGCTTCAACCTCTTGTGCTAACCCTTTGCGCGAGGAAGTACTTAATGAAAGGATCTCGATCAAGCCCGCCAGCTCGGGAGTGATACGGGTATGGGAAAGGCTGTTTTAGTGCTTTCTTCAGTTTGAGAGCGTTTACCCGGTAAGTGCTCACCATCCCCATTCCTGGTAGTTGATCGCTCACTCTTTGCATTTCCCTCCACCGTATTCGGCCCATATTGAGATCCATATAGTTATTGCGTCCAGAGTAGGACATGTTGGTGCTGAAACGCTGGTCTTCTGTGTTGCTCTTCCCGGTTTTCCTTTACCTTCCCGGGACCTTCGGCGATAGGAATCAGCGAAAAGAGCACCAGGATGGTGCTTTTGGACCCTAACCTTCCGATTCAGATCATCACCGAGATCCTCCGAGTCCGCATGCCTCGTGTTAGACCTCGCCGCAATGCAACGAAACCCTTTCCTCACAATAACTCTACACGCATCAAGCGCCGTGGGTCCCCTGCTGTGTTAATATGCCCCTTTATCGACGACGAACGATCGGTTTGGGTGCACATCGGTCCCAGGTGCCATTCGGGCTGCGAGAACCTATAAATGCACTGGGCTGGCAGCGTGCCCAGTGCTTGTACCGTCCCCGCCCAACATGTCTCATCGACAGCCGTACCATGGGCAGTCGCGCAAGCTCGTAATTTCTTTCGACATTGGAACCACTTACAGTGGCGTTTCCTATTGTCTGCTAGATCCTGGAGAGGTGCCGGTGATTCAGGGGGTCAATCGGTACGTCGAACGGTCCTTGTAGCGATACACGATTTATCTGGATCGCAGCTTTCCAGCTCAGGATAACGGAGGAGACTCCAAGGTCCCCTCTATCTTGTACTATGACAATAAAGGGAAGGTCCGCGCGGTAGGCGCGGAAGCCCTACAGGAGAGCGTCTTGGAGAGAGCAGAAGATGAAGGCTGGCATAAGGCTGAATGGTATGTCCTTCCGCATGTTGTACGCACCATCTCGCTTTAACACCTGTACGCTACAAAGGTGGAAGCCCCACCTCCGCCCAAAGCACATGTCGACAGGGCTCACCGACGCGGATATCCCTCCACTACCCCTTGGCAAGGCAGCTGCCGAGATCCTTGGCGACTTCTTGAGGTACTTGTTCGAGTGCACAATGACCTACATCGAACAAACACACGCCCAAAGTCCCGAGTTGTTGGCCTCGCTCAAGGACAGTATTGACTTTGTGCTGAGCCATCCCAACGGGTGGGAGGGTCCGCAGCAGGCGCAGATCCGGAAAGCGGCTGTGCTCGCCGGACTGGTGGGCAATAAGCCGCAGGACCAGAGCCGCATTCAGCTCGTCACTGAGGGAGAAGCAAGTTTGCACTTCTGCATGAACTCGAACCTCGCGACGAGCGCGTTTCATGTGGGTACTTCTCCCTTCATGGGCACGAAAGAGGAAAGCTGACTGGAAATCAGGATAACCAGGGAGTCATCGTCGTTGACGCGGGAGGGGGGACGATTGATCTGAGTGCATACTATATGACCAGTAATCTTGCCTTGTTCGAGGAGATTGCGCCTACAGACTGTATCTCTCTTCCTCGACTCGGAGACGTTTCAGGTACTGACTTTAGTCTTGAGGTCTCCTCCAGGGATCCATCTTCGTCACACGGCGCGCCGAATCATACCTGCGAAGTTCGCTTTCCCGCTTACCCATTCGTCGCAACCTCCTCTAACGTTATCTGCAGTAAAGCTTCAAGGGTCAAAGTTCGGCGACGAATCTGACGTCAAAGAAATGACCAAGGTATTCGATAGCACGACAAAGCTCAGGTTCAGCACTTCTTCGGAGGCCGCGTACATCAAATTCGGCACGATTAGGGACAGGGATCAGGATTTCGGTATCCGGTCGGGGCAGCTCAAGCTCCCGGGGTAAGGTTTCGATTCAGCAATACAAACAGAAGCTGATACATGCCTGCAGCACCGATGTTGCAAAACTGTTCGAACCCTCAATCAACGCCGTGATCGATGCGGTCAACCAACAGCGCCAGGCAGCGCGCAAGCCTATAAACGTAAGGCAAACCCAACCTCCAAAAAAACCAAACTTAGCAAACCCACAGAGCGTCTTCCTCGTCGGGGGCTTCGCCGCGAGCGACTGGCTCTTCCACAGCCTCAAGGAGAGCCTCCCGAAGCACGGGCTGAACTTCAGCCGTCCCGACAGTCACACGTCCAAAGCTGTTGCAGACGGCGCGGTCGCCTTTTATCTCAAACATGGCGTCTCGACTAGAACGGCTCGCGTCACATATGGCACGCGGTCTGCGATCGAATACAACAAAACTGACCCGGAACATATCAAACGTGCGGGAACAATCATACCGAGGCCATCGGGGCGGTCAGTCCTCCCGAATGCGTTTAGCCCAATCTTATTTAAAGTGAGCATTTGCCGACCTACGAGTACAAGATTGTGGCTCGTGATTGTGCGGATTTGACCCAGTCATCAATAGGGCATGCAAGTCTCGGGGATCAATAGGGAGTTCCGTAAAGAATTCATTACAGATAGCGCGTCCAGGATGACGTTCGACAAGGTCTCGATTGACATCATTTGCTATGAAGGCGACGACCCCGCCCCACGCTGGATTGACTCCGAACCCGGTAAGTATCTTACTGTATTCTGCCATGGGTATTCTGACATGGAACACAATCAAAACCATGGACTAAACTGGCCGTTCTCACAGAGAAATACTGGAATCTCTGCACCATTACCGCCGACACGTCGCAAGTCGCCAAGACCATCAGCTCTCGAATGGACGTCAACGGGCGGCAGTTCTACCGGCAAGAGTTCAATTTGGTGCTCACTTTTGGGATCACAGAGCTTAGTGCCCAGCTGAGCTGGATGGAAGATGTAAGTGTTTGTTTCCTTCGGACGCTTCGACACAGTTACTCACAGAAGCAACAGGGAGTTGAACAGAGGTACTGTAGCATCAATATCGCATCACGCTTTGCTTGCATCCTCATTACTTTTTTCTAGGAACCCAGCATCGGTGATATACGACCATGTCATTGAGGAGCGTCCATCGCAGTGATACTTATGGTTGCGGGTCGTCCCCGCATTTCTTTTTATATACTCGCATATATATAAGTATGTCAGCAGGAAGAGTCGTGATTGATGCACACTGAATCCCCGGCGCCACATTGCCATTATTCGTCGGCATGTCGCCGCGAATAAGGTTTTTTTTAAAAAAAAAAGGCAATACAATGTTCGCCAACAGCCTAAAGCTGGTCCTCAACTGGCTGGCATCAATCTTTACTCACTCGCATAGTCTCGCCAAAACGCACACCTTCGATTTATGGTCTCGAATCGTTACAAAATCGTCTACTGCAGACTATGCCTCTCTACGCTCGCGGCTCTTGGTTTCAAGTATCCTTTTTGTGCACAAGTCATCATTTGTTTCTGTGGTCTGTGTGGTCTACGCAAGCTCTACGTGTCCGCTGAGTGAGCGCGGTCCAGCTCGCATCGGGCGTGGTAAAGTACGTAGTCGATTAAACTCGCACAGCCACACACACGTGGAGTATGTACCAAGACTTCAATATTTCAATTCTCGCTATCATCATATCAGCACATCGCTATCCCAGCGTCGCATTCCGCTTCCACTCGATACGCGGCTCTTAAAGGGAAAGTGATGAACCTCAGTCATTCGTTGAAGCTGAAGCTTCAAAATGAGTGCAGTAGGCCGACGCTGGAGCCAGCGAACTAATTCCCGACCACCGGGAAATAGGACAGAACAGCCCATGTCAAGATGTCGAGTTCGCGGTCAAAACTCCCCACGTCTAGTCATGTCTGTCCAAAACCTGACACTTTCTCTATGTTTTCTCTCTGAATTTCCTCGGTAGGTTGCTCAGCAGCTGTCGTGATGACTATTGCCCCAAGCTGAACTGCGTGAATAAGTTTGTCATTTGCCGTAAATGGCGGGAAAACCAGCGCTCAACCTAGAGGAACGAACCTGAGTCCAGGTGGTGCATGCTCCTGTATTACGAGAAAACTGAATTCAGCGATGATGTCTTCGGCAAACTTCGTTGTGAGTTGGCCTCGGCTAAACCCAGTTGCTGATATTGCCAAAGCCAACGTTTAGGAGATGCACGATCCGGTATGCGCTACACCCTTCCGTATTACCGCTACCAGTGCCATTGACGGTGTATAAAAGGCGCATTCGTCGCCCCATCATCTATCCGGCACCCTTCTCATCCTCACTTCCTTTTTCCTACCATATAACCTTCTGAAACTCTTAACAAGAACACCATCATGGTTTTGAAACTCTACGGCTTTCCCATCTCCACTTGCACACGCACTGTAGCGGCCACATGCAAGGAGCTCAATATCCCGTATGAATTTATCAACGTTGACTTGGCTGGCGGCGAGCACAAAACGGCCGAGTTCACTGCGGTACATCCCTTTGGCCAGATCCCTTACATCGTGCGTAAATATTATCCATACTCCCGGCCTTTTATCGTCTGCGGACACTGATTTGATGCACTTGCACGCCCGAATGACAGGACGAGGATGGTTTCAAGCTTTTTGAATCACGCGCCATCTCGCGCTACCTTGCCAAGAAATATGCCGGAAATGGCCCGAAGTTGATTCCTACTGACCCGAAGGAGGAGGCGATTTTCGAGCAGGGCGTCTCGATTGAGTCATTCAATTTCTACCCTTCGGCCATTGGATATGCGAAGGAGAAGGTCTTTAAGCCGTATGTTCGCTTTCCTTCTTTCTCCCCATATTCATTATTCCACATTTGTGTCTTTGCTGTTGATGGCTGGTGAGCTAATGTGTTCTATAGGATGTTCGGTTTGACTACCAACGAAGAACGTGCGGCAGAGCATCTTGAAACACTCAATGCCAAGCTTGACGCGTACGACGTTCTCCTGGGCAAGCAGAAGTATATCGGCGGCAACGTAAGTCCTCTTTTGACCACAGAGGCGGCCTGTAACATGCGAAATCGTTTTGAGGCTGCTAACGATGATTGATCTTATGCAGGAATACACCCTCGCCGACATATTCCACCTCGCTTATGCACTTGCCGTCGTTGAGGCCGGTCAAGGCGGGCTCTTCGAGTCGCGTCCCAACGTGGCTAGGTGGTGGGAAGAGATATCGAACAGGAAAGCCTGGGTGGATGTTATTGAGAAGGGTGTGTAAGGGCTTTGCTATCGTGTAGCATAAGAATACATTGTTCGCAGAGCAATGCTCGCAGTGTTTGCAGTATGTTCGAACTGGGATATTTAAGCATTTCGTGGTGATGATTTATTGCGATGCACGATATGTATTTCTGAGCATGCGTCATTTTCTTTCTATCGGAAGAACGAAGACAAAGACGTCCATGTTTAGATAAGCTGATTGACACTCCAGGATGAGTTGTTCTAGACGAGTTGTTCAAACTAAGATTCCGGCGTTCGGTTCATTCCGGGCGGCTAATGACTCATTTCCCCACGACTTGGAAGCGAGACGCTTTCGCAACTCTGCGCGGAACGTTGGCCTTCCGCTTTCCTAGATGACGTCCTTCTCTTGCCCTCTTGATAGGACTTGTCCGATAGTCAAATCACTTGGTCAACGTCTCTGTCAACGTAGACATCCTGCTCAAATGGAGGACAAATGCTTTCGAGACGATGGTGGCTAACTAGAACCAGCGATTGAGACGACTTGGAGACGACACCCAACATTTGACTATCAAACCTACGATGACGAGTGGCATGAGATGGTAGGCGCTTCGCAAGGATGACGCTGGCTGGCTGGGAGTGGTGGTTACGGATATTTTCACGGTGTGTTATCTTCGACTCGTGCGCCGTATGATGCAGGAGCCTCTGACTGTTCTGTCAGATGTCACGGATGGCTGCGGAACGATGACCTTGAATGTCACCATGGCGGCCCACCAGCTTCGTCTAGCACCGTGACCTCTGTTGTATCACACCCGCTTTTCCCGTGTCAACTGATTTCGGATTTTGTCATCAACGCCTATTTATTCCCTAAGAAGGATATGTCTGAGACCTGTCGAAGTCTCCCAAGCAACGTAGGTCCATGCGCTGACTTGAGCGCTTGGGCCATGTATGTCGTTTGATGCATTCGTTGTCTTGCCCCTTGTAAGGAGAAAAGAGGTATTGGTTGCTTTGACCGTGGTGAGCATGCTGATTCCCACTGTAACGTAGGCACGAAGACGCTTGGATGTTGGTTCCATTACCTTTAAAGCGCTCGTCGAACGCTCCCATCTCCATATCTCACTCCCTACCTCCTATCCAACACGTTCCTACCAGCATTGGAAACCCTACCATACCAAAACCTTTGGTGAGTATTCGCTTCCTTAGTTTCCGTGTTCCGGCTAACAAAGCTTCTGGGTTGGCTCCCTAGTCCTGCCGATACCACATCGCGCCCAAATGTCTTGCATAATGCTGAATGCACCCAGCAAACTTCTTGGTCTGCCGAACGAGCTGTTGGCCGAGATTCTCAAACTATGCTCTATCGACGATTGCTTCTCCGTGACGGGGGTCTGTAGGCGACTATACGATGTGGCTGCATCTCTTCCTCAGTTGTGGACAGACATCATACTCATTGACAGCCAACCTAACACATGGGTTGAAACACAAGCGATGATTCGGAGGTCGTTTCCTCTCTGTTTCACTTTCTCTCTCGCCGCCACAGAGCTACCAGACGCCGATCAGCGTGACTCCAACAATTCCTACTACGACGTGATGGACTTAGCCATTCGTACCGAGGCACACCGCCTACGTCGCCTCAACGTTGTTCTGACGGGACTCACGCAACACAATCTTCTCGAGAACCATCTGCTTACATCTATGCCAAACCTCGAGTACCTGGAGTTAACGGGCGACGGGACCGATGAACGTCCTATCCCTAGCACTTTCCTCGCGGGCTGCGCTCCTAGACTCAGGAGACTTGATCTTGATAACATCGCTCTGCAATGGGACTCCCCTCTGATCGGGAATCAATTGACATATCTCCGGCTGGCTGATCTTCCACAACGTCTGGCCCCTTCAACGCAGCAGATGCTGATGATTCTACGAGCGACCCCTTCGCTACAGGCCCTGATCATCTCGGATGTCCTCCCTCAGCAGGATCAGCTCTCTGTTCCATTCTACATCCGCCACTCATCTCATGACAACAAAGTGACGCTCCCTGAGCTCCGAAACCTCGATCTTGCGGGTGATTTTGGAGACTGTGGGGCTCTCCTAGCGTATCTAGACGTTCCGAAAGAAACTGAGAGCTGTATCCGGACAAGGTCCTCGGCCGACGGGCATCTGGACGATATCCCTTTACTACCAGCGGATGCGTTTTCGTTCAAGGATAACGACACCATGATGTCTGAGGAGAAAGTGAAACCCGACCTCTTCCGAACCCTCGATATCGAGTTTACCACGGCAAATCAAGAAGGGCAGGAAAGCGACTGCCATATTCATTGGAGCCACCCTCAGTGCAACATCTCGGTGTATGACAGCAAGTACTCCTCTCGAGACGAAGCGCTCTCGCCTGTGGCTATCGATGAGACCTTGATTGAAAGTGGACGTATCGGCGAAAGCTTTACCAGCGGTCTGCACCTTTCCTCGAGTTTCTCCTCGGACTGCAACTGCTACGGCGGCCACGACCATCTCAATGCAACGTTCAAACCTTTGGTGGGGACCAGCCGACTATGTGACGTCGACACGCTCAGGATCAAGACTTTGATTCCGGGAGTACGCAGCTCCTGGAGAGCGCTCCTTGGTGCGGCTTCCAGTGCACGCGTGCTCGACTTGGACATGGACCAAGCAAACCTGAAGGCTATCCTCAACGAGCTAGATGCATCGGATGTGATGGGGGGTAAAGAATCGCCGATGTTGCCTGCGCTCTCAGAGCTTCATTTGTTTTGGCCCTACGAAGAGGATGCCATGTTTAGCGTTGTTACGCCACAGCACTTGGTTCGCCTGCTGGCGCGACGGGTGGAAGCTGGGCTTCCCCCTGTCAAGTTGGCAATTAAGGGATACGATGTACAACAGGTGTTTAGAGGTTTCGAAGGATCGCTGGAGCGGTTGACTTCCACCCCTGTAGAGTGGGCCGAGTACGATGACGATATGGATTTAACTCGCTTGTTAGTACGTGTAGGATAGGCGCCCTGGGCTTGATGTATTGCAATACCAATTATCTATGTAGAAGCCGCGAAATTAATCTTCCCAAGCGTCAAATTGTACTGGGCACACCGCTCAGGCTCCCTGTAGCCAATCACACTGTAAGGAAAGAGATACTGTAAGCACGTTGACATGATAGCTATTTATGAACCCACAAGCGGTGAAAGGGATAGTACCGAGAATTCCAACGTGAAGAATCCTGAATCCTTCATTTCCGGGGGAACAGGGTGGTTGGGCGCAGGGCAGGGGACGCATTGCATACGCATGCAAGGTACAAATGCTGTATTCTCCTCCCTTTCATTCTTTCCATACCTTCGTCGATTTCGTCGAGAATCCTTGTCGACGAAGCAGACACTCTTGACCTACAGCTTGGAAGGGCCATCACCAACAACATAGACTGACTATTTGGATTCGCTGCAGTGCATCGTACGGTGCTTGCGAGCTCGCTTGGTAGTCAGTTTAAATACGTTGTTAATACCCCAGCATGCCTGTTCCAGCAGTAATAGCGGCCATAGTCATCGCATCTTTTATAGCGGAGTCAGCAATCATCGCGAAGGCTCTCAAGAACTTCTGGGATTCAAGAGGCTCTACCGCTACATCGCCTAGCACCAATCCCGTAGAAACCACTGCTCGCAGGAACACATACCGTCATGTGCGCGTGGCTGGGGAAGAGGACAGGCAGGCTGCATTCGAACTGGCGACAATTGTCGCCTCAGAGGTCGAGGAGTGGAGGGGCGAGGTACACAGGAATCCCTCCCCTGTACATCTCATTCCTTCCTACTAAAAGATTCATGCTGACTGTGATACACATCGTATAGCCCGACGCCTTCAACTCTCGCATATCCCTCACCATCGACAGATGGGAAGAACTCCTTGCACAGCGGCGTGCGATGCAACAAAGACGCTCTGCTGCCGCGGTGTGTAGCAACAACGTGAACCCTACCGATACCACCACCGTCAGACACACGGTTGACCGGGAGGGAGAGGAAGAAAACAAGCAGGCGATACGTGAGCTGGAGGCGATCATAGCTCGCGAGGTGGAGGAATGGAGGAACGAGGTGCACGGGAGTCTGAGCCGTGGGAACCTGTCAAACTCCGAGCGCATGCCGATGAGTGAACTCGAGGAAGAAGTTCGTAACCCACTGTCATCACCAGAGACATCGGAACTGAGATTTTTATAGGCGATCCTTTCTCTGCAGTATAATCTTCTCTCACCAATTGATATCCTCCGAGACCTTCCTCTCAATGGCCCAGGAATCACTGCCGCTCACTCTCCTGCGGCATCCATTTCCAACGGCATCGTCAATCCTAGTTCTGGCCCTAACGGCACCATTTTGACTGGAAACCCCTCGAATCTCATAATAGACAGAAATGCCGACGCAGATGTCATTTTAGCAAGAGACCAGACCCCCGCACTCACGGACGACTCCCTCATGCCCCACGACTCCATTTCCAATCGCCTCAGCCCTGTTCCAGGCGCCGTTCCTTCACCCCCATCTGTGCCTACCACATCAGACGGACGCTTGGTTACACCCCCGTCCGATGCCAGTACGATGCGCGCACCGACTACTATGTCGTTGCAGCCCATATCGACCATTGCGTCGCTTGACTTGATGTTCTCCTCCTGGTGGGAGGCCGGGTTAAACCTCAGTGAACCGATTTCGCCGCCTTTTCCACCTTCTCAGTCAATGTCTACCCAGCCGTTGAGGTTGCAGTCAACCGAGACAGAGACGCAGGCGTCTTCCCACCCTAGTCCCCAGACTAATGTTCAGGCTCCAATATCAGGAGTGGCATCGTCGAACACCTTCACACCCATCCCCCAGCACATCCCGTTCTCCCCTCCTCAAGGATCAATGCACTCTCTGTTAGAGCGCTTTCAAGCATTTTCAACATCACCTCCTGCTGTCGTTACCCCACTGGGTCCTCACTCAGCCCGGTTCTCGCGCCCCGCAAGCTCGTTTGCCACGGCTTCTCCATCGGTCTCCACTCAGTCCATGCCTGCACCCCGGGGGAGTCGCGTACAGAGCGCCGCGTCTCCGGAGTATGCTGAAAAGGCCATGCTCTCTCCACTTACGGGCCTGACCGTCGGATCGCTGTTCACGTCTTTGCCATCCGCGAGCTCAGACGCGCGTTCTACGGCGCCTGTCGAGCGCTCAACGCCGGAATCCGGAGCCGGGTCTGGCGCCTCCGCCAAATCAAGTCCCGAGAGTCAGGTTGCTGCGCCCTCGGCTCGCGTACGCTCGGTCTCTGTGGGCTCAAAGCGTGTCCGAGTTCCTGTGGGAGTTGTCAACGGATCCGCAGCGATGTTCATGGACCATGGGCTCAACGGGGGTGCGCTTGGAATGAACAACACTGGTGGTGAGGAACGTGTGGATGAATGGGCTGAGGCAATGCAGTTGATCAATGCGCACCTGATCAACTGATGTTGTTTACCCCAGTCGAAACATGGCGGATTCTCCGGGAGTAGTTGTAAGCGCCATGTCTCTCGGACTTACGCCACACTTCGCTCCTTGTCAATCCTGCGTGTCAGCTTCTCTATCGTTGTCATAACATCAGTGTCCTTTTTGTTTTTGTTTCTGCCTTCATTTCTTTCTTGTCATGATCTTGCTTCACTCGAAGACTTCGTGCCAATTCCTCCGGGCTGTAATCTTACTCAATTTTGTATACTATCGGAACTTGGATTCCCATTCGAGTTTTTCCAAGGAATACAGGCTGTTCCGAGGCTTCGATGGATGGAATCAGTATGGTAGCGGTTTGTCCTCAGTAGGTTTTCTGGTATATACGATACAGCTAAAATTGATGTGATCTGGGATGTAATAAGCATTTGCGCAAAAACTACGAAGGTTTGAAGGGTCAATATAATGTGAAAATCGCAAACGTATCTATGAAACGTCTTTTCAAAAGAGAAAAGGGTATTCTCACGGAGTTCCAAAGTCGGTAAATCGAGTATAATACGTTCTCAAGATAATCAAGCGTGCAAGACGAATAGACTACCCATAAGCGCGCTCGAAATAACGACCGCCGCAGAATGAAGCGCCGCCCTTGTTGCGCCACTCGTCCCTGAGCTAATCCCAGAGCCAGATGAAGTAGATGTCGACGTGGAAGTAGGCTGCGCACTTGAGGTAGAGCACGAGCCAGAGCACGTCGTCTGGCATCGACGTCTTTGACTGGATGAGCACATATACTGGTGTTTCGTAGATAAAAAAACTTGCACTGCTCGAATGTCGGGACTGAGTAGTTGCTCTCTACATACGGGTGCGTTTCATTGTATCCGACGCCAACGGGCACGAGGTGCTTGAACACGGCGGCAAGTTGATCATGGTATGTCACCGCCGTGTGCATGGTGAAGTTCGTCAGCTCGTGCGTCAGCATGATTGTTCCCTGCTCCGCGAAAGTGCCGTTTTTTGCACGCGTGATCAGGTCCTCGTAATTCTGGTAGACTTGCTGATCGGTGTATCCGTCATAGCCGGCGCGCCAATCGTTTGAGTCGTACTGCCACAGGATCGTGCTCATGTTTAGGGCATGCGCGATTGCGCGCACGCGGTCGTCTACATCGCCATACGGCGGCTAAACAAGTATATGAGTATATGTCAAGAAAGGTGCCAAAACCACTTACACGCCAGCAAAGTGGAGCGACACCGGTGACGAACTTGATCATCTTTTGCTGTCAGGTCATGAGTATACGGTTGGGTCAAGTTTAGAAGCGACAAACAGCTGGAGGAGAAATTAGAGGAACGTTTGTGAGAATCAAGAATAACTGCATACCATAATACAACTCCGCGAAGACTTGGGTGTTATTAAGAGCAGTAGCTAGAGCACTGTTAGCATATACGTCGGATTGCTGATGAATATTATTAAACGCACTATATTGATGCGACCACGTGTCTGGTTACGGTTTCGGATGGCTGTATAAGTAGGCGCTCACAGCGCATAAACGGCCACTCACGGACGCAAATTTGGTGACCATCAACGATGGCACGTTGGGCTTGGAGTGGATTGTTTTGTACGTTGCTCCCGATGTAAAACATTGCTGCGAGAGGAAGTGAGCATACGCATACGACTTTCTAGTCCAACCTAACGTACTAGCTTTCTGATTCCTCGACTCCAGGAAATCATAGAACACATTGTGCGAGCAGTTAGGGCCGTCATCAAATCCGTATCCCAGTGTATCAGGCTGTCAGCGGTCCAACAGAGGAAAAAGTCACGACATGATCCACATTGTGGGGTTGCAAAGTAGAGAATCAGAACTAGTTAGCGCCCGCACAAACTTAGGCCCACATCCAGTTTGAGGCGCTAAGCGCTACCCTAGATGAACTAGCAAAGTCTCACTCACCTCAGGCATCGTCGTAATGTCGGCTGCCAGCCCGCTGTGCTTGGGCACATCACAACCCGAGTACGTCCACCAACAGTCGGGATCGTTTGAGGGGTAGTTGTATCCGGAAAAGTCCCCGGAGAGCGAACCAGGTTGGTAGCCCTTCACCTGCACGTCCGAGGGGACCTGGTTCTGGATGCTGTTCCAGAGATCCTGCGCTTCAGTGTCCCCGTCCACGATGGATGCTGGCTGCCAGTTGTTAGGATACTGGGAGGACACGGCGTCCATTGGTGGCCAGTCATAAGGCTGGCACTCGGTGTCGGGGTCTGTCAAGATGTTAGTGCAATCCCAATGATGGGTGAGAATGCCTACCGGTGATTGCGGCTTCGTTAGCTTCATTGGTGGGTGTCTGGCCAAGGACATGCAAATGCGTTGTGAAGAGGCCAGCAAGCGCCAGGTAAAGCAGACTTGAGGCAGAGAAGAACATTCTGCGCAAAGGGATGGGTCACGCAAACGAGCGACCAAACGAGGACGCGACAGAAGGGTTATAAGCCTCTGTAAATATGAGCGTCCGGCTTCGTCTCGGCATGCAGCACATGTATCCTTTGCATGATCAATCACTTGCCAGCAGGATGCGACCAAAGGGAGGTGCAGTGGCGTTCTAGCAGATTCGGACAAACAATGATAGCCCGGTGACTTATCTTTATAGCCTCTCAGTGCCAAAAATGGATGGGCTGATAGCCGCCTTGAATCCAGCTACACATCGGCTGAGGGTCTCCAATAACTTGTGAAGTTGTCAAACGTGAAGAAAGAAAGGGAGAGTGCAAGTACACACGAAAGAGAGAGATGACAATGGTGGACGACAGTGACATCCAGGTCCCTGGAACACCAGTCAGCCAGTAGCAGCCTCAGCGTGGTGATGGGCAAGCCATCACAAACCCTGAAACGTCCGAGCGCCTTTAGATCATGCCGAGGATGCACCAGTCGGAGCCATTCGATGACAGCTCGATGGAAACGTGGCGAAGATAGGACATCAGAACCAGAATCAAATTAGAAACCTACCAATTCGTTGTCGCGCTCACCATTGGCATTAGTTGACATCTTACAGCTAGCTAAATCGGTTCGCCCGCTTCTCTGATTCTGAACAACGCATCGTTCACGTCAGAAAGGAAGCGGCAACGTCTCTATCGCCGGTGATAGGACCTCGAGAATTAGTTATTATAATGAAATGACGAGGAATAAGTCAATAAATTGTCAAAGCCCCTATGCTCGCCAGGGCCAGATACAACGACAGAGACTACTAGCATCATTTAGCTGGCTTGAAAATATTGTCTCGATACCACTGTAGTTCTAAGATAGGGATTTGGTCGGTAAATGTATGTACACGGGAAATACGTAAAAGCAACTTCACCTATGATAGATCCTTGAATGTCATCCAGAGCTCTGGAAAGTGAGGCACGCTAATTGTAAGCCGAGACATGTATGGACATGAATCGAACAACACTCGCCTATGATTTCCGCCGAAAAGTTCTTTTGGCACAGGATTATCGGGATACCATCGACGAGCAAGTTCCTATCAGAACGAGGGAAGTATGAGATAAAAGGTCGAGAATTCCATGGTATTTGTGTACCTTCACAGAGGAGACATCTTCGTAGTTCGCCATGGTAATCAGTAACTTCACGTGCCATTGACAAAAACTAGCCCTTACCAACAATGCTGACCATCATAAACCATCAGTGAGGGACATGTAAGCAAGCTAAGATATACGCACCGATAATGCAGCCAATCGATGACCTTTGGCATCTCGTGTACCATGAACGACCGGTCCGCGTGTACCGAGTTTCCAGCGAGCAAAGCCGTCCGCTGTTGCGGGACCCATTTCTTGATGTACGCCAGTACCATTTTTTCGACTTCGCTCAGTGTATGTGGGGCGGTAAGACACTCCGCCGTCAGCCCAGACTATTTGACAAGGCCTTTGAGGGTAGTGAGAGGACGCGTGATAGTGTGAGAGGAAAGCGCACCTTGCCGTGTTGGTTGGTGCACCATTCGTCCATACTGTTCGCGAATGTTCATCCCATTCATGGAGCGAGGAATAGATATAAGAACGCACCCATCAAGCACCTTCTTGTCCGTCCTAACAGCGTACCTGATCCCCTCGTCAACTGGCTGCAGTTGCCCATTCGTGATGATGACCTATGCAAAGTATTAGCACGCCTTCTACAGTAACATAAACGCTATAACGCACTGCTATCTCCAGTATCTTATCCTTGGGAGGATTCAAGCCCGTCATCTCACAGTCAATCCAGACCATAGGACCTGCATTGTAATCCAGTGGCTTTGGGGTCCAGGTATCGACAGACATTTGCGTGATCTTTCGTCCGGGCACGTACGGGTTTCTGGTGAGCCTTGCAATACGACTTGAGGATCTTGTCGTAATGGTTAGCAAGGGTTGTGAGGTGGCTCTTGAACAGGAGGCAATGCGACGGGCCAGACGGTTCATTTGAAGGGAAGGCGACAAAGAGAGAAAGCAGAGGGCCTGCAATAGCATCCGAAACGCGTGACAGAATTGGACAAAGGCCCCTATCTATAACGTGCAATCCCGCGGCGTTGACCTCGCGCCCTAAGAAGGTCAGCGGCGCGTACTCCGGACAGTCGATTGAAGATATAACGCCGAATGGCATTAGAAGCAATGTGGTTGAAATTTTTGGGTTGTTCGTTCCGACGTGTGATGCCAGCACTGCAAGCAATTCTTAATAATAACGGCAGTATTACTTGAAAACTACTGTACCATTTCGACCATAGGTTCGCAGTGGCGTGGGAAATCGGAGCTTAAAGTGACTTACCATAACCGTTTGTCCACCCCCTTAGGTTCGGAGGTAGGCTACATCAAATTTGACCCCCCTCGCGGGAGCGTCTTCAGTTTGCCCTTATAAGGCAGTATCTCGAGGTGTCTTGACAGGCGCAAAGTTGCTAAGTCTCAATATGTCACTGGGGACGCGGCCCGTACATGCCGTGATAAATCCATGTATAAAATATGTATTTGCAAATGTACGCGTCGCGCCTGCCAGTCAACAGAGCGCGATGTCGAGGTGAAATTCCATCTGTGTACACTCCGTCTATCTCGTCCACACCTCCCAAATGTCCGACCAGGTCGAATGGACCTCGAACGCGGGGTACCACGAGATTCGCGAGGCCTTGAAGAGATGGAGGCCGACCTGGGAATCGCGCGATTGGCAAGTCGAGGTCACGGCAAACATACTAGCAGGCAAGCATCAGCTTATCACGGTCGCTTGCGGGGAAGGCAAGACGGCGGCCTCGTACCTGTATCACATCGTCATGGCCAACTTACGAGAGGAGAGCCGCCGATTCCGTACACGTATACCTGAACGACCAGTGAGCTTGATGGTCACACCTCTAACTGACCTCGGGATCAACCACGTACGTTCTCTACAACGTCTCAACTGATGTGCGGGGCTTCACCTGTGTGTAGGTCCGAGAAATGCAGCGGATGGGGATTTCGGCCATAGCGTTGGACTCTGGCTCACTCGCCGCTGTCCGACAAGCTGAAGGGAACGTCTTTCGGGACATATGGAAGGGAGTGTACCAGGTGGTCATTGTATCCCCGGAGCGCCTGACGACAAAAGCGATGGACGATGTTCTCCGATCCAGGAGCTTTCGAAAACATGCGGGTGCGTATATTGTCGACGAGGCGCATGTGGTCGTGCCGTGGAGTGTTGACTTTCGGGATGCATACGGCGATGTGACGAGGGCCCTTTCCCGCCTCCCGCCTCGCATTCCCGTGCTCGCCATGACTGCTACCCTGACAAAAGCACTGGAGGGGAAGTTGTTAACACAGCTCAACTTTCGAAGAGGGACTTACACTCGAATCCGGCGCTCAACTGAGCGCACCAATCTTAGCATGATCTTTCGGACTCTTTCCCATGGCCTAGCGACTGCTGAAGCATTCCCGCAGCTGGCATGGATCGTTGCACGAAAGCAGAAGATAATTGTATACGCACACACCATTGACCTATGCTTCCGGATTGCCCTCTACTTCTGGAGTCTCCTGCCCCTCGGTGATGAACGTTATCGAGTCGTTCGCATGTACAACTCTGTCTTGCCTGCAGGCGTTAACGAGGCTACCCTCGAGTCCTATGCTTCGGATCCTGGTTCGTACATCCTAGTGTCAACAATCAAACTCAGTCTCGGGTATGACTTACGAAACGTGGCTGGAGTTGTTAATGTTGGGTGCCCGACCACTGCAGAAGCGCTGTACCAGCAAGGAGCACGAGCCGCGCGTGCACCTGGCACCAAAGGGTTTGTCATGACTTTTGTGGAGCCAGGCCTTGTTCGTGCTTTCCAGAAGGGCACGTTGGAGATGGCGGCTGAAGCGGAGGAAGGTGAAGGAGGGGAAGGAGATGGTGGTGCAGAGGACAACACGGGAGTTGAGGGGACGCAGCCACCAGTGCGTGCAAACGGCAAGAACGAAGGTGGTGGTGAGAGAGGGAAGAACGAGCAAGGGGGAAAAAGCGGACGTAAGCAATACGATTCGGAGCTGCGTCGCCTCGTGCTCGCATTTGTTGATGGCGCTTGCCTCTCACGCGAGTTCAACCTCATATTCAACAATCCCGGCACCACCTCCCACCTATCCTGCTTTGCTGCTCGACGCCCTCAACCGTGCTGCAATTGCATCACACGTTTCATGCAGGTTGCCCAGCCTGACACCAGTACCATGTCCATTGTCACTCGCAAAAAGAAGGCACGGACCAACAGATACCTCACGCTTGCGTCACAAGCACTCATGCGAGCAGATCTGACCTCGTTCTGCAAGTCGGCTTACCGGAGTAGTAGGGAGCTCCTGACCATCTTCATGCCATCAAATGCCCTCCTGCCTGCCAGGTTCATCGCTGCTGTTTTGAGTGGGATTGCTGATATCAAGACACCCTCGGACATCCAGCCGATCCTTCAGGCCACCGACACTACCCTTCCAGCATGTATGGGCTCCAGCGGTGAAGTTTTTGGCACTAAAGTTATCGAGTTAAAGCAGCTCTATCTTGACAAGCAACAGGCAACCGTCAGGAAAGGACGCGCACGAGGCCAGGTGACCCGACAAGCAAACCGAGCTCTCAACATTCAGCCTCACACCCAATCACAATCACCAAGCCGTTCTCCATCACGCTCACCCACCCCTCCACCCCCTCAGTCACCATCACCACCTTCATTGCTGGCAGCACATCACCCTCCCGTCATATTACGATTGGCAGTGACCAAGGAAGAGTATGATCGCATCGCAGACCAATCAACAACCTCGACAGCAGGAACATCAGCACCTGCAGCACCTCTCTCACCACTCAAGCGTTCAAATGCACAGCGTGGTCCGAGATCACCGTGCGTCTGCATTGTTATCCTTGTATGTCTACTAACATTTGTGTAGCCCCACATCACCACGCCGAAAACGTGTTCGCTCTCACATCTTTACCTCTCCTCCAAACAACGAAAACATCGTCCCCATTGATCCCCTACTCTCACCTTCACGTCATCGGCACCACCCTTACTCTCCGAGAAAGAATAAAACTCATACAGACCACATTCTATAACGGCAAGTGAAGTTTATTATACACAGATAGATATCCTAGATCAGTTGAATCAATGCCACAGCTTCGTCGATTCCCTCTAAGGTAACAACCTCGTCAGCATACTCGGCTGTGGCCTCCAGCCATGCAGGGGGTTCGAGTGAAGGTGATGGTGGGCCAGCGACCGTTGTTAAGTTGCGCTTGCCTACAAGTGAACGTTTAATATATTTCTGAATTCTGCCTTGACCACTGAGTGCCGCATATCCCTTTGCGAAGTAGTCCGGCGCTTCGAATCCAAAGTACCGATCAGCCTTGTATCTGTGAAGGTCATAGTCCCGGTAGAGATCCATAGCACGTCGTAACTGGGCATCTCGCGAGCGTTTTGTATGGTGCGTTGTGCGTGGCTCAAGCCCCACCTCACCCTCCATGTCTTTTGTTAGCCGGAGGAAGTCGAAAACGTTCATTGCCAGGACAAAACGGTAATACTCGTCGTCAAACTCCTTGCCCTTGTGCTGAGCAAGTTCTTCCAGGTGCCCATTAAACCATTCTTGTAACAGATCAATCTCGACAAACGGGCTTGATTCCGAGAGCCTGACTAGTGCGTTGTTCAAGAGAGTGTCTGCACATTTTTGCGGATACTCATACTTGAAGCGGCACCATTCTTCAGTGAGATAGTTGGCGTAGTTTGGGTTTCCCCCTCCCGAAAATGTTAGTATCCATATCTTCGGACGGTCACTCGGTTATTTGGCTTTGTTTTGGCAGGAGTACAACCCAAGCTCACCTTGAATACTTCATAAATCCGTCCAATGTCGCCGCTTTTGGTGGCTGCACTGACCTCCAACCAAAGCAAGCCTGCGTACATCATAAGGTTTCCGTTTGCGAGAGCCTGATCTCCACGAACATCAGGCACGGCTGGCACAGCCTCATCCACAGCGTCAACTCCATTGTTGACCGGCTCTGCATCTGTATCAGCAACATGAATGGTGTCCACGTTCTCCAAGTCTTCATCATCACCGGGGACCTCTTCCCCAGCACTACTGCAACTGTCATCTGTGAGTTCGCCAGCACCATTCAACGGTCCAGGTGTAACCCCTCGTGTCTCTGCCTCCTGCAGGTCATCTCGCATACGAACACCAATAACCTCCCCTTCTCCATAGCTATCCTCCGAGCTGTCTGACTCGCTTTCTGACTCCGAGCCGGACACTTCTCTCTGTTGAGGTGGCACTTTTGAATCGCCTATCACTGGCGGAACTCGGTTTTGATCGTCAACGTGGTCCCAGTTACCTTCGCGCGCACACTCATATGCCTCATAAGTAGCATAGCGGAGGACGAGGATGCGGGAAAGCTCAAGAAGGTCGTCAAGCGTGGGGAGATGGTGCTCATTTGAGTTACCGAGCGAGCTAAAGTGAGCTGACAGGTCTTTTGTGTCAAGGACAACCCTAACATAGAAGTCAGTGTGTCAACCTCTTGATTGATGGGTAAGTTTAGCTGGGACTCACTCCCAGGCTTGGAGAACGTGTGCATGGATGGCGGTGTCCATCAGGCTGCGCCCCTGATAGAAGTGGACTGTTTTGAGTTTGGTAGGTCCGGGAGGCGCGCGACCAAGAGACCGAGCAAGGAAAGCAAGACACGAGGGATCGGATTTGTCATAGCCCCATCCCCAGAAGCATCGTACGTTGGAACTCAGGTTGTGCCACCGTGTATGCCAGAGCTGAAGACCGGGTAGTATAAACTCCATCGACTGATGTACTGATGTCGTGCCCGACAGGTACTTTTGGATTTTGAGCATCGCTTCGAAGCTCTTGCCGTCGCCCGTATAGCGTGCCCATTTCCCTCTGAAGTTCGCAGCCGTATTTCCCATCTGCTCCAAGAAATCGTCTAAGGCAGCTTTCATTCCACGTGTCGAGACCTCATCGGCGCTGTTGGTGGCCAACGGATGGATCTCTGAGACTCGGTTTGGATTGATTTGATGCCTGGTCGCGTTTTTGCTGAACAACTCATTGACATTGTCGTGGTATTTGGTCCGCAGAATGGTGACATGATCAACCAGAAGCTTCACACAGTGGTACTGGAAGACACGGAAAATGTGCGCAAAGTCGATGTCGTGGACTATGGTGTCAATGTCAGCTTCTTCTCGCCGCCCTTCTCGCATGCGCTCGAGCACTGGTGCAAGGTCAAACGCGTCGGGCTCGCAGTCTTCCATGCGAATCGCAGTTGCGGCAGTGCCTGTGTGCATCTTTCCCTTGGCGTTGGACAGATCCGGGTCGTATGCGGGAACGTATGTCTGTACATTGTCGAGCACAACTTGGTATTGCTCACTGACTCCCGGCTGACCTCTACTCCGCAGGAACGCCGCCTTCTCGTAGCCCAAACCGCGGAGCGCACCCAGAATAGACGAGAACGAGATGGAGTGCGCCAGCTTGCTCCCAATCCGGTGGACAGCTTGATGCGCGCTCGTTCCAAAGTTGACGACACCCTTTGCGATGGCAAATAGGTTCGTGCCTTGATTTCTGGCGAACGTCATTTCGCTGAGGGTACTGACACCAATCTTACAGAAAGTTATAGTGAGCAGACGACATATACTACTCTACACCAAGTACTCACCGTATCTTTGCTCCTATAGACCTGGCTTTCTTCTTGCCCTTCCGGCCGTGCATCGCCCTCGACATACGATTTACCACTTGTCATGTAGTTGGTCAGGAGGCCCAGGGTCAAAGGCGATATCCTATGGTACGTGGCCTTCATAGTGTTGATAGAGGACTCCTTCAGCGTGGCCCAAGAGATGACAGGTGCTCTGCCGGGTCCACGCGTGCGCCGCTGCTGCGTGGCTCCTCCTGATGGCTCATCTTGGCCTCCCTCCAGCTCTCTCTGCCTCGCGTCAACGCCTGCCAGAACTCCCTCATACTCCCTCACGTCGACTCCCTCGCAGACGCGATCAGTTTTCCTCGTATGGGTCCCCTCTCCTATGAGTTCATGCTCCGGGTCGGCGTCGACAACCATCTCCACTTGTTTGCTCTCCCCTGCCCGAGCATTCTCCCTCGTTCTTTCGCTCTCCCCGGCTCTCCCATTTCCCCTCAGCTCCGTCCCCTCTTGCGTACACTCATGACCCGTGCCAGCGTCAACAGCCGTATACACTCGCCCGTTTTCCCCGGTCCCCGCGCTCTCCCATCTCCCCGCGCTCTCCCTCGCTCGCGTGCCCTCCAGCAAGCTCTCGCCGGTTCGAGTGGCTCCCGACGTCACACGAAAGTGCATGTCGGGGTTCGTGTCAAAAGAGGTGAGTCTTTTCCCTTCTTTGTTCATCTCCTCGCCGATGATGTGTGCCGCCCATGAAAGGGTTGCTGGCTGCGCGAGTCGAAACGACCGAGGGCCGCCATTTCGCGTGAAGTCGAATGCCTGCTCGTACTCGGGGTGTTTCTTGTTGGGCCGGCCATCCGGGTGGCTGAGAATGAGGTCGAGGACATCGGTGATGTGGTTCCTGGTGTTGCCTGTGAGGTATCCGTTGATGAGCGTCTGATGCGTGTGGCTTCGACCAGGACTTGCTCGAAAGAGCCTCTCAAGAAAGGCGCCAAGATTCTCTTTTGAGTTCGCAATCCGGGTAATTATGCCTTCAAATTCAGCCTGTATCTCAGCTTCTTTTTGGGCTGCTCGAAGTTTCCTGGCACTGAGCCCTCCGAGATCAGGGGTCGAATGCGTGCGCCATTGCAAAGGGGATGAGGGGGCTGGACTGGGTTCAGGCGCTGGTGTCGGGGCCAACGGCGTCTGTGGGGCATCTTTGGGTGTGTACTGGTGGATCGAGAAGGTGTATGAGCGCGCTCGCGCTGTCTTTTGACCTGGCTGGCTCATGGTCGAGCAGTCGATGGCGACGGCGTCGATTTCTGCAGGCTTCAGCAGTGAGGGGCCGACGCTTGTGATTTATTTAATTAACTATTTCATTTACCGTGTACGGATCGGTACATAACTCGCAATAGGGTTAGGTCGGATGACGTTGCGCCGTGTCTCAAGTTTCAGCGAGTTTCCGAAACAGGAAACTCGAAAACGCGCCCGCAAGATACCCCAAATTTGATGCAGACGTTTTACACAGCGTCAAAAGAGCGCAGCGACACGTGTAAAACGGCTGCAAAAAGGAGACTAGGTTCGGAGGGCCGAACCGGGGTGGACAAGGTTCGTCGGCTAAATCGGATGCTGTCCACCCCTCTCTCGAGGCACCACGCCGGGTCGATGCTGCCATGAATGCGCGAGGTATGTCTCCGTACTTCTTTCATTTTGTGCAGCTTCTTAGTCTTCTTGATGCCCAAATGGAGTCACTGACGTGTTTTCACGCCTCGTAGATCTGCCTTTCCCTGCTTTATCCTCGCTGTTTTGTGACAAACCCGGCGAGCTAGCCTAGCGAGCCGATCTGAGTACGACATCCATGTCGTGCTCTACTCGAGGAGACGTCTCACTGGTGAGTGAGCTCGCCGACCTGCTCTCTGCTTCACTCAACCGCTTCCAGGCAACGACACCAGCACTCTTCCCACTGTGCCAGGCATGGCAGACGACCCCGATGTCAACCTAGAGGAGTTGTATGTTCCTGATGAGGTCGTTTTTGGTCGGGGAAAGCGTCGCAAGGTTTCTAACACGCGGTATGAGGGGGTTTCGGGCCATTAGAACATTCAGTAGCACATTGTATTAGCATAATCACTGGAAATTACAGGTTTTTTGTGTTTCTACCATGTGTCCACCCCCTTAGGTTCGCAGGAGGTATCAGGGGTGGACATGTCCACCCCGGAGGTTCGGGTTCGGAGGGGGGGGTGGACAGGGGACCGAACCTATGGTCGAAATGGTACAGTATCTTAAAAAGCAAGGTGAACGGGTTTCAAAAAATAGTCCCTCATTATTTAATATCTTTATCAAAAACAGGGCTGTTCAGCTGTCAGTAACAGGCGCGTTTCCTTTCCTGTTTTTGATAAAGATTTAAATACTGAGGGGTTATTTATTGAAACCCGTTCACCCTAATTTTAAAATAAAGTTCAAGTTATAATGCCACTATTATTGAGAAATGCTTGCAATGCAGGGCAGCCAAGACCTTCAAATCAGAATCGGCATTGGCTCGGACTGCGCTCGCCAAAAAAAAAAATTGATGTGCCGCAACACCTTCGGTAAAAATGGTATACATATGTTTCAACTTGCAGTATTTAAAGTACGCCAGCACTTGAAGTAAGTTATACAGTAAGTAAGCTACTTCACAAGGATACAGAAAATTAAGGACGAGTCAAAAGTCCCAGAGCGTTCCCTGAAGTATAAGCCGACAGTTAGACGCAGAATTTACAGAGGGGAACACGACATACAAATGCGGGGATGCCTGCCTCCTTGCAGCCTTCCATAATCTCCTGATTACCCTGATGATTCGAGGTTATAAAAACGACTTCCGCCTGCCATGAGATGTACGCGTCTCGGACGAGCTTCATCACGTCCGGGCGACGTCCTGCAGATACGACTTCAGCGACCTGTCGCCTGTTCAGGTACCGGCGCGGACTTACCCTCCTTCTTTGAGTCCCAGAGTGTCATGCGCTCGGGACTGAGATTCTGATGGATTAAGCCCGAGATTGTAGGGCCGAACGTCTTCTCCTGATCCGAGCCTATCCAGATCAGGTACCTGAAAACGACTGAGCCCCGAGAATTGATACGACAATCAGCCTGGCACCTACCAATACGGGCTTTGAAGGCAGGTGGATAACGCTGCACCGAGTCCTGTTCCGGTACATACTCTGATACCCCGGGTGTAGAGTGTCGACGTGTTCGATACACCAGCAAACTATGCTGACGTTAATACCTTGAAGATAGAGACGTAGATAGCTCACCTTGAGCTCACGCGTCCAAAGCGCCTTGGGTGGATCATCGACGAGTCTACGCGTAAAATCACCCTGGACTCCGCAGATAAGGTAGTGGTATTTGGAGCATTTTCCCTCTCTAGAAGCTAAGTAATCAGTAACTAGAAACAACGACATAGAAATGGGCCTCACAAAATGATGCCGAATGCATGATATTCTAGGATACACTCTCGAGATATGCGCGCGAGAAGCCCTTGCTGCATCCCACGCTCAAAGCGTAGTACAGCTACCTTTGGTGACGGCTGTGAAGATACGAATTGAGAATATAACATGAAGTCTACAGGAGAGGGGTTACCCACTAGTTCGACGTCGACGTTGACTCTTCGGACCGTTAACCACGGTATGATGGTGCTATAAGTACAACACGTCAGCTTGTTGACTGAGAGTAATTGCGACCAGAAACACATACAATACCGTCATGATAAAGACAAACCAAAAATCCTGCTGCCTGAGAATACCGACGGTCGGATCCCACGAATGCGACTCGGGATCGTGCATGTCGCCAAGAATGACGAACACCCAAGCTAATAAAGGTTAGAAAATGACGATCGAGAGTACGAGCAGGGACGCACTTGAGACCAGTCCACACCATCCAACGAACCGATGGTGTCTCTCGAATACACTGAGATCTCACGTTATCAACAAGACTTAGATTTGGTTTCATTATACACGTATCGACTTACTTGTGATGGTTATTCCGTATCCACGGAAATGCGCTGACTATACAGACGGCAATAGCGATATTAGTCATCACACCTGCGGCCATCATCGAGCTTGGCATAGTGCGGAGAGCGATGAAGCAATTGGTGATACGATATACGAGCCACAGGAATCCTGAGATGGCGCAGCCTGAGTGGATTCCTCCGATGTGCTGGAGGGCTGACGTGCAGGCAAGGCGGAAGCGAAGTGGTGTCCACTATTTAACAAGAGGGTGAGCACTCATACGTAGCGAGTGACAAACACTGACCTTGGCTAAACAGGTGTTGACAAACAAATATAAAACCCGCATGAACAGCTCGTTCCGGGTGATGATCGCGGTCTGGAGGTTTCCGAGTACAAATGCGCCGGTGTAGTGTCGTGGATACGTCCATCTGCCCGAGATGGCCAATGCGAGACCCACTGTATTCATGGAGACAACGAGCGTGAAGAACTTGCTGTGAAAGCAGCTCGAACGCCTGTACGAGAATAACACCAGCAATAGAGCTTACCGATACGTATTGAACCAAAGCTGAAGCCTTATCCACGGACTCGGTCTCCGGCGCTTTGGATTTGGCTTGAATGTAGGATTAGACGTTACGACGGGGTTAGTATCCATCTGTCCTTGAAGTGGGAAGGAAGGTAGCTGGAGGATGAGCTCCGAAGGAGGCTGTAGCTTCTTGTCATCCACTAGCATGGACGCGACACTGGTGGTAAGGACAATGTCTACCACTCCCATCTCGGCGTTCTCCTGCGCGTCGTGATGACCAGCCATACTGAAACTTGTATTGGTCGAACAAAACCAGCAAAGAATCGTGTCGAGAATATGAAGGTGAAGGGAACAGCTATTGGTCGCGTAGAGTCGAATATGAGAGGGTTCATGTTATAGAGATATAACCGCCCCGCGGCTTGAATATGAGTGCGCTGCTGTATCGTGAATGAGCAGCCGCCGTAACAAGCTGTGTCGTCATGCCAGGGAAATTCCGAGGAAACGGGTGAGCACTCGCCGAGGTGTCCGCGACGTGTTATGTCACTCGTGCACGAGCGTTCACGCCATCGTCAAAGTGAATAGCACTGGGCCGGATGGGTGTCATAGGTTTCTAGCACGAATCAGGCTATCTGTGCTGATATCGACGGCTGCGGACCAAAACAGCGAGAAGCGTTGAGTGTTGGTGCCTCCGCAATTTTGGCATGGTACGCTTACCATATCAATGCCTCTAAAACATCGTGTGAGCCGAGACACATGCATAAAGTACAAGTTTCCGGCAACTTTATGCCCGAACACCCTATGTATCGATAGTTAGAATTCAGGTACTATGAAACGATCGTAAAATAACGATTACCAACAATATGGATGCTATTGCTTCTGCATCCATGGGGTGGGTGGCCCAAATCTCGGAGTATTGTAGGTGTTGTGACCTTCTCGGTCCCGAATCCCCAAAATGAGATCGGAAGTAGGTACAAAGACATATCGACCCAGGACGGATCAGGAGATCCCACTACTTGATCACCTCGGCGTCCTGGATTGCTCCGGGATGAGGGACAGTTGCCTGCAATGTATGCGTCATACCGGTATTCTGGTAGAAGATTAGGATTACGCCGTAGATACCGGGTAAACTTGTCTGATTGGAGAACTACTAGTGTCAACGTTCGACTGAATTGAGCGAGCCTATTCCGAGGTCCAACCTGAGCACTAGCAAAGCGACGTTCAAGGGATACCTGGCGAGACCAATCCCCGATAGAGAGTGTTTATATCGCATGTAAAACAACGAACATCACTAAAGTGTAGGTCCGATAGCGTGGTCCCAGAGTTACCGCGGTGTGCACTGTGCGGAGGAAACATGAGCGAAATTCACAACACTCCGAGCCCCGAATGTAGCATCACGTGTTCATGTTGATTTCCCACGATGAGCCAGCGGCGAATCCCGTTTCCGTCTCCATTGCTTGGCCCCAACTTCACCCGCGAACAAGGCGCATACACACACTCGATCCTACAGACCATCTATCTTATGAATGATTACCTTGTGCTATGCACCACGCTTTACGCGCGGTACGGAACCAGAGTCCACTCGAAGTGCACCTGAGTGACACCAGAGTAGAGGCTTATGAAGCCTATCACGGTATTAGGGCGTGTGAGGCTTGTCAAGCCTGCCGCGCTTGTTAGCCGAGCACCTTCCGTTGCACCTAGGTGTCGCGGCGTTTGGCGGCGGAGATATTACCATACTTGTACAAGTCCTATTCTATCGTATCCGGCCTCTATGTCAAACGTTGGATTAGATTAGATTATGATTAGAACGCGAAGATAACGGTCTGGTCTCTGTCTGACGTCACCCGGGCTGCCCGAGTTAACCGCTCCCCCGTTCCCCCGCTCCTCCCGCCTCCCGCCCTCCGCTCGGCTCGGTCCGCGCTGCCGACGCGCCCTCGCCTATTCCCTTGTCCCTTCCGCCGCGCCCTTGTCCCCTCCGCCGCTCCCTTCAACGCCGCCGCTCTACTCAATGCCGCCGCTCTCTTCAACACCCCCTATGTCCACCTGTCTCGCCTCCTTTCCCTCAAGCGCGC